GGAGGGCGCCACCGTCCGCCGTTTCTGTCTTGGGGGCTGGCTGCGCGCGAGGGAAGGCGGGAGCGGAACAGATTGCGTGCGGGCCAGCGCGTGGGGAGCCATAGTTGTCCGGGGGGTGCGGAGGGAGGGTGGTGGGCCCAAGCGCCTGGAAAAAAATGAATGCCCCGCCCCGGCGCCCGTCCTCTACCTTCACGCGCGGCAGGGCCCCCAGGAGCGCGCCCCTGTCCTGCAAGGCTGCGCGCGGGAGATGGACGGGAGAGCATGAAGGCGCGCAGGGGCAGGGCCGGCGCACCGGCAGGCGGCACGGGCGGGCCGCTCACACAGCACACGCGCGGCCGGGGCGTCGCGCGCAGGCGCCGCGCATGGCGCGGGCTGTTCTCCTGCTTCCTTCCCCCGTCCACTGGGGCCCGCCCGCTGCCGCGCTTTGCCTTTGCGCTGTTGGGCCTAAGGCTTGCCGCCTCGGGCGCGCGCCCAATGCGGGCGGGGTCCTCGCGGTCGCACAACGACGGGAACTACCACGGGCGCCATGGCGCTCCGCCTTGGTTCTTTCAACTAGAAGTGGCGCAGATGCTTGGCCCCGCCCTGCCTCAGAAATCTTTTCCCTTGCCCATCCTCTGGCGTTTTTCTTTCCCCCCTGTCCACTCGTTCACCCTCCCACTGCGCGACATAAGCTGCGGCCTTGTAGATCCTTCAGACGAAACCGGTCATCAGTCGGAGAAGAAGAGAAAATTGTCAAGTTCGCCGCCTCCTCAAAGAGTTCATTTTGTTACTGGTTGGAACCCTCCAACGCCATAAACTAGGAGTTCACAAGAAATTTTGCTGTTCATTTTGGTTTAGAGAGCTTTCCGATTGCGAACCGTCTCACATATCAGAAAAAAAAGTATAGTGTGCCCATCTGTCTTCGAGCAGAAGTCACTCAAAAACCACTTCTTCTACTTCTTCTTGTTCTTGCAGCTCTAGCAAGTCGGTTAGAATCACAACTAGCAGCTTATCGGTATTTTCCACGACCCAGAATCTTTCATCGGGCCATTTTGAGGAGATGAAAATCGCTCTTCAACGGCCTTCGTTGTGGTCGTCTCCGTGCTAGCACGAACAGCGCTCGCACTTGGTCCAGCAAAGACCTCCACCAGATGTTCTTTTTCTGTATGTCTTAAAACCAACGTCGATTCTTGAGTCTGTCACTATATTTCCACTCGATGACCAGCACGACTACTCCCCGTCGACTCATTATATCTCGTTAGAAGGAAAGGAGCGCGAATGTTGATCTACTTCTGCTTTCTTTACCTTGCGCTTCGCAGCGCTATTGGCTTTCCATATTTCTTTTGTGCCGGGTGCTTCACCGTCCTCCGTTTACAACTGCAGACACTTCTTCCTCAACCGGTCCTGCAGACTCCGATTGCCTTCCCGCGCCCGGAGAATCAGGCCCTGGCGCTCCAACTTTTGTCCCAGGTTCATCAATCCCTGATGCTGATCACCCTCGCGGAACACGTGGGCTTTCGAGATGCCCTTCTGCAACCCCGCCCCCAGCGTCGACCCGAGATTCGTTCCCGGGGAGGAGGGGACAGCCTGCGCGCTGCTTTTCGGTCCAAAGTTCAGAAGTGGCGGCGATTCGCGCGATGGCCGTGACGGTCTACTGGTGCGGCCGCCATTGGTTGTCGGCAGCAGCGCGGTAGCTGAGGAGGATCCGGAGTATGGATTTTTGCTCGTGATGCTAGCACCATAATTCTTGTTTCCCTGTTGACCGTCGACCGGACCGCCGTGGTTAGAGTAATTTATTCCGCGGCCTTGTTTATTCTTCTCCATGAGAGACATCGCGGTCTTTGCCCGTCGAAATGTGGCAGCAGCTTTGTTTCCATTAACGCCTTTGTGATTGTTGTCAGCCTGGGTTCTGCTTCTGGCTTTGATTTGTGCAGTTATAGAACTGACGGGAGGTCCGGCAGCGCCGACTGAAGATGTTACAACTCCTGGGCCCGTGACGCCATACTCATCAGTTGTTGCTGCAGGAAAGATGTTGACCATTTTTGACTCGTCAATAGGCGACCGCGAGAGCCTTCTACCCGCAACGACCGAAACAAAAGTGTTTGATTTGCCGAGCGGTGGAGTGGCGGGAGAAAGTCCATTTTCTTCTTGCGCTGCGAAAAGCGGCGCAGGTATAATTGGTCTCGGCCGAGGGAGTGCGGTCGATGCAACGCCGCCGCTGGGGATGGCGGCGCTCGGCTCTCCCTCGTCCTCGTCTTGGAGTAACACAATGCCCTCCGCAGTCCTCGAGCTCGTTGTTCGTGCCCCGCGGATCGGCGTGCTACGAGGGGTTGTACCTTCGCCTTCCGAGAGAAGAGTGTCCGCTTCATTCTCTTCCACAACGTTTAATCGGACAGGCACTTGCTCACGGCCTGGCTCTTCTCGTTCTCGTCCCGTGTAGCTGTTGCCGATGCTCGCGAGGTTTTCGACTCCGCGATTGTAGTGCGCAGCACCCGGAAAGCCAGACCAATCGACGACGTCGCGAAGATGCTTTTGGTTTTCTATGTCGTAGGCGTCCTTATCATCCTGATCATCTTCGCTGATCTTCGAGTTCTTATCGTTATTGTCGTTCAAATCCTCGCTGATGTTTTTCGCTGCGTCCCCGCCGAAGAATGCACCGTTGCCGTCGTCTGCTCCGTTTGGCGGCAGCCCGACATCGAACTCGGATCTGCTCGCTCGTTCGCTTCCCCAGCTGCCTGGACGACCTCGGAGGAACGAGGACCTTCGCGATGAGCGCACGGACGATCGTCGATCGTTTGTTGCTTGCGCCTCTCCGAGAAGTTGTGCTTGCTCTTCTTGCCTAAACCGGTCGTTGGCGAGTAGTTCCTCCTGTTCCTTTTCCTCGGCTTCGACGCACCCCACGACCTGAATCAGCCACACCACGAAGATGTTCCCAACTACGGTGGTGAAAAAGAAAAAGAACAGGGCCTGAAACAGGTACCCGTAAGCAATGCTGGTGACGGGCACGCGGGGCACCCACTGAAACCCGTCGACCTGGCGGAGCTCGGTTACGCGTTGTTTTAGCCACTTCAGAAACGCGCACAAAGGACGATATCCGGGATATGTCAGGTCCATGGCCTCGGCGAGGGCTCCGTCGTGCGTATTCACCCAGATCTGGTAGCAGTTGTGCATCGACAGGAGCAGATCGTTGAAGTTCAGAATCCCCATTTCGCCTTGGGCAAAATCTGAATCCTTGAACTCGACCAGTCGCTGCTCGGCTTCACCCAAATCTTCAGCGGAAAGGACCTGTTGGGGGAAAATCAGAATTTTTGCAGCTTTAGAAATCTGCACCTGCGCCGCGGCCGTCTAATGGGCAAATGAATATCTATACGACTGGATCTACTGCTCGCTTGAGGTCTATGCAAAAAAAAGATCGGATCGTGGGCGAGGTTCGGCTGGAAAACCGTGATGTCAAGAGCCAAGCCGGAAACGGAAACAGTAAACAGATGGTAACAAATACACTCTTCCGCCATTCGGCAATTCGGGGTTCCTTCATGCCGAGCTCAGTGCCGCCCCAGACCAGCATGCCCACACTGGAGAAGGTGAAGAGAGCTAGAAACATCAGCGCCGCCACGTCCTCGCAGGCGGCGTAAAGGTCTTCCACTGCGGTGAATACGAGCTTAAAGCTGTTTGATTTCTTCAACAGCTGAACCAACTTTAGCAGTCGCAGCAGGTTCAGGTACCGGGCAAACCCGCGCCAGGTGCTCGGTTCCATTTCCGAAAGCGCACGAAGCAGTCGCGGGGGCGTGTTGGCAGAAAGTAGGCTGCTGCGGGGTGGACGCAAGGGTGGCGCCAGGGTCGGAGGTTCGGCTGGAAATGAAGTATAGAATTGTTTCTTTTTTTTGTTTTCTCGTTGCACTAGCTGCGCAAGCAGGAGGAACCAGACCTGCAATATCTGCAGACTCTGGCCGTTATCAATCAAAGAATACCGCACTATTTCTTGTGAGCAGCGTCATCCAAAATTATCAAAGTCGATCAATATCAAAAGGTCGCTATTGGTAGAAAAGTACATGTAAAAACGGCCATGCTCCCGTCTCCAACCCCTATTCCGCCGCTCCGCGGGCTGAGTGGTGACGGGGGAGGGCTTAGCCCACGCCCGGGTTGCAAGTCCACGAAGTAGCAGAAGATGACATCGGTGAGGGAACTGAAGAAGAGCAGTAAAGCCGTCGCGAAGTCGAACCTTGCCGACGAGTTACCGTACCAGTACTCGGTCCAGGAGACGGTGAGAATCCGAACCAGCACTTCCAGCAGAAACAACGAGGAAAACACGAGTTCGCCGATGGAAAATAGGGCGTGGCGTTCGCGCGCAGCCCGGCTGCGCTCGTCTTCGTGCTGCCGAGACTCGTACACGAATTCCACAAATAGAACAACGACGTTGAAAAACAACACAAAATACATGCACCGTGATAGTTTCCCAGAAATCACCCAACGCTTCTGCAAGTACCGGAAAAACAGGTACAGGCTCTGGCGGCACGTCTTCCGCGACGAGGGGAGCTTCCTTTTTTTCAACTTCTGGACCACCTGGGAGGACGACCCTTGGACTTGGTTCTGTACCAACCCACCCTGCATGATAGTACCTGGGACGACGTCATCCGCATGCAACAGAGGTTGGAGTTCTTGCTCCGTGACTTCTGCCAGGCTTGGTTGATGTATCTGTCCCACACTAGATCTCCTGGAAGTAGAAGATGGTCCAGCAGCTAGTGCCTCCACTTTGCTTGTAGTTCTTGTGCCCGCAACAGTACAACTTGTTGTATGTCGTGAATGTGCACTCGCCGTATTTTTCGCTGTGCTTCCAGGCTCAGCAACCGCTGCACTCTGCTTCGCAGTCGTAGAAGCCCATTTGTGCCTATCTCTTCCGAGCCACTGCAGAAAGCAACTGTCGCGTTGCGCCACCCAAAAGTTGTTTTGCAGAATTTCGCAAATTTGGTACCACTCTTGCAGATCGATCAGCCCGCTGTTGTCCCGGTCCAGGACCACAAACAGCAGCTCGATGTATTCGCGCTTCACGGACCCAAAGTGTGGCAGTCGGTTGATGCTCGCCACGAGGTGCTGCAAGGTGCGCAAGTCAATGCCCTGCTCGTTCAAATTTTCCAAAATTTGCTGCGGGTCACTCTCGTCTGCGGGGAAAACACGAGCGGGGCCCAGCTGTGAGCCCAGGGGGTCAATGGTAAAGCGGTTCTGGTAAGAACCTTGAACCGGCTCGTCTTCGGAAAGAACGTCGCTCGAGTGAAAGCTACCGGAATTCCGATTGTGCTTCCGTTGACGCATACCGCTTGCCGCGGCAGACGTTGTAACTAAAATTTGGTCCTTGTTTCTCTTGTTTGCAGCGTTGTCGGTGCTTGACCCGTCATCTCCACGGTGTTTCACGCTAAGGATTGAAGACGACCCACCGTCCTCGACGAAGGAGTTGCTTCTACCGTCCGAGGAGGTCGAACTGCGACGATAAGAGCTTGAAGTTCGTCTGCTCGTGCTTGTCGCTGTCCTAGCTGCTTTACCTTTTCCAGTTCTATGATCATCTAAATGCAGTTGCAACTTGTGTCCGTTTCTGGTGCTCCCCACATCTGAGTCAACTGGAGGTTGCAAGGGAGCAGCGTCTTCGTCTCTTTGACCGCCCGTGGCTGGGACGTCCCGCATGAGATGACGCTGGATGCTGTCTGCAAAAAGAAGTCGGCACTCACCCACGGTTAAGGACTGAAAAGGCTGGAGCACAACGTCGGCAGGCACCTCGCTAGGTGCTGCCACAGATTCGTTGAGGAGGTTCAGCTCGTGACTCTGCATTTGACCTCCAAAGCGGTCAGCTGCAAGTGCTCCGCCTTGCTCGGAGCATCTCGACGATGATGGCGGGATCTGGTGTGCTCCGGACGCGGCGCCGAAAATCTCAATGTTGTCGTCCTCGTTGTCTTCTTGTTCCGTTTGCTCCATATCTCGTTGCTGATTCACGTTAGTCCTTTGGCCGAGCTGCTGCCGGTCTTCGTCGTCGTTGAAAAGGAGAGCAGCGGCCAAGCCCGCACCTAAAAGGCGGTCCGGGTTGTTACGGTTTTCCCTCACGGAAAATTGTGTCGCGTGCTGTTCTTGCTCTGCAGCAGGAGGTAGAGAATGCGTTGTGTTAGGACCACAGCTGTTCCTTCTTGTTCTTCCGTCGCCACCTGCTGAATGATCGTGCTGATCGTTCATCAACGCACCACAGCTGCTCCCTGCTAGCAGTTCCCAGTAGGCGGCTTCGAGCGCTTTCCGGCGGCCCTTGGTGTATTGCTCGTGCTGCTTCTTCATAATATCGCTGTACTCATTCATCACTGTGGCTAGCAAGAACTGCATGATGATGGTGCAGAGAAAGACCTGCGCGCTGGTGTGAAGCCAGCCCGTCCAGCGGTAGGCCGTAAACTCGCGCAGCATCTCCCCGGGGTAGTTCCCCGTGGTACCGGAGTTCCAGTACGCGGTTGCCCCGCTGAAAATGTTGTTCTCTTCCCGACCGAAATAGACGCGCCCCTTGTCGTCGACTTGGCTCGAGTGAGTAGCGGTGATTAGGACCAAATGTACCCAGGAAAACACGAAACAGAAGGTGATCATCACGATCATGGTTTTGGTGTTCGCCTTGATGCTGAGCCACACAGCCGGAAGGAGGCGGGCGAGGGTCGGGGAACTGAGCATTATCCCCGCTCGTGCCAAGAGGTGTAGCCGGGGGTACAGAATCAAAGATCGTCCGTACCCGATTTCCAGCAGAAAAATCACGGCCTCCACGAAGAGGTACAAACTGCAAAGCAACTCCACACCGTGCAGCTTGCACTCGTGCTCGTGGAGCCTCTGGTAGATAGTGCGCTCAGATGTTGTTGATCCAGCAGCATTCAGCAGGCCGGTAGTGCTGTAGTTTCCGTTTCGCATGGGGCCAGCCGGGGGCGTGGTGGCAGGAAAAAGCAAAGACATCATCATGCGGCTGTTTTTGGCGAGAAAAGTAGACGCTTTTGCTGCGGCGCCGCTGGGCTTTTGGCCAGTTCCTGCAGCTTCCGTGCCTCCTCTATGATCGAAGTCCTCTACTAGCTGCTCCTTCATCCCCTTTTTCATCTTCCCTGGTTGCGTTTCATAGCGCAGTGGGTGCTTGGCCAAAAAATTGTGGCGGTGGGTGTGTTTTTTTCGCGCGACAAGCTTGCTGGAAGACGATTCACTGATAGACGAGCCTGGACCCGCAGCTGCCGCTGGTGGTGGCAACAGCGTCGCTGGCCCTCCTGTTGGGGCTGGTGGAGGTGCGGCAACAGATACGTGAGGAGCAACTACTGGAAGACCTAGACCAACGCTTGGACCACCAGGAAAGTCTTTGTCTTGCTCGATAGTCATCTTACACCCACTCCCTTTCAATACGTCGCCGGCCATGCGCGTTGCGTCCTTCGAACAATAAATGTCCTCCGGCACCGAGGCTTTCAGTTTATTTCCGGATTTTGCGATAGTTGTTGATGTTTCTTCAACAACATCACGACAAGCTGAATTACATTCGTTTTCACCAAAAGGCACCTCACCCCGTTTCAGTTTCTCGAACGCATGGTCGCTTGCCCTCGTGCCGGCGTCGTTTCCGTTTCGGTTCCCAGTTGTGAGCAGAAACGCTGTGGGTTTCTCCTCGTTTTCAACTTCAATGTCGAAGAAGAAACTGAGGTACTTGCAGCGCCAAAAGGCCTTTCGCAGGATGAACAGGACGACAAAGATTATCCAGAGAAAAAAAACCCATCCACTTCCACAACCATTTTTTGCATGACAAACACAGAATTTTATGTATGTTTTGCATGACAAATTGGATGTGGATGGGTTTTTTTCTGTGGATAAAGATCTCGTACAAACTACTCCAGATCGGGTTCACCAAGACCACGCCCGACAACAGGTAGTTGGTGTTTGGCGTGGCCGCGCTATTCCCTGAAAATTAACCATTACCATCCACTTTTTGCATGACAAACACAGTCACAGACTGTGGCTTTGCTTTTCCTTTTGCTACATATTTTGCATGACAAATTGGATGCGGATGGTTAATTTTCAGGAAATACGCGTTCTCAGAGCAGATTCGCTCTTCGTTCAGGAACGGCCCGGTGAAAAAGTCTTCCCGGATCAGAGCCGCCTTCGTCTCGGCCTGCCGGCTCATGCACCAGGATGGCGTTTCCAGGAAAGACTCGAGGACCAAAATTCCGAACACCAGTCGAAACCAGGAACGGTAGAGCCGGTACGTTGTGTACGCTGTAAAAGCTTTCCGGTCTTTCGGGTACGGAACGGGCACGAAAACGCCCTCCTCCGCGTGGCCCACCCGCCACGCGACCAGGTCGTAGACCGTGCTCCATTTGTTCTTCCTCGATGCGCGTAAACAACGGCAGCAGGAACTTTTATCCTTTTGCTTGTCCACCTCGCTCCTGTTCCCGATGGCAGTCATGGTACAACAAGAAGTCCGTGCGTTTGAGCTTGACTGCTTTCTTTTCCGGATCTGTGTGCGACTCTTAATTTTTTCGGCTGGTATTCTTCACGCTGGTTTCTTGCGCTGCGTGAGTTGCTGCCTTTCCCCGCTGCTGTGGCCTGTCGACTGTAGCTTTGCACTACTTACCCCCCTCGCATGCCAACAGCTCAGCGATCTATCTTGCGAGAAAATGCTCCCACTTCGGAAATAACACTTTGCCGCAACTTCAAGGCTGCACTGGGACGGGGAGGCTTTATCAATATTATATCGCCAGAGTACCACAAAATTTTCTATTTTTTTTCTACATCTAACTATCAAGGGGAGCCAGAGCCCGAGGAAAGATGAAACCTGTCCTACGTCCTTGCACATTTCTTGCTGCATCGTGGTGGAAGTCGTGCAAGTCGGAAAAACGAGAAAAGCGAAAGCTCTACTGCATGCTCGAAAACTATGTACAGTAAAATTTCGAAAGTGTTTTCGCTGCGCCGACTATGTCGTCGACCAAGTCCAAGACCATTCCCGGCTTCGGTGAAAAAGACAAGTAAGTACACTTCAGTAAGTAAGTACTCATCATCACGTATTTATTAGCGAGCACGTCGTGTCTGAGAGCTCGCAGTCACACTACTGGCAAGAAAATCAAGTGAAAACAAAAATACGTGTCAAAGGCGCTTTTGTTGCGCAGCTGACTCACCAGTCGGAGGCTGACAGACGGTTACTCCCAGCTTCGTCCGTAAAATGTATTGCCACCGAGTACCGCAGCAAAGCTAGCAATCGACCCCTGAAGAACCTCAAAAGTCAAACAAAACAAAATGCAAAAAATCGAAAATCATCACAATGCACGACTTCGTTGCAGCAAAAGGAAAAGCAATGCGATTGCGAGTCGGAAAAAGAAATAAAAAAACAAAAAGCAAATTAGTATAAGTAATTAGTTTAGTATTTGAAATGATCCACTTGATGGTCACTCGTCTTCGTCAGACAAAAACATTCAAGAGCTGCACGGAAGCGGAACTACAAGGAGCACGGGAGACGAGGAAGTCGTAGAAGCAAAAAATGCTACTTAAATATAGATCCTTTCCCCCTTAATTGGTCGAGCAGATCTGTCGTCCGTCTCCGTCGTCCTTAGAAGAAATAACTTTCATGGTCCGCACGACACCGACGCTCGCAGCATTTATTTGTAAGAAACAAAAAAAAAGATAAAGATCCTCATCTTCTCTACGACAATAATGTTTTGATCATCATGCACGTGCAACTTTAGACAATCATTGGCGTCCAAGTCGATGATCGTGAGGACCATACGAGTTCGTCGTAAATGCAACACGTTGTGTTTCGATTTCCTCGCCTGGCGATGTACGTCAGCCATCTGGTGGCCCCGCTTTGATTTCAATTTCTATTTTTCATGCCTTTGCGTTTTCATTTTCAGACTACAAAAGTTTTTCTCTGCAGTTGTAAAACACGAGCTTTACTGCTTTGTCGGGTTCGTTTTATCAGTCTTCAGTCTTTTTAAGTTCTTTTAGTTCTAGCTAGTTATGAGTATTGTACATGATAAATTTTCCGGTGCGGGCAAGCGCTTCTTGTCGTTGATATTTTTCATTTTTTGTAAAATATCTATAGATGAGCTCGGTTTGGTCTTTGGCTTTTGCAAACAGAAACACTTTTTTTTTGCGTCCGCCGAGACGGGACCCTCACGGGCGAATTTGCCTATACCCAGCGTATTGCGGTATAAACACTAACGTATTCTCAAATGAAACAGTTGCGGATGCAGAGCGCTCATTATATCAGCTTCGTCCGCCGATCGAGACGGCGATAGCCGCCGCACACACTGACGATCAGAAATCATGTGCAATTCGGTGCGCGCTATAAGTCTACTAAGCTCGCGCGGTTTAACATCGCATGCATGTGGTAGTGTCCTCGTCCCACATACAAACTATTCCGACACAATCATCCAGCTGGATCAGTGATGAATAAACGGAAACGAGTACTATTAAGAGCTGACGACAATAGAACTCTGTATCACATGAATTCGAATAGTGAAGCAAAGAGGTACAGGTAGCCTGAGTCTACGTAAGCAGCCAGTTTCAACAAGAGTCTTTTTCACCAGGCGTCCGCAAGAACGTGAAAAAAAATCGAGTACCCGTGTCCGCTGGACCTAACGGACCTGCGGTGACCTGTCCGGCGACATTCATCTGCTTAAAGTGTTTCTGCATCGCCCCGCCCTCGTGGATGCGTTTATCTTCTTGTCCATCTTCAGGCAGTGCCGGGCTATCTACGCTGTCTCATTCGCCTATAACTTTCTCGTCTTTGCGTCAATTCATTATACTACATTTAGAGCAAATAGGTATCGCTCGGCCTCGGCCCGCAAGTTTGCATTTTGCACTTTCTATTCAGCCGACGACACATATTGCCCCTTGTCCGTGACCTTCTTCTCCAACAGGGCAAGCAGCTGCGTGAAAGCGGCCACGCGCTCCACGTGCGCCAAAAACATGCGCTGCCACAGCGCAAAGAAGCTCCGTTGGAACCGGGCAGACGTTGCGGCCAGAAAGTCCTTCAGCAACGGGTTGCTACTGCCCGATGTCATGCCCGACAGATAGGGCGATGCTGGCCTGCTTTGCATCTCCTGTGCGAGCATGTCGAGGTGTTTCCGAACGTACATTTTTTCGATCGCCGTCTCAAATTGCGCGCCCGCGGTGGACTGCAAATCACGCTCCAGTTGTTCCCAACGGATGAAGTACTTGCTCTGCTTGAAGAGGCAGCGCAGAAAGTTGCGCCGCGCGGTGCAATCGACCATGTAGTTGTCCGCAATGATATTTTCGCCGTTAAGTAAAATTTCGCCCACCGTGTTTGCTAGCGAAAAAATGTCGTAGCTGTCCATGGTTTGCACCTGCTCCCACGCGCTGCCGTCCTCCATTTCGCGGGGCGCGAAACTCGGCGTCCACATGTTGATCTGGTTCGCCTGCTGCCGGGCTTGCCGGATGTCTTGCATGATACCAAAGTCAATGATCTGGATCTTTTCCTTCTCCGCGTTCCACATCAGATTTTCGCGTTTGATGTCATGGTGGGAAGCCCCGACGTGCGTCCGTAGGAACTCGATGCCCTGAAACAGTTGCTTGAGAACGAGCAACACCTTGCTGTGACTCTGGCTCTGCTGGCCGGAGGGCGGGTAGTTGCTGCTGTAGTTACAGTATTCCCCGGTCCGGCCGGACGCTGACCGCGCACGCGCACTTCTAGCACCGCTGCGCTCGGAATTATAGTGATCGTTGCAATCCTGTGCGCAGTATATTTGGCGCTCACGCGGGCCCCTGGCCGACCTGATTCTGTAGTCCTCATTGATGTCATCACTTCGTCGTGACATCACCGCTGCTGGCGATCCATCCCGATGTCCGGGACCACCAACCGTTCGACTTGCTCGCGGACCTCCGGCTGCACCGCTTTCCGCTGCGTTTACCCTTGCTGCCGTCCGTGCTACCAGCTTGAGCATGTGCTCTTTATTCGTCTCGTTTAGAAACGACGGCCCCACGTTATGAAGATGATCTCCGGGCTTCACGAGGCGTAAATGCATTCCACCGGGAGACTTGACAAGCAGATTGGGAAGCGGGTGGCCCGCGGCCACATCACATGCATCATCTGCATCTACTAATTGCAGCGCTTCCGGACGCCGCTTTGAACAAGCCCGGCTGGCAACACCAGCCCTGCTGCCCTCGTCCATCTGCACTTGCTTCGCTGCTTCATCGGCCTCTAGCATCTTTGCAATGGGCGTACCAGCGTGCTCGAAAATGGTGTAGAGTTCGTCCGTCAGGGACCTTGGCAGGTCCCCAATCGGTTGGAGCCGAAACATCCCTAGCTGTTGCCAATTCGGCGGAATGTGCTTCGTGACCGGGTTGGGAGCGATCGGCATCATCTGCAGTTTGCCAATGTTGCGGGCCAGGCAATTGACAAAGAAGGTTCGTGGATCCATTGTACCACTTCTACTGTGTGCAGCTCCTCCTGCACCGGCGTTGTTGCTTTTACTGTCCCACGCGGTGGCCTGAATCCGTCGAGCCCACTCGCACTCGTCGCGCGCCAGGTCCAGGAACAGGCGGCGTTCGCCCGCGACATAGTCGCCCCAAGTGAGAAACCGATTGATGAAGCGCCCTTCCTTCTGGTACCGCATCGCCTCACTTTGGTATAGGGGGTACCGTTTGACGGCCACGTGAGCCCCGGTGGTGCGCAGCTTTCCGCTGACCACGTACCCGAATGCCCCAGCGCCCAGCTCCTGTGTCAGCTTCGGGTCCGAGAAATCGATGAGTTCCGGGAGGGGAGGAAACCCGTTGTATAGATGGACGCTCGCCAGGGCCTTGACTTTGTCCAGCAGGTTCTGCCCGAAGAAAGTCCGCTTCCCCACTTCGCGCTCCGCCTCCTCGGTTCGGAGCGCCGCCAGCTTGCACGAAGGATCAATGCTCCAGCCATTGTCCGCCTGAGGAGGGTGCAACTGCTGCCCGAAATTATGGCCGCCCTCGTAGTGGCACACCTGCACGAAGGGCGGTCGCCACTCGTCCACTGGCTGTTCGTACACGTTTCCCTCCGGCGGTGGCGCCGCCAGGGCTTCCATCTCCACCGGGTTCGGCGAGGAAAGCGCCGGCTGCTGTTCGATGAATGCCGGTCGGTAACGTTGGGGGTCCTCGGGCTTGATTGGATGGAGGCCCCGGGCCAGCGGTAATCCGTTAGCGCCCTCCGCTGGCGGCATAACGAGAACTCGAAACGCCCCACCGCCCTCGTCGCCGTTGGAGCAGCAACACTCTTCCACCTGGTTCGTGCAGGCCCGCAGCATGTCGCGGGGCGGGCCAAACATCGACACACCGCGAACACTTTGGCTCAAGAGGGTGACCAAGACCAAACTGCAAATGCCAGCAGAAGGAGAAGGACGGTTTGCTCGTCCGGTTCTTCTGCTAGAGCCGACCCAAGAGGGAGCAGCTAGGTGGAGTGTGAGAAGGACCAGACTAACGAAAAAGGGACACAAATGACGGATGCGGATGAGAGGAGTCATGTTGCCTGATATATTATTCGTCCCGGTAGTAGTATTTTCTCGGGGTCCGGTTTTTTGTGTTCTCGGTACGCAACGAGAGCAAGGCTGCAAGAATTCTTCTTGAAACGCGCACAGCCACAGGCACAGCATTTTGCTTTGTGTGCTTTCAGGGACGACGGCGCTCATGCTCATCTTACTCTTTTAGTTTTACTTTTATATTTTCGTCGTTTTTTCAGCCTATCTTTTACCGACAGTAGATGAGGTCCCTTGTAGTTGGTCTTGGTTCGCCGTGCCGCCGTTCCCGCTACGCCATAACATCAACAAGCTCTTCCTACCTTCTTTCGCGCTGTGCAGTGCGCTGTCAATACTAAGAATTCAAAGGTGAGTTACTTTCAAAAGGAATTTTATCCCTTTAGGTTTAGTCAAACCAGGGACAACAAGGGCCACCGCCGCCGGCGCGAGGACACATGGCATCATGAACTCAATCATGCTTGTAAAGAAGTACCGAAGCAAAACAAAGTTGCGCAGCCAAGCTCACGTCGAGCAAGAAGGAGCACGCTGTGCACCTCACCGCAACAATAAACGAGCAGGATCTAGCAACACATAAAGCATCAAGTGGATACCTTTAGTATGTATGCTCAGAGTCAGAGCTCCGCGCGAACCCAAAAAAGGCCCGAGGGTGACGCCAGCAGCGTTCGACGCACAGAATAAAAATGAAACACAAACTACAATACTAGAAGATCAGAACGACGAGCATCATTTTCATATATCTTTATCTTCTACTCCGTTTACTTCGACGAACAGCAATAGGCCTGAAACGTCAGTGTCATCGTGCCTTTGGATCTTTGGTAGGACAGTTGGCGCTGCGGTTTTCAGGCCGGTCGGCTTTGTCGGTGTCCGATTGATGTTGTTGCGCCTGCGAATCAGGAAGGGGACGAAATAGATATCAGTGATATTGCGTGATTTTCTACTTGACTTCGACTTGTCCATGATAGCTGCCTTACTCTGCCACTCGCTCTTGAAGTGAGAATCAATAGTACAACATCTTGCCCGTCTCGGTGGATTGCGTAGGGACGACCTGCGGCTGCGGCTGCCTTCTTCCCCGTGCGACTAGACTTCTACATGTAGATTTCATCCCATTCGCGTTTCAACTTGGCCACGCCCTTCGCGCGAAGCCGGGCCGCATTGCGCTCGGGAATGCGTTCCGGCTGGGGGTAGCCGCTTTGGGCCACCGCCTGGAACACGTCCTGCTCGCGCAGAAGGTGGTAAATCGGATACGGTGCCTTGATGGTCCAGTCTTTAGCGTCCTCTTTCAACGTCGTGAACATCTTGATGTTGGCGCTCTCTCTCTCCCTTGGGGATCCATACTCACCTTGAACATTGCAGGATTGCAGCTGGTGTTCATAACCTGATACTGGAGAACTTGAAGCAGACACGGGACGCGCTGCATCCTCATCTGCAACTTGAGCACTTATGTGCTCATCATCGGCATGCGAGTCTGTCGGTATCTCCATCTCCGCCTCCTGTCGGTAGCGATCGTGCACCGCATTCGGATGGAACAAGACCACTTGGAGCTGCTATCCTAACCGAACGACCCTGTTGCTACAAATCAAGCCACTTCGAGTGTTCGCAACAATTGCATTGACATCATGCGTTAAGCGGACCTTGTTGAGGTTTATGATAAGAATCAGGACCCGATATAAAGAATTGATAGTAACTGCGCACCCACTACTTGTAGTTTGAGTTTCATGCAGTATCTAATATACTTTTTTTTTTTTATACTAGAACGACTATAAACTGTAATAAAAGAGTAGTAGATCAGCTCCTGTTTATTGGAATTTGAGAAAGTCAAGATGCTGTTCCGCTTCTCCTCCACTGCAGTTTAACGATTCCAACATGCGCTCCCAGACTTGTCCAACAGCACCGGGAGACCTATCCGGTGAAGTTTTGGCAAGCCAAGGCTCCTCTTCCTCGTAGTCCGCTTTCACGTCCTCCTTCCACGCTTGGGACGACATAGCCAGAGTGCCCCCCTTCCTGCTGCGCAGGGAAAGCGAACACTCAAGAGGCAAATGAAGTACCTTGGTGGAATCCCCACTGCCTCTGCTTGTCGTTGCGGCTATGCCTCTGTACCTTTTTCTCTCCAGTGCTCTGAGGTCCAAGCTGACTAGCCGAAAAGGGAAAGAGCAAGGCACAAAAATAAGCTAGACGCAACGCAATCATTTAGCTATCTTCACCGGGAGGAAGAGAAAGGCTCTACCATATAAATCAAGACACGAAGATACTATCTAATTCTCATACCCTACCACGTCCCTTTTCGCCGCCATTTTTCCTCGCTCCTGCTTTATCTTTTTGCTTTTATTTTGATGTAATTCATATCTCTCTGTCCCTTTCTACTCGTGCTGTGTCGCATTTTTTCAGAAACTTATTTGCGTTTGGTTTTTGAACGCGAAACTGCATCGCAGTGTGGTACTGCTTTACATATACCGACCTGTAATCGGCTTGCGATCATCAAAATTTTTCATCATACATCTTTTATCTTCTTGTCTGGTCTGCACGAGCGTAAAAATGAAGTTCACTTGAAGTTCTTTGTCGTCGCGTTCTGTTGAAAAATTCCCTTTGTTCTCATAGACGTCAAACAGAAAAAAGGCATACTTCAGCAGCGTAGTGTTACTGTCCGGCCCTCCCCGCGCACCATTGTTCAGCATCAAGCCTGGTAAGAAGAAGCCAAGGTAGCTAGATGACGCATGTCCGTGCCCATGCACCAGATGCTCGGCTCATCCAGTTGAAGTTAGTAGTCCGCCTCTACCACTTCTTCACCCAGCGTTCCTGTCCTCCTCTTCCCGAGCGACACTTACAAATCCACCGACAGGCTGGCGCAAGACCATAACTATCTACGCCGCGAAAATACTATTGCCTCTTCCTGTTTGCTTTTTTTTTTAACTGTTTTTTTGAATTTCTAAAATCATGCACAAGTTTCTCAGGTTTCAGACTGCTTCGCGTTATTTTTGCTTTCCCTTTCTGCTTTCTGAGATAGACAAATGAAGCTCATCAAAATTGTTTTTGTAACTCTTGCGCGCACTCTTTTACTCATTCATACACAAAAAGAAAGCTCGACTAGTGTGCTTTTTGCTAATTAGTATTTACATTGAGAAATAAGTTCACAAAAGTATTAGTATTGAAGTTTAGATCTCATTACGAATCACGCTACAAATAACCCCCGTCTGTTCGAAGGCATTCGGCATGTGGAGCTTGATTTTTTCCGGCGGCGTCATCAACTCTGCCACCTTCTCCACGTTCTTTTCGATCTCCTCCTTCGCAAAATCCTTGAAGATCTGCTTGCGTTTGTTGGCCTCCAGCAGAAATTTGCACACAAGACGAGGCTTGTCCAGTACCTTTCTCTCGTTCTCTAGCGTGTCCTCTATTGCTTCGCACTCGAAAAAATGCTTCCGCTCTGCCTTAAATACCTGACACGATAGCAATAGATGTGTAGCATGTGTTTTGTTTTTTGTATTGCAGAAAAAGCACTTCTGTGTGTACGTAGGCTCCCCCTGTTCATTTTTTCCGTGCTCCCCTACACCTGCCCCCATTACGTTGTGTGGCACTATCCCACTCCATAAGTAGAAGTAGTACATTTCTAGTAGGCGCGAGGGGAAGACAGAGTTTTTTGGGCGAAAGGGCCCGACGTGCCTGCCCCTTTCTACTAAATGCGGCGCGGCTGTCGCTTTTTGTTGCTTTGGCCCTTTCCAGTATTTCACCCGATTTGTGATCAGGCGACGCAAGATCGTAGGCGTTATTTCTTTCATATAAACTATCATATCCAGGCCCTGTTCCACCGCTGTTTGGTAGCGGCGCAGCGCTGCACCGGCTAAATAATCTGCAGTGTCATTAAAATACATATCAGCATGGCCCGGCGTCCATTTTGCGCGAAAGATTACTTCTCTTTCTGGATTGATGGACGGTCTTTCTGGTGGCAAGCCGTATTTGCACTTTCTTTGCATGAGCACATTTCTGAGGAGCTCCATCTGTTGCACGATGAAGAAAAGCACGACATTCGATTTCTCATTGAAATTCTGCAGGCCTTCGAGCACAGAATTCGGGTCCAGGTAGATCTCAACTTTTTCTATAAATTCGCTTACTTCAAACTCAACAACTTTTTTTGCTGTGCGGTTCAGCTGCGTATTGAGAGCGTAGCGCTCTGTGTCAAAAGAATCAACTTTCATATCTCTAAGTGGTGTCTTTATTGCACACGTACTACAACGCATAGGATTGACCGTTCTGATTGGCGTGTTTAGCTGTACCTCTTGACTCCACCACCACGTCGCACCGCCTCCCCCTCCTAGCTGCCCCTCCTTGTTCGCCGACCCGTCTGTGCAAATTATGAGCCCACTCTGACTTTTTAAGGTCTCCCGAGTCTCTTTCTCATGGTCTTTTGCAATCATGAGCCTTGCTCTTGTCTTTTCTTGTTCGTTTTTCAAAAGACTGAGGCTGTCATAGCCATACTTTTTTCCGATGTCGTCCATTGTCTCGCAATACAAACGAACGCCATTCCATGGGCGTTTCGTAATCTTCATCGGATATTTGCATACTGCTTCATGAATATCATGCATGCGGTCGCTCGAAATTGTTCGCATGATGGTAGACCGCTTTTCTTTGATCGGGTCAAAGGCTACGGGATTTGTCATGCTGTTCATCTTCCCGTATTTTTCATGTCTGCTGTCAAGAGTGTCTCCCTCTATTTCCCATTCCTTTTGTGATTTTCCACGAAAAAATAGCATCACATTTTCGATCAATATCATCAAGTGCGGCCTGAGAAGCCCGGACGCCTCGAAAACTACTGTGGAGGGGGCCTTTTTTGGAATATTCAGAATCGCTTTTAGCTTATTTGCTACCAGTTCCTCCAAGTCTATTTTTGCTGCTTTTCGAAAATAGGGATACTGGGGCGCCCCATTGGAAGACAAAGCTGAATAACACAGAGCCCGAAAGACATCGCACTTCGCCGTAACCCTTAAAGTTTTCAGCCCCAAAATTACTGCTGCTTCCTTTTTTACATCTGCGAAAACTTTTGCAAACATCGCTTCGTGTGTCCTCGTCCATACAAGTGTCATAAAAAAGAACGAAATAAATCGCTGCAGCAGTCGGGCTTTTGGCTAAGATAAATCTTCGTGGCGTTTGAGCTCGGTTGCGAGGTAGTGGCACAGCTCCCAACTTTTTGCCGTAAATTTCGAATAGTCATCCAATTCGGTGCCTGGCGGAAGGATAAGCAGTGTCGACTCCGGATCATGTTGAACACGTTTACTGAGCGATGGGAACGGCGGGGAAGTTACAGCTGCGGAAGTACCGCCTCCAAGTGGTGGAGCTACAGCACTACACGTCTCTTCTTCATCCGATGCAGTGTATGCACCATCGGGAGGCTCAGGAGTGACAACTGTAGTCCAGCTAGAAGTTGTACAGGCTCGGTCGTTTTGGTCCTGTCCTAAAGTCGTTTTGGTCGTGGTGTCCTCGCCAATGGTGCGTTTCTCCGCCTGCTTCGGCTTCCCCCTCTCCGGGCAGGAACCTTGTTCACCTCGATCCACCTCGTCTTGCACTTGTGGGCTAGTCGCGTTCCGCTTCTCTTCTTGAGAGGCAGACCTAGAACACAATGCTTCAGATCCATAACGCGTCCCCATGCTGGTTGGTGCTGGGACCTCCGTCAACATGGTGTTCTTTTTACAAGCGTTATTCCGCTCCAGCAGCAACAGCACCTCCTGGTGGAACACTGGCAGCAAAGACGGGAGGTCAGGAACCAGCCGTAAGCGCAGCACACCCCGGTCCACCAAGGGTCGTGCAAAGGGACACAACTTCTGCCCGATAACCCAACGGCGAACCCATGCGGCGGTGGTATTCAGTATCACCTGGCGTTGGCTGTGCGTTTGCAACAAAGACGAAGCTGCTTTGGCGACACTGATAGAACGGGTTGTGGTGCTCGATGGAAAGGGACACATACCTGATGCATCGTTCTAAATGATGATGAGATGGAGAAAATGGGAAATTACATGACAGCATTCAATAGATAAACTCAAATACGAGGTGATCACAACGTTAACCAGCGGAAGCGGTGTAGTCCGGTATCGCAACACCCTGCTACAACTCTTCACTCATCATTCAACATATTTGTGTACCATACAAAACAGACAAGAAGACGTAGTCGATCCTCCGATGTTGAGCGAGATGCGAGCCACAAGCTTCTATCGTTGCGGTCTACAACTTCATCACGCGCGTAGTGATCTATCTGCAAGGGTGCCGCCTGTCACGCACGACATGAACATCCATCACGATGTGGCAAGCAAAATAAAACGAGATCATTTTTTCAAATCCATGTTTTACTTTTAAGATGCTTTGGCTGTTCGGACATCTGCGAGAGACACACATTTCGCTTACGCTTAGTCGTGAGATTTAGATTATGTTCGTGTTCCTTTTTCATCTTGTATATTACTTTCGATCATATAAAAAACGAATGATTCTCGTGCGGTAGCAGCAGCTATACACACGGATGGCAGTTGCAATAAACATACAACTCCATGAGACACAGATACACCATCACAATTGCATGAAAAAAAGATCGATAGGACAATTCAAATTCTGTGTGGATAAAGTAAAAACAGCATTGTCCAAATAGCGGAGCGTTCGAATCTCTCTGCGCAACTATGACTATCTTAAGGAAATCAGGTCAGGCCCAAGCATTTCCACACAGCAGTTGTGCATGGAGCAAATACGTATTTTTATACCTTCCACCAGCAGCAACCACGGCACTAAGGACAAAGACGTCCATGACAAAGACAATGATTACTCTTTACAAACTGTTTCTTCTTCATTTCGATTCACCTTCATGTGTGCCCGGACAATAATCTCCTCTTCTATGGAAATGAATTAGTGAAAATCGACGTCAAAAAGAAAAACGCCATTGGAAATAAAAATATACGTGTTGAAATAAAGTACGATACCGTTTCGTCGTTGTTGTAGGTGATGAGCGTGTCTGTGTGATACTAAAAGCAATACGAATTCCAAGTAGCCTAGCCAAAGGACTTGAAATTGAACGAAAAAATCTAAATCATACAATAGAAACTACAGTTTTACGGAGATCAAGATCAACATGTAGCATGATGCTCAATGAGTCTGTCATCTTCTCCACCATGAATGCTGCTCAAGGAATCTGAAGATACGATAACAAACAAGGAGCAATGGCTTCTTGCTTATGCTACTTAGCTGCACCTCCAACTGCATGAATAAGCGTGCTGAATTTGTTTTCTTATGACGCTCGAACAGGAACAGCCTGATTAGCAGTCCATCCTACAACAAGGTCGCTTTGCTTTTTTGAAGATGCCTGAAGGTAGATCCTTGTCTCGTGCCCGAGTTTATCTGCTAGAAACCGGCGAGCAGCAGTCTCTCATCCTCTTTAGGGCGCATGTCCCTGACCTGCTGCGGCTGATCTGTCACTGCATGTTGGGTAGCAGGATTCCTTTTTTGTCTGCAAACTGGTAACCCACATAGAACGAGCGGTGGAAGGGAATTCCTAGCATTATAGCGGTGCTTCCCCGATTAGCATTCCTCGCAGCCTGGCCGCCACGGTGGTCCGGCGTACTGTACTCCTCAAGACAGTGGTGCAAAGCTTTGACCTTCCCACTTGCGGTGCTCACATTGATGCTATACCGGTGGAAAACTCCCCCTGCCCCGTATATTAAGACATGCAACACCAACACGGCAAACTATTTCTGAAACTATAGTATATATAAGGCATTAGTGCGGTACAACTTATGCGAGCATCTGCATGACGAGGACAAATCAGTAGTCAGTGCTGTGCTGTTCAACAGCGGGACTTCTCACGAACCTTGTGTGCAAATACCCATTTGCCTAACGGCATATTACCACATGGTAGCACAGGGACGACCACGACAGGTTCGCCATTGTATTATTTCCAGCACTCCTCGCTTTCACTACACAACACTTTCACTTCAAACTTGCTGCTGCAGCACCTTGCATGTCAACAAGAATCAAAGAGAGAGGGAGTTACTCACTATCATAGATGCCCTCACAGTAGCAGTAATCCCGTGGTCGCAACGTGTACCACGAGGTCTCGAGCGCCTTGCTGGTCGTTGCCCCGACCGCTGCCGCGCCACCTGCACTCCGAGAAGCTACCGGCGCAGCACTCTCGACGGGAAACTCGATACTGATTTCAGGGCCCTCGCTGCATGGCTTTCGCTCCGGTTTTATGTTGTTATTTTCTCCGCGGGTGCCAGCTTGTTGCAAAAACATTTGAGGTGGAGTGCGAGTGCGAGTGCGGCCACGTAGTTCTACATTAACATGGTGTGCTCGCTCTTGCGGCACTGGCACTGTTCCATTCAACATACTTTCCGCAGCGGGATCTTTGCTGCCCTGCTGGGGAACTAAACTGTTCTTCATCAACTCCCGATAGACCGAGTAAACCACAGTAGACGAAGCAGGTTCTTCTGCTCCTGCAGGACCATCTTCACTCTGGTCGTGGGGTACAACCTCTACTACTTCCCCACCATCCACTTTCGGGGTCAAGTTGGTTGTAGGAGGCCGACGCAGCTGATCCACCTGCTGCACTGTAGCGTTTTCTTGTTGCAAGAGGGCCTTGGCCTGGTTTTTGTTGGCGCGGCCGCTTGCGATAACGTCCGACGTGAAATGGTCCTCAAAGGCCCGGAAAAGCGGTGGCGCGAGCGACAGCATCGTCCAACCCGTGTCAAGCACGCACTTGTAAGCCTTTTTTGCAGCCCGCCCCCCTCCATCCGCCTCGCGAAGGTTCTGAATGACTTTGTCCTTGGTTGAGTACCAGGCCGTCATGCTTTCCTTCGGCGGCTCCTCGACATTTGTGCTGCCCGGATGGTCTGGCTGTCCTCCGCTCGGATTTCGCGTCCGATGAAAAAACTCTTCTCCGCCGCTCCATTGCAGCACGGGGTTCAGAAACGCCGGGCGCATTTCAGCAGCGTACGCAGCCTCGAGGTCGTTCGGGTCAAAGATGTGATCGCCAATCTTGATGCGGAGCGCCGGCAGCGTCCAGTGATGCGAATCCAGGTCCACGGCGTTTTGCACGCGCGCCGCGGGAAACCCGAGGTGCGGAAAGACGGGCGGCGGGTGCGGCTGGTGGTAGCGCATCGGATACACTCCCGGCAGTCGTCTCCACGGCATGTCCGCGTTCGTCGTCGGCCAGTTGTCTGGTAACGGGGCGATCGGGCGGATGCGGAGTTTGTCAGCGAGCGCAGCGCTCGCGCCTGAGGGCGAGTCGCGGGATACGCTCGGCGTCAAGGGGTCGTCTTCGTCGTGGCGCGCCAAAACTTCGACCACCATTCGCAACACCTCCCGCAGCTGCTCCTGCCTCTCTAGCAGAGTGCGCTGCTGCAGCCTCGCGTTGGTCGGGATGAAGGTTTCGTTGTAGATATCCGCAGCGGAGTCTCCCAGACGCTCAAAACGGGACACCAGACTGCGAACCGCGGGCGTGAGTCGGTCCTTCAACTGCACGCGCAGAAGATCTGCGAGCCACGCCGGCGCGGCACTGCCGGGTGCGCGGTCGTTTCGAGACTCCACCCACTGCAGTCCTCTGTCATACTCGTCCATGAGTACGACGTACTTCACCACTTTCTGCACCGCTTCGATTTGCTCAAGCGCCTCGAGCACAACCGTTCGGAGCGGCAGCCTCCCGACCGCGTTGACTTGCACCTCCTGCAGGAGCGGCACGCGCCGCAACGTCTCGAATGCAGGCGATGCACCCAGCACCAGCCGCAACCGTTCTTCCTCTTGTTGTGCGTGCTGTTGTTCCCGTTGCTGTTGTGCCGGGGGAAGGTGCTGCACTGCGGCACGATTTTTTGAGATTCTCTGCGTGCCTTCAGGCGGCAGGTGTCCATCTCCGTCGACGACGGATGAAGAACCGGAGTTGTGGTCGAGACCCGTCATAACTCCATCTCCCTGTTCTTCTTGCTCATGCACAATTTCTTGTGCCAGCTCCTCTCCACCTCGCTGCTCCCGGTTTTGGTTGTTCTCGTCACTGGCCGCTGTGTCATCCCGATCTTCGTTAAGATTTTCCTCCTGCAACCAGCGCCCGTTCACGTCCGTAAGCTTCATATCCTACGTAAAATTAACATCACCCCCCTCAATCTGTCGTGAGAACGTGCCGCCCGAAAGAAGCGAAAAATCGTAAGGAGTGGATTTTTAGCAATTTTCGAGCATCAATTTTTTGAGCAACAAATTACAACAACGACGACCAGCTGCAGCAAAATATGCATACTATATTTTATTTTATCAGTTACATATATTATATGTAAAAAACTACATAAAATCATCCCCCAGAGGATGGACACGGAGATGAAGGGGTTGACGGTGGTTTTTTGTGCGGCCTACTGCAGCGAAAACACTATCGCGCGCTCCTTCGACTTCTGGGCCTGCTGTGCTTCCCAGGTGACAGCAAGGTGGTGAAGGTAAAAGTAGTCGAGCAGGCTAGGCAGCCGGTCGAACCACTCGGCCTGTGCGCGGTCCATGGCAAACCCTAGTCCCAGATTTCCCGGGGTTTTCCACTTCTGCGTGTACATCAGCGGTAACTTGCCGGGCTGGTCTGCGAAGTGCCTGCGATCGTACTGCCTACCGAGCCGAATCACAAAATCGCCTCCCGCAGTACCGGCATCATGGCCGCCGTCCTGCGCTGGCGACAATCCAGCGATGGGCGAAGTCGGCGCCGCCACATTAGTGTACCGGTGCTTGTTTTGGGTCCAAACCGGATGCTCCGGCGGGGGAAGCCGGAGCTTGTCCAAAATGCTGACGGTATCACGCAGCGCCCGTCCCTCCACTTCGCCGTCTCCGTACTTGCAGGTCACCAGCGGCCCCTCGGCTGGTTCCTGTGGGTCGTTCTGGATCTGCGCGTCTCTGCTCCTGTGTACACGCGCATGGTGGGTTTCAGGTACGGGCAAAAGCTCGCGAGACCCACTCTCGAAGGCTGGTCGGTCGTCCGTAGGTTTTAGCAGGAAGTAGCTGTTGGCGCCCCCGCCGGTATCGAGCAAAAAAGTGTGGTTTTTTAGCGCAGGGGCAGCATTCGCCAAGCTTCCAGTACTACTGCTGCCGACATTCAGCTGCAGACCAAACCCCTGGCGCCACTCCGACGCAGTAGCGTGTTTTCGGTCACGTGACATAACCACAAGAGGCCACTGCACCGCTTCTTCATTGGAAACCACCGGCGGGCGACGCTTCTGGCCTTCGGGGTCAAGGGCGGGAAACTTGCCTCCCAAATACGAGTCGCCACCTTCGTTGAAAAGTTGCCTCTGGTCCTCGCCTGTGTTCGACTATCGTATTTGAAAGCATCTACTCCCGATCGCACTAGTTCTTCCAAGAATACCTTTACTCGTATTTGCCAAGAAACAGGAAGAGGATCATTGTAAGCTCGTATTTTACTCCTTGTATTGATTCATTAAAGATTATAGAGCTGCTTGCGTGTTCCACCAGTTGCCGAAGGATACAAAGCGATGCCAAGAATGCGGCCAGAAATATTGATGCATACTACGGCCAACATATCAAAAGAGCCATAAAATACACTAAGAGCGCAATAATTATCGTCTGCGTTCGGCTTGAGCCTTATTGATCGCAGTATGGAGGAGAGATTGATGATGCACGTGCACTCATACATTGTCATCGCTGCTGAGGGTTGTGCTGCCGGTTGTAGCAGCTATTCACCTCCGTGTTACAACTGCTGACATACAAACTCAAACGCGAACGAAGGTGGGTATTCTAGATTTAGAATGTTTAGTGTAGTGCGATCAGGAAGAGTAGTTGTCATCCATGATAACAGAAGGCCGGTACAGAAACACACAGCGAGAGCAATTCCAGCCAGCACCGCCATCCCAGCCAAGACTATCCAGAACACCGCGCACGCGCCGCACGCCTTTTCGTTCCTTGGTTGGTCGTCACCCAGTTCATCTTCGGAGCCCTGTGCGAACGAGCAGGAGGCCTCTAGCTCTTTTTCTTTGCCAGAAGTTGATGCTGCAGATTTGCTGTTTCTTTTTTTCTCCCGTTGTTGCCGCTGTGCGGCATCTGCATCCTCGGGGACCGCCCTGACGCCGGGGGTGCCTTTCTCATTCCCTTTCTCACTTTCGGCTTCGAGTAAAGTACTAGAACCTGGTGCCTGGCTACATTCCATTTTTCTCCGCGATCCGGCAGTTACGGTGGGAGAATACGCCGCTGCATGCGACCGCGGAGCGCGTTCGGGGAGCTCGTCCTGGTCCTGGTGGCACGCGGCGGCGGCGCCCTCCTGACCTTCATCATGAAAATCATCGACTACAACAGCTGTTGCCGCACCGCTTGGCACGTTTGCAACAGCATCTTGGGCAACTCCACCTACGGGGGCATTAATATCCTTATCATCAATATTGCTTTCATCTTCATGTGCATTATTGATTCCGTCGCATTCCATGTCACGTTGCCCCGGCTGTGCTTCGTCGCCAAGTAAGGGACTTGTATCGTCCTTTATCTCACATTCCATCAGGCCTGTTTGGCCCGTCATCTGCCCTTCCCCTTGGCCGTGGCTACAGAGTTGCTCTGACATACTTCCTTACTGCTCCGTCTCCCTATCCCTGCTCCGCCTCCGTGATGCTGAGTGCTAGGACGAAATTGATCAAGTTGGCAGGCTTCAGCCCGGTTCACATCACCGCCGCTATCGTCCCAGGCGATCCTACAGTAGAACGTGCTGGTCTATAAGTGGTGCAGGTGACGCAGAAGCAATGGATGTTGTAGTCTTTATGCCTCTATCGCAGCGCACAACCTGGTTCTAGCTCGTCTGAGTTGCGGCCGCACCGCGCGCTCGCTTTCGGATCTTTTCCTGTCGAGTCCTTGTGTGGTCGTTAGTGGAATCTTTCACTTTCTATCATACACATACAGATTTTCCACAACAATCAAAGGTCGAATGCGGTGGTCCACAATCGAAATATTACGTTCGCTTTGACTTTGATATTTTTCGATAGATCGCGCAATCATATTATATCTAGGGTGTTTAAAGATCTATCTATTCAATCGTATATCTTTATCTATCGAGTTGTAAAGTATTATACACGGAAGAAAATAAATAAAGACCACCTGGTTATCTGAAACAACTAGAGGAAATTGTGAAACCAAAGAGCTAAGATATTGATAGCCTGATGATTGTGATTGAAATCTAGGATTACGTGGAATAGTGATTGGAAAAAAGGATTAACAACAGGACACAATTCTGGCGAAAAGATCGGCCTTGTTCGGAGCGAGCTTTCTATTTCGCTCAGCGTTCAATTACTAACAGTTACAACTACAACATCGACGGATCAACAACATTACATCTTCACTTTGCACCGCCGGGTGCGGAGCAATTATGCATCTCATCGTTCTGCAGGCGGTATGCGTATGCTCATGATTTTGGACGTGAGCGCAGCTGCTTCATGTTGAAACTGCAAACAACTTGAAGTGATCAAAGGCACGAAGTTGCTCCTGGTCAACAAAAAGTTTGGCAGGAACTCGATGCAAACAGTGAAACTGATCGCCAGGAAGCAAAAGGATCTTCTCGCAATTTGATATTATTTTTGTTCGAACCAGAGGAGCTGTCGTCCACGAAAACGTCGAAAGATCAAGATGAGACCAAATTTACAATACCAGCGTGAAAGAAGAAACCAAATTTTGTTCACGCATTCGGTCTGTGGCTGGTGATCCAGTAAGAGTCAGCGTCAGGATCGACGCGCTGCGTGCTTTTTTTGCGTTTCTATCTTCGTTATTTTTGATATTCTCGTGCGTAGCAGTACTGCTTTTCGAATGAAAAAGCGAGCTCACAGTTTTGATTCTGATTTTCGTCATCCAGGTCACTCGGCTCCCTGCTTGGCATCTGATGTGTCGTGCCGCAGCACGTAGAGAATGAAATCACTATCTTCGTCGTCCGGTTCTAGCGACAGGGAGGTGAGCTGCAGGCCCTGCGCGGCGCAGAGATCGCAAAATGTGGAGCAGGTCCACCAGTCATCTCGAAACTCGTACGCCACCAGAGCTCGGGCTTCCGACGAACGCGAGAGCAGGCTGGATATCGTCGCCACCAAAACCTGCATCACTTCCTTTCCCTGGTGGCAAATGACGTCCGAAGCTACGACCAGATCGTACCCATGTCGGTCCCGGACCGGGTCCAGAGCGGTTTCCCCCCAAACCTGTGTAGTGTAGATGTAGAAGTAGATGCAACACTGCTATGCAATTGCACTCAGAGTTAGATTCAATTTCAAGGGCGGGTTGGTCACCATGCATCATTCTCTGGGCGGGGGGCAAAGCTTAGCTAAAAGTAGCAATTTTCCCCCGCCCCGGTCCTCACAACTTCTTGTTATCAAATAACCAGATGTCCGCGCAACCCTCTTTATGTTTATTTCAATACGTATTTCAATACCTATTTCTGCGACGGGCGAAAAAGGGTGAGTATACTGTAAAAAAGATGGGCAAATAAAAGTAAAAATGAGCGAGACCGAGAGTCCTGCAGATTGAGAACAAAACGGCTCTAACTCTAACTGTATGGGTGCTCCTTTACGTTTTTGCATTTCCATTTGCCAACATTGCCGCAACGCTGGGATTGGGAATACTTGCACATTATAAAAGACCGCGGACCGCTCGAATTCGTTATTAAACATACGTGAACTTAACCCTCCCCCATCGTCCTTTTTGCTCGAATATGAACAAGTATTTGCCAACATACGTTGCATCATCTTCATCTTTTAGAGAAATCCAACTTTTCAAAGTCCAACTCATCATTTGATATCAGTATAGATATTTATGTATTTTTATACCAATTCCCGCGCGTTCAACCGCGCACGCGCCTTTTCTGGTTGGAGCTCGATGTTTTCTCGCGCCAAATCCAACGTCTGATCGGTGAGCTCTTATGGAAATGCAAAAAATCACATTCTTGTTTTCTATTTGCAATTTGTGACTGAGCCCGCAACCGCGATGGCGGCTGTATACGTTTTCTTCAGTTGAAGTGTCTAGGTGGACAGCTAAACATTATTTATCTTGCGCCGGACAAACGCAGAAATATTATACTCAGTCTCAGTACTGTTGACGCGAGTTATGTCTTCATGTCATTTGATGCGCGTGCGCTCCTGTGCTTGCAAAGGCGCCGGGCGGAACGAGCATGCAAACGCATGCGTTCGTTGTAGATTGAAACCACCACCTGAAGCAACTTTGCAAATGATGAAAATGAGCAGGAGCTCTCGGAGGAAGCCCTACCGCACGAGAGAACGGCATTCCTGTACAGAAAGACTTCGGAAAACCTATACAGAACTCGTCGCTTTAATAAAAATATAATATTATTATCGGACAAGAAAGTGAAAGGACTTTCATCCGCATAGGACCACTTCAGCCCCAAGGTGTGCGAGAACGATGCCTACGAGTCCGGTGCCTGTTCCGAGTTCAATGCATCGCACTTTTTGGTCACGTTCCTGCTTTAGCTTTACGTGGTCTTCTTCGCTGCTGCTCCCAGCCACCATCTTTCTCAGGGCAGGAATTTTCACCCCATCCACAAGCCGATCAGCATGGCAAGAGCCACCTTCATCACCGTTCACGTTCAGCTGCTCTTCGCATTGCTCCTGGCGCAGGATCTTTACCCGGTCACATAGGTAGTTGCAAAGGTGGCGCGCCACGGGCCACAGCACCGAGGAGGTGTCGCCGACAAACTGTTTGGTACCCGCGCCGTGCTGATGCAAGACAACAGCTGTCTTCGTTATGACAGTGGACATCTACTTCTCCCCCTCCTGATTTATTGCTCTGTTTAACTCGTTAGCCTTGTTATCTACGCAAACATCTCTCACGGTCCAGTCTCAATAGAGTTCGTGATGTGTTCGTCATGCAGAAGCCGCATTCTTTTTCTTCTGGTCGATTCTGTCGCTAGGGATGCTCTTCAAATGAGGAAGTAGATGAAAAGGGCGAGGAGTAGTTGTCCATTTTCGTATCCGTTCCGGAAAATCCCAACAAAATTCAAAATTACAGCTATCGCTGGTGGTTCGCAACAGAAAACAAAAACGAAGTAAAAAATTGCAAAACGCGGATGGCATACGCATGCTTTCGAAATGCTTCACATAGAAACACTGACAACCATGGGAAGATACATAGGTACTATTTTGCTGAAAGGGTGTAAATGCAAAGGTAAAGCATAGCGATGCCTGCACAAACGCTGGAAAGAATCGTGTCTGATGGTCTTGCAACTTCGTTTCATTTTCAATTTCATAATTACTGCTAGTTTTACAAAAAGCGGCTGAATTACCTAGTACCAGCGTCACAGTGCTGACTAAATCGATATTCATCTGTTTCTTCAGCTGCTTTCCCACGGCCTCCTCTGTCTCGGAGCCCTTCTTAAAGCATATCAGCTGCGTCATGCAAATAGAAGACGAGCTGCTCAGTGTTTCAGCTCTGTGGTGGTGAAGATGAATACCAGCAATGAGCGTGCAAAAATTGAATTTCGATGGGATAAAGAATGCCAGAAGTGGATTTCTGGTTGTCTCTGGTCACATCGGTGGATCTTATCCGCTGCTGCCAAACTGCTGCAAGTTCCTGATTTCGAAAGCGTGCTAGATGAATCTGGTTCTCCAGCATCTGCATCATGTTTCGTCGTGTTTGCATTCAATGTGGTCCGGGAAGGGGCAGTGGTGCTGGTATCGACACAAAAAAAAATGACATACATCAGGATAAGGATACGAAAAATCACATACACTTTGTTTGGTACCCAACAAAGCAAATGCATATTATTCTCTCTGATCTTTACAGAAAAATACGTACAAGTTGTACTTGTAGCTGGAGTATTGAATTGGAAATGCAAAGCAATGACGCGCTCTTCATTCGCTTGAATACATACATTCCTTTTTCGGTCGATAGTCTGTGGCGACACGGGTCGTTCCGGTCGGCGGGGTTTCCATTTTTGTGATGTTTCTATACTGTTTATTTGCAGGAGAATCTGATCAACAAAGACAGGAGCCGTGGTGTGATGAAAATGAACGGCTGTTTCTCAAGGACCAACTAGAAAGACACTCACACTACACACACATATACGTTCCACCGGCACAACAAATCAATAGGAATAGAATGCCCTGCCGAAAATAGAGAAAGTGAAAAGGGGCGCTAAGTGAAGTATGAAGAAGAAGACCTTGGCTTTCACCACCATCGTGATCAATCATGATCTCAGTGCCACCCTTGCATTTGCTTTGTGCGAGCTTTAATCCAGCAGCTACACGACCTATTTCGATCAATGCCGGCCATTTGCTGCGTTTTCGTTCATTCACCGAGGGAGAGCGAACGCTTTACAAAATAAAGAATAGAATGATCTTTTCTGCCTCCTGAAGCTGTGTGCACTGGCTTCGCATCTCCACCTGTCGAGAAGAGGCAGTCTCCTGATCCACAACGCCATCACTGCCGGGAGTGATCACATCCACGTCACGCTACCACTCCTATGCTGTGTTTTTTCATATTTCTCTTATGAGCAATCGATTGAAGAGCAAGACTGTCGATGCTGTTTTACGCATCTACCAGATCATTGATTGATGTGACTGAAACTTGACCTGATTCAGTTTGAAATAAGTAGGTTATTTACAATTTGCAATTTGCTAAGACCAAAAGACGTTTTTCTCTTTGTCAGACGAGTAGGCGTAGGGACAAGGACAACAGAGTGACGTATAGATACCGGTGCTCATGATATTCATCATAAATTATCATCTTGATGAGGAGAATGAGGATCTGCATCTGTCACAATACTATATTGTTTCAATCGTCACGATTTCCTGAGTGGTCGTGTCCCTTTTCTGGTGCTTCTCGTGCCCGTGTTTTCATCTTCGTGAATTGAAGCCAAGCTCGCTTCATCTGCGCTCTCGTCTCTTTCTGTGCCCACTCTGGTTTCCAAAAGTATTTGAGCGGCGTCAGCAAGGTGCGCACGAGCGGGGCAGATAAGTGTCTCCCATCTCGGAGGCTCGCTTCGAGGTGTAGCAAAATGTTTGGGCTGGAAGAGAGTGAGCTGTGTTCATCTGCACGGTTCCTGCCGGGAAACATCGTCGACTCGCGCATTTCCTTGCCGCAGCCTTCTTGCGCGTTCGCGATCCCAAACTTGAAAACGTCCTGGTCCAGCAAATTGTCCCAACTGGCGACCCGATCCTCGGGCAAAGGATCAAAAAACATGATCAATCCCAAAGCTGCCCCATACCAGTCCAGCGCTGGGCCGTACGTTGCCCTCTCCGCTATTGAGTTACATGATGTTTCGTTCGGGAGTAGCAATTTCCGCTGCCGATCTTCCGACGGAGACAACTCAATGGGGGCACCCTCTCCCTCGAACTTGTTCAGCCCTATTCCTGTGATGTACAAAATCGGATTCCGTGGGCCCTGATGGTGAAGGATCGGCGTGACTACTCCGTCAACAACAACTTGTCTGCCGAAAACAACAACACCGGTAGATTTTCCAGCAATGTCGAGGGCAACAAACGAGGACCCTCCAAGGTCAAGAAGCTTGATTTCCGGCCTAGGTTTCCCTCTGTTGCCAAGGGCGCAACCCAAGTGTACAGTACGTAGATCGTTGTGCACAAAGCCAAAAGTCGAAAACGCTGCCAAGCATTGAAAAAAGCTGTGAGTCAAGCGCTCCGGTTGCCCTGGCTCGCGCATCAAACCTTGCGCGGATGTCGTGTACAGGTTTTGTGGTACCTGGTCGCCATCGTCGGCAAAAAGCGCGACTCTTTCGAAGAAAAGCAGATAGACCGTTGAGTATTCCTCATCTCCGCACCGAGCGTTGCAGCACGTACCCGGCTTTGCTGGATCCGGACGAATGCCAGGAGCCGGCTCCCCGTCCCCATCCTCGATGTCGCTTCTTTCTCCCGCCTCTGCGTGTTCAAGATAACGATCGCTCTCGGTCTTTTTGTCTTCGTCAATTGGTGCACGGGCTGTCGCCTCAACAAAACTGACGATCCGCGTCATCTGGGCTACGCATCTCTTATTTGTGGCATGGCTGACCATCAAGTTTGTGAAGATTTCCTCTGCAATATCGGGACAAAGGCCACAGCCCTCCCGGTTTTCTCCAGTTTTCCCGGGGTGATGGCATTTGGATCCTCTACACGCGAGGACTTTCACGATCTGGCCGTGCTTCGGCTCATCCGACACACCGAAAGATCCACGCAGCACTTCCGCGGCCTGCGCCGGTCCCCCGTCGTCCAGCAGACTCACCAGCCGCTTTCCTAGCGAGACATCGTAAAAACTATGAACAGGCATGGTCTCGAAAGTTTTAACCGACCGCGGGCGAATTCCGAAGTGTTGTTCGTGTAGCTTCTCGTCCTCGTCGTCCAGAACAATTGCTTGTGCAGTGAAGGGCGCTGGCGCAACACTGTCCTTCCCCCTGCCGAGGCTGTTGGACGCTGGCGTCCGAAAAAAACCACGGCGTGCCCGCCCGGTAGTTTCGTCCTCCTGTTCTCCAACAGGCACAATCAGAGTCTTCTTCCCGATGTTCTTTTCCCTTCCAGTGATTATCTGCGCATGATCGACCTTCTCGCCGTGCTGGACCGTCAACTTAATCTTGTCGCACCAGAATTGAAACAGCTCATCAACGCTGCTTTGTTTGTCGGGGACCGCCATGCTAACTCCTGCATGCACACCGGCCGCAGTGATTTGTCGCAAAGCGTTCTCCCCGACTCTGCTGTCTTTCGCGAGAAACTGTTTGCGAAAGAACTTGCACAGCTCACGGTGGTGCACGTCGTGCGGGAACGCTTCCTCCGAAGCCTCGCCACTGTGTAGCTGCGCCTCTTTCGCCTCCGTACCACCATCGCTCCCCCCACCTCCTTTGCCAAAATAAATATCGTTTTTGCGGTTTTCCTTGTCCTTCGATTTACAGCTCGCTTCCTCCACTACCTCTACCCCAAGTGGTCCTCGGTCAGTACCGTTCACCATAACTTCTACTAGTACAGGAGCAATTGTGTTCCTGCTATCGAGTGAAGATGCTCTTGGCTGCAGAAGATCTTGGGTTTCCTGAGCAGGATCCCAGCTACAACTTTTCGCTTGTCCCTTTTCGCTAACTCCTCCGGGGCCGCTACACCTACGAGGAGGTGAAGAAGTAGCACGCGAATCCTTTTGTATTTGTTCTTCGTCCTCCGCGTCGACGTCCTTGCTTTTCGCATAGTGGTCAGGAGGAGCTTCATGCTCGTCTTCACCGTCGTCAAGGATCTCGTCCTCCTTAGATGAGGCCACACGACCGGCGTCAGAGTCAATTTCCCAAGTATCTTGTTCACCTCCATCTGTATTCATTTCTACTAACTTGAAATTTGTCTGCAGCTAAAAAAATCAAAATTTTTGGTAGTGCAGTTCGTGTTCTTCTCTTCTCGCCCGGACTGCAGCCCGCTTGCGAGCGCTGCGGACTCCGTGCTGGGGAACTTGGCCGAGGTGTTGCGCTCCATTCCTGCGTCATTTGCTGGAAGGTCCCGCACGAGCTTGTTTTGCTACCTCCACACGGAAATGCGGCAACAGGTAGGGGCCTCCGACTGCCATTTTTCGGGTAAGTTTCGCACCTAAGATAACAACATGACGCCAGCCTCAGAGAGGTGCTAGGGCGCAGAGCCCCTCCCCCCGAAAGTGGCAATTTTTAACTCTGGCCGTGCCGTCGTGTAATTCGATTTCAAACTGAATTCAAACTGAATTCAAAATGCCACAGTTTTCGAAAAAAGAGAATTGGGAAAGCATCGTGAAACGCTTCGGGCATGGATTGTAGGTCCTCACCCAGAAGCACAAAGGCCGCACGCAATCGCGCATCGGGCTCCGACCATACGCCCTCTCATTATGGCCCCAGATGCCACCACGACGGGCGCGGCAGGAAGATAAGTCCGACAGACGCGCGACATTCTGTCTCGACTGAGCAAGGATGCACAGCGCGGCAAGGATTTATGGTGTGGGCGAAAAAAGGAAATAGAACAAGGAGCAAGCGTGCTCAGGATGCAGCACCACCACGAAAGAGCTGCTCCGGGTTGGTAATCCGCACACGATAAAAGTTCTCGAATGAACGAAGCCCCAGCTCCGTTGGCCCCACACTTGCAGTGCCCACGTGCTTCACGGCCAAGCCTTGCAATCTGAGCAGAAAGCGCTCCATGGGAGACGCCGGCTCCCCACCGGCGTTCGCCCATGAGCATCGCCTTTATAGTTCAAACGCCCAAGAGGCAGAAGCGCAGGTGAAGCAGATTCAACCAACACAGAAGGGCTGTATGACAAGACCCGGCGTCACCTGTGACGGCCCACCCTGCTCCTCAGAGGCTGCGATGCAGCGCCAAGAAACACAACTCGCCACACCAACGACAAGGCAACGCGGAATGAAAGAAAAAGGTATTGAAGAACACCCGGATAGCGGTGCGCGCGGCAGCGCGCGCCAAAAATCTACAACATAGCCCAGACGTTCTGGTCTGATGCAGAAGAAGGTCACGGATTGGACCCCAAATTGGTCCGACCAATTTCAAACGGAATCCGAATTCCATCCTTTTTTCATCCGAGTCCAATTCCTTATTAGGGAAATGGGATTCGGATGGAAATCGGATGGGATTCGGATGGAATTCGGATTCCGTTCGAAATTGGTGTGGCCGCTCCAGGAAGCAACGGATTTGGTTTGAAATTGAAGAGGCGCCCACGGATTCAGTTTGAATTCGCGGATTCAGTTTGAATTCGCGGATTCGCTTTGAATTCGCGGATTCAATTTGAAATTGAACGCTGGGCCCGCCCCATGCCACAGGTCAACGCGTCGGCCTTGCGTTGCACGTGGTAAGAGCTGGACCCAGCTGCCCTGTCCTGAGAACAGGAAAGCGCTCTGCCCCGAGGGCCGGCCCACGAAAGGGCCGGCGCTCTACAACCCGGACCACAGAGCATCGCACCGCGCCCAATCGCGGGGCGCTCTTTGCCGCCGGCTTACAAGGAACCGGACAGGGCACAATTATAGCTCCGGAAATAAAATTGCACGCGCGCACTTTCCTCCTGCCATCAGCCCGCGCCCCAGGAGGCGCCGGAGACGTCGCATCTCTGACGGCTCCATTGGGGCGTCTGGCCCAAGGCGCAGGACGGCACGTCCGGCAGCGTCCACGCAGTGCGCCCACAGCGGGCGAAGCTGCCGCTCGACCCTTTGAAGCCGCCCACCCCTTGTTCCGTCTACCGCACCATTTTGCTAGGGTCCGCGTCATATCTAATTTGCCTCCGACAGTGGAACTGCAGTCGAGTTCTTGTGTTGCGCCCCTCAGACACGCGGCCCACCACACTGGCGCACCCGAGCCCCGCCATGAAGTGGGCACGGAAACCGGACTATTGCCCGCCACGTTCTTGCGACGAAGAATCTAAGCGGCTCAAGAAGTCCAAAACGCTGGCATTTTGAATTCAGTTTGAATTCGTTTTGAAATCGTTTTTGGTAACGGACGGTCCGGCGTTAAGCAATTTGTAATGCGCGCTTCGCATTACAAATGGCCTTCGTTTATGACCCGTCTTGGGCTCGCTCTCCGGGCCAGGTCACAAATCTGAGCCCCTGGATCAGCAGAATGCCGTGCTGTGAGGGTTCAGATTTTTGATGCAAAACGTGGCTCCGCGAAAAAACTCTGCACCTCGGCAACGAGGTCGCCAAGTGGAGGTGCAGAGTTTTTTGGCGCGAGGGGGGGAAAGTGGGGCAGATAGCTCGTGTTTGTCTGCGCCGCCAAAAAACTCTGCACCTCCGAAATTGGCCTCCAGATGAGGTGTCCTCGGACACCTCTTCGGAGCCCTCCCGAGTCGCGGACCTCCGGGGCGACAAATTTTGGCCGCCATTTTCGCACTACCCCGAGCTGAATCGAGCTCAATTTGCAGGCAGAAACCCTGCAACTTGAGCTCATCCCCGAGTCGACCTCCTCCGAGGCCGCGAGGTTTGAACCAAAAGCGAGCCTCTGCTTCAGCAGATTCAGCCCATTCCCAAACAAGACACGCACTAGGTAAATCGTCAGGAATCAGGAGGGAGTTTGGGAACTTGAAGAACTACAACTGCGAACCCGGGTGGACGACATCCACCGATACCGAAGCACAGAGTCCCCCGGTGGCTGAGCTGTCTCCTCTGCTTCGTCCGCCGAGGCCTTGCCGGAATACCTGGCCTGCCCATTTCCTTGCTTTCGTTTCATTGTGAAAAAAAATAAACACACAAGAAGGTGCCCGAAAATGTAGGACGCAAAAATTTTGATTTTTTTAGCTGCAGACATTTTTCAGCTTAGTAATTTCGTCGCTCATGTCATATTCCATGTAAAAAAAAACTCGTCGCATCGTATCGTATCTATACAATTACAAAATGCAAAACAGTTGCAGTAGCAGGTCCTGACGGCTGACGCAAAGCCGAAGAATAAGTAACCAAACCCCCAGCATGATAGACCAGTTTTTTGGTCCTGTAGTTTGGCTTGTGGCTCCTCGTCATACATTAATATCCTCAGCACCAGACATAGTATCTCGATCTCCTGCATCGGCAATGTCCTCGACAAGATCATCCATGGCAAAAGTTCAAATGCGTGCACTTGCCTGATCATGCACAGTATGCTTAGTAATGAATCCAAAAAGGTACAAAGCTAACTCCTTGGCTGGATGATTGAGAATGAGACGAGTTCTTCACAGTGAGATAAGCTGAAAGCCTGTGCATCTGCTGCGCTTTTGAAACTGCTTCTAGTTCTGGAACGACGCGGTCGAGTAAATGGTGTTTTTCGGAGACTCTTAGCGCTCGCAAAAAAAATGATATCCGTCGAATGATGACAACCGTGGCGACCCCACCACGTACTCCGAACGTTGTGCCTTTTCTGGGCAAAAGGGATATTCTCCACAGTCGTCCTATTCCAAATCCAATAGGGCACCTGGCGAAATATGTGCAAACTCAGACTGCCAATGAGAAAATAAGTCCCCGTAGTTATCATCTGTAGCAAGACGAGCACGAGGACCGCCGTGCTCAAAACTCCGAACCGCTCCAAAGACTTGCGATGCCGATGCAGCTTCCGCCTTTCATTTCCATAGGCCGGGTCCGCCAAGAAGAATGCGTCGCTCGCAGTCGTCCTCGCAATAGTGCAATTGCGTCGCATAACGCTTGGCCGCACAAAAGAAACAGCCAGAGGTGTAAACGGCGCGCACATGATATTTTGATCAGATCAGCTGGAGCTGGGGTCAAGTGGTTTGCACATCGTTGAAAATGGAATAATGAAAACAGTACCTTTAGTGTAGTGTTAAGATCATTTCATTTCGCTATATACTTGTTCCTCCGCACCAGTTGAAGCTCTGGATTCCTGCATTCCCTCGACGGGCCAACACAATAGTGCAAAGATCGATCTCCATCTCCTCGCTCGAAGCCACAAGCCGGTCGATCTGTATTTTCAAAACGTTTCGGCCAGCCAAATGAAGTCAAATACGTTGTGTCTTCTAGAGGAAGCGGAGCCCGCGATCGAATGGGCTAAGTGTTAGCTCTCTCCTCAGCGCGCTTTTGGGTCTCTAGTGACGTGGCTGCGCAGAGTTTCTGTTTTTTCTTCAAACCTTGGGACCAAACAAACTAGTTTTGTGGAACATCTTTTCGAAGCTTATAGAACAGGGCAAAGGCACGCGCTCGGACTCACGCCGGGACAGGCATCCGCGCTGCCTGCTCCTATTCGTGTGCCAGTTCGCGACGCGCAGCTATCCCGCGCCTGTCTATCGAAAGTTGAGGAAAGAGGCTTCGTTTTGCCACCTATGTCCGATCCAAATCCAGCAAAACAGCGAAATCAAATGCAGTAGCAGGCCAATGAAAAACACTCCACAGCCATTATTGGTGTTAGTTTGCGCTTCCTCCAAGATAGAAAACAGAAGAAGGGTTGGACAATGCTAAAAAACTCCTGCGATATGCTTGTTTCAGCCAAATATTTCATCAATCTGGCCGCCGGCCGATGCAATATTTGGCGGTCGGCGGCCAGCTCATAGCCGCTCGAGACGTTTTGCTGCTAAGCTGTTTGGCCAACAGCTGCGGTGCGAGTTCAGAATCTACACTAGAGGTACTGATCACTCGAATACAGAGGGAAACCCTCAAACGTCTGGCTCTTCAAACGAAGCGCGTCCATTGTTTTCATTCTGGTGTGATGAGCAAAAGTGGGATATTTAGAAGGCCATCGCATCGTGGTCCTACACCTCCTGCGTAAAGGATACGAAGTGGCTAAAATAGCCGCCCGGGCAGATGCCAGTCGCGAAAAATAGCACGCAGCTGCTCCAACAGCGTTCAAAAGCAACTATATATTAAAACAGAAACGTTTGAGTTTTACAAAAATGCGTAAGACAGACCACGCAAGATCTGCAACATATGTAGTAACAAAGCGCAAAAGGTTAAAAAAAAGAAAAACAACAAAAAACAAGAAGAAGTTCCGTTTGCTCGTCACAGCACAACTTTTAGATTTTTCAGCTCAGCAACCTCTCGATCAATTTACAGACTTTTAGAAACTTTAGCGTTTTTCTCACAACAGAAACAGTCCAAACAGACTTTTCAACTTTTCAAAGCAACAACTTTATCAATCGACAACTCCTTTTCAGCAGCAATTTTATCGGTCGACTTTTTAACTTTTAAGTAGCACTTCCTTTTCGGATTTTTTATCAGCAGGCCTAAAGCGGCTCTGGCACACTGTATTTTTCTTCAAATAGCGCTAGAAGTACACGAGAGAAGAAATAAATCTTCACCCGGATTCCGTGTATCCAAAGTCAACAAACAAACAAAATCCCTATCCCACCCAGAATGAAAACAAAAAAAAAAATAAAGAAGAATAATAATCATAGGAGAAGACTCGAATATATTTTTTCATAGAATCCATCCAAAATTCCGAAGATTAACACATCCACATCCATCTATGGTTGGACATCGATCAAGATCCATCTACAGATTCGGAATCACAAAATTATCAGCAACATATGACATTCGGAAAAATTTCATCTTGATGAATATTCAAATTTTCAAAGTCTTTCTTCAATGAATCCATCATCTCAAAATTGTATTTCGATTTCATATACACATAGACATCCTGATATATCCTGATTGTGTATTTACTGAGGGAAAAAAAAAGCGCAGTGATGAATTGAGAATTGGGTATGTGTAGTTAAATGAATTCTCTGTATGAAGTGGTTTGCTTTGTCTGTGGATGCCACACCGCCTCTTCAGATCCTGCCTGCTTCGTTTGTCCGCGACCTGCTCTGGTGTTTGGAGTCAATCGGGTGTATGGTTTTCAAGGAGAATTTTGCAAACTTGTGTTGGCAAGAATGAGTTTTTGTGTCGCGCCTCTGTGGTTTGCGCGTTTGTCGTAAATTTGAATTTGAATTGCCTTGATTTTGTTTTGAGTTTTGCAAGGACAACTTGTGAAGGAACAGTGTGTTTTCTTCCTTCTGATTTTGTGTTCGCTCTATAACGCTTCCTCAACTTCAATGAGTTCCTCGGCCTCGCTTCCGCAACAAAAAAGCACGAAGAAAAGAACAATCCCGACCAGGATGGTTGCGAGTAGCCCGGAGGAGGCTGGTGCTGCTGTTTTGTCCGTTTCGTTGGTCTCATTGGAGTCGTTTGTGACGTTTGCCTCCATGATTTCCGGGGGGTCAGTACCCTGAGTAAAAACGTCCCCACCTCGTACTTGTCATGCTAAAGGAATTGCAGCACACTTCGCCTCCCCCTTCGCAAACGGCCGCAGATGGCTGTCACGCAGGGAAGGCAGGTCAGGCGGGCACCGAAGCGCCATCGCCATCATCTCCCGGCCACGAATTCCAACTTACTTCACGCCAACGCTCACTACGCATAGTTGTCATGCAAATTTGCATGCTTAAAATGCAATTGCTTCTCATGTGGAGCGCCATGAGAAGCATATTCTAGTGGTGTTTTGGAATCTGTGATACCCGAATCAGTACAATATTCTAAGTACTTGGATATGTCATACTTCTGCATGAGCAGGTAAACGAGACTACATTGCACACCCAGACTTGTCATGCGCAACCGCCAAAGCTTCAGCTTGTTGCTTTGTTTAGCAGCTTTCCCATCTTCTTGACTATGGGGTGCGGACGTTTTTACGCAGGATAGTCGACCCACAGGCAGATGCATGCAAGGAAAAAAGTGCTACAGTTACACACCTGTAGTGAATTCAACATCACAAATTTGCCTCGCATGACGCTAATGCAGAGATCATAAGGCAAAACGCACACGAAACGAGACACGCATGTCTTTTGCGCATGACAGAGATCGTCTGTCTTGCATGTTTTGCAACACAATCTCACCCTGTAGCAGTCTTTTCTTTGCATAAGATGCGTTCGATCGGTTCGAACTCGTGGTTCTCGTAGCAGTATCAAATGCAGATGCGTGTGGGTCTGGAAGGATGCAGAGGTTTGTGATGCAGCTTTCGCATGATCAAGAAGGTTCGGCATACACGCTGTAGCATCACAAGCTTCGAGAATGCCACTTAATGCGTAATCCGCATAATAAAGCCCTTCTTTCGGTGGCAAGAATTGTGCAACCTTTGGCTTCTAATCTATGCATGACAGATTTTTGGGTGATGTAAAATGCGCATCACAACTTCGCACAGTTCCAGACCCAGACATATTCGCACCCGATAAGCAGCCTGTACTTTTGCATTGAATGTAGCCATGATCGCATCCTGGGTAAAAACGTCCCCTCTCCATATTTGCCTAGTCCCCAGCAGGGTGATTCTCATGATACGGAGTTCCATTAGAAACGCTGTCGGTAGGACTTTGTCATAAGGCAATCGCGATCGTCGATTTGCGACGTGGCTGCACGAACTGACCAAGCGTAGTAGTACACTGCGGCTCCAAGGCAGGCAGGCTGCCCTGCGCAACGGCGAAATCTTGTTGTGATCAAATTTCCACCGCTCTTGATGAATTATGGTGTGGGGAGGACGTTTTTGCAACTCAGGATACGTCAAAGCACGTATCTTCGGGGTTGTCTGTATCCGGCCCCACCGCCGGATCGCCTCCCTCGCACGTGCACTGGTTCTGCACTGCTTCTTGCGTTCCCGCAGCTGCGTCGTGGACTATGAAATGCAAATATGTCTGGGTCTGGACACTTGTGATGCTGGGTGGCGTATCATGAGGAGGCCACAAGTGCTGGCTCAGCATGACAAGTTTCTGAGCTTCTTGGTGTTGCCTATTCTGCATGACAAACTGCGTTTCTGCACGACAGAAAATAAAATGGGGGTCTTGGGTAATGTGCGTGACAAATTTAAGAGTCATGTGAGACAAGCATGACAAACTTGCATTCTTCTAGACCGAGACATTTTTGCACTTGATATGGACGAGGTGATAACCATAGTCCACCTCGGTGCAGAATTCATTGCTTTCCGCCGGACAATATCAAATGTAAAAATGTCTGGGTCTGGAAGATTGCAACTTGTCATGCTGATTTTGGATTGTAAAAAAATCTGTACTGCATGAGCAGCAAAGAGAGTCCAAGTTTTGCTCAACGGAAAGAGCATTTGTCATGCGGTATAGGCATCAGGAAGCCCTTACAAAATCTGTGACGCTCGGGCATGCATCACAGACATCAGGAGTCATGCAAAATGTGTATGACAAACCTGGCAATCTTCCAGACCCAGACATTTTTACACTTGATAGACAATATGCATTGCAAAAGTACTATCGCACAACTCTAGTACTTAAATGGCATGACAAATCGGCTCAGCATTGGAAAAGAAATTTGTCCAAAACGCTGGCTTTGCTACTTAGGAGCTAGATTTGTACCGCATGCGTCCAAGAATTACTTACTACGAGTGCGATACTTTTGCACAGATTAGACAAGCTGCCCCGGTGGCCGGCGTCTTACCCCCAGGGCTGGTGCATTGACACTCCCGTAGCTTGCAGCACGTGCTCTGGTCGGGCTCGCTGGATGTGTCACAGTTTTGTAGTTTGCAAAATTTAGCCTCGTTGTCGCGGTTGTAGGCCTTGCCTAGGTCTAGGGATTGGTTCGCGGGGTCCTTTAGGTTCCGACAGTGCTGATTGCCGCCTGGCGCCTCCGTGCTGCTGCACTGGGCCGTGGCACTGCAGCAGTTCTTGGAACAATCATTTTCCACGTTATTTGCTGTAGTTGTTTCCCCGATCCTGCCACAAATCGGGCTGTCGCATTCGTCATCGTCGCTGGCTTTGTTCGACGGGTAATACCAACCGGCGGATGGACTGGAATTGTCGAAACAAAACCCGCCCGACGGAGCGCCTTCATTTGCGTCTTGACATTTTTCGTGGCAGATCGCAATTTTGGCACAGTTACAGGTGCCGGAGGTTCCGTCGGTGCATTTGCTGCTGCAGTGTTGCTGTTTCACGGAATCCGTATTGGACGATAGTGCGGTCGTGTAGTACTTCGCGTCGGCACATGTCTCAGTCGTATCTGTTAATGTGCTGGTGCCGTCAGGGTCGCCGTAGCCCCACTTGCATTTACCGCTAGTTTCGGTCTTTGCATACGTCTGGCAACTTCGGTTGTCGTCGTACTGGTTGGTGTTCCTCTTCGAGTCAAGAAGTGAGCAGCATGTTTTTGAGCACTTTTGCTCATCTGGTTCGCACTTCCACTCTCCACTCTCGCAGATCTGGCACACGCATCCCCAGTAAAAACGCCCCCGCCCTGAATTCAAGATGGAAAAAAATCCTGTAAAGCAAAGCCGGATGAAGTTGTGGGACTCACGCACAACAAGTCTGGCTGTGCAGCGTAGTCGTTCGTAACTACTCCAGATGCATCTACAATTCCGCTTCTCTGCTGTCTGGATAATCAGTGCGCGACAGATTCCCAAACACCGTTTAGGGAATCGAATGCCTCGTCGCTCTCATAGCAACCCGCATCATCACCATCGTCATCATGTAATGGACACCCGCTCCCTCCCAGCTGCGCCGCAGGCCCTTTAGTGGACACCCACATGAGAAACACCATGACCACGCACCCTGAGCACAACAGGCAACTTTTCATGACAAATCTGGGGCGGTTACGGTTTTTTTCGGATAACGCGCGCTTTTGCGTCAATATGTTGTATGCGACGCCATTGACGTCCTTAGTCTCTGCGCAACTTAGGCCCTCGGAGGTGGGCTGTTTTGTCTGCGTTCGCTTCCGCGTCTGCGTTCCTATGCCGCAGGCTGCATCGCACCGGCCCCACTCGTTCCAACTGCCCACCTCGCAATCGCAGGGTGGGTATGTGCAAACTCTGTACTTGTTTATTGGCGCGCCAGCTTGGAATTCGGCAAAATTGAACAATTTGAATCAGTACTTTATGCAGTTGTGGTTTCGCTTTCTCTGCGCAATTCACTCATAGGATGAAGGCGTGCGCATCTGAATAAAAGCGCAAGTAATGGAACAGAGCGCGCCCCAGACTGGGTCGCAAGATGCCATGCGGCGACCACACTGCCAACAAAAAGAAAACTCGGCCGGCGCAGCGAGCTACAGGAAGCAAGCCACGGAAGCCAGGCTCCCAAACCCCCCAGAGCCACGTCGCGGGGGGACATAAAAAAGGTGGGCCAGGCCATGGGACACGACATGGACCGCCGGACTGACACGTTCCCCAAAGGTGAGAGAGGAAATGCCGGGGCGGCCCGGAGCTATCGGGGACAGAGGGCCGCGCGCGCGGTGCTGCGAAGCTAGGAAGCGAGATCGTGGGACAGTGCCGGCACGTAATCCCTGCAGCTAAGTGAGGGAGCCGGGTGGAGCTATGGGAGTTTGCTGCCAAGTTTGTCTAGTGAATGTCTGCCCGGAAAAGTTCCACGGGATTGTGACACAGCGCAAAACGCTGCGACGCGATGCTTCAGCCCGAAGCGCGCAGGCTTTTTGTTTCATCAGATCCATCAGCAAAGCGCTCCCAGGCACGCTGGATGAGTCGAACAACAACGGAGAAGTTCGAAACAGGAGAAGAAACAATCAAGACTGCGCGAAGACGGACAGCTCTCGCCCCCACACCAACCGCTGAACCCCTTCGACCGTGCTGACTGCCTTGGCAATCAACACCGGCGGACCGACGCCGAGGAAGGACGGAGTCGCAATGCCGGTAGGCAACGCTACTCAGCTCTCCTTCCGAGTCGGCACTCCTGATACTCCTGCGCGACAGGTCTGGCTACGTCGTAGTGACACAACCAAACGTCAGCGCAAAAGCTGCAACGAGAAGGTCACGACCCCCGTCGAAAGGCCGCAGCAATGCAACGACGTCGCGATCGCACGACCCCACCCCAATTCTTCCCCGCAGGCGGCTTCATCGAAGTCATACACGCGGACGGCGGAGCACCTCTATCAACTGGCGTCCCCGGCATGGGACCCACTGTATGCAGGCCGCCGCCACCTGCGGGGCTGTGGGGTTGCGCGTCCAGGGTGCGGGGCGATGAGTGTGGTGTGGGTGCCGGCCATCTGTACTGCGCTATTTTGTCCCCGTACCCATTGGGCAAGCGGGTGTCTTCGTATTTGTCAACCCACCGGACGGCCGCCCCTGCGAGCGTGCGGCAGGGGCGAAAAGGTGGGCGCTGGGGTGCCCTGTGCTGTGGCCGTATGTCTCGCGTTTTTTGTAGTTGGAGTATGGTTCGCTCCCTCCGGCTTATGATCGCGGTAGTGTGATCTTATACCGGCTAACGCCAAAGTTAGACTGGGCTCGGCCCTTGGCAATTGCCAAGGGCCTCGCGGGCAATCAATGCCCTAGGAAGCCAGCAGCGTCGCTCCGCCTTGAGTGCGGCCGCTATTTGTGGCAGCGTGAAACGCGGCCCCCCCGCCCTCGCGGCTTCATCGATCGCTGACAGGCGAGTGGCCCACTACTGCTGCTCCTCTGCTGCGTTGCAACTCACATCGGAGAACAGAATCATGGGACACCCGCGGCACGCAGAGCGGCAGGCCGCAGAACGGGCTGCGCTGTTTGCCGTTGCGTGTTGCCGAAAGCCCCCTCAGCCAACGGCCGAGATAACGCCGGACATGTGCCCTTAACGGCGTGTGTGAAGAACCACAGCGGCCACACCGTGGCCAACTGGATCCTTCCCTCGCTCCCCGGCCAGTGGCGCCCACGAGAGCCGTAAGCGCGTCAGCGACATGTGCGTAGGTACCACCGCAAGGGAACAACCTGGAAGGAAGTTGAAGAATCCAACATCTCTATGCGCAGCAACTTCCTTCCCACCGGGACATCACCCCCTGTCAGGACAATGCCCTGGCGCTCGGTGGGGCCGAGCTACGTGCACACGGAAAAACGCACACCTCCTGTTCTGACCTGCCCATGGCTAGGGCAGCTCAGTGGCAACGGGACCGCCGGAGCTCTTTCCTTGCCGCACACTGTATTGGTCCACACTAAGTATCGGCAGCGCCGGAAACGACAACGCGGAATGCGAAGCAGAACCAGAGCGAAGGCCTGAGGCGTACAAGTACGCCTCGCTTTCTCCCCTCCGTCAAATATCCAACCTCCGAGAACCGAAGAGACGAAAAAACGCCAAGCCGAGGCAAGCCAAGGCGAGGCGAAGACTAACGATAGAGGACAAAGACCCAGCCGAAGGTGGTCGGCGACGGGCAGCCAGCCCGACGCCGAACAGTGCAACTTCCTTGCTTGTTCATGCACACTGATATAAGCTTAAGCGCTACGCGTTACAATTACATATTTTTGAGGCATAAAACTGAACCCCATTGGTGAATCCAAATTCTCTGAAGCAGCGTACGACAGATTTCCCAGACACGGAGGGCCAATCGCCACGCCGTCCAGGAATCTAGAGCGGAGGGAGGGCTTTTTTTTGTCGCGCTCGCCTACACCGGAGCCTATGACTCTGGGCAGGCTTACAAGCTGCCTCGGTTGGCTCCAGTCTAACAGAGCACAGACACTTTGTATTTGTTGCATTCTATACATGACGGCGCATTTTTTTTCAACTTTTACAAATTTCCAAGGGCCTGACGCTTTCATATCATTATAGTGCAAGTTATGTCGGTGGTTGCCCCACCCGTCCCCGCCGCAGCTTCCCCAGGCGTTCTCGCAGTCTCTATCCCCGTTTCTGACCTTTTTCCGCTGTCTCTCGACTTGGCCTAACCCACACGCATTCGGTGTCCTGTGTAGAAACGTCCCCACCCCAGATTTGTCATGCAAATCTGCACGTCGCCTGTAAAAATTTGTCTCATGATACGGATTCCCCTAAGAGCCATTCCCAGTCACTAGTCGCGTTTCAAAAATTTTGATGCTCGAATCAATTTAAAACAGTCTATGTATGATGCGGCTGCGCTAGCTACTCACGACCACGCTGCGTAGCCAAAGTTGTCATGCGTATGTCATTCCAAAACTCCTGGATTTGTCTAGAAAAGTTCTTTCCGTCTTGACTACGGGCGGGCGGGGAAGTCGCAGCAATTTTCACTGCGGATATTCGGTCCGCTCTCCGCGGCCCAGCTTGCCGGGGCCCACTCGTTCCATTCGCCCCACCCGTCAACGCGGTGGCATGGATCGTAAACGCAGTTCCCGTACGTGGGTTGCGGATGGGATTCTAGATTATCTGTTTCGCACTCAGCGTTGTAGTTTTTTGTCGTTTGAAGGTAGCTGCCTGCGCCGCCTGCGTCCGGGTCCGCGCTTCCAGACGGTGGGCCCTGTGGTTGTGTTTGCTCCGCACCCGCTGAACTCTGAAAGCCGCGATGGAGCCGCTCTTGTTGAAAAATATCGCGCACAGAAGCCGCGGCCGAGGAGGTCGTGTTCGTATCATAGAGATAGAGGTCTTCCGGTTGTATTCCGACTCCTACTCGCTCCGCAGAATTCTGAAAATTATGGGGTTCTTCTTCTTGCTCCTGTTGAAATGAAAGAAAATGGTCGTGGAGTTGTTTGTGTTTAGAAGATAGAGAGTCATGCGCTGCAGGCACAGACGAGACCGAGCCTCGACCGTCTTCTTCATCTCCGCCCAAAGCGGCCGGGCTCATTGCCCGGCTTGCATTCTGGCGGCGCCTTTTCGAATACAATTGGTGAAGGGGAGCGGGGCGGAAGTTGTGACTCTCTTTCCCCGTGGACGATGTCGTGCTAAACGCGGCTGGCGGCGAAACAAATCGAGACTGCTTCTTTGCGTCCGTCGGTGCAGCCGTTGCTCCGTCTCTGCGTCTTGTCTCGGGTGCTTCAACTTCTGTTGTGGGCGCCGCGGACGATAATGGTGGTGTCCGTTTCGAATCTATCCTGGAAACGTCAGCACTCATGCGAGGTTTTTCTAGGTCGTTCCTGACGCGACCTGGACCTGCTTTCCTCGCAGATCGAATTTGGGGGTGTCGTGATTTGTCCTCGTCGTGTCCGGGGATATCTGAAGTGGCGGTATCGGTCGTGCTGGCGCTTTCCTGGTGCTGGCGCCCGGCGCCGCTTCTGCTGACCAGAGCGGCGGCCTCCTCTTTGGCGGCGCTGCGGCCGTCGTCCGCCCCAGCAGTTCCGAAAGAACTACTAGTCGGCCTCTGAGCGCTATCGCAAGAAAAAACTGTTCAGTCTCAACTCGAGATGCGGACACTCCTTGAGGCGCTTTTTTGTCATGCCTGACATGCAAGACAGGTGCTTTTCGTATGTGTTTTCTCTTGCTGTTTGGCACATCAGGGGTTTTGTGTGGCATGCTGTATTCTAAAGTCTGCAGAGGTTTGAGACTGAGACAGTTTTTTCTCGCGATAAGCGCTAGCAATAGCTCCGCGCAGCTGGATTTTGACATTGTTATCTTCTTCGCGCAGAGCTAAAGCTGCAGGGCTCTTTGTCGTGCTAGCATGCCGGAGGCGTCTTTTTGAATGCAAGTGCTGGATCGGGATGATGGGGTTGTGCCTTTCGTTCCTCGTCACGGCCGTTGCAGAGCGGGTTTGCAGCGAAGAAGATTGCAATTGCTTCTTGGTGTTGCGACTACTAGGTGCTTTCGCAGCTTCGCGGTCTCGGCTCCTAGCAGCCTTGGGGACAGTGCTGTCGCTCGCGAGTTGCTGCTGTTCCGGTATGTGCGTCGTGATTGTCAAATTTTGCTCCGCTCCTGGGGGACGAACCGCCGATGGAGGTGCTATTCCACCTTCTTGTCGCGTTCCCCTACCAAATATAGCCGCCGGGGCGGGGGTAGTGAGGTCGTGGGCGTTTTTTTGCCGACCGCCGCCTTGGCCGCGGCTTTGCTTTTTATGGGCTCGCCATACCGCCGTGCGTAACGTTATGCCGCACGGTATGGCGCCCACTTGGGAAACGTCGCAAATTTTGGCGCATTTCCAAAATTCCCTTCCGAAAGCCAGCCCCGATGCTATGGGGCCGATCCGGGTGCCACGGGGGGCGCCCAAAAAGCGAAGAAAAACCGGGCCCATAGCATGCGGATTGGCTTTGCGCGTCTGGGGCGCTTTTTATTTTTCGCGTTTTTATTTTTCACGCCGGCGCTTTTTGTAAAGCTTCCCAGGCTCTAAAACCGGCGAAAAGGCGGCCGCTTTCGCGACCGCCCAAAATGCTCCGAAATCGCGGCCGTGCCATGCTGTTTCGCTGTTCTGATTTTGGGCGCGTTTTTTGCGCGCCCCTTTTTGGGCGCCCCAAATCGCCAGAAACCAAGGCGGCGGGCGCCTCAGAAGGGCGCCCCTTTTGCCGGCTCCCCTGCGTCGTTTTATCAAGCGGGAATCGATAGTTTTCGACCGGGCTTGTTTGTTGGCAAAGCTCCGGCCGCTTGATAATTGAAAATCTTTTTCGTCAAAAAACACTCCCGCCCGCTTGAAAACTGCCGGTCGTTTTTCAGGGGAGATGGCAAAAAAACTCCCCGGTTAGAACCGTTCGGTGACCTCACTACATACTAGCGCCTTCTGCACCAGTTTGAGGCACAGGGTCTGTACGATCTTCGTCTTGCTGTTTTACACTATAATGGTCGTCGGAACTAGAAGCTATCGAAGCTTCTATCGCCCTCCCATTCCCCTCACCACCTCCAGCGCCAGCTTCCACTCGCAGCATCTTGTTGCTGTTGGGTCCCGTAATATTACGACGACTCGGTCGTGCGTTTGCCCCTGGTTCGTGTGGTCGTGGTGTCTGGTCTGCCCCCGGCTCTTCGCCGCGGACCTCAGCTACCAGCGGCCCCGGTCCTTTTGCTGCGGTTGATTGTGAATCCTCTTGCGGCGGCTGCACATAATCGACGTCTCCGTCGGCGAGAAACAGAGACTCACCCGTGCTGAAGTTGCGCGGAAGTAAACTACCGGGGGAGTCAACCAGCTTTACTGCCTCTCCGGTTACGTTGCCTTCGTGCAGCGCTTTTGGCGTCGAAGAAGAAGTGGGAGTGTTCGCAACCGTTGGAAGATCGGTCACTACACGACCTGCGGCAATTTCTGTGTGCCTGTCGCGAGTGGTGTGCAGCGCTGTGGCATTCTTGTCAGGCGTTTTTGATGCTACACTGGGAGTGGCTTGCTGCGGGTCCTGCGCCGTTGTAGTAGAGGCCGAGGAACTGTTGTTCGTGCCGGAATAAATAGGACCTCGATCCTCGCGCGCAGCAGAGCCAGAGGTGTCCGCGTCTTTAGTTTCGCGCCGGATGACGCGTCGCGCCCCTATCACGAAGGGAATTGAAGTAGCAGAAAGGCAAGACCGCTGGAAAGCAGAAAAACGCCAGTGGCTGTACAATTGGACGAGAAGGCAAAACAGAGGGACGGAGCCCGGTCCTGCTGTTTTGAAAAACAACCGCATCTTCTTTCATTCTGTCATTTTCACACAGACAGGCTGACGAATGCTCATGCGGCGCACGCGATACTGCGGAAAGACAGTTATGTTTGTGTTTCGGCACGAAAGAACTGAGGGTTCAGGTGGATCTAAGGTGCGCAACCTTCTAGGATCGCAGGATAAAATCAAGTTGACATCATCAAAATTGAGATAAGATTCTGAAACGACCGGCTAGTGGTCTCCGAAGACACCCGCTTGCCTGTTCCAGCGACAAAAGTTTTTTTGCTTCGCGCGCGACGGGTGGCCGTCGACACCGTCGCCGGAGCTTCACTTGCAAGGCATTTTGTATGGTTGGAGAATCGCGTTGTATATTTGAAAAGAAAGCATAAGCATGAACAATTTCTTTGCGTTTCTTTTTTCGTGAGTGCGTCGTGTCGTTCGGATGCAATGAATCACTAAGCTTAGGCAATATCACCGCTCGGTTTCCCTTTCCTGTGCTGCCGCCACCTTGTTCAGCAGATTCAGAAAGTGCTTCTGTAGTATCGTTTTCTGGGCTTTGGTGTAGACTGGGTACCCCGTCCTCGATTGGTGGCCCGCGGGTGGCACCATGACTCCCGTTCCGGCGCGGCGTCGTGGCGGCACGGGCACCTCCGGAGTTGTTAGATAGAAGTGCTCGCCTTCTTCTATCATCTCCGCAGGATCGTTCATCTTCGTGTTGCCAGGGACGACGTGGTCGACGACTGCGGTGCGAGGTGGGAGGCTATGGTGGAAATATGATGATTTTTATGATAGTGCACAACTCCAAGGCGTTCTCATTGAAAGGTCGGGCGGGTGTAGGAAGTACTGCTTTGGCCCCCGCTCTTTCCGGAATCCGCCATGCAAAAAGTGTCCTGAGGCTGAGGGGACGGCAGCAGCGGGATTTGGCCGTATTTATTGATTTGCATGACAAATGAAAGGGGGAGAGCGGATTTTGCTGTGCAGTCTCATAGAGACGAAAAATTTTCTTCCTCGTCTGCAAATCTTTTCTCTGCTTCTTGCATTTCATCTTCTTCGGCCGCGTAGCTTCTTCGCCCTCCGGGATGCGGTATGGCTCCGCTTTTCCGTGCATGAATTGCAAATATGTCATCTGGCTCTGGAAGATTCTGAGACTTGTGATGCACGTTCTGCATGAGCCATGATGTCTGTGATGCATGCCCTAGCATCACAGCTGTTTTGAGCTTGAGGGCATCTCGATGCCTATTCCGCATGACAAACGCCCTTTCCGCGTAGCAAAAATCGCATTCCCTTTGCTGCTCATGCAATACAGATTTTTTTGGAATCCAAATGCAGCATCACAAGTTGCATTCTTCCAGACCCAGACATTTTTGCATTCGATACCGTGTTTCCTGCATGTATTCCAGCCTTTCAGGGTTCTTCAAGAGCCACGGCGCTAGGTATCCGAGAAAAAAATATTGTAGGTGTAACTTTTTTGGAGGAACAGCATTACAAATTTGTCTGGCATTACAGCAAAAACCTGTCATGCGCAGATAGTACGGGAAAACGCCCTTTAATGGACCCTATGACGCATGCCAAGCATGACAGTAGGTGATACGGGGGAGCAGGTGGGGAGGTGATACGCTTGGGGAGGTGATCCGTGGGGAGGTGATTCAAAAGGGTGGGGAGGTGATTCACACTCCTACCCGCATCGTCGTACTCATGCCATTCGTCTGCCCCGTGGCGGCGTCTACCTAGGCCACCACCCGCCAAACCCGATGGAAACGAGCGCGATTTTTTCTGACATGTAGGGTCGCTGTAGCCCCATTCACCTCCTAGGTGGCTGGCGGAAAAGGAGGACAGGGAAGCACTGCTGGGCGATGAAACAGGTCTTCCCGGGGCGCCCGCGCCAGCGACGGTGCGTGATGGTGCTTTATCTTTATGCTCGCCCAGAACAAGAGCGCCCCTATCTTGCCTGTGCGTGTCAACGATTCTCGACGAAGTCCACGGCCGGCTCTGTGGGTGGTAGAAGCTATCCTGTTTGTTGTCACGTCCAATGCTGGAGGTGTTCGTCTTGTTTATTGTGCGACTCCAGTTCGACTTCGACGTGGTGTAGCGGTCGTCATCATGACCTTCGTCGCTATCTTGAAGATCATCAAGTTCAAGTAGAGCATAGTCCTTTTCTGGATAAAAATATCCCTCGTCTTCGTCCCACACATTGAAGATGGTAGGGTAATCCTCCTCGAGAATGGATGCTTCTGGTTCGCGGTCGTTATCGTTGCCGTTACCTTGTTCAAGAACTTCCTCGTCCACGGTTGGCCCTGCCCCACCGATCACTGCGTTTTCCGATTGGGTTTCGTTGCCCGTGCTTGCGCGTGCGTCCTCTTCCGGCGGCGTATCTGCTGCTGGAACACCATCGAGGTCCAGCATGTCTTCCTCGTGTGGGCCATCCCTCTTCCGCAACTCCGTATCATCCTTATCCTCTTCGCTCGGATTCCGCAAGACCATGGCCGCGTGGTCGTCTTGACGTTGTTCCACTTCGACTTCCGCCCCTAGCCCTAAGCCAGTTGGCTTATAAAAATTGCAGGCGCGGCTGTGTGCGAAAAATATAGTACAAACTATTGGAATCCAAGTTCCTTGCGTTGCACCAACACCAGCAGCAACTAAGAAGCTGGAGGGTATTTGGCTTTTGCGCCGAGGCGCAAGGCCAGGGGGGCAAGGTTCCTAACCATTTGGCTCCTTCATGTGTCACGCAACTGTTGCGTGACGCATAAACTCCGAGGAGTGCCTGTGCCCTTCTTTAGTCAATCAACACTGCGTCCCGTGGGCGACAGGGCCATGCGTACACAAACGTGGTCTGCTTCTTGCGTACATGTTGCAACGTAAAATCAAAATAGAAGCTTAGGTAGATCACTGTAGCCGGAGCTCACCCATTTGACCACACCAACGGCCCAGCGGTCTCCTTTCGAAGGTCGTGCACGCAGGTGCTAATCCACCAACCGAGCGCATGCAAGCACAGCCGAAGGCTGAGACATAGAGCAAAAGGGGCCACGCGCAAAGGCGCAGATATGTTCGCAAGCGAAAAATTGCACTGAAGAACGAGTGCGAGACGAGCATCGAACGCGAAGGAGAAACGCACACAGGTCCCGGAGAGTAGAATTGAAAATCTGCTGCAAAGAGCCGCAACAGAAAAGAAAAGAAAAAAAAATGAAGCTATAGCTACTGCACCGGGGCCGGGTCCCGGCGTGCTGGGACATCGTGCGTAAGAGCCAAAGAGCGAAGAGCCAAAACATCTGACTCTCCTCCGCACAAAGAACGCTGCCCCGATCTATTTTTCTACCGTAATTATGGAATGACTGCAGCGACAAGGTCGAGGCGCGCGACTGCTTGCAGCCTCGTTCTTGTCGTTCCTTACTCGTTCTTTCTACTTGAAGGGCCCGCGCACGCATTTTCTCTCGTATTGCTTACGCATTCATAAGCAATCAAACTGTTTGCTTGAACAGCCCAGATTACCACAGCCCCAGCTGAGCGCGGCATAGTTGGCTTCCTGTGCACGCAGTCCTTCATCTTGTTTCGTTCGCGAACCCCTCAACGTCGCATCTCGAAAAGGCTGCGCTAAACTCGGATTTGTTGTCGTCTTCGTCCGCAAGGTCTGCTCCTCAGGACTCTGAAAATCATGAATATTGTCGCGTAGAAAAGACTCTTCATGAGCAGGTGAAGCAATCCGACTACCTTCTTCTTCCAAAGCAGCAGGGCTCGTCCTTGCCCGGCTTGCATTCTGGAGGCGCCGTTTCGAATCCAAGTGATATAGAGGGGCGATGAAATAGTGACTTTCGTTCCTCGTGGAGGACGTAGAGGCGGCGTGCGGTGAAGAGAATCGCGACTGCTTCTTAGTAGAGTTGATTGGTGCAGCCGAAGTTGCTTCATCTCGGCGTGTTGTCTCGGGGACTGTGGGCACCGCCGCTAGTGGCAGTGTCGATTTCAAATTATTCTCGGCAGCATCAGCATTTTTTACCCTAGTATCTTCTAAGTCCATGACGACACCACCGATTCTTGCAGCGCGCTCTGGCTGGTGTAGTTCTGTGTGTCCCGTGGAATTATTTGAAGTGCCGGCGGTCGCGTTCGGAAAGTCCTGCTGGCGACCGGCATCGCTTCTGCTGACCAGCAACGTGGCGGACTCTTCTCTGGCGGCGCTGTGCTGTTCGTCCGTCTTGGCTCTGACACCACTAGTCGACCTCTGATTGGCAGTAGTCCCATGCGTTAGCGTTTCGACATTGTAATTTCGTTTTGTGCCGTGGCCGTGCGTGTCCAGCTCTACATCGACATATTCATGTGCACGATCGTCCTCGATCAATCCTTGATGCGCCTCATAATTGCGTGGCTGATCCAGCTCGGGACGTGAAACGCCAAGCACTTGCCTTCTCCCTCCTGTACTTAGTGCTTCGGGCCCCTGCTTGGCTGCATGTGCATATACATTCCAGCTCTCCGCTCTATCTTCATGCTGAGACGAAGGTGGTCCACCATCTACAAGCGGCGTCGTCCTCGCGCTAGCGTCTATATCGAAGTCCTCAAGTCCTCCAGGATTTTTTGTAGCAGACTCTGGCTTTGAAGAGGGGGAGGCTTTCATCGATCGATTCTTATCATCATCATCATCATCATGCTCCCGACGGATTACGCGACGGCCTGTTGTCAGTGATGGCCCAGAAAACAGCTCAGCAGCATGCTGGTACAAAACCAGCGCTCTCCCGCAGGGCAAGACGGGGCCCCTGAGACGAACCATAACAACTGCGAGAAGCAGTGGAGAAAGACGAATCAATCAATACTTTGTGCCACGGGCAAGCCACCCTTGGCTGCACGACATGGGTTGGGGATTCCGACAACCGCCGGCACGGAAAAAATGTTGCCAGAGCTGGTCGAAAAAAACATTATTCTATTTCAAAAGTTGCTGACTAATTACAAACACGAGGGGTGATGTTCTCCCGCTACGCTCTTCGATGGCGGGAGCAGTTGCAACCTTTAGCCGAAAGCGAAGCACAGATCTAATTTCGTCTGCGAACAACAGGAGTGTGGAGATTTTTTCCAAGGGCAAGCTGTATTCACGACTCAATGTCGAAAAAAACACAAATATGAACGCTGATAGTTTTCATTTGGTTTTGCCTTTCTGGCGCGCTGGTTCGATAAAGAACCGGGGGAAGCGAGGCCTAAATTTGCGTTCCACCCCGCGCGGAGCGAAGCGATTTCTAGGTGCGCCTTCTTCGGTTGACGTATCGATGTACAGTCGCAAGTCGCGCTTTCTCGCAAAACCAGTGCAGCGAGCTGCTCACGGGGGGACTGTATGTACGAAGAAAATGGCTGAAGATCACAGCGCTCCGTGCGTTGTGGTCATAGTACGTACTCGCGTCAAGATACTACCCGCGGCACAACCGGAGACGGTCCTACCGCTGCCATGTAAAGTGGCTTCATATCCGCTGCAGCCCAGCCGGCAAGTAGGACCTCCGAAAAGTAAGCGTCCACAAAACATCCCATTCCTGACGCACGCAACTCCCACGGCGAGGAAATAGCAGCTTCCTCGGCTTCAGTCTTGCTCTCAGAGGCTGTAGCGCCACCAGTTTCATGTTCATCCTTTCGTATTCGCAGATATTCAGTGGCGACATACAATCTATGCACCAAACGACCCGCCTGTAAGTGTTCTGTCCTATAATCTGTCTGGGAGGACCAGGCCGCGGCCGGTCGAGTTTCTTTCTGGTGGTCTCCTCCATCATGATGCGCCACTGCTGCTTCATCTTCGATTTCGTGCGACTTGAATTGACTAAGCACCGCCAAAGCGAGGAATCCGTTGCCACCAAGCGTCTGGCCACAGGCAGCGTTTTGCCCCAGGATGCGGGTTTGGTTTTGGTGCATCGGCGCGACCAACTCCAGCTGTGGACGACTCGACGCAGAAACTGACGGCTGTAGAAGATACATGCCAGACGTGTACATTTCTACGTTGTGCAGCAAGAGCAGAACTTTTTGCGGCTTCGCGAATCGCCCCTCCGCGGGAAAGTCCGGAACCAGCCTTGCGAGCAGAAATTCGAAATCAGCCACCGCCAGCGGCGCGCTGCTGCTCACCGCACGATCAAACGAAGCCCCCGTGCGCCGTTCGTAGATTACACGATCGGCAATCCTAGAAGTCGACCATGAGGAGAGCAAGTCGGCGCTTTGTAAAGAGATGCCAGCCAAAGACGCAGCTGTATGACGGGAGACCTGGAAAACAGCTGGATCGTATGAACCCCCCGTTGCCACCAGTTGCGGCCGGAGCTCTGATTGCGTCAAGAAAGTCGAACCCGTAGTTGTAGAAATGGTTGAAGATGAACCGTTGGGTTCTTCCAGTGCGCCATCTTCTTCGTGCCCGCTCAGAGTGCTGTCCCCCTGAATGGAGTCCAGTGCGTCCCATTTCGCGGTCACATTTGCGATGGCAGCATACATGACAAACGTCGACGCGTAAAAATCGTCCGATGCTGTGAGTGTACTTTGAAAAGGCAATGTGTCGTCCGGGGCTGTCGAAAGGTAGGGACTGGTCTGTGTGGACGCTTCTTGCAGAGCAACACGACCACTCGTCCAGTCGCCTTCACCTGTAGTAGTTCTCACAGCCTCACTTTCAGGCCCAACAGCGACACTCTGAGGACTACCAGACTTTGCGACTGTATCGTCCGAGGGAGATGAAGTGGTGCCCACACTACGCGTGCTCCTCGTGGCCGAGCCCGCCGACAGACGAAGTTCGAAATACTTCAGAAACTCTTCGCTGCTCCGCGATGAAGGAGCAGGCGAAGTACTAGAAGAAGGAGACTCGTCAGATGAACCATCGACTTCGGCTTCCTCATATTCGATTTCATCTTTCCCAAAGTTTCTACTTCGTCCAGCTCCCGCAGTGGAAGTAGCGCCTGCTCTCTTCATCCCGGAGTCCAGCCTTTGACGCAGGCTTGTCGGCTGCGTGGCTATTATTTCTACGTCTCCCGCGCTACCAGAATCCGTTTCGCCCTGCATAGAAGTAGAGCGCCTCCTTGGCGGTAGAATGTTTTGTTAAAAAAAGCTCCGCACTTCGCGTTCCACGACGCGATCCGCTGCAAGCCGCGCTCTACTTCTACCGTCGTCGTATGTGAGACCATTTCCATTTTCCGTCGTGAAACGAAGGAGAGGGGGCACTGTACTAGGGCGGCGGCTCGTCTCATGCCGCTGATCTGTCGCGTTGTGGTCCTCTTTCTGTCCTCCGTTCAGGCCACCCTCAACTGGCCGCGGTGACAAGGAAGACAACGGACGGCCGTCCTCGTTGTCGTCATTAAGCTCCGTCTCGTCCGAGGCTGCAGCGGCTTCTGCATTGAATTTCTGAACCGCAAACTCCAGCGCTCCCAGTACGTGCCCCGCATCGAGCAGCGCATAGCGCAGACCCCGCTCGCCATACTTGTAAGTCTGTCGCTGCCATACCGTTGTCAGCACAATGCCGAGAACGCCCGCGTCGGCGCGCGCCGGATGATTTTTTTTGCGAAAAGTGCCCACTTCGTAATCGTCATCACCGTATTCGAGGGAACAAATGACACCACAACGTGAAACAAATTGAGTTTGTATATTTATTTTTTCCTAACTTGATACTCGGGGATGACGCTCTTTCCCGCAAACCACGTAAGTAGGTAGGTAGATAGACATAGAATTCAGTAAAGATCAAATTAATAGGTGCACCTTCAAAGACGAGCCTGTGCTCCTTGCAGGTTGCGCTTTTTGAATGACGTTGACGACGTCACGAGAAACATAAGTACTAACATGCAAGGAGAATCCCCCTGAGACATCAAGATGGGATGACACTAACAGGGGTCGCACTGGCTCGGTTCTTTCTTGTGCGTAATCGTCCAACGCCATCCTTTTGTCTACAGCAGAGTGTTTATGAGCAGCCGAAAACGAACGTGGTATGTTCGATTGCAAATGCACATCATCAAACAGCTGCACACAAGAAGATAAAAAAATATAATATAATCTTTTTTATACTCTTAGGTTGGGTTGGCACACCGTCTGGCACGACGAGGATCCCTTTCCCTCACCCTCGGGTTCATTAGCACGACATAGTGCTGGGTTAGCATTTGTTCCCATACGCTACCTTACGGCGGCTCGTGTCAAGCTGGTAGGCCACCCGAAAACTATCGTCACGCACATCGTAGTGCCACACGTGTGATTGCAGAAAAACTTTCTTCCGAACCGCTCAAAAGAAAATCGAAAAACTTTCTTCCAGTGTATCAAGACGCACGGGAAATAGAGTGATCAAGCTCCGGGAGCACAAAGAGGACCAATCTATCTTCATCCGTCGTCCTTGATCATGCTGCATTCTGAGTGTTTCTAGTTTTTTTTTCCCACTTTTCGTGATTTTCCACCGCTACAACAACACTTGCTCTAAATGCACATTCTCCATCTTCGCTTGTCAACAAGCGAAGATGGAAAATGTTGCAGGAGGTTCATCGTGAAATTGCAGGTGATTCTATCAGAAAGTTCGATAAGCTGGATACGTCTGTCAAGATACGAGACGACAGCCCATGCGTTTCAGCACTCCGAGTCCCACCAGGCTGGTCCGCCCCAGAATTAGCTAATATCCGCGAACGGGCGAAATCTGGAGGGGTGGCATGAGCTTGCTGACTCCGGAACCGGATTTCTTGAGCGGTTGCGGTTTGATAGAATAGAAAGTAGATTTCCGTGCCGTACAATGCGCCGGAAGAGGGGTAGACACGCAAGGACCGTTATGCAAGCGAAACACCACAACCACGACATGTACTGCTTCTACCATACACCATCAGCAGCTGGAAATGGAATGCACCTGTCTGAAAAGATAAAGAGACAGGTCAATGTGCCTGGGCATAGGGTTTGATGCATTTGACGGGTTTAAGTTTATCTCGTTAGCGATGGGAGTTCCTCTTTGTGAGGGAGCTCTAGCTGCAGCAGCTGCAAATGAGTCTACCAAGACAAGGAACCGCCGGAATAAAACATGAACTTCCAATATCTCCCGTTGGTTCCGGATAGGATCCATGAGCTCCGAGCTTGGTGTTGATATATGCTTTCGGTTCAGGAGCTCTGAATTATGCACCCTTCTATTGATATCAATGTTGTAGTTATTTCCAGGTAAACCAAATCGAGATGAAGTGTTTTTCCCTTGCAGAACCATTTAACGAAGGCCTCCGGACAGATTATGCCAAAGGAAGAATCTTCCAACGTGCGCTCTTAGGAGGAGGTAGAAGCGAAGCAGCTACTGAAAGAAGACTCCCTACAGCACAAATTGTTTATGTATTATCAGCAATCCATATTCATGCCTCTGAAGGTGCACGAAAATGACAAAAGTACAACTATTGTCCTGAACTCATATGCAGGAGCGGGGGGCGGGGGCTCGTGAGGTATACATGATTCAGAGGCTCTACATTTAAGCTGAAGGCCTGAACAAACGCCTTCACAATGCCAACTAGCGTAGCGCGATCGCGATGGGATGAATAACAAGATGCCCAGAAATAAGATCCGCGTCAGAGCTACGACAGGATCAGGATGACCAAGTGCCCCAAGGCAAGAGAAAGCTGCATCACATCGAGCAAGCAGACGGAAACAACCTGCAATCATTCATGCTTGACGAGTTTCTAGAGCTGGTGCGCAGATTCATGAAGCTCAATCGATCGAAGATTCTCCCTCTTTTCATTTGATAACGACTTGTAGAGACTTCCACTGTGTAATTTTCAGTGCGTTCGTGGCCACGTAGCGCGCCACAGGTTTCATAATGTCTGCGGCCAGAGCTGGGGTCGCGACAGTAGAATTCACACCCCGACAAGGCTTGCTCCAATACTTGTTGTGGCTATCGCATTCCGTGTGTGTTTCTGGCGAAGTTCTTTCTTTTGAAGGACCTAGAGAAGCCTGATCGACGTCTTCGTATTCATCCGCTCCGACAGGAACGGCACAATCCAATTTTTGCAGTCGCTCGAGTACAGCGGTAAGCGCAGCAATGCTACCGCAACGGTCGCATTTATTTAAGTTTTCGCTTTGTTCAACTTCTAGACAGGAATTAGGGACCCGCGGGCGTTCCGAGATATCATTGCGTGGACCACCCCTCCGCTGTAATTGCGGCTGCTCAGCCTCAATAAGCTCTCGGCGTTTTTCGTAGTCTTCGTAGTAGAACACTGAGGGCATAACTCCAACTGCAGCGGCGGGCTCCTCCTCCTTCGGCGAAGACGCATCAAAAGTGTGTTGCGTCCGATCGTGAAACCACAACTCGGTTACCTTCGCCGCACGGTTGTAGGAGGAGGCCGCAGCCAGACGAGCCGAAGATCTATTTGTTTTCACGCCGTCCTCGGAGTCTTGCTGCTGCTCGTTCTCCTTCGTACGAGGGTCCAACTCTCGAGCTGCAATCTCCACAAGTCCTTTCACAGACCACAGTGGGGCCACACGCTGCAATTGGAACAATTGCAAAAGAGCCACATAAGAAAAGCGCAGCGCCATGCTAACGGAAAGCTGCCGCGGTATTTTTGTGCATGTGCACATTCTCTTCTTTGTAGTAAGATTAGCACCAGGACCGGAAGATGCGTGGCTGGTGACTACTTTCTTAGAAGAAAAGCGACGATCTAGAGAGTCTTGAGCTTTGCCGCGGTTGCAGTACCTTCAATAAGACTCGAATCAATCGAGGCACTGCGCTCGACGCCCCGGCACGGGAGGCCATTTTCGCTGTCGCGCAAAGATGCTGGTGTCGATCTTCCAGAAAACATAAAAGCAAAGTGCTAGGGAGGGCACAAGTCGAGCAATGTCGCCCAGGAGAATCGTTCTAGCAAAAAAATCTAGCCCAATACCTGGTGAGACCGTTAATAGATCATGTTTCCGCTTTGATAAGGGATCCAGGATCCTACGAGCAAGGTGAGTCGGAAGTTCTCACTTCTCGTGATTGCTTACTTACTACATTTTCACTTCTGTTGCCCTGGTTGTGCTATGACTTCATTTAATCATGCGCGCACCATCAAACTGTAAGTAAGTGTCATGCTTTCAGTCCGACGGACCCCAAACCCGTCAGTATGACCCTTGTGCCTGGCTGCTGGCAAGAAACTAGCTCTGGTCGGCCGGAAAACCTTTCTGCAGGAGCTCGATCTCTTGTTGAAGAGAATCCGAATTACTATCAACTCCATAGCGGCTCATCACAAAGCGATCGTCGAATCAGTGAATGCTCTGCATGTAGTTGCTTCCACCTCAAAAGCACGCAGTACCAAGAAAAATTCGAAGTCAGCAAAGATTGCATGGCATTGTAGTTGTGGCATTTTTCAAACCGAAACTGTTTGTTACACGTCACAGAATAGCGTTACTGCTATTCGTGATCCACCCTAGAAAATTGTACTCGTTTCTATTTCATCAGTCATTTGCAAAATAGAGCACGCCACCACGCGGTCTAGAAGATCAAGATCTCCTACTACACTAGAAAATAGAAGAATCGAATATGATTATGCTAGAGATATGGACATGATAGACTTAGACTTGATTTTTGTGCGAAGTAATACAAAGTGCACTCTTTCTTGTTCATTTACATTTTCGACGAACTAATATACCGGATTCATCTAAGTACGTACTTTTGTTGAATTTCCATTTCGCCAAACGAGGACATAGTATACCAGTTTCGGCTTCGAGACTCCCAAAACAATAATCATCGGAATCAATTTCGATGTTGTTTGAGGGACTCGGTTCTAGTTCAACCTCAGATTTTCAATCTTATGCATTTCCATTTGTGCTTTCGCTTTCCCCTCCTTAACCATAAGATTCATTTCTCGTCGACAAGAGAGGGCGGACGCACATGCAGCGTAAAACAGCTACACACAGCTACTGCTACAGAAACAGTAACAGTGCGACAATAAATTTGATACAGAAACTACGCTCTGCGCAAACATGCATCCATGGTAAAATCTCCATATCCAAATTGCTTCCTCGGCAAGGTTCAATAGACCTCTTCATCTTCTACGCTCGTTGCAGCAGGTCACGGGCTCCCGCGTAGTAGTAACTTTCGTCATCCACCGGATTTGCTTCCCCACCAGCCTGCTGTGACGATGAAAACGCCCCTGATCCCTGGATTAGGATTACTACAAGCGCAGCATTACTACGAGTACGATACGAGTATGTGAAGCTGACAATAATATCACCGAAACCTCAGTCGTGCATCGTGAGTGATGCCTTCATTTTGATGTCAAGCCTGCTTCAAGTCTCGAGTGAATCAGGAATACAAACACCATGATCGACGGAGAACATGCAATCTCTAGTTATAAGTCAGAAAACCCATTATTTAATAGTATCCCGCAATAAAAACAAACAATAGAAACGAAAAACAAAAACAAAGAATGAAAACGAAAAACGCAAACAAAGAATGGAAACAAAGAATGGAAACAAAGAATGGAAACGAAAAACGAAAACAAAGGATGGAAACGAAAAACGAAAACAAAGAATAGAAACGAAAAACGAAAACAAAGAATGAAAACAAAGAATGAAAATAAAAAACAAAAACAAAGAATAGAAACGAAAAACAACAACAACGAAATGCAGACAAAGTGCCCAAGCTTCTAAGCGGCGAAGCCTCGAAACGATGAGGCCTCGAAACGCCGAAGGAAGCGGCGAAGCCGCGAAGCCTCGAAGCAGCGAAGCCTCGAAGCAGCGAAACCTCGAAGCAGCGAAGCTTCGAAGCGGCGAAGCCTCGAAGCAGCAAAGCCGCGAAGCAGCGCAGCCCCGAAGCAGCGAAGCCCCGAAGCAGCGAAGCCTCGAAGCCTCGAAGCAGCGAAGCCTCGAAGCAGCGAAGCCTCGAAGCAGCGAAGCCTCGAAGCAGCGAAGCCTCGAAGCGACGAAGCCTCGAAGCGGCGAAGCCTCGAAGCAGCGAAGCCTCGAAGCCGCGAAGCCTCGAAGCAGCGAAGCCTCGAAGCAGCGAAGCCTCGAAGCCGCAAAGCCTCGAAGCGGCAACGCCTCGAAGCCGCAAAGCCTCGAAGCAGCGAAGCCCCGAAGCCTCGAAGCGGCGAAGCCTCGAAGCAGCGAGGCCTCGAAGCAGCGAAGCCTCGAAGCAGCGAAGCCTCGAAGCAGCGAAACCTCGAAGCAGCGAAACCTCGAAGCAGCGAAGCCTCGAAGCAACGAAGCCTCGAGGCCCCGAAGCCTCGAGGCCCCGAAGCAAGCAGCGAAACCCCGAAGCAGCGAAGCCCCGAAGCCTCGAAGCCCCAAAGCCTCGAAGCCCCGAAGCAGCGGAGCCCCGAAGCAGCGGAGCCCCGAAGCAGCGAAGCCCAGAAGCAGCGAAGACCCGAAGCAGCGAAGCCTCGAGGCGGGGCAGCAACGTGCGAGACGAAACCTCGAAGCACGAGCCGGCGCCAGGTCGTGGCCAGAGGAAGCCTGCCAGGCCGGTGCCAGATCATGGCCAACCCGGTGCCAAACAGGGCCAAACTAACCGGCGCAAGGTCGCGGCAAGGCCGGTGCCAGATCACGGCCGAACAAAGCCCGCCAAGCCCGCCGGTGCCAGATCACGGCCAAGCCTGCCAGCCTGCCGGTGCCACATCATGGCCAAGCCTGCCGGTGCCACATCATGGCCAAGCCGGTGCCAGATCATGGCCAAGCCGCCCGGTGCCAGGTCGTGGCCAAGCCGATGCCAGATCATGGCCAAGCCGGTGCCAGATCATGGCCAAGCCGGTGCCAGATCATGGCCAATCCGGTGCCAGATCATGGCCAAGCCGGTGCCAGATTATGGCCAAAGCCTGCCAAGCCGGTGCCAAGTCAGGGCCGAGCCAGCCGGTGCCAGGTCGAGGCAAAGCCGGGGCCAGATCATGACCAAAGCCTGTCGAGCCGGTGCCAGGTCGTGGGCGAGCCGGTGCCAGATCATGCCCAAGCCGGTGCCAGATCGTGGCCAAGCCGGTGGGTGCCAGAGAGATCATGGCCAGGCCAGCGCCTGATGAGAAAGATCAAAGCCAACCCGGCGCCAGATCATGGCCAAGCCGCCCGGTGCCAGGTCGCGGCAAGGCCGACGCCAGACCATGGCCAAGCCGGTGCCATATCATGGCCAAGCCGGTGCCAGATCATGGCCAGGCCCGTTCCAGGTCGTGGCCAGGCCGAAGCCGGCGCCAAGTCATGGCCAAGCCGGGGCCAGATCATCTCATGACAAAGCCAAGCCGGTGCCAGATCATGGCCTAGCCGCGCCCGCCGGCGCCAGGTCGTGACCAAGCCGGTGCCAGATGAATCATGGCCAAGCCTGCCTGCCTGCCTGTGCCAGAGCATAGCCAAACCGGTGCGGAATCATGGCCATGGCAGCAAGTGCCAGGCCGCGGCCAAGCCGGTGCCAGCCAAATCATGGCCAAGGCGGTGCCAGGTCGTGGCCACGCCGGTGCCAGGTCATGGGCATGACCGTGCCGGTGCCCGATCATGCCCAAGCCGGTGCCGGACCCTGGCAACGCCGGCCGCTGTCGGGCCCTGGCCAAGCCGGTGCCCGACCATGCCCGCCCCCCGCCGCCAGATCGCGGCCACGCCGGTGCCAGCGTGCAAGATGACGGCAAAGGCCAACCTGCCCGCCGCGCCGGCCGGTGCCGGATCGTGCCGACGCCGTTCTGACGCTTTGAAAATCGCCGGCAGATGGGCCTGCCTGTGCTGAAGCGCCGACAGCGATTCTCTACAGAGACGCGCTGAGTGCTGCTATTCATCTAGCGGAATACTATTAAGTCTGCAGGTTACTGGACACGGGAAGCGGGATAAGGCTAGTAAAGGAAAGGGATATGCATTTCATTCTTTAGTACAAAAAGTGTAAGTGTATGAAGGAATAACTCTTGACACGGTCTGGCAATGCATATGCAATTCGACTCTGTAGCTAGCGTCACATGCCAACGCGGACCACGGGAGGTTTGATCATCATGATAGCGGCGTGGAAAAGGAAAAAAAGTCGGACAGCGAGAAACCCGAGCTCGCTTTCTTCATTCGATACGGGCCGTGGGACGAAGACCCGCCACCGCGGCCAGAAGAATAAGAATACGAGAGGTCCTCGCGCGGGCCAGCAGCGGATTGCCCTTCTCCCCGCTCGTTTTCTTGCTGCGCGAGCAGCAACATGGTGCGCCTGGGTGGATTTCCGAAGTTCGCTTGTTCCGCCGGTGAGTCCGAGTCCTTCGCAGCCTCCTGGCTAGTACGAAGAAACGGCGCGAACCTGCGGAAGGACGGGTGTAAATTCGACAAATTCAACATCTCACTGCTTGCGTCGTTTTCCGCTCGTGGTGCTGGTTGGCGGTTTAATCCGGTGTCACCTTCTGGACTTGCACCTCGCCGTGCTGATGGAATCCCAATGCAACTCTGCGGCTGCTCTCGTGTTCCACTTGTTGTGACATCGACGGTTTGATAACTACTTGTGCCGACGCAGCCGCTAAGCCAGTCGCGAAACACGATAAGCGGCGGAGCCGGAACAACGTCAGTACCGGCGGCAGGCAATTCGGTGGAGTCGTCGATCCTTCCCCCACGTCGTGACCGGGGTTCTCCGTTGGGCCTGTAGCGTCCGCGTCGCGACGGTCTTCCAGATCTCCTACTTCCAGAGAAGGAACCGCCCGAAGTTGCAGATGGAGACATGGTGTACGGGTCTCCTTGCTGAAGACCCTCTTCCGTGTCGCCGACCTGCTGTTCCTGTGCACCAACGCCGCTACTGCTGCTGCAGCAGCCACCCAGAATGACGCGGCGAAAGGACTCGAACCGCTGCGAGCTTTCGGGCCGGCAGCACCAGCAGAGCGACCGGATGAAGTCCCGCCATCGGTTTTCGTGGAAAAACTCCTCCTATGGATTGTACAAATGTCTGGGTCTGGAAGGTTGGAACTTGTAATGCTAGCTTTCCATACCTAGACAATCTGTATTGCATAACCAACAAAAGTCGCAGCCTCTTTTGTCATGCAAAAACGCAGTTTCTAACGCGGATTGCCTATGAGAAAGCGCTTTGGGAAGTTGTCATGCCGGACTGCATTCGGAAGTGTTTTCATCATGCACATTGACATTTTAGCATCACAAGTTTCCAGACCCAGACACTTTTGCATTTCATACCTCCACCAGCGACAGCCCTCGATAGAGGTGCACCAAATCGGCGCCGGCGGACTCGGGCCAAGGCGACCACACCTTCCGCACACAGGCGGTGCTCAGGTCGACGACTTTCAAGCAACAAGCGTCGCTGAATCCACAGCAGGGTACGCCTGTTGAAGAACCTCCTGCACCTGCTACCCCCCCGAAACAACAGCAGACCCCGGCGCCCGGCGTCGAAGAGGAGGGTAGAGCAAAAATACCAGGACACGACGGGCAGCTGCTGGCAGCGGCCGACTTATTTTTCGCCAAGGTGCTAGCGAACGCGGTCGTGAGGGGACTACACCAGGTAGCAAGGGCGTTCCGGAAGCAGCAGAAGGTCGGCTCGGGTTCTGTTTCGTTCCCGGAAAGAAGGCCAGAAGGGGTGGCAGATGCGAGCGACAAAGAGGGACGCCGTCTCACACTCCCACCAAGGTGGTGTTGCTCCGTAGGAGTTCCTGCTGGTGCTGCAGCAGTGCCAGCACTTTTCGTCGTCGTCGGACAACAGCCGCAACAGACCCCCGTCCCCCGCAAAACCAAGTCCGTGCAAACCAGTGGGAGCGAGCTGGCACAGTCGTCAGCGGTGGCCCGCAAACACGCCTGACAGCCCGCGAAGCTGCGCTCTGGGTGCGGCAATCGGCGGCAGCGAATTTCGTCTCCCGAATGCCTGCTCAGCATGCTCGTGGGCCGGCTTGGGCCGGCTTTTGTGAACAACAAATACATCTTTTCACGCCTCGAACTCAGAGTTCACTTTCAAAGAAACGACATACATGTCTTTATCTCGCTCGCATATGTATTCCTGATTCAAATTTCATCCACCATGCAGTGCTCGTTGACCAAACACCGCCGGTCAACGGCGCTTTTTCATTTTTTCAGAGACCGATTGCGATACGGTTACGGATGAATGAAAATGTAAGGATGACGACGCACATCTGTCGAAGCACGCGTCTCGATCACGAAACTTTGAGGTGGCGCGGATGCTGGTGCGCGCATGAGCCGCAAAGTTGTATCGCATGATAGCTTTCTTCCTGTAAACAGAAGGGACAGTAGCCGGTGCTTTGCGCCAACCAGAGTGACGTTGCACCGCTAACAATTCGCGCCCGCTATCCTGCACAAAATCATCGTTGTAATCGTGTGCGAAAGCGAATAAAGGAAAAGCGAACATAAATATGAATATCTCCTTGCTTTTCCATATCCATTCGTAAAAATGTATGATAAACATATTCGCATACCTATGTCCACTCCAAGGAGAAGATCCAGCATGTTTCACTCCAAGGAGAATCTGGCATGCGTAGCGTAGGAGCTTACCAACAGACACGATGCAATTTGTGCGATGCATACCCACAACCCACAGTCGATGTTGATGCAGACTAGGTGCGGCCCCGCTCCGGCGGCTTGCGCGGCACAGAGCCCCGAAAACAGACAGCAACAACTCATCGCACCGCACAGGAACTGGCGCCGGTGAATTTCAGCCTTCACAAGGTCCACGGCCCAAGGCAATCGCCGCGTCCACGCCTGGCCTTCCTCCGTCGCCAGCCATGGCACCTTGGCGATCAGGGCCGAAAACTCGGCTTCCGTCGGCGAGTGGCCTCCCAGGACGCGGCGCAACTGCTCGACGCGGTACCGGTGGGCATTGGCCATCGGTGTGTCGGTGTCGACGCCACGTGGTGGTACATACGACGAACCCTCCTCTGGTTGCACATTTCCCGCTTCCGCAGAAGCTGATCTTCCTGGCGGCGGAGACGGACGTCGAGAAGTGGCACCGTGTTGCCCAATATTTCTGGGTGCCCCCGCCGGTGTGGTTGTCGTGTTGCTCTCGACCGCGTCCTCCTCGTCGCAGAAGAGCTGAAAGAGCGCTGACTGTACCTCGCGCAGTCGCTTGGGGTTGATGGACGAAGAGGGGTCCACTTCGTACGAATCAAAGCGCATGGTAAAGGCCTGTTGCATCGGCCGTGCCGCGTTTACGCCCCCTGCGCTAGTGCAACCATTTCGCAGCGACGCCTCCTCCTGTTCTATCTGCTCAAAATACTCGTCGTCAGAAACCGAAGGTGCGCAAATGTTATGGAATTTTGCACAGCAGGAAGGCAATTGCTCGCCTTGTTGTTCATCTTCGTCAAGATCCGAATCAGAAAAGTCCTCGCCGATTTCCTCACAACTGTTTCTGTTCGTCCCGAACCATCTATCGTTTTTCCTGTTAGTACTTCCTGCGCGGCTGCGCGAACCAGGAGAGCGGGCGGCTCTCCTATCGTGTCGCCGCTCGCGAGGAACGTCGCGGCCTTCTCGTGGTTGATGCTGGTCACGTCTGGCGCTCCTGTCGACGTAGAAATGTTCTCGATCGTCAGCTTCATTCAGGGCCAGTGGGTGCCAAGACGAACCACGCAATGGTCGTCTTGACAAACTTTCTTCATGGCGCGGTTGCTCTTCTTGTATTGCTGCGGGCGCTCCTCCGATCAACATGGAGTACAGAGAACGAGAAGCAGTAGAATCGTGTTGAAAAATTCGCGTAGCCGGAAAAGCGAAATAACCGGACTCTGTAATACATATATGCATGGCAAAGGAGGAGCTGCCCACAATTCATATGCTAGCAACGCGGACTCCTGACATGACAGGATAGGAAAAATGAAATCATAGGTACCCAATGAATGAGAATCAACCTTAACCTAAGACAAACAACAGGCCCCTAGAAGTCTTTTCGTGCAACAAAAGGCGTTTCCATTTGGTTTCCAATCACTAATGAAATTTGCATCCAAAACACTTCGCAGTACTGATCAGGCTTGACGCTTTTCAACTTTTGTTTGATACGCAGAACGACCACCACTTTGGCTCTCCTCGTCGAGATCGGGGCTTCGCTTCCTGAAAGCGGCTGTCCCATCCCCATGCGAACTTCGGCTCCCATTACCCTTTCCCCGCTGCAGCAACCCGCTCGGGGAAGTCCTCTGTCGCTGTCCCACATCATCATTTTCACCGGAAGCCTCCACCAGTTCTTGTGCGTCCGAAAAACCCAGCCGGGAGTATTCAGCTGAGGCGCTCGGAAGGTGAAAGAGTGACCTCGCTGCGACGAAAAGGATCGGAGCAGAAGCTCGTATTGTTGCATCTGACGTATGGCCTTCCGGACCAAAGGTTAAGGTACCGGCAAACCAGGCAGGGAAAAATAAGGCCGACAAATTTACAACGACCCAAATCCACAGAAGCATCGATATTGAACGAGCCCCTCGATGATAAAGAAACCAACGATGTTTGTAGCGCTCAAGCAAGAGCAGGAACTTCATCGTCGATACTCGCGTCCTAGTTGTACCTCTGATGATGTATACTTGATCACCACGGACGAGGCTGCTCTGAGTCAATAAGCGTTTTCTGATCGTGTCATCTCCTCATGCATTGATTCTGTTGTTTTTCTTTTTTATCTAATTCCCTAGCCTGCGGCCCTCCTGTCTTTGAAAAAGCAGGGCTACACAAGTAGGAAATACACATAGAAGTCCTTCATTGCCTAGACAACCTATCGACGATCCACATCCAGTGGTCCTCAGTGAGTACCCAAATGCGACAAGCAGAGTAGATCAAACAGCGATAAAAAAAAATTGAGGATCACCACGCGAACACATGGACATGCGGCATCATGTTTTCGCGTGCCATGCAGCCGCGCCCCCCTTGTCATCCTTGCGAAGCGTCATGCTGGACTTGGTTCGAGGATCAGCTCGATCAAAATGATCTTGGCTTCACTACGTTTCGTTTCTTTTTGCAAGACCGACTGTTGTAGAGCCGTGTGTTTCTTTGTAGTACGTCATATTACACACCCTGACTCCGCGTAATTCTAATGGTGGAGGGCCAGAGCCATTTGCTGACTCTCGCCGTTCATCTCCGGAGGATCTATAGTACGTTCATGTGGTTCTTGAGTGTGCTTTCTCAACATCATCATATCTTTCTCCTACTGTAGAAGTTGAAGGATTGTGCCGATTTCCTGCTTCCTTGCCGCGTTTCTTCGGTCTTCATCGCAACGGCATTTCTAGTAGAGCAGTATCTCGCCTCCCTATGGATCCTTCATCTGTCGGAAGAACGTCGCGGAAGAATCGCTTCCCCCGAGGAGCATCGAAGACAACAAAAGCTCTGCATGGTCTCGGTATGAGATGGAAAACGGTCCCCATACGAACGAGCCAAGCAACCTCCATTGGTGGAGTACTAAACTTCATGATTACATCGTGACCGCTCGGACTGTGTAGGAGTGCCCCTTTGGTTCTACACTTTCACTTTGGCTAGCTTTGCACATAGCATTCATCTTGATGCGATGCGTATGCTTGCTCTCTTGGAGGTTGTCACAGTGTGGCGCAGCGTTGATAGTTCATGATCATGACAGGGCAAGTGCATGAGCCTACCACTTACTTTCAGCTCTGCGTATACCAAAGCAGAGGGAAGAGGTCCTCGTTGGAGAAAAAATTCATTCACTCGGTGCCACGCTAAGTAGCACAGACATGGAGAATCTTCTTCCACCCGGGTGCAGCTCGCCCAGGGGACTAAAAGCACTCGTTGACACAAGGATACTCGCTGCCTTTCCTGCTCGGCAGCTTTCTCCAGTGCCATGCGGTGAGCTTCCTTTTGCAGGTCCAACACGCACAAAAAGTTTGTAACGGGTCCCCTGGCAGTCGCCGCACCGCCGGCACGCGAGGCCGGCGAGCTGGACCCCCGCCTGCGTCGAGGTGACGCGGAGCGAGGCGATGCAGCAGAAAGTACAGGTGAGTGCGGCGCGCATGGAGATGGCGTGCCAGTTCTTCCACTTGCCTCTCTCGCCGCTGCCGTTTCGTCTCCTACAATTTGTTCCGACGCGGCGCCATTGTTTTTCCTCGTCGTGCCGGCGTGGATGAGGTCGGTACCACTGGTACCACAAGCGCGCTCCTCGGGTGCTAAAAAAGCCGCGTCGGTAAAATGATCCGTGCGTGGAAGGTACAGCTTTCCGTAAACGTCACAGTCTACCACAACCCAGTTCCGGTCGTGCACGACGCCCCGCACGGCCTTCCCGGATCGCAGAACCTTGTAAAACCGCCCCGTCTTTGCGCAGTATGCCGGTGTGTCTTCGTGTTGTAGATCCGCCTCGTCGTGGTCGTGCGAGCCCGCGCCGGCGGACGTGTCACGATGCTTGTTCATCGGATCAAGCGCAAAGTTCTCCGACGCGTCCGCATGGACGTACACGCGCTCCCGCGGATCGTTGGCGGGCTTCGTGAAGTATGGCAGGAAACACGCGGCAAAGTGCTTGGTTCCGCGCGCACTGTAGAGTAAAGCTTTGCTTGTTCCAGCACCCGTACTGCGTTTCAGCGGACTGTCCCCTCCGCCGGCAGCGTTGACCAGACCGACGACACGGAATAGAAGCTCTGCTCTGTCATCGAAGCGGAGCCCGCTAATACAACCACTACTCGAGGCCAACGCACCAGCAGATCCCTCAGTCACCGCACCGTACAGTTGGTCCTGAACGCCTATCGTTGATGGTTGTACTATCGGTTCCAGAAAGCTCGCTGTCTTGCCTGACGTCCCGAGTATCGGTGTCCTAGTTATCAAAGACCGCTCCGAAACGCGAAGCTTAATTTTCTCAGGTCGGATAGTTTTATCGTTCTTTCTTGTTGTAGTTTCTGCACCTTGATGTTCATAATTATTTTGGCTAGTCTCTAGAACCAGCGGCAGTGACACGATTCGGGACACCGACAGCTCAAGAGGAAGGGCGAACACGACGCTGAAGCGCGGCTCTCGCAGGCAAAACAATCGCACCGGAGGGGCTACACTCTCGAGGTGCAGAATGCGCCGCAGCGCGGTCTCGATTTCCAATACCATGCGACTGGAGACCCAGCTACCCAAGCGGAAGAAACGGCGAAGGATGCTGTTGCACTCAGTCAGAGCCTGCGACCAGCGTCGCGCGACGGAGGCGTAGTCGGCCGCAGTTTGCAGCACGTAGGGCAACAGCTCCGGCGGCGGCGCATTCTCTGAGTTCAGCCGGGGAACCACGAAGCCCAGGCAGCTGGTAGCTGTTGTCGTGGGTGAAAGGAGGAGCATGCGATAGCACCGCCCAGATTCCTCTCGCAGCAGTGCGCTCAAGAGGGAGCTCGCAGAAACCTGTGCGGTTGCGGCCGGAGCCGGGGCGACAAGCTGCCCGACTTCCATTTTACTTACACGGTAGAATGCGAATGAAAGCAGAATCAGGGACTGGCGTGAGAATCCGATAAAGAGAAACTACTGCCAGCATAGAGCTTCTCAGCTAACGGTATGGAAGGGGCACACTGGGCCACGTCTGCTTGGCAGGGCCGTCGGTTCTACGTCCAACGAACAACAACGCTGCTTGTCTGAGGCAGAGGCTCACAGTCACATTCATTCGTTGAACAGGGCAATGCAATAATATTCGTATGATCTTACCAAAAGAGCGAAGCGTGTCTTCTAAGTTGAAGTTCCAAACTACTCACGTTCCAGGCTATACGTTTAGGTGCTAGGACCACACTCACGCTCGTCTCCAACAAATATTTTTGGGTCATTTTTCAAAATTTGCCAGGCCCCGAGATTGTATTTTCACCTACGAAACATGAAATTTTGGCTCCTCGCGTTGGAGGCCCCTATCCGGTGTTTTGGTCTGGTTCTGCTCGCGCTGGGCCTTGCGTTCTGTTGTAGGGAGCTGCAAAGCTACGCAGCCTCCGCCTAGTAGAGAGGTGCGCCACTCCAAACACACACACACACACGGAATGATTGCTCTTATTGCGGCGCTCCTCTCTCACCCTCGTCGCTACAAGAAACCTCCTGCGCTCTAGCGCAGATTGATTCTGGCGGTTCCGGTTGGGATTGGGTTGTAGACGCTGCCGCTATATAAAGCTGATCGAGCATAATACTAACGCCCGATCGATATACACAACTCGTGTGCCGATCTCTTGGTTGTGACTTCGATGTTTTTTTTGGAATCGGTCTTCTTCTACAACTTCTCATTACTACAAATCGCTGGTCGTCTTTATTCATTGGTTTTTTAGCTTTGTCACCGGAGTCGCCGTCCACGCTCGCGGCGATCTGCCATATTGATATTCATACGTGTTCAGTGTCAGAATTCCAAGTTGCAATAGTATCATATTCATTCAATTTTCGCGCAAGCACGATAGAAACTCGAAGCGTGAAACAGATCATGAAACGTTGTTGTAGTACAGCCTAGTTGTACAATCGAAAATTCTGTCTTTTTCCTACCAGGATCAAAGCAAAGGCGAAACATCGGTGGAAGGGGAAGACATGAGGATGAATTAGAGTCTCTACTTTCTTTGCAGATCATCCTCTTCCTCAACATCTCTCTTCTTTACTTATCATGATTTTGATCGTCCTGTCGTAATCGGAATCACATCGCAACTACCACTTCCACACCGTGAAAACTTGCAGCTTCTTCCATTAGGACGTCGAACGAATTAGGTTCCCAAAACCTCCTGCTTCCTCGTCGACGATCTCGGGAGTTGAATTTGAGGATACAGATAAAAGGTCTCCCTCCAGCGGGCAGTCCGCCAGCAGTTGCAGGCCTAGCGCTTCGGCGTGGTTCGTAGCCGCACCGCCGGCGCTCGCATCGCTTTTGGATCCTGCCCGTGATGACGGAAACGACAGGGATCTTTTTGACTTTCCTTTTGTAGCAGTGGATTCCGTGTTTTTATTTCGTTTCACGCGCACTGCCTCCGAAGTCTTGTGGTTTTGGCGGCTGTTTGACGGGGTTGATAATGCCGACAAGTCTACTTCGGAAGTAGTCGACATCATCTTCGTCGCTCCATCTGGTGGTGCGCCACCGGAGGCGGAGGTGCTCTGGGACTGTGCAAACAGACCAGCTTCAGACGAAACTCCTGCTTGCACCGTTGCAGTCCCGTTGTCCCCAGCGATGCTGTGGACTGGTTTGCTGTTGCTGTGGATTGGCAAAACGTCAGATTGTTCTGGGCCAGCGCAGTGGCGTGTGCTACCGGAGCTAGTACTGCGCTCACCGTCGTTACACCTGGGCTCGATTCTAGGAGTTGATACCACCGTGACTACTTCATCTTCTACGGCAGGCACTACTGCACGAGACGCAGCTGTAGCCACGATGGCCGTGGAGTCATCTGTACTGCCAGATGATGCAGGGTTCAAGGCTCCTTGTGCTTCGCCTTGTTCTGGTAGACTTGAAGACGCCACTGCTCGTGCCGCCGCATGTACAATTGGTGAAGAAGGTGCTGCAGCGGCGTCGTCTACTACCACCGGCAGCGGCGACCGCAATGGCTCGCGATCAAGACGAGAAGCGAGAGGGGGGGAAGCATCCTGTCCGTCGTCTCCGACAGTGGCGCATGGAAAAACGCCACCTTTGTTCTTCAGCTTCCAAGGTGACGGGGTTGCACTTTTTCGTCCCTGTAGTGCCGTCTCATCCGCTGGCTTGGTCGGACTTTCAAAGAGCTTCCGACGCTCTGCTACCGAAGAGAATGGAGCCGGCCCCACTTGTTGCGTCGCAGCGATCACGTCCTTCTTGTCGAACCCTGCGGAGCACCATGGGTCCGCAAGACAAGCGGGCGACGCAGCACCACTTGGACTGGTTGAGTTCTGCTCTTCTTCTTCCTTCGCGTTGGCATCTGCACGTCCAGAACCCAGTCGCTGCTGCAGATGTAAAAAGTGGCTTAACAGTTGATCCCTTGTAGTTTCACGGTCTCCGGACGATGCCTCAGTTTCCCCTGGAGCAGCAACACAACATCCCTCCAAGACTAGTTCGACCAACTCGTTTACAGTAGACCGGACCACTGCGCCGGTGCCGGCCACAGAGTTCTCGCATCCCAAACCGTTCATGCTTGTTGTTTCTTTGTCGTTGGTCTCGATCGACGGCGCCGGCGCAGGCATTCTGGAAAGTTGATGATCTTGCAGTTCTATGCTGTGTGTGCAGGCATCCGATGAGGATATTATACCGTGACCATTGCTAGTCCTCTGCGAGTAGTTCGAACAACTACCAGAACCGCCGCTACATGCTAGGTTCCGCAGCAGCGTGGAGATGCGAACAAAACTGGACTCGGCTTTTACGTGCAATTGCGTTTTTCCCTCGAGTTCTAGGCTCTTTGCTCGCAGCACGTCGCGAAGGGCCGCAATCTGCTTCGCCCACGTGCTCTCCACGTGTTCCTTTTCCCGGTTTTTTTCCGCTAATTCTTCCGAAAGCGAAACTATTTTTCTTTTCAGGGTAATTTTTTCGTTCTTTTCTATCTCGAGCAGCTGTAGCGGAGTTTCGTTCTTTTCCTCCCGCCGGCCGCATGGCACTATGCCAGTAGTAGTCGTGCCGTCCCTGCTGGTAGTACCGCACTGGAACTCAGAAGTGACGTCGACGGGGCCATCCGGGACGACTTCGCGAGATGGTAATACGCCGTTAGTCGTCGTTTCGGCAGTATTCGCGCGCTCGCGTTTTACGTGCTCCAGCAACTCCTGTGTGGAAAGGAGCTTGGAACCAAACGCGGGCTGACCGTGCCCGTGACCTTGACTCGCTGGTCGTGGTCCACCAGCAGGCAGCTCAGAAAAAAAGCTATTGCCATCTGTACCTGCGGCGCTCGCTCGTTCTGGTTTGTTTGCTGCGTTAGGTCGTTCCACGCTAGCACTCGCAGGGGGAGCTTCCGTAGTTGCTTGCTCTTTCACTTTTTGCTGTTGTCGAAGACAAGAGAGCTCTGCCCGCAGTTTCACAATGGTGTCCTGGTCCTGCCTGCGCGCGAACTTCAGCCGATTGCTTTCCGCCTGCAGCTCCTGAATTGTTAGGGAGGATGACTGGACGGCTTCCAAATGCTCCTGGAGCCCGTTGGTTACTTGGTGCGCTGTTCCTCCATCAGCTTCAGCATCACTGCCGCGGCGCCCTTCGCTGTTCTGTTCCTTCTCTTGCGGGCGGAGCATCTGCAACTGAAACGTCAAGGAAGAACTTTCTCGCCGGGTGGACGCAGATGACGGACGTGGTAACGATTTCGCGCACCCCGCCTCGCTGCCGAAGTTTTTGCTGGAAGTGGAGATGAAGTTACCGACTGTAGAGCTGCTTGAGCTCGCACTTCTTGTTCCTTCGTTTTCTTCGCTGCAGCTCATCGACCGAAAAAAAGCGTGTTTGTGGTCAACAGCCTTTTCCGAGAGAGGTGTCTTCTCTGCTGCGTCGGGCGGCCGTGTTTGCGCGAAAGCAGATGCAGAGAAGGAGCCTCGCTGAGTCGTGAATCTTGGCACGTTCGCGAAATTCGATGAATCTTCCACCCCGCCAGTACAGGTGGTTACGGCATGTTCGCTCTCGGAGATAGAAGCGGCTGGATCCACACCAAAGTGCGCGTGCGGGTAAAATAGCTGGGGCTGTTTACAGATGGAATCAAATCAATTCTACGCGTACGCCCGTTCGTCATGAATATAAATTTATCGATCCCTGCGTACTATTTTCAATGGATACCCATCATGCTTGTTGAGACTATCGACGCCAAAACGGACGTCAATAACTAGCCCGCGCACGATCCGAATCTCTCCGTAAGATTCTGCAACGGAGTCAGTTAGAGGAGCTGCAGTGCTACTTACTTCTTCGACAGAACTATGCTTCGGAAACTGGCTAAGCCTTGTCCTTCAGCGTTACATAAAAAAAACACTTGTACCGGGCCGAAAACAGCTGGTCCATTGGCATGATTGTGCCCAAACAGGGGAGCGGTCCGCAGTCGCGTCTTTGAGGAGGTTGCGTGGTGGTCGTCTTCTATGTAATGCGCATGCGAGTCGTCATCGTGTGCAGAGAGTTGCAGTTGTGATGGCCGTCGCGGCTTGGACAAGAAAAGATGCTTCCTCTCCTCATGATCTCTCGGACGACTGCGCTCTTCTAGGAGCTCGGAAGTAGTTTTGGGCATTGCAACTTCACTGCGAGGCGGCCCCTCTCGACGTTGAGAGCCACTTCGCGCTGGCAGTGTTGTGCCGGAAACGGATGCATGTACGGAGGCGGAAGTCGCTGAACGACTGCTCAAGCCGTGCGTACCGTCGGTTGGACGCCACCGCTTTAGATTGACTCGCTCTGTCGACCCTTGCGCGCCAACGCTCACAGTAAGGCTTCCTTCGTGAGAAGAAGCTGACTGGGGCGACGAGTTGGGCGGTAAAAAAACCGGGTCAAGGCGGTTCCTTCTACTGCTGCAACTTCTTCGCGTTTGGGGCTCCAAGTTCTTTCCCGGTGCAAGCACCTCGTGCTGCTCTTGATGGTGCTGAGATGAAAAACAATCCGAATTCCCAAACAACGATAGGCCGTTCCTAGTCGCGCCGGCTGGTGTCTCCGGTCGCGAACGCGTATGCTAGTGAACAGCTCCTCCTCCGCTTCTTTTGCATAGTCCTACCTTTTTCTGTGACTTTGGGTTGCCATGATACCCATTTGATTTCGTTTGCACTTGGCTGTGTTATTTGTATGACAGTTTCCGGAGGAAGACACAAGTAAAAAACTAACCACAGAAGTCTAGGTACAGGTAGTTAAAGTTATGCACCAGAATTTCCTGCATTCTTTATCTTGCCCTAGCAATCGTTTCTATCTTTTGCCAAAGTTAGATGCACGTCGGCCAAGAAGAGGGCGGGGTAAGACCTATCCACTTTCGTAACGCGAAGCTGGAGAACGAGAAACGCGGGTGGACCGGAGCAAGAAACTCTCTTGCTTTTGCTGGGCAACTCTACGCTCGCGCTCCCGTTCTGCAGCGCGCAGAGCCGCAGCCTCCCTTAGTGCAAGTGCCACGTAAGGTGGCTTTGATGTACTAGCTACTTGGTCGACGTCCTGCACAATAATACCTCGGTTTGCAGCATTCGTGCCAGAACTATCGTGGGTGTGCGGGTTCGTCGGCAACGCATCTCCTACCGTGTAGAGATCCGCCCTCCAGGCTGGACTTTCAGCGTGGTGATCGGGGTCGTGATCAATACCGTCGTGACACCCCTCATGCTGAAAGCCATACAGCGATGGATCCTCGAACGCGGGTGAGGATTTCAGTCTCGTCGCGGACTCTGCTGTAGTTGCTACTGCTCGGCTTCCAAGAGGAGGAGGAGCATGCGCGGGTCGCTCATCGTAATTGGAATGAGGAAGGGACTTTACTACGCGGTAATCGCCCTGCAGATGGTGCTGTCGCTGCTGCTGGGCTTTGAATCTGCGGATAAAGTTTCGTGGTGAGAATGAGCGCTGCACAAGCCGCAGCTGATCGGCCATCTCGGCACTGCGATTATTCGTTGAACTGCGCAGCGAATTCCGCGCGACACTCAAAGCCCGCTCGACCCGGTGCTCTGGCGATGCGGTTGTTCCTGTTCGCGGGACACGAATCTGCAGACTTTCCGTCAGTTTTTCCGGACTTCCCAAGAGCTCGACGAACAGCTGCGCCTTGTCCCGCAGCTGCAAAGATTTTAGATTCACCCGCGATCCGGGAAGCGCTTGGGCCGCGCGCGGCGCAGGTTCTTTATTTTGTACTGGCACATTGATATGTTGAAGATCTTGTTTATCTTGCGTCGTTGTTCCATCCTCACGCAGCCACAGATGCAGTCCTTGGCTTGTTTTATTTTCGCCTGCATTTTTATTTTCTCCTTTTTCATCAACTCTCGTATGCAGGAGCGGTCGTCGTGCTCGATCCGCCGTCGAGGACGTCCACTTATTTCCCCCTGGCACTGCACCACCTGGAGACACAGAAGATCCTTTGCGGAACGCACCGGGGGGGCGATGGTTGGGTGAAAACGAGCGGTGCACACGCGCCGAAAAGGACGTCCGCATAGCAGTTCGCGCACTTTCACCGGCTTGAGTGATCAGAGACGACACAACAGATGATGCGTTCAAGAGCTGGCTCCTGCCTTCCTGCATCCGCCGCTTGACAGAAGATGATGAGGACACACTGCAGTGCGGAGAGATCACTGCGGAGCTGCCGGACAGAACGGAATAAAATGATGATGCGTCGGCAGCAGGGAAGGCAACTGTTGCGGCCGGAGCTTTCAGCTTTGAGCCATACGCATGGTCTGCAGAAGATGTCGACTCACCCCACGTTCTTGCACCGTCCAGAAACGTCGCATCGCCCGTGGCAGCTGATGCTGCTTCTGGTTCCGCCGCACGTACGAACTGCTGCTTTCGAGGATATTGCGATGCAGAAGCAGCAGATGCTGAGGTACTAGAAAAACGGGAACAACTTCCGGAAAGCTCGTCAACTCTGCTGGAATATTCGTCGTGCGACGGAGCAGCCCCCGCGTTCGCCGGTGCACAAGCGCCTGCCCTGTTTGATGTCCAGCTTGATCTACTTTCGCCTGGGAGCAAGCGTGGTTCGGTTGCTGCAGCGGCACCACGCGCAGCACCGCCGAAGAAGTCTCTGCTCCCTCTGCTGCTACTGGAACATGACGACGCAGACGACGAAAAGGGTGGAGTAGTCGACACGGCTCCCGCTGCAAACTTGTCCGCTGCAGCGGTACCAAAGCCCTGCTCTAATTGTCCTCGCATTACCGTAGTACTGCTGTCACTTCTTGACGCACGGAAACTTGAAGAGGCGGAAGATGACGCTTTCTCCCGATCGGAATCTTGTGCTAGATACACTGCTTTATTTTTAACTCGCGAAAGCAGTGCATCTGATCCTGGAAAGGAACTGCCGTGTGGAGAACTGACCGCCCCAAAGAGAGGAGACTCTTTCCCGAAGTCCGCAAATTTCTGCTCCGCCGCCGTTCTTCTGCTGGTTCTGGAAAAAACAGCGTGCTCCTGACGGGGGTCTGCGAAGATGTTGCCCAATGGAGACGATGAAGTCTTGCGCGGCCCCCGTGACTGCAATGGGCTTCGACGCAACAACTTTCGGCCAGTGCTGGTCATCGCGGTCGCGGGTGGCCTCAGCGATTCTTCGGGCCCACGGGCCCGAAGATCGGAGGAGCTGCCCGGCGTGGATGCTAGGAAGATGTTTGTTGCGCCCTTCTTCACGCGTGGTGAGGATCTGACGCTCTGCATCATGTCACTCCCGGAAGGGGGAAGCCAGAGCAACTCATGGTCATCATGGCTTTCGACGGCGCCGGCTTCCCGCAGCGCGCGGCCCGTTGAAAGCCGGCGCTCCCGCTCATCTGCGCGCCGGGGTGGGTGCGAGCCGGGTGCTACCGTGTTCGCCGAGCCCCCGGCGTTAGTGCTCATTTGCATCTGGGACAGGAAACACGCCAATGCTCAACCTCAAGCAATAAACACGATATTAACTTTCATGTCCAGTGCCGGCACTGCTATATGATGGCGCAACAGAACAGCGACCTCAAGTACAAGCACATCCTCAGCCTCTAAGTTTAAATCTAAATGCGGAAAGCATGAAGTCGACAGTCCGGAGCAGTAGTCTATTCTCAATAGCAAAAAAGCCCGGCCCCTCTTCATCTTCTTCACCCAGCATCTCCCATCTGTTCGACTCTTCAAAATCACGCAGACGCAATATCGATGTTGGGAAGTGCAGCGGCTCGCGTTCTTGCAGAGTGCGTCTGACTGGCGATTCATTTATTACGACGATCTCGGCGACGATTTTTTGAAATCATCTGCTCTGGTGGGAATCTCAAACAATCACAATCTCGAGCTCGACGATAGCGAAAAATAAATAACACGCGCACGAATATGAAGCAAAGTCGACTTTCGCCGGCCGGCAAGCACGAAAAACTGAAAACGATAGAACCTGGCATGGGCTGTCCCTGCCGCTGTGGCGATTGCGATAGTAGACAACTCTAACCTTTATGTTATCGGGCATTTCTGTTGACATGACACCGACCTTCTGAGCAATGCAAAAGGGTTCACGAGAGGACGAAAATGAACACAATCCCCTGCCACGATAAACGCGACTCGGTCACCGTGCCAGATCACTACACCACTGCGTCTCATTTTCTGATTCTGGGGAATTTCAGATTCAGCTGGTACTGGAAATAAAAGCAGCTGCTATGGTACATTCACAATGAGGTGCAAGTGGTTGTGGTTCGGAATTACTTGTCAAGAAACAAAATCAAACAGGACGAGATTCGGGCAAGAAAAAGGTTTTCTCATGTTCATTTGCATTGCTGGTTCTGATGAACCCAATTGTTATGAAACGCAGACTACTACCTCCTCTATCTCTAAGTCTGACAGCAAGCGCAAGATGGATAGCATACACTTTCAAGAAACGCCCGTCTGTCGGGATGCAACATCACATCGAGCTTGCCGCGAAGACAGGACGGATGGACACTACACATGAAGCAACACATACACCAGGCACTGTTGAATTACTATCCCTGTATCAAAAATACATTTTTTGTTTTTGGGGATCACGATGTAGCAGATCATCGACGGCCCACAACGGTAAGCGCCAGGAGTTCCTTGCGGTTCTGCTTGTCCAACACATCCACCATCCGAAATATTTTGAAACTTAAATCGAACGAAACATAGTAATAGACAAACTGAAACCTTGTATATATGATATCAATTTTTGTTTTAATGCTGGCCCTACCACGCAAGTGACAGTGTGCCATCGATTTCCATTTCCTGAGCATGGGTTTTCATTTGATTTAGAATATAGATTTCTATTTGTTGGTCATTGAATTCCAATCGCAGTAGGCGTGATCCTACCCTAAGTCCGATTTCCATTCTGACTCTTCTTGTCTTCTAAACTCATTTTGTGGCGAACAATCCGTATCCGAATTGACTTCTTATATCGCTGATGCTTTTACCTAAAATTGCAAATCGTGTTGGAGCAGCAGTAACAAAGCCAGCGCCGCACAAGCTGCGCGTGCGCGCCCTGCTCAAAAGTTGGTTTTATTGTTTCCACGGGATACCGTTCTGCGCGGCCTGGCGACGGGAGAAACGCTCGAAGATGGCGTAGATTCCGTCGACGAGCCACTTCCGGACCCGCTAAATAACGAACACCCGGAAGAGGTAGAACTTGATTTTTGCCTGCGATCGGCAACTGCACCGAAGCGCCGGCCCCCATCGGAAAAAAACGAGGGGGGCGCACTGCTGCTCGGGAAAACCTGGCTGCCTTGGTAATCGTTTTCATGGTAGCTTGCCTGCTGGGTAGGCGGGTAGGTGTCGGGCTCCTCGTGCAGTCGTCTTCTCGCTGCGGGAACTGAACCTGCATCCGTGGCGAGCTTTGAAGATGTCGTCCTGGTCGTGGTCGAGTGTGGGGATCGTCCAGGCATAACTGGCCGATTGATGCCCGAAGGCCCGATACCGTATAGAATCCGAGGACTCGAGATAGCTAGACGCGGCGCATCGTAACAACTAGCTTCCGAAGAAGCAATATCTGCTAGGCTCCGAAGAGAATAAAATACAAATCGGCTTGATCATTGAAACGACACTGGATCGGTAAAATCTAGTCTCCGAAGAGCGCACAATAGTCGTAAAGTCTCCGAAGAGCATATTTTTTTTTGGTCCGTAGCGTCGATCCTGCCGCCTGCTTGCTGTCGCTTGCGAGTCGCTTCTTTTTTTGCGATGTCGAGATATGCTCCGCGGATCAAATATCCAGATCACATCTAGCTTCCGAAGAAGCATTAACAGCTAGGCTCCGAAGAGAATAAAATACAAGTCGGTTTGTTCATTGAATCGACACTGGATCGGTAAGATCTAGTCTCCGAAGAGCGCACAATAGACGATTAGCCTCCGAGGAGTATTTTTTTTGATCCGTAACGTCGATCCTGCCGCCTGCTTGCTGTCGCTTGCGAGTCTCTTCTTTTTTGCGATGTCGAGATAGGCACCGAGAAACAAATATCCCTATCATCGAGGTAAAGATGGTATTGTCTAAAGGTAGTTCGCTCGTTTGTTGTTGTGGATATTTCGGTTTGGTCTATTCTAGTTCTTTTTTGCGATACTAAAAAAAAGTTCAATGGCTATCTAAAGTTCTTTTTAATTACCTTCTTCTCTTTCGGACTGGAGATCTTAACAAAAAGAATTTCTTCGACTTTCTAAAGTTTTTTAGTTACTTTCATCCGTTTCGGACTGTAGGACTCTTTCTATTTTTTCTATTTTTGCTTTAGTGTTTTTTTTCCTCCTCGTGGCACTAATCTCTTCGTTTTGCTCCCCTGATCTTTCGTCAAACAGGTCCAATTCCCAGATTTCTTCTGCTATACTGTCGTCTCTTTCGCTGCTGCGGAGGCGGACGTCACAATCCCACAGAGGTACGTCTGCGATCGCTGGACTTCGGCCTGGCTGGGAGGTTTTTGTGGAGCCTCGTGGCGCTATATGCGGGGTCGATCCCGCCATGAAGATCTTTGCGCCTCTTGCTTGATTGGGAGCGAGGTCTACCGCTTCTACCAGGGCTACGAGGAACGCCTCAGCAGCTGCTGAGTTCTTCTCCATCATCCGCTGGCTGCATCCGAGAATCAACAACGGCTTCCCCGCGGATATTACTTCGGGGTTGTTTTCTATAAACTTTGCTGCAGAGAAGATGCGCGCTGATTCTCCTGCAACGTAGTCGCTGAGCATCTCGGCGTCAATTGGCGCGAAGGAGCCGTCGGCTTGTACTATTGTGGTGAATTTGGAGAAGTCTGTGGTGGTGTCTGTCGAGATCCATTTTATCTCTATGTTGTTTCTTGCTAGCTGCGACGCGAGGCGGATCCCTCTGTAGGAGTTCGTTTGAGAGATCGATATGCTATCGTCCCTGAGTATTCTCAATCTTGGTTCTTTTTCGTCCTCGTCTAGCCCCCACGTGCAGAAATCCAGTAGCCCGAGATCCCCGTTTGATGCTGCGAGGAATCTCCTACCGAATGTGGAAGACTGATTCAGCGCCGCCTTTCTTACTGTTCTGAACATATTTTCTTTCCAACCTGGATCCTGCAGAATTCCGGAGAATAATAGTTCGGAGTCGGATACGTCGTGCAGCTTTTTTCTTTCTAGTAATCTTCGCAGGGTTGACGCCTCGCTGTCGTCTATCCCGTAGCAAGCTAGAAGTTTCTTGGCGACCTGCTGCATTATTTCACTCACGCCGTCTGGGTCGAAACATATCATCGGGCACAGCAGGTGGCGGATACTACTTAGTGCCACGTATTGCGGGATCAGCTTGTGCTCAGAAGTCCGGATTGTAGACGCGCCTCTTCTTAGTGTTTCTCGCACTATTGCCATCGCGAACCATATCTTCTGTCTGCAGCTGGTTCTGTATGCTTTTTCTATATCGCTAGCGACCGGGAATCCGAAGAGCTTGATCGATTCCTTGACTTCTATTTTTTTCCCTGCTAGCGATAGGAAGCCGGCTACTTTCTTCTCGAGGTCCCGACGCGCAGCCGAGCTGGATCCGAAGGCTGCCGGCGACTGGCTCTGGCTCGTAATGGTGCTGTCGTGCGGCTGGGAGAAGTGGCTGAGGATCACGGCTTCGCATTTATCTGCCGCAATGAAGGTTCTGGTCGCGTAGCACCACTGCAGAAGACTGTCTGTGATAAGCTTGCACAATCTCTCCAGGTTGCCATTCTCTATGTCCTCCATGGTGAATTTTATGCTGATCTCGGTGTCGTCGATGCATAGCGCGGCCATCAGATTGCGCCAGGCGTCCTCCCGGATCACTCCTTCCTTGATCTTCTTATTTATCAGCGATTGCAGGTCATTTGCTTGATCCTTCTCCGGCTCCGGCGCGCCCTCCGCCCTGAAATGGTTGACTAAAAACATTCTGTCGATGTCCGCGGAGGTGAACGAAGCCGCTGAGGGAATTTCGAATTTCTTCGCTGATACTGCTATCATATTCTGCAACAACTCGCCGGCCGCGTCGATACGGCTGGACGATAGGGCGTCGTCATCGTCCATGCTTGCTGCGATTGCCGCTTTCGCCATAGCTACCCAGTCCGCACATAAGATTTTTCCTACTGCTAATGCTGTTCGGGTGCCTTGGATGCATGAGGTTACTTGCTTTACTACTAGATGCTGTTTCTCCGATTGCAGATAGATTTTTTTGTTGCTTTGTCTCAGGAGCCATCTGACGAGAGCTGTCGGGTGCGGCTTTGCTGACTTGAGGATAGCGAACGCGGTGGGCCTGCCGATGCAGTTAAACATCTGTCTCCAGTCGAAGCTTAGTTTCAAAATTAAGCGACTTCTGAAATTTTGCAGCCATTCCCGTTCCTTTATCCTCAAAAGCTCGGCGCACAGCAAGTTGATTTTCTTCATGCCCCCGACTGCTACCCCTTGGTGTAGTTCTCGTCCTTGAGCTAGACACTCGAAGTCCGCGAAGAGGCAGCTGTCTAGTAGTCTTTCTACACACTCCTGCGAAGCTGTCAATCTTAACTTTGGGATCTCCGTAGCTCTGCCTCCTTTGCCTAGCGCGGCCGTCGTGTATCTGGAGCCTCTTCCGCCGATGATTTCGTGAAGCTTTTTTACATCTTGTTCCGACCTAAGAGCTTCCAGCTCTGCGTTGAAGATGATACGCAGCTTCTCCTTGCCCCAGTCGGGTAGGCATTTGAAGACGCTACCTTTTACTCCAGAAGGGCCTTGCAGCTCGTCGCTTTGTAGTTGTAGTTCCTTCTGGAATAATTCTGGATTTATAATCAGCGGCAGGCATTTTTTTGCTTCTGCTAGCAGCGCCGTAAGCGTCTTCTTGTAGATCTGGCAGGAGAAATCGTTGTCGATCAGCAGTGCCTCCAACGTCGCCGAGTACTTGTAGAAGTTCGCTCTGGCTACTGCTAATAGGGCTGACCAGGGGCAATCCATTACGTCTCCTGATTCTGTGCGGATTCCTTTGATTTTTTCTATCAGCTGGCCCCTTGCTTTTCCTATGAAGCTTTCTTTTGCTTTGCTTAGTGCGGACGATGATCCTGCTCTTGGGTGCTTGCTCTTGATGGCTGTGATTTTTTCCGGAAGCGATAACTGGTTATAGTAGATGCGGCGGTCAAGCTTTTTGTCCTCGAGCACGGCCTTCGCGATTGCGTCCGTAAATGCGTCTTTGTTGTTGGCCAGGAGAATACGACTTTTCTGCTTTTCCAGCGCGGTCGCAATCTCGTCTTTTATCAGCTTCAAGCCTCTGGGAATTTTGAGCGCGTAGAAGATCCCTTTGAATTTGTCTCCTTCTGGAACGAAGTTGAATCTCTCCGGAGGGCTCGGGTGCATCCTGCTCGGCAGCTGAAATTCTTCCCAGTTCGCGTAGATCCAAGAATCGTTTTTCCATGCTGCGCTCCAGCCGCTCCGAATCGAGTCCGTGTCGTTGATTCTCCATGCACTTCCTCTCCAGCGACGACCTGGATCAACAGCGGGGTCTGATTTGCGGAATAGGGATTCAGGTTCTGATGGCGCCGCGATTACTCCGTGGATCGCTAGCATGGCGTGGTCGCTTGCTAGCTCTGGATCGTCCACTACCTCGCCTGCCGAGTCCCATCGGGAGATCGACGACGCCCAGGATGCGACTAGCTGATTTCTGTCCCTGACAAACATTACGTCCAGCGCGCTGATGTCGCGGTAAGTCTTTCTCCCTTCGAATTGAACTATTTGAAACCCTGCTGATATTGCAATAATGAAGTCGCAGAAGATTTTCCCAATTTCCTTGGCAAAGTTGGATCCGTAGTTCTTCTTGATACTCTCCTCGAACAGCGCCATATCATCCGTGGAATGATTTATGTTGATGTCCCCTGCTATGAAGTTGATCGCAGTTTCCGCTGCTGTTTTCTGGTGCGATTTCTCTATTTCATCCAGTTGAGATTTAATATACTGGATATCCAGGTGGGCGCTGCTGCTGGATAACGGCCTCGCATATATCTCGAGCGTGCTGCAACTGTCGTCCGCGGCTAGAGATGCCCATAGAAACAGGTCCTCCTTCTTTATTTCGTTTGCTATTAGCTGCTCGCCGATTGTGTTGCTGCTTGGGGATTTTCTTGCCATCACTGTCCACGATTGCGCTACTTCGAATTTGCTGACGCCGCTTGTCGAATCTGTCGCTGATCGATCTCTTCCTTTTTCTTCATTACGCTCGATTGATCCTGCGTATATAAATGTCATCCCTACGTCGGAGGGGCCGCCGCAGCTTGAGTTGGACGATTTGGTGATCAGCTCTATCGATGACTGTGTGTCTTCATTCTGCTCTGCAGAAATCGCCTCGGGCGGGCTAAATGATTTGGGTTCGCATCCTCCTACCAGAAGCTGCGTCCGCTTTACTTCCCGCAATTCTGCGGCGTCTAGTGCTTTGGAGAATGCGCTCTCTAGTTTCCGCTGGTTCGATGATATGCCGTTTATGTTGAGGTGGCAGAACATGATCATCGAGGAACTATCGTCGTTTAGCAACTTGTCCTCGACCGCTTCGCTTACTGCGGCTAGGGCTAGCTCGAACGCCTCGCATGATTCCTCGTCTTGCTCTAGCATCGCATCCATCTCCGCTCTGTGGCTGTACCAAGCAGAAACGGGGTCGCCGGCCAGCTGCTTCATCAGCAATCTTGACCAGCACGCGGCTCTTCCCTGTCCTCCTTCCTTCTGAAGAATCCATGCTGCACGGCTCCCGCTGATTCTAATCGATACCTTGTCACATGTGAATCCTTCGTCTTCCGGGTCGTCAGGGTGGATGAAGAAGCTGTTAGCTGGGAGCGCTTTACCGGATTGTCGCAGCAGCTGCTCCACCACTTTGATGAGCGGTCCTGCAGCAGCACGCGCAGAGCTACTTAAATGTTGCTGCGCAGCAATGAACACGCCCGAACGAGGAGTGGAGAGGAAGAAGTCCTGAATCTGCGTTGATTTTATTATTTTTATTCTTGTCTTCCCTTCTCCGTCATCTATATCTTTGTCGATTGCTGCTGCCATTCGAAGATCGTTTGATGCATCAATGAAGTACGCCGTCCAGGCGTTGGCAGGAGCTGTAAGAAGGAAACGCGCTGCTAGTTTTATTCCTTGATCTGGGTCGAATTTCCTGCATCTGAAGATGATTTCGGAACTCATGTCGTCGCAAAACAGTACGCCGGTCGGAAGCTCTCCTTTTATTCTCCTCCTACGAAGCTCCGGAATGTCCTTGATCATTATTTTTTCTTCCGGTTTAACTTTTACGAAGTCGCACTTGCTTCTGCTCTCCTCTCCCGGGTTCATCAGCTTTGACGAAACTCCGCTAATACCTGGCTTGGCGGTTATCGACTTGAGTGCCGCGGGCGACGCAAGACCTTTAGTGGCTGGTACAGCGGGAGCGAGCGGGGTCGCGCGCGGAGCTACAGCGGAAGAAGATGATGACGCAGCGCTATCAATTTCTGCTGCGGAGGATACGGGATGATGGCAAGGCTCGGAGATGTGTGACATTTCTTTCTCTAACCTTTTCTCGAAGGCTTTTATCACCTTGCTTTTGAACTCTCTAATATTCTTCGGCGGCAGCGGCTGCAGTTCTGATTTGCAATCTCGCAGGATTCCTATCTTCTCTTCTCTTTTCTTGTGACACAGAACTACAAATCTCTCGAACGTAGCCTCTTCGTCGTCCTTGACTTTCTTCGCCTCCCAGAATTTCTTGATCCATTTTTCGTCATCGTCCAGGAATTTACTTATTATTCTTTTCAGATTTTCTTTCCACCCACGTGCTTCATTTCCAGTTTTTTTCCTTATCTTCTTGGCAGGGCTCGTGAACTCTTCGGCACCTTTCAGCGTGCATTTCGGGATCTGAGGCGATTTTGCCTTTTCTGGCAGGATCATGTAGACTGGCTGCTCTACCTTCTTCTTAACCTTGGCCGGCGGGCCCCCTTCCGCGGCGAGCTGATCCGCTGACGAAGCAATTCCGATGCTTGCTTTGATCTTCGGGGATAGTGCTCCGGATCCCTTCGGTCTTTTTGCTGCTAGCATGTTGGTGTAGCCGGATTCTTTGAAGAGTTTTTTTTGTCGGAGACTGGTCAACTTGATCTGCCATTCATGATTAGTCCTGTTCATTTCCGTCCTTGCTGCTATTTCCCTGTTGTCGCGCAAATCCAGGTCGAAATTGGATTTGGCGTGGAATAGCTGCAACTTCCCGAATCCTAGTGACTCCGCGGCTGCAATGAATTTGTTCTCCGACTTTATCAGTGCTCTGTTGATTTCAAGCACGATCGCTTGTCTTTGTGGGATGAAGAGGTGGCTTTCTGTCTTTTTCTTGATGAAGATGGAGTTGAGCAAAGGATCCTCGTCGTCGCCGTCCTCGTTATAAAATTCCGCGGCAGCTTCTTTTCTTAGTTCTCTAAGGGTCGAGCACAGGCGCTCGATACCCTCTTTCCTTTTCTTGTTCCAATCGGCAATTTCTTCCGCCGGCATTCCGTGACTCAATCCCCGCTCTAAAGCAACTTTGTCGTCGAAAACCGAGCCTCGGGTTAATGTCGTCGTCGTCTGGGTGAATTCTTTTTTTTTAATGCCGCTCGCTTTCGCTAGCGCAGATATCCAGCGCGATGCTATCTTGCTTATTATTCCGCTTTCATCTTGCGTCTTCTTCACTCTATTGTGCTCCCCGTACAATGCTGTTGCGATTCTTATCGAGAAGGACTTAGCCTGCGCTGCATCTTTTGCATCTTCATCCTTCGCGAAATTTGATATATGCTCCGCTGACTCTTCTCCGTAGAGTAGCAGATTGGCTCTTGCTACCGAAGACTTGCCGGATGATGCTTGTTTTGATAATTTGGATGCTGCAGCAATAAACGCGCCCTCGGCGTCATCGTCGCTATCTACTACTGCTTCCTTTTTCCCTTTTTGCTTGATCCAGTCCTTCGCATGGATTCCTGTTATGAAGTTTATGCCTACTGTTCTTGCTGCCGTCTGGATTGCGTCCCCGACCTTCTTGCACTGCGCCGCTTTATTGGTCTTATCTAGTCTTAAATACAGGAAAATGACTCGTTCCTGTAGAGGGAAAGGGAGGCTTGCTAATCTTGCTTCTGCTGCTTCGTGAAAAGCCGCCCGGATCTTGGCTTTTTTCGCGAATTTCTCCAAGTCTTTCAGCCATTTCGAGACGCTCTTGTCTTTGCCTTCGATTGTTCTCATTTTTAGAATCAGCTGGAGGCGAGGCGTCGACTTTCTTGGCTTCTTCGGATAGCAAGGACGATCCTCCTCTTCCGCCTCGGGGAGCAGGATGTCGCTGAGATCACTAAATACCGACATTTTATCCGAGAGGTCCAGGTCGCTGAAACAGGACATTTGGTCGTTGTCCGAGACGTCGTCTTCTCTGGCTGGTGGAGAGGCGGCTACTTTGGGAACTGGGGCGGCTGGGCGGGCCGTGGAAGCCGAAGATCGGACCTTTTTGGAGCTGGCTACTGACCCCGTGCCCCTTAGCACTATGGGCCCTACATCTGGCACCCCGTTTGACAGGCAGACGTGGTTGATGAAGTCCGTCTTGTCGTAGAATATAGCACCGCAATCCGTACATTCTAGCTTCAGCCTCTTCTTATCGTTTTCTAGTATTATTGTCGCGTTTGCTGGAGCATGCGGAAGTTCTCTTCTGGAACTTGGACGACGTTTTTTCCCTTTCTTTACTTCTGACGACATCCTTGCCGGGCTGCTGGGCTCCGAGCTGTAGTCGATGAGCTTATTTGTGCGACGTATGAAGGGGGACAGGAGATCATCTTCTGACGTCAAGCTCCATCTCGATTTCGGCACGGGAGAAAATTGCGCGGAACTGGCTGCTTTCTTACTTTCTCCGTTGTTATTATTATCCTTTATCTTGGACGCAAGCGCGTGGCTCTCTTTAGCGGGGCTGGTGCTGCTAGTCTTGTCTCTAGCTGGTGCCGAATCTTGCATTTTTTTTCCGATATCTGGATGACGCTCTTGCAATTTGGGCTCCCGGACCTGGTTGACTGCCGATGAAGAGCTGCTAGAACCGCTAAAACTGCTAGAACCGGCAGAAGGATCCGATGAAGAACTGCTAGAAGTGCTACTCTCATCCGATCTTTCCTCCTTTTTTGTGGATGTGCTCGCCTGATTTTGCTTCCTGCTTCTTTTGACCAGCCTCTTATGATTCTCGTCCTGTTGGAAGTGGAGCTTGAGCTTGTTTCCGCTACCATAGATTTTCCGGCATAGATCGCAACTCCAGCCTCTGTTCGGGCTCAACGGGTCGAACCAGAACTCCTCGACTTTGCTCGCATTGTCCTTGCACCATCCGATCGACATCGAGTTTCTTGAATGCCTGTCCTTGTTCATGTGGAATCGCAAGTCCTTGATTGACTCGAATCGCGCGACACAGCATTTGCATGTCCAAACGCCGTCTAATTCATCGTAGTAGATGTCGGAATCTTGAGAGAAGGAATCGCGGCTCGAACTTCTGCTGGTCTTTCTGCGCCCCGGGTCGGACCTATCTGCCAATCCATCAGCGGAGAATAGCTGTTCACTTTTTTGAAGATGTGTGCGTGGCGACGTGGTGATATTCTTGGATCTACTGCCGATGAGGTCTGATCTTCCCGAGGGATCGAGGAACAAGGGATCGCGACGAGAGCTACTGCTGTCCAATCTCGCTGCGGGCTTGTTCCTAACGATCTCGCTGTCTGAATGAATCTGCGACGCCTCCGCTGAGGCGCTTCCTGCGGGGGGTGCTCGAGATATCTTTGCGCCACTGGAGGAGGGGGCGGCTTGGCCCGCGGAGCTGGCTGAGCGCTGCGAGATCGTCGAGGGCAGGGTCTTCAGGTCACGCGGAGACAGCACCGGCGCCGGTTTATCGCTGTTTGAATCCTTCGATGCGTCTGGAGGGTGGAGCTCCTCTGGAAACGGCTCCTCGCCGAGCTTCGGGAACTCCCAGCTTATTATGTCGGCGCTCTTGTCCCATGCTGATTCGAAGGAAAAGGGCGGCAATTTTCCCCTCACTAGGCCCGACTCCTTCCAGATTAGTAGGCGCTCCGAGATAGAAAAATTTTCGGTTTTCTTCTCGTCTATGAAGATCGTGTTTGTCGACTTCCAGTGGATGACGTGGCGGAAGTCGTCGTTGCCGAATTTTAGAATGACCCGACGGCTGCCCTGGGACGCTTGTCTGAACCAGGTCGCAGAAGAAGTATTTAGCCGAGCGCTCTGTGCTAGTCTTGCAATGAACTCCTCTAGTTTCGCTTGACTGAGCTTTATTGAGCCTGCTTTCTTTCCTTTTTTCCCGGCTAAGCCTGCGTGGCTTCTTCTTCTGCCTAGTGCTCGGAGCGGAGTCCTAAGGTGTCGCCGTTTCTTCAAGAACTCGATGCTGATTTTCGAGGCGACGCAGCAATCGGGTCGTATGACTTCGATGTGTCCTGATCCGCCGGGGGATTGAGGAAGAGAGTAAACGACCGCTCCGATGTAGGCCCCTTTTACGTTTCCCCAGGTAGTCGGCTTTTCTTCGTCCTGCCTTAAAAGCGCTCCCTTTCTCGTCCATATTGCTGATTTGAAAACCAACACGAAGCCTCCTGATTTGGCGATTTTATTTGCGAATTCCTCGCAGCTGATATCCTGGCCGGCTTTGCAGATGGATGATCCTAGGAGGATGCTCTAGGCGGTTTCTGCGCAGCCATCCGCTGATCTGTGACGGTACGTCCTGATGGCTTTTGTCGTCTTTTTCTGCGGCCTTTCGGCTTTGGCTTGGGCTTTTTTAATCAGTAATTCTTCCCACCAGAGACCTTCCAGCCAACGCCAGTTTGAAATCAGCGACCTACTCCTTATCTGCTTTTTCTTTGTTCGACGCTTTTTCTTTGGCGAAGAGATTTTCCTCGTATTTGTGGCTTCTTCTTCTTCGATGGTGTCGTCGTCCGGAGAGGTGTCAGCGAAAAGTGCCGCAGCTGCTGGGAAGCTTGACACATGCGGATTTGAGCTGCCTCCTGTTATTAATTTTTCTTTTTCGGATACCGTCGTGGGGTCGCTATTTGAGGTCGAGGTAGTTTGCTTGCTCGATGACCGAGAAAAGTTCGATGAGGTGGATGCAGCTGCTCCGCTTGATAATTGTAGCCGGATAGATCCCCATGCTACTCGTAGAGGACTATTGCTTGATGTGCGGCGACTTTTGCTTGTAATGGCGCCACTCGAATTCGATGAGGATGAAGATGCCAGCTTTCTGCTAGTTGATCTCGCGAGGTCGGGAATCAGCCGGCTGAAGTCTGGGGCGCAATAATGACTCGATGCGGCGCGGCTTCTACCTGTAACGAGCTGCGGAAAGTCTTCTGTCGATAGGATGCTCCAGCCGCGGCCATTAGATGGATGAAAAGCGGCTTTGACAGCTACTTGATTCGATGGTAGAGTGCCGCTGTCCCTCTTTTGGATTGTAATTTCTTGGGGGGATGTCGTGGACGTTGATGCCGGCATTGCTTTTTGTTTGAAGAATGCGGTTGGTGGAGCTGATTCTGATCTCATGGATGCGATCGCGGTTGCCCTCGTAATTGGTCTTTCTTTCTGCGTCGAAGTATCTGGCGGGATGTCGCTATCTTGGAGGTTGACCATCTCCGTATCCCTTGTGTTTAATTCGCTTGACGGCATAGAGGGTGGGGTCGATCTTGATCTGATCCGGATTGCTTGATGCGAATGGACGAGGACGGCGGTCAGCTGCGGCTGGTGGGCAACCTCGTGCTCAGTGTCGTCCATTTTCCGTGGTCGCGATCTGGAGGTTGGCGGAGAGGAGAGCGATCTAGTCATCCTGGGCCGCTGGGGTCGCGATACCAATTGATTTTCTGATTCTACTTGCTAGGGGTATGCTTTTGGGGATTTTTCTGCAAGGAATTCGTAGAGACCTGCAAGCTCTTGAGCTAAAGGAAATCGCAATGCCAGATATAAAATGCGTAACAGCAAGAGGCGCATAAGGAAGAGCCAGAGACATTGAAGCATATTAGCGAAAGATGAATTGAGGGCCACTTTGCAGCGTTTGCGGAAGCTCACTCGCGAGGATGACTCATGACGATGCTAATACGCCTAAACGGGAGATGCATAGGAAAAAAATGACCGATGGGACAGTGAAGATTTTTGCTTGCTATGGTCAGTTTGTACCGCTTTGCCTAATTTTGTGTGCAAGAATCAGAGAAAAAATTGGCGACCGAGTGTCGGATTCGTCTGCTGGATGTGGACGCCCGGGACCGGCTTCTCTCCACCCCCACCAGCCGGCGCTTCTACCTGTCCACCCTTGGCTGTGGTGTTGGTCGAAATGGTTCGCGACGGTTGCGACAACTGCTCGAGTCGATCCGCTCCGCTTTTGGTGGTGTTTTTTTGCGGCCCACCTCTTTTTTGCTCGTTGTTGCGCGACGAAGCGACACGCGAGGACACTGACAGTCCGCTCGTTGTATTGACTCGTCTAGCATGTTCAACATCGCTGTGGAAATCCTGCCGATCCGAAAGGAGAATGCGGCGTCGCTGCCTTTCTTCCCCGTAGTTCTTGAGCAACCCGGCCGCGTCCTTCCGCACACAGCAGTTGCGGAGTAGCAGGTCGCGCTCCCAGGATGTCAGGTCCGCTGCAGATGATGTTCTGGTTGTTGTTGATGTAGTCGGATGATTTGCAGTATCATGGACGTCCGCCGAAGTGTTGCATTCGTCTCTGTATGGTCCGCGAAGAGAACTGATGTCCTCGGGACGGACTCCAAACAGCCCGAGCTGTCCGTTATTAAGAGTTCGCACCTCTCCCACCGCCGTTACAGTCATCCCTGCGCAAAGACACTGTTCTTTCAAAAGCAGAGTTGCGCCATTTTGGAACTCTTGACCGAAGAGCTGCTCGCCCCGCGCCCGTTCTGTCTCTGTCAGTAGTTGATGTCCCTGCGCATAAAATTGTGCGGCGTTGCAGTCTTGGAAGCCGGTCTCGACCCGTGGCAGTGAAGCGGCACGCTGTTCCGACTCGCATTCGCGATCATCTTCGTAAAGGTCGATTTCTTCATGGACCCCATCGTCATAGTACCGGCAAAGGTTCCTTCCGCGCGGTTGTGAGCGGAAAGGAGCATCGGCGAATTGGAAAAACCCCCGGGCCCTGGCTTCGAGCACTTCCCGAGACGTTGTTGAAATGCAGTTTGAAGGAACAGTAGTCGTAGTAGAGAAGGGCGTTCGTGTCTTGTCAACATCATGAGGTCCCCGCAGTTCCTCCCGCTCCCGCTTCCAACGGACAGCATCTAGGTCCAACACCTCGCGGACCGCCGGCCGAAAAGCCGGCCGAAGGACCAGGCTCGTCGCACCATAGGCATGTTGTTCTGGCGCGGTCTGCTCCGTAGGTAAAACCCGACCGTGTGCTGCTTTTGTTCTCGGCGCCACGAGGGGCGCCGAACGAGCAGCCATGGCGCCGGGACCACGTGAATGCGACGAATGAGGGGGAATCCTCTCCGAAAACCTCATCTGTTCCACCATGAGGCAGACGGCGTCGGTTTCGCTGACGAGCACAACTTTCTCGCTGTTCGCCAGCCGAATCCCGAATCCTCCAGAGACGCAGGCGTGGCGCTGGCAAAGGCTCCGTGACCCAACCTCGAAGCCTCCGGCCCCGCCCTCCTGTATGATGCTTGCCTCCCAAAAAAGGCAGGCGGTCTCTGTAAACGGGCTGCAAATGGCCTGCTGGGCAGCGTCTTCATCGAAAAATGGGGCAGCCCGCGTTTTGCCAAAGAGGTCGCCAGAAGTCGAATGCTCTGCAATAGAAATCCCGGTCTCCGGCAACGCCACGATCTCGCCTTGCAACCTGCATACCTGCCGGCGGCCGCCTACTTGCAACGCAGGCGAGGAAAGCAAGCGCAATGAACGCAAACCATCGTAGTCGCCATGTTCATACTCCTTCGTCGCACAAAGAAGACTACAAGAGGGCGTAATATTGGCACGGCTTCCAGCCGCAACGCCTTGCTTCTCGGCGCCTGTTGCGCGAGAAACCCGCTCCGGTACCAGGGGCGCGGCTTTGTTTTGCCGCCGCATCTTCCTCGACTTTGACGTGCTGTTCGCCAACCTACTTCTCCTTCTTCCTGACACGGACGCTCGTGTGCGAAGGAGTGCATCTTCATCTTCCTCTCTTCTCTGTGTTGCAACGGGTTGCTGCGCACCGTCGGGCTGTTTGTTCCGATGGATCGTGTATGGGCTTTGACCACCTTTTTCCCGAAAAGACGCAACGAAGAACCCCGTCCCGTTGGCCTCGGTTGTCATCTTCCAGGTGCCTCTTAAAAGCGGCCACGAAGGAAGCAAGTTAGTCGGCCACCTCGGGGTCGTGTTGAGAAGCAGGGCGGTCGGATTGAAGTTCTTGTTCTGCACGCGCAGAACGAGAATCATTGACACAACGAGGCCGCACACAAACAGGAGCCACACCAAAGTCGAACTGGTGCGTGTCGCAGCAGCGCTCCGGGAGGCCGTTCCCTGGAGGAGGGCCGACTGGTGGGACTCTATCTCCTGGTCAAGAAAAGCGGGAGAACCGTCGCGCCGCAGAGACTTGTGACTCGTCGGGCTTGTTGTTTGGTTCTTACTCGGTTGCAGGCTGGAGTCGAAACTCTGTCCTCGGCGGTTCTGAACCTGTACGTGTACGGAATCATATCTCCTAAGTTACTCATCTTCGACCCACCTGGACCTGCCCTCGTCCTGACAAACAAATCGGACGGAAAAGACAATGTAGTGCAAGCTTCTTAGACAAAAAACTATTTCTTTGTCAGGCGAGCTTGAAGAGCTGCCCTCGTCCTGTCGTTGGTTTCCTGAATGTTAATTGTCTGCGCTGGATTGCATTGAGAGCCAGGCAATTCGAGCGACGCAACACCACCCGTTTTAGCAGTGAAGGGAAGCTCAAATGAGGTCCACCTCGCGCTACCACCCTCACGCTCAGTGTTCAAAAGATGCAGTCCTAAGAGCTGGAGAGCATCCTTAACCCCCGACGAACCAGCCACAGAACCCGCCGCCTCTTGGGTTCCGTGGATGTCGAACAGGAAAACAAGACCCCAAGCTTGAAAGGCCCAGCGGCTTGCTTCTTGCGAATGCAGTAAAGCGCACCGGAAACGAGAACTCCACCGAGCTTAGGACGGAAAAGACAAACAAGTCGAACTCGTATTTCCACTGAGCCTTCTGGTGACTTCCATAAACACACAGTGATAATGACTTAAAAAAAGCACTGATACGTATTATCATGAAGTAGTTGTACAACTACCTTCTAACGATACCTCAAAGTTTTTCCCGCCCAAATCTTGACCAACAGCAACATCTTGATCATCATGTGCTAGTAAAAGCACCTGCGTGTTCCTCTCTGCAGCTTTTTTGCCTTCTCCTCCTGCGGCGAATTTGATACGATCTATCCTCTGTAAAAACGTACTTACGCAAGCGTCTCTGGTACGTTTACGCTTCAGGACTACATGCAGCTTCGCAACACAACTCCTACTTCTACTCTACTTCTACCTGAGCGTGACTAAAAAAGTGCGTTTTTACACAGGATACGATCTTCTTGCTCTGCTTGGTGACTGGGATCATTTCCGCCGCCAGAGTGCTTGACCGCAGCGTCAGGTCGCTCTCCTCCATCAGCTTCACCAACATCTCGTGCTCGTCGATCAAGGTATTTGACTTTGTTGTCCTCTTGTTGCTGCTGCTGCACGTCGAGTGCAATCTGCCGTCTCCGCACGAGGCGATCCAGCGTTTCCTCGATGCTTTTGTCTCTTCTTCGGAAGATTATCTCAACACCAGCAGAGCCGCCACGGGGCTCAGTAGACTTCAGAACATTTTGACCACTGGAAGTTGCTGCGACGGCAGGACGAGGCCCAGCAGTGGGTTTCGAGCTAACGAGAGAAGACGCACCTGCAAAACTGTTCCGAGAAGGTCGTGGTGCTGGTGCCCCTTGTCGTACTTCGGGTGCGGGTCCAGAAAACTCAGCAGGTTGATGCAGATGCTGGCGTGACCCGTCCTGCTCGTGCTCCTCCATGATATTGAGGTCGTTGACTGCACGACGCAAAGACGCACTGCGCCTCCCGTCGCCTGCTGCTGGGTTTTCTAGCTCATCCACGTCCGCCAATTTCAATCGCGTGCCTGCCTTTTCTACATCGACATCGTCAAAATTCTGTTGATGTGGCAGCTTCATAATTCGCATCAGACCATAAGTAGTGTCAACGGAGTTCACTAATGCGGCGGCAGCAACATCTTGTTGAGCAGAGGACATCACTCGCAGTACACCTCCTGGGCGTGACCGATCTCCGGACTCAGTCGGAGCTTGTGTTTCTTCAGTCTTCACCCTCACTGCCTCCCCGAACTATGCCTTGCAAAACCTTTCCCAGCATCTTCATACATCATGCGCTTGCTGAATCTGTATCTGCTGCACTGGTCTACCACACCAGGTCGTGTAGAAATTGTAGTTTCGTACATAATGCAAAAGTTAATTTTATGCGAAGCCGAAAAACACGTCAAAGGCTGACGATGCGCCCGGTGGATGGCGGTAGGTTTTGATTCGTCCTCGGGGTAACAGACTCAGAAGGCCCAACCGGAAGAGCAGAAGAAGTAGCAGCAGCGGCATGCGCATAGTAGACAGAGGTCGTGAAAGAGAAAAAAGAAGGAGCAGCGGTGCGCGGAGATCGAAATCCTGGGGAGAATACTGAATGTTTAAACAATCGCGCTCGCACACCACGGGGATGAAACCGGAAACGGAATCGTTTTTGTGTCGGTTGGCACGGCGCGGTCAACGATGATCCTAAGATGGCTCACTTCCGCCTGGTGTGCTGCTTTATTTCGGCAGCCCAGCACCTCGCAGGCATCCACTTCTACTTCATTGCTAGGGGAAAGAAAGTTGCCTACTTTTTCGACGTTCATCATAATTGTAACAACAATTTACCAACTAACTTCCTTGTTTCGAGTTGCTTTAGCTTTCTTCGACGACTTATTTACCAAATTCAATACTGAACTCCGTATTTTTTCGAGACAACACGACACTATATTATGGCCATTTGGCATCATCGCAAGTAGAGATCACGACCGCCTACATAATTCTGTCTCTGTGTCCTCGCTCAATCAACGTGACAAGGACTTCGATTTTCATTTTCTCTCCTGTCATTTTTTTTCCGAAAAAATAGACGGCACTGAGGCAGACAGATAATTCCGTCTGGTAGACGGCTCAACTTGCAGCTGCTATGGAAAAGCTGGCTCTGACATCGTCAATCGTCTTCGTGATCGATAATACCAATAACCATCCCCCTCGAAGCGAGTCGATGACGACTGCGAAAGTCACAGCTGCAATGGCGAGGATAAGCACGACAAACAAAAACTACGAGGAGAACACGTGGGCAGCAGCAATACTAGACAACGACATCAAGGTTGGTCTCCTACAGGCGGCGAAGCAGGGGCACCCTTTCCCTTCTCTATTCTCTTTCGCTTTCCATCAGATTCAGAACGCCGCATATAGCATCTAGGTACTTGAGTCGTCATGTCGACGCTCTTTTTGTGCGTGAAAGAAAGTCTACCTCGTCGCCGCTCTTTTTTAATCACCTTTTGTAGTTACAGGTTAAAAAACCAGAATCCTCCTCTCGCGAATGCTACATGATGGCTCATGTTACGAATCAGAAATTGGTCTCGAGCTGTCGACCACGAAAATCACCAATAGATTCACGCAAGTACAACCTGAGGCTATGTACTTCTACTTGTTAGTACTGATCAATATGAGCATGCTAAAAAAACCTGTGATGTTAGTGCTTCGTCCTTCACGCGTCAGCGTGTTCATAGCCCCATGTACTTTTTTACGTACCTGAATCTGTAGTTCAATCATGTTGATCATGCCGAGAACATGTTAACAAAATAACTTGGATTATACCTCTTACTTTTTGTTTTTTTTGAATGCTAATAAATCATAAATGCTTAGAAATAAAGGACAGCACGCACTTCGAGTAGAACTTTCGTATTAAGTCTCAACTCCTAGAGGAACTAACGCTTCAGCGTGGTCCGCTTCAGTGTAGTCGTCGCGCGGTGCCGCTGTAGTTGTTCTATTACTTGTGAGATAAATCATCAGTAAGCCGTCGGTGTCGTGCAACAGCTCTCTCATTTTCCATCCTGTATGGCTTTCAGCGTGACCGTAATTGCATCGTTCGAGTCGGTGTCGGTCCAATGCGTGATGATTTTCGTCCGGGCAACCCGACCGCCTGCCTGCAGTTTTGCGATCGTGGTCGCGTTTACCCCGTGCAGAAACTCGACCACGCTGTCGCCACCGCCACAGCAGGAGGATTGCCCCGTGGTAGAACCTGGCGCCAGAACAGAAAAATCTTTCCAGTCTCCCAGATGCCATCGCCACAGCTTCTGCTGCTTCTCGGACGAAAGGACCGGAATACATCCCAGCGCAAGGCTGTCCAGCAACCCTTTGCGAGACGGAGTGTCTCCCTCCGGCTGCAAGCAAAACGTGGAACGCATCATGACTTTGACCAACCCAGGGAGCATGCCCTTCACCGTGGGGTCCACCAAAACGCAATGGTCGCTGTCGCTGCGCTATCCAATGCAAAAGATAATAATTTTCTGGTGTCGACGCGCGTGGTCACATCTTCAGCACTCACACAGCTACATCAAATTTGGTATCACCAAACCGATCTTCCAGTTCCAGTTCATAATCATATTCGTGTCTCAGTCTACATGAACAGTTGGACTCGGAACCAAGTTGAAAACTACGATGTGCAAGTACTACATATTGAAATTCAAATTTTCGTGATTGCGTGCAAAGAACGAATAATCATTTCTTTTGCGAGGGATACGCAATGTGCACTCCAGAGATCGCGGACGCCCGAAGCGGCATTGCAGCAGTCCCGTTTCCCGAGAGCGGCCATGACCAAATCCGTGCGGTCGGTTTGCTGCGTTGCATCGACGGTGGCGAACAGGTGGTCGAGTTGCGTACTGGTCAAACCGCCGCCAAGGGTCGGATACGGAATCGCACGCTCCGGTCGCGAAAAGTCCACCATACACGCCTCCCTCTTGCAGCAAAATTCGTCTTCCAGGGCCAGCTTTCTGATTTTTTGGATTAACGGCTCGTCGCTTTTCCAAAAATCGCAGACATCGTCGGACAATCCACCGACACGCGGAGACATCAGAAAGTGCTTGCTCGCAGTTGCATCCGATAGGTAGGGAAGAGCAGTTAAAACTTCCTCTGCCGTTGGGCACTTGGCCGGGTCCGGATTGATGTTTTCACGCCAAATAGGCACGAAAAACACATCGGCAAGTTATCACACAGAATTAAGCAGGAGCAAGTGCAACGCAAAAAATGTAATCTCGTGTCGTCGGCAAGTGCAGACCAAGTGCTGTTCTGAACAATACGAGCCGTCGTGCAGCAGTGGTCATCTTCATGCATAAATTACTCTTGCATTGTTTTTGATTTTGCGAACACTCTGCTATACTAGCTTTCTTCTCTGTGATACGAGTGTGGCATTCGCCACTCGGCAGGCCGTGCGGGTCAGGCGTGACTGGAAGATGCGACCATTTCGAAACTGATCAGTGTATCAAAATAAAAAGTGCTCCTAGTACCTCGGAACTGCGAGAGCAAAGCCTTCGTTGCATGGCTCAAGAGAAGATACTTCTGCGCCGGGCTTGGCACTTCACCCGAACGAAACCAAGTTGACAAGGCAAAATCCGATAGAATCTTCTAGAGCCATCTTTTATTTCTGTGTGGCAGTCGTGATAAATCCATGGCAAACATTCTTTCGCGCTCGCTCCTGAGTCAGGCACACTTTTCAGGTTGATACAGTGCTGCGAAGCGTCAGGTTGGTTGGCGGCGAGTCGATCGTAACCGAGAATTCCGGACCAAAAACGCAATCGCGTTCCTCGGCTGAGCCAGACGGGTGGGCTCTTTCGCAGTACGCATCCTCCCGCCAAACAATTTCACGCCCATTGGGTGGCTATGAGAGTGCACAATGAATCCCCTCATTGCTCATTGCAAGGGCATGACCCACCACTGGCGCACTAACTATAGCGTCAGGCTGGGGCTCCCGCTCGGCACGCAGCTCGTTTCTGCATGACAAATTCGCGCACATCTATTCTGGCGTTACCTGGGCGGATCCCGTCATCCTGAAATAAATGTGATGTCGGGGGCACACAGAGGGATTTTGGTATATATCATGCGTGATGGACGAAGTGAAACATCTTATTTCTGCATGGAACATCACATCAACGCGAGACGACCGTTTGTGCACTCTCATATCAGCACTTCCTGGTCCGGAAGATCGTACACGTACACTTTCGGCCACCCGGTCGGGCAAGTAGAACCAGTTGGCGAGGCCCTGCCGACAGCAAGAAATTCATGCTGCACGTGTACTTGAGTTTGTTCCTGCTGCAGGAAATGCTCATTGCGTTGGCCGTAGTTCACCCCAGCCACAAATGAAAGCCTGAGGCCGTGCAAAACCGCGGCGATTCTTGTGATGTGCAACATGTTGATCAATATGCGATATGGATATTCTAGTTCTTGGAAACAACAAGAAAATAAATCAATAAATGAAGCAAAAGCAGTTCTCGACGGTGTACGGGAAGAGGAACAACATTAATTACATCGGTAATAAATAATGTTGCAGCAAGAGAGGACTACTTCTTAAGGTCGTCCTCGACTCTCACTGCTATATCTCGTCGATAATGCCCACGTGCTTATTCGGGTACATCCATTTCAAAAATTTGGCTCTTGTTGGTAGTGTTGAGTGAGAGTTTGGCAAAAGTGCAACTGCGAGCTGGGCCTGGGACTGGCGTCAGTAGAGCATAACTTTTTTCCATATCCATATCCATTTTTTGTTTTTCATATAATAATCCCAACTAAGGCCCGTAGGCCACAACTACAAACGAAAAACCGACTACACCGACCAAAACTTTCACTCACCAGTAAGCTTCGCCATGTTTGGCCAGAAAACTTACGACGCCAGAGTGACCGACAAAACTACGTACATCGCTTAGTGCGTTGTCCAATACAGGAATTCCGAATGCAAACCTTCTCTAACATATAGAGAAACCGATTTTGGGGTCCGTGGGTTGAACTTGAACCCACAACAAGAAGATGAAACCGATGCAAAAGTGCTTGGTGAATATTTTTAGAGCTTTCAGAAATTAGTTCCCAGAGCAGTTCCTAAAAGCTTCGGCTTTCAAAAATTTTGAAGCAGGTGCGTAGGATCTGCGTTTCGACCGATAGTCCCGGTCTGACTACACGTCCTACGCACGCGACTTACAGAAATCAGCTCCCAGGATTTCCGACTTTTTTCTACATCGCCTCATTTGGACACGCGGATCGAACTTCCACGAGCAAAGCGCCAAAGTTCGGCACTTTGCGTGTGAAAGTTCTCTGGCAGCTCACATCCGCGAAGTTCCCGGATGTGAGCTGACATCCGAGGAGGTCTTGTATGCGGGATCCTGGGAACTAATTTCTGTAAGTAGGTTGCGTAGGATCTGCGTTTCGACCGGTAATCCCGACCTGAATGCAAATCCTACGCAACGGACTTACAGAAATTAGTTCCCAGGATTTCTTCTAGAATCTCAAGGCGCCTCTGAGGCACCTTGAGACTCTAGAAGAAATCCTTTGAGAGTCTAAAATCAAATATCCTAAACCCTAAGACCCTCAAAACCCTATCGACGCTGGTGTCGGACAGGGGCGGAAACAGGACGTAGAATCGTAGGGAAGAAGATGTGGCGGTGGGGCGTAGGACGGCCTGATCAGAGAAAGCGCGCAAAACGCATGTTCTGAACCTAAAAATTCTATGTGAACATACCCAACCCGAAAAGGATAATACAACACCGAAAGGTGTCGCGCCCCAATCCCAAAAAATACTGCTTGGTGCCAGTAGGGCCCGGGGAAAACAAAAGGCAAGCAAGAGGAAGGTAAGGTAAAATCTACATTCAAAAAGCGCTAGTAAGCCTTGTGCTCTGATCCGTCCGGGCGTGCAATAGAAGAAGAAGAAATCCTTTGAGAGTCTCTAGAAGAAATCCTTTGAGAGTCTAAAAGAAATCCGTTGGATTTCTTTTAGACTCTAAAAGAAGTCTTCTTGACTTCTTTTTGAAAAGGTCTCGCGGAAACCCCTCTCCAGAGACCCTTTCGCTGACCCCTTTCGCTGACCCTTTTATAGCTCGTGATTAAGGCACTTTGCGCGACCCCTTTGAAGACCCCTTTGCAAACCCCCTTTCCGAACACTTTTTCCGGAAGTTTTCTTCTAGAAACTGAGTTCCTAGAAGAAAACGCAGCTTCTTGTTCTAGAAGAAGCTGCGTCTTTTTCTAGAAGAAGGCGCGAAGTTTTGTCTTCTTCTAGAAGACTGGTCTTCCTGTAGAAGACGCAGACTTTTTTTCTTCTAGAAAACGCAGCTTCTAGCAGAAGCTGCGTCTTCTCCCTAGAAGAAAAAGCAGATCGCTCTGTACATGTGTTCAGGAGCACACTTGTAGAAGGCCAGGAGGAAAAAGCTGCTGCGCGAGCTTTCTTCCGTAAGAGCACATCAGAACTCGCGCGCCTACAGCTTCAGCGTTCGTGCCTCAAAGAAATGCACTCCTGGGATTTGCGTGTTGCGTCTCCAGTCGCCACACTTGGACACACTGATGATCCTCGTGTGCAAGTGAGGCGATTGGAGACGCAGCACGCAAATCCTGGGAACTAATTTCTGTAAGTCACCTGCATGAGATTTGTGCCCAGATCGGTATTACCAGTGAGAAGACAAATCTTACGCAGGTAGCTTTCAGAAATTATTTCCAGGATCTTCGCTGCGTCAAGAATTTCGTGATGCGGCGGAAATCCTGAGAGCTAATATCTGTAACTCACCTGCGTAGGTTTTGTGCTCCAATAGGTATTGCCGATCGGACCACAAATCTTACGCAGGTGACTTGCAGCAATTTGTTCCCAAGGATTTTCGCCACATCAAATACTACCTCCTGGGGTGGCAGCGCACATCCGAGAAGTTCTCGAATGTGAGCTGACACACGAGGAGTTCTTAGATGTGAGTCTACGTCCGGGAACTCCTCGGATGTGAAGCCCCATCCGAGAAGTTCTCGGATGTGGGGTCCTGAGACCTAATTTCTGTAGGCTGCCTGCGTAAGATTTGTGCCCTGGCCAGCAAAACCGCTCTGAGCGCCAATTTTATTCAGGTGACTCACAGAAATTCGCTCCCAGGGTTTGCGTGTTGCGTCTACATACACCTCGCTTGGACACGCGGATCGAACTGTCACGCGCAAGGCAACAAAGTTCGCAAGTACAGCCAAAGTGGCACGGCAGCTTTATTTCTGGCCCCCCCCAAAGTGTTGCGTGCCTACTTATCACAGGAGTCCTGTGATGGGCACACAATGTCAGAAAACCAGAAACAAAATCGCTACGCCGGTTCGGCTAAACTTGCGAATCGCCGCGCTCTGCGTGTGAAAGTTTGAACCGCGACTCCAAGTGAGGCAATTGGAGGCGCAACACACAAATCCAAAGAGCGCACTGCTGTAAGCCTGTCGCGTAAGATTATGCTGCGCAGTTCTTCTGACCTTCTAACTCTTGGATGTGCGCTCACATGTGAGGAGTTCTCGGATGTGAGCTTGCATCTGAGGAATTCTCGGATTTGAGTTCGATATCAAGAAATCTTAGGAGCACACTTCTGCAGGCCAGGGCACGAGAGTGCTATCCGAGTTTGTGCTCTGACCTTGAAACACAGAAAAACCCGCACAGCATCATCTTAGGCGGGGGCTTTGCAGAACTATGATCCCAGGTCTCGACGCGGCGAAAATCCTAGGGGCGCACTTCTTTATCTCCCCGACGTCGGATGATTTTGCGCGAGGTCTTCAGACCTGTCGCCGGCCAGAGCACAAATCCGACGTGGGGGCCTTGCCGAAATGTGCTCCCACACAACAACAAGATGAAACCGATGCAAAAATGCTTGGTGAATATTTGCAACCGAAGATCGCGGTCTTTCTGCATCTGCTGAGCCTCCACCAATTAAAGGCGTTTCGAACCCAGTGCAGCGGCGATTGGCAATTTATCATTTTGGATAAAATGTTAATTGTTACTACTAACATACCGACCTTTGCACGAACAATATGGAATTACGCAAAACCGATACTCGAATTTGAAGTTGAAAGGGACAGGGAGTTTAGTTTCTGGCGTCTTTCGCGACGGGGTACCCATCATCGCCACCGACTCAGACTGGCGGAAGACCTGAGCGGCCCGTGTATTCTTTCGAGACAGTGCGGCAACGTAGTACTCACGCAAACTGTTCGTGTTCGTCGTGTTCGACTTCTATACAAGGAAGCGAGATTGCACGTGCATGTGAAAATGTAGTAAGTATCTGCAAGCAAAATTGCAGTGAGAAAGATATAAAATCTGAACACTTTCACCCTCCTTTGCCGGAGAGAAAGAATTTTTTTTGCCCTTCCTTGCCTTGAGGTGTTCTACGATCGAGACGACCTATGCTCTGTGAATTTCTCATCCTGACCGCCATGTCAACGTGGTTCTTTTCAGGTACTTTTGCTTACATCAGAAATGCTCAATCTTTATCTTTCACAGTCGACGCGCCGACTGTGGATCCACTTCGGGCTTTTCGTTTCAAAATTTGCCCCACGAGCTAGCAGAAGATCCACTTCTATTGCCAGCGCTCCCCTCGCCATGGCGATGGGGATGGCCATGCCGCTTGTGTATGATTATACAAACGGCGCAGCAAAAATAGAAACGGACGCTCGTCTTCTTGAGTGAGAAGAAGTTCTTCTTATTAGCGTTGGCGCCCTGACATGTTTACCAGCTGGATCTGGCAGAATGTAAAGGCAATGGCAAATTCGTAGATCCGGGAAGAATTACCGAATGCTTTTGTGGTCGTAAACAAAAGTGATAAAATCTTGGTAGCTCATGCTCCTGATGCATCCACCCGAGCGCTTCTTCTACCTCGTCAGGTACTATGTGACGGCGCATGGATTTCATTTGACTGAGGGAGGCGGCAGGGTGTATCTTTGGATAGCCGTGTAAGCATAGGCGGTCACTAAAGTTGAAAATGTTGGCTTTACCATCACGAACCATTATTAGGTAAGAATGGGAAAACCTAACCACGAGGGCATGATCATGATTTACATGCCATGCTGCAGCTCGTGGTCGTGCGACAAAAATGACAAAATAACTTCGCATTGTTCGATGAATCTGCCTTGTTCACGTCAACATGCATTTAGATTTACGTCTTGCCGCATGAACGCGAAAGGCATAAGAGCAACAGAAAGCTTGATGGAAAATTGAAGAAAACGCAGGACCTGGAGGGACCTGAGTCACCTCCACTCATTTTCTTCATCGTGTAAAGAAATCGAAGAATCACGATGACGATATTAAATTAGGTTCATCATATACATACTATGTATTACTGCTTCGAGGAGGAAAGATAAAAACAATAAATATGGCGCAAGCTTCTTCGGTACTGTAATAGCTATCAAAGCGACAAAACAAAAGAACATGATTCGACTGCAAAACAAAAGGAAGACATCAGATCTGGCAGCACTGTTTTATTTTTCTCCTCCACAGCATCATCTGCCGGACAAAAATTAATAAAAAAAACATAGGATATCCCACATCATATCCATATACTAAGAACGCGCGGCTGAAATAAGCCGTCGGCGGAGAGGTCTCATAGTGAGCAGCTTGCTCATTTGCCATCCTTTATGGCTTGCAGCGTGACCGTAATTGCGTCGTTCAAATCGGTGTCGGTCCAGTGCGAGATGATTTTCGACCGCGCGATCCGGCCGCCGGCCTGCAGGTTGGCGATCGTGGTCGCGTCGATCCCTCGCAGGAAGTCGACCACGCTGTAGTTTTCATCCCCTCCCTCACCGCCGCCGCAGCAAGAGGCGGACGAAGCGTTCCCCGTGGTAGACTTTGGCGCCAGAACAGAAAAATCTTCCCAGTCTCCCAGATGCCACCGCCACAGCACCTGCTGCTTCGCGGACGACAGTACCGGAATGCATCCCAGCGCCAAGCTGTCCAGCAACCCCTTGCGAGACGGAGTGTCTCCCTCCGGCTGCAAGCAAAACGTGGAACGCATCATGACTTGGACCAACCCAGGGAGCATGCCTTTCACCGTGGGGTCCACCAAAACGCAATCATCGCTGTCGCCGCGCTATCCAGTGCAAAGGATAATATTTTTCTGGTATCGCGCGTCACATTTGCACCACTTGAACAGCTACATACATCAAATTTGATGTCACCAGATCACCTTTCTTTCACCACGTCCCAGCCCTGTCCTGTTCCATGTGATGTCTAAGTCTGCATGTATGAACTTCAGCTGCACAACTGGAACGAAGCTGCAGCTCCAGGGTTATACAACGAATACCGCTGCGCATACATAAGGTCCAAGAAGTACGTTGAATTTAATTTTCATGCGCAAACGATAAATATTACCTTTGCGGGGGATACGCACTGTCCGTTCCAGCGGTCGCGGACGCTCGCAGAGGCAATGCCAACCCGTTTTCCCAACGCGCCCATAACCAGAACCGTGCGGCCGGCTTCCTGCGTCGCATCGACGGTGGCGAACAGTTGATCGACTTGCGGACCGCTCAAACCGGCGCCCAGGGTCGGATACGGAATATCACGCTCCGGCCGGTCCTCCTTGCCGCACGAGACGGCTTCCAGGGCCATCTTCCGGATTTTCTTGATCAGCGGCTTTTTGCTGTTCCAAAAATCGCAGACGTCGTCGTACAATCCCCCAACACGCGGAGACATCAGAAAGTGCTTGCTCGCCGTGGCGTCCGACAAGTGGGGAAGAGCAGCCAAAACTTCGTCGGCCGTCGGGCACTGGGCCGGGTCCGGTTGGCGGTTCTCACGCCAAATAGGCACGAAAAACACATCGGCGAGTTATCACACAGAAACGAGCTAGTAGTAGCAAGAGCAAGTTAGCATTTGCGACACAAAAAATGAAGCTTGTTCCTGGTGTCATGTGCTGGCGTGGTCGTGGACAATGCTACTTCGAATACTAACTTGTGTGCTAGTGGTTTGTCACTCTTGCATCTTTTTTCTCCGCAAAAACTCTGCTGGTGCCATACTAGCTTTTTTCTGTGATACGAGTGTAGCATCGGTCACCCGGCAAGCCGTGCGCGTCAGGCGGGACTGGAAGATGCGGCCGTTTCGAAACTGGTCAGTGTATCAAAATGCAAAGTGCTTCTAGTAACCCGGAGTTCTTGCGAGAGCAAAGCTGTTAACTCCAAACCAAACCAGATCTCATGGCGGTTTCAACGAATTTCAACCCAATTTGAAAATGTTGGGCTTTCGGCCTACTGACCAAATCTCATGGCGTTTCAATGCGAAAAAAAGTCGAAGCCGGCGTTTTGAAATTGCGCCAACCTTCTGCGGCATGTTCAAATAGCACACACCTGATGCGTTTTTCAAGAGCTTACCACCTACAGCGACTCGGCCCTCGAAGAAAAAAAGTGGGCTATGGTGTGAATCACCTGCCCACGGATCAACTTCCCCACCTCCCTACCTCCCCACCCTGGGGAGGTACCTCCCCGCGTGTGGGGAGGTGCCTCCCCAGTGGTGGAGAGGTATTTTCCACCCTCCCCACATCCCCGTCTTCCAGCACCTCCCCACTGCGTTGCACTTCCCCACGTCGTTCTCCTCGATTCGTGGTCGGCGAAGCTCTTGATGAGTGCCGACCAGAACGCGACGACCCCCGGAGGACTGCAGCCTTGCTGCTGCGCCATCTACTCCCGGCCATGCGGCCAGATATCTGCCACAACGTGCGTGGCAATATATAAGTCCGCAACCTGCTGCGCGCTGCAACTCGCGCACCGGATAAGGACCTACCAGGAAGAAGCTGAGGCCCAAAGGATGAGGGGCAAAGGCGGGCCACGGGGGGAACAACACGAAGAAAGAACCGCCGAGGCCATACCGGCGCGCCGGCGGCATCGCGCCGGCTGGCCTCGACGACCCTAAAAAAACCCCGAACCAACCCTGAATCCTATAGGCTAAACTAACAACCAACAACCAAGGCCGCCGCAGGCTCTGTTGTTGCATCACCTCCGGCCGTTTGTTACGGCGGTGATGCGGCCGCGTCACAAGGTGACGCAGGGGAGGTGGGTAGGTGATCCGGGTGGGGGGGTAATGCGTGGGGAGGTGATTCAAAGGGGTGGGGAGGTGCTTCACATTGCATGCTACCAAAAAAGTGCGCCTGTCAGTCCACACTCGGGCGAGGATCTGTCTCTGGTCCATGGAGTGGGCCCTCTGTAACTTCCAATGGCTAATCCCTAGGACGTGGGAAGCCTGCTACCGAGTCAATTGCCACCTCACCCCAAAAAAGCACCGCACACCATAGCGCCGCCAAAGTCTGAACTCCGGCGGGATCTCCGGCAAGCAAAGGCCTTTTCTAGTGGCCCCCCCGCATGACTTCAACAAGGAGAAGAAACAATAGAAGCGAAGATCCGGGGAACCAGAGTACTGGAATGGTGGCGAATCAAGGCATTTGGACCAATTTCAAACGTGAATCACAGAAGTCGAGGCAATTTCAAACGCGAATCAACAGAGGCCGGCAGCTTTCAATCCCGAATCAACCAAACACGGGAAAAACAACAAATCGCTATGGGATTGTGGCCCGTCCTCGTAGAGTGAAGGTGTGTGCGGCACAACAATTGCGCATCTTCTGGAAGAAACAGTCCCAGCCATGAGCTGAGACGCTTCCGGCAGGTGCTGCAAGCCCAATTTTTTTGGTGTGTCAAGAAACGAGGAAACATCGTGGCAGAAGCTTGCACACCAATGAGCGCAGACTCACTGGGAGGCTTGGCGGCGCCACAGACCCACACACCCTACCAGGCGCCAGACTGCCCTACCTCAATGAAGCCAACACGAGCGCGCTGTGGTGAAAATCAAACTGCAACACGCTTCTAGTAACCCGGAGTTCTTGCGAGAGCAAAGCTGTCCCTGACATTGATTGTTGAAGTGATCGGACCCGATGGATATGTGGACTCTGGTTTTGCGCTATTTTTCTAGAAAAAAAAAATTTTTTGGCGACGCCAGGGGGCGCCCAAGCGGGGCGCCACATGCTGAGTGTAGGCATCCGAGGAGCCACACTCTCTTGCGCCCCCAGCGCGAGCCCCGATATTGGGCATGGCAAAGCCCCGAACCTCCCCCCGCCTAAACGGGAGGCCGTAGCCCCACCGGCAAAACGTTTCCTGCCCGGGGGCCCGTGTATTTTTGCCACATCCGAAAGAGGGCAGGGCTGGGCCGCACGCCGAGGCGAAGGGCGGTCGCTCTCCCCAGCAGGGCGGTCTCGCCCGGCGCAGCCACCCAAGCCGAATCCCTCCCGCCAGGGCCGGGCCAATCGCCCGCGCGCCTCGCCAGCTCTAACATTCGACACGCGGAGGGGGGGCAGGGCGCGGCCGAAGGCAACAACCAAAGAGGCCCTGCGGCCCTGCCCACAGCGAAAGTGCTGCGCCGCTGAACCGCAGTGGCCACTGGCGGCTGTGCTTTCCAAGGAAAGCAGCAGGCGGCACACAGCGCCAATGGCGCGCCTTTCGGGAAATCTGTGGAGCGGCCCCGCCGCTGTTCCGCACACCAGGCCACCAAGCTTTCCGCCACCGCCTTCGGCGGCCAGCTTTGTCGCGCGGGCCCCAGCGCAGGAAACTTGCGGGCGGCCGGCATTCGCCGACCCCGGGGCGCCTTTGCCCTGGCCCGCAGGAAACAGCGGCATCACATGGCGCACCGACCGGAGGCTACCGGCCCGGGGCCCCGCCCTCCCCCAAACCGACCCCCGGCGGCCCCCCCGGCCTTACCCCCGGAAGCCGGGCAGGCCCGCCAAGCCGGATTTTTCCAAAATTTTTGCGGCGGTGGTCGGCAGATTTTTCCAAAATTTTTGCCCTGACAGGCCGGGGCACCGAAGATAAGCGATTCCTTACCGTATACAGTGTAAAACTGTCAGAGCAAAAATCTGGAGCCACCTGGGCACCGTCAGGGATAAAATTCTGAATAAATCTGGCTTCTAGTAACCCGGAGTTCTTGCGAGAGCAAAGCTGTCGCTGACATTGATTGTATGGCTTGCTTGGAAGGCCTCTGCGCAATTGAACCTTCACGGGCAGAGAGGGTCCCCGCAACGCAGCAGCCCCCGGCCGACACCAAGATGACACGACAGGATCAGATACAGCTACAGCTATCTCGTCCTGTGACCTTTGACACCTCTTCAAAGCCAACTACCTGTAGTCTTCTTTATAAATCCGCCTTTTATTGAGATCGAATGCATTGGCGCATCATCTCGGAACGGTTTGGGCAAACTAAAATTCTATCGTGAAAGACATACCAGAAGCCGCACTCTCTTTCCAAAGACGGCGACATGTCAATCCAAATGCGAATCGTGCAGGATTTGCATCACGAGTGCCAGCATGTAACTTACCATCCCAACTTGTAAAGACAGATTCTAAACTCAACACACTTTGTGCCTCCGTCCCTATGGCGGTAACCACAGATCCGTCGTACAGCTTCGCTCGCTTTGTTTCCTGGGTTAGAAACACTGTTCACTTCGGTACAGTGGTGCGAAGCGTCACGTTCGTTGGCTGCCCCTCGATAGCAACCGAGAACTCCGGACCAAAGACGCAATCGCGTTCCTCGGCCGAGCCAGACGGGTGGGCTCTTTCGCAGTACGCATCTTCCCGCCAAACGATCTCGGCACGCCGATTGGGTGGCTATGAGAGTGCACAACGACAACCCCCTCATTGGAAGGGCATGATCCACCACAGCTGGTGCACCTACAGAGCCATCGGGCTTGGCCTAGCCCTAGGCCTAGCCCTGTGGCTCGTTTTCTGCATGACTAATTCGCGCGCCTCTACTGAGCCACTGCTTGAGCTTCAGGAACCCGTCCTGCAGACTGTGTCTTCAAGAGATGATCGGAAGTAGCACTAAGAAGGATGTATATATCAATACGGAAGTGAAAAAACATTTTATTTTCGCAAGGAAAACAACGCGGGAAGACGAGTTGTGCACTCTCATATGATCACCTCCTTGTCCGGAAGATTATACACGTACACTTTCGGCGCCCCGGCGGGACAAGCAGGATCGGCCAGAAACTCATGCTGCAAGTGTAATTGATCTTGTCCTTGTTCCTGCTGCAGGAAATGCTGGTTGCGGTGGCCGTAGTTCACCCCGACCGCGCGCGAAAGCCCAACGCCGTTCAAAACCGCGGCGATTCTGATGCGCAACATCGTGAGCGAGCGATATGGATATTCTTGGAAAGCAAAAGAGCAGAATCAAGAGTAAATGAAGCGAAAGCAGTCCTCGGCGAGGGCGACGTGCGAGAAAGTGAAGAGGAACAATAAAATTAAACTTTAAAGCGATGTTGGAGATCTTACAGCAACAAGAGAACCTTTTCTTGATGAGCTCCACAATTTTGTATAATCTCGATAATACTTTATCACCCACGTACTATTGAGTCGGGTACGTTCACACCAATACTGGGTTCTTCTTGGTAGCGTTCGAGCCTGAGAGTTTGACAATCCAAAACTGCAAGAGCTAGTAAATATCTTTTTGTTTCAATACCAATATCAAGATGAGAAGGACGACGACTCAGAAAGCCAAAGCGATAGCGACTACACCGATGAAACTACAAAGCTTACGTGTAAGTTTCGTCATGGCTGGCCAACTATGGCACCAGCTTGACCGATGAACGTAATTAGCTCGCTTCGTTCGCCTTCGCCAGGAGTACAGGCACAAATGCAAATCTTCTACCTTTACGGCAAAGGCGCATAGAGAGAGACCGATTGAGTTTCTGCACGGAAACTCGAACCCCTGCTGCTGGGCAATGAAACCGATGCGAATAAAATACTCCGTGAATATTATTTGCAACCGATATCAATCTTTCTGCTAAGCCTCCGACTGAGACCGCTTGGAACCGAATGCAGTCGTGATTGCCACTATGATCATACAGATACATATCAGTCTTTGCACGAGGACAGTGAAAAATATCAAATATATAATACACAAAACCGATACCGTACCTCGAGTTTAAAGTCGAGAGAGACGCTTCTTGCAACGTGGTGGCACATCAGCATCACTACCACCGACTCAGACCCGCGGGAGACACGAGCGGCCTGTGTTTTGTTTCGACACAGACACAGTTCAGGGCGGGCAATGAGGGACTAATAGAGACTCTTCGTGTTCGACACAAGAAAGCGTCAGCGGGCTTGCATGTCATAATTATCAATCTGAAAGACAACTTGCAGATGCAGAAGTGAACAAAATATGTAAAAAACACTCTCCTTTTCTGAGTATTTTTTTTCTGGCGGTTCCTGCCTTGATGTGTCATAGATATCGAAATGCTTCTAGATTTCTCTTCTTGCACTGAGCGAGAACAAGAATTGTGATATCATGTCGGTCAAATACATTTGCTTTACCGAAATGCTCAATCACAGTTGGCGCACCGATGGTGGAACCCCTGCCAGCTTTCCGTTTTCAATTCCGCAATGCGAACTAGCAGCAGATCCATTGCCAGTGTTCTCGCCATCCCGCTTGTATTTCCGCGAATGGGGTAGCGAAATTAGAAAATAGAAACGGACGCGCGTCTACAACTTGCTGAATATCGTATTGACGTTTGCTGTGCATCTGCGAAATAACTTTGAAGCGTAATGTACAAGAGATTCACTGGGATTACTAAATTTATTTGCTAGTGGTGAGCACCAGAACCAGAATACAAATAGGTGCAGCATTTGTACATCATGCAGTTTTTGTTTGATGATCATGTGCACCAACTGTTAATAACTTGGTATTCGTATTTATTTTCCTAGTTTCGATACATAATGCTTATATACGTTTATCTTTATCAGAAAAAGGAGCAGACGCATCAATATAGAAACAACTCTACACATGATATAGATCTTAGAAGTGTGCGCCCATTGCCAGCTTTTGCATGTTCTCGTCCAACTCAAGCGGTCACTCACACCTACTAGGTAGTCAAACATACAACATCTTTCGGTGCCCGTGGTTCTCAGACGTCATGATCATGCTCATGTTGAACGAATCATATTGATTCTTGCTTCTGATCCCATTGCTTCAAAGAGAAGCTAATCGCTGTGAACGGCTCCGGTATCGCCCGTGTCGCGGCGCGCTGCCCGCGTGACTCCGGTTTGCGCCGCAGCGGTCCGCCGGTCCGGCAGGAAATGGTAGTAAATGATGAAGGGAATGATGCTCAAGTACAGAACGGGAGCGCCAAACCACTTCCCGGGGCCGAGTTTGGCAAACACGTTCCCGACGAACTGGCACGAAAGGTACGCGAACAGGGCCCAATAGTTGGTCCACCGGGTGCACCCACAGGGGTCGTCGCTGGCAAACGTGCCTGTCATGAACATCACACACAACAGTGCGGTAGCGGCGAACCACCGGGCACGCTCCCAGAGGTACAGCGCGGGGTAGATGTCGCAGCGGCCGATCTGGTCCACGTACACGAGGCCGAGCACGATCAGGGCCGTAAAGAACCAATATGCGCGGAACCAGGTTCGGAGCGCGTCCGTGTGGTACAGCGGCCTCTCAAAGGTCACCGCCGCCCAGAAGAACATCAATACCGTCTGGGTGAAGAATTGGTACTCGGCTGGAAAAAAAATGGGACTCAAGAACACCCAGCTGCCAAAGATCCACGAGAAGTACCCGCGGTCCCCAGTAAGCAGGGTGAGCGAGACCAGCACCAGCCCCGCGGCGAGTTCGCTGCCCAAAAAGCCGAAGACCTTGTAGGGACGGGCCGTGCCCCAATTCAGCCGTTCGTCCCGGTTGGCTGCACCGCCGTCCTCGGCGGGCAAAAACGCGGACGCCAACAGCAGCCCGGCAAACAGGAGAAAGGAGACGCAGAATGCACTCAGTGCGGGCGTGCGCGACACGGTCGCCTCAGGATTCAGTTGCGCCCGGTTCACCATCTGGTCCTCGGTCCCAGTCCCCTCCTGGTCCGTGTCCGTGAGGGTCCCCGCGCGGGCTTCTTGCTGCGCAGCATCCGCCGCCGCGTCGGCCTCACGCACCGTCTGCAGCATCAGCTTGAAGGGAAACCAAACGACCGACGCCACCAGCACCGCCAGGACGTACCACATCTGCGCGATGGTTGCACTGGTCACGCACAGGTCGGGATTGCCCGTTAGAGACCCGAACTCGATCAGCTGCCCCAGCGCGTTGAGGCCCATCCCCACCAGCGCCAGCACGCACAGCTTGATGACGTACAGCGGAAACCCGCGCTGGCTCTTCGCGAGCCCGATGCCGGACACCAGGAACAGGAAGGGCATCACCCAGAACAGGACGAACCCGGTGTTGCGCACCGAGTACCGGTACCCATCCAGATGCATGCAAATGGTCGCCGCGACGCAAACGAACCGCGTGTTATGGATGTGTCAGAGTTGAAATCGACAAAGTTGAAATAATTTGTCATGCATAAAATGGATGCCAGTTGGGACCCAGTTTCTAAGTGGCGCAAGACAAATTTCGGCGGTCCCTAGATCCACTTTGTCATGCTGTTTACGCAAAGAAGAGCGATTTTCTCATGTTACTTTAGCAGCTCGAGCTGTAACCCCAAACAGGCTTCACTTGCCTGCTCTGCAACACACGTGCCTCGGGTCATGCATTTTATGCATTACAAATTATTTCAACTTTGACGATTTCAAACCTGACGCTTCCATACGTGTAGTCGAGGTAGTACATCCGCGGTTGCGTCTTCACCTCGGGGGACCCCGTGAAGGCAATTTGGAACACCTCGCCCACGGAGGCGGGTTGGGGCCGCTGCAGCTGGCTGCTCCGACGGCCGGCTTTGCCGTTCTCCACCGCGGCGGAGGCTTTATTGTCCTTGTTTTGCAACAGTTTTCCCTGTTCCGCGGCTTCGCCCCCTCCTCGTCCCAACGCTTCCTTTGCGCCCAGTAAATGCGTCGACTCGTTTGCGCCACGATCGGCCGCGGTTGTCGCTGCACTCGGCGCAGCGCCACCCCCGGGTCCCATCGCCGAGGAGGAGGAGCTTCGGAACTTTTGTTTCGGCTTGTAGCCCGCATAGTACTTGTTGCCTCCCTGCGAAGAGGACGGCCCTGTGCGATTGAACACGACGACCAGCAGCACGTGGAGTAAAAACCAGGCGCCGTAGATGCCGTAGACGGCCCCGGCGGGAATCGCGCTGCCCGGATCCAGGCTGTTCCCGTGCGCGGACGAGAACAGGTTCAAATCCCAGGCCAGGTTGCGGCCGGAGCACTCCACCGTGCGCGAGTGGAAAAACCAGTCCGTGCGCTCGTACTGAAATCGCTGGTCCTGGAAGATGTACTTGTAGTTGCCCGAGGCCACCGGCGCCAGGTCGCTACCCGGGTGAAACACCTCCGCTTTCAACGTGTTCGCGTGCTTGTTGTACGTTCCCAAGTTCACACTTGATCCCGTCGGGGACACCGCGAGAGAAAACGAAACGGACGACACGCCCCCCTTGCTCGTGCCAGAACCGCTGCCCTCCGCGGTGTTCGCCATCCGTCGGTCGTTGTTGTCGTCAACAGCCTCGAGAAACGCCGAGGAGCCTGTAAAAGCGTTCTCCCCATAGCTTTTACTGTGCTTGCCTTTCGCCCCCATTATCAATCGCGTGCTCGTCTTTTCTCTTGTATTTTTCACAATCACGATGGGTTCGGCTAGACGAAGTGCTGACAAAAGAGAGTCTGTACAACCAGATCGATCCTGCTTTCTGACTACGGCAAAAGCCAGGAAAAGATCAAACTACGGCTTGCCAAAAGAAGTTCTAGCAGTGTGATTGCATATGTAATCACAGCTTCGAGGAAGAGGAAGTAGATGGGCTCTACAACTACGAGTTCCACTGGTGTTTCACGGGAGGAAAATGATTTTGAGACGAAGAGGCCTAGTAACGCTTTTTTTTTTCACTTGTGCAGCCGACTTCGAATCGAATTCAAACACAGAAAACCATACGAAAAAATTGTACGAGCTTCATACATCAACATCATCATACAAAAAGAAAACCAGACATTGCATACGGGCTCGGGCAAAACGAGAACGAGAAAATACGTTTACTCGATTTTCATTTCTTCTGAGTACGACGTCGAGGACGCAATGCGAACGATACGAAATAAAGATTTCTCTGCACGTCAACATCCCAACGAAAACGATTTTCTAGACGAGGAGCTGCACGAACTCGACTGTACGCAAGTCTTCATCTTACTTTTAGGTTTAGCTGCAGCTACAAGGAAATCATAGTTTAGCGGATCGCAACGATCGGGTCTCTAGAATTCTTAAGAGCACAGGCAGAACGTCGTCCAATTAAAAATAAGTAAATTCCAAGCCCACGATAGGGGAAAAATCCATAAACAAACAAAGAAAAGCAAGAACTTCCTCGTATCCAGGGCTTGGGAGTCGTCCTGAACAAACTACCTCGTTGATGCCTCCAGTCTAATCGAGGAGGTTATGTGGATTGGAATCGGTCCCACCGCAGCTGCAACCACTATCAGGCAAGTCGTGTTATCGCAACCGCCCACGGTTGTCATATCTCAATTTATGTTGTATTTAGGCATCTTCATCTTTCTGGTTTTTCATTAATTTTGTAGTTTTCGCCGGAATGCATGCTCGGTTGGAAATAATTCCCCACCATTTTCTACTGAAAACGCAAAGCGAATCGTAGCAAAACCAAAAATCCTCAAGCAAAGCCAAAGTAGATATATCAAGTCGTACTACACGAAGGGCTTCCGCTGGGCCGAGCCAAATGTAGTTGGCCCCCCAGCCGGCTTGCTGTCAGCCCCTCTACTTCGTTTCGCGTGGCGACCGTTGCCGCGCGAGGCTCCCATCATTGCCGTGGACGGCAGCGCACCAGTGGCGGCTTTTGGGTTACGACGTTGCTCCTCAAGCGAGAAGTCCTTGGCAGCCTTCATCAGAGAAACTTCCTGTGCTAGCTGCACACGAGACGAGCTTGACGGCTGGTTTTGCGCTCCCTCTTGCTGCATCGACTGCGGATGCTGAGGCTGCTGGTGGGGGGCATTGTTGAGGAGGTGCGGATAATCCATAGGGTGGTTTGGAAGATGATTGTGGAGCTTCTCTTCGTTGTAATAATGAGGACCATTTGGATGTTGCTGACGTTGTCGACTCGAAGGATCATAATTCAGATGATTGTATGCGTCATGAATACGACCACCGTCTTGTCTGCGAAAGTCGTGGTAGTACCCTGGAGCAGCTACTCCAGCTGGAGGTGGTTGTATGTTCAGAGTTGTGACATCGTAATGTAATCGGTTCTCTGGCGGAAGGATCCCAGTTCCTCTTCCAGTAGCATGGTCTACCACTGCCCTACTTGGTGTGCCCCGAAACACTTGTTGACTAGCTGAATCTACTTCGTACAGAACAACATTCGTCGAGGGGTGTGGCACGGACCTTGACGGGTTCATGTTGTAGCCGTAGCTCGACGTCCCGTTATTTGCGGCACTTGTTCCGAACGGCCGGTGCTCCGAGACCGGCACGTGAGTCGCCCACAGTGGGAGGTTCATGGCGTGGTGATCGCTCTGCTGCATTAGAGCGACATCCTCGCTGCGCTGCCGCTGCTCGGCGTTTCGTCGCGGCGCGGGCTGCTGGTGGACGACCGCCGCGCGGATGTTGTTCTGTCCGCTTGGCGGGGCCAGTGGCCCAGCAGTGTAGCTCCCGTGATGATACTGCTCTTGCTCCGTGCGCGCAGGTAGGGAATGCCGGTGGTGGTGCAGCTGCGCGGAGTTCATCGCACCGGCGTAGGAGTTTGGAAGATACTTGCCCATTGAGGCAGAAGTTGTCAACGGTACCCCGCCCGCACCAGGCGGTGGCGGCAAGAGATCGTACGGAGCACCTTCGGGAGGGTAGCCCCCGTGCTGGCTCATCATGCCACGAGGCGGCGCATAGCTCTGCTGCATGTTCACTGGACCGAAATGCTCACCCCCGCTTCTGTTCTGCACAATAAACTGTTGGCCGCCGGAACTGCGAGGCGGCTGGTCGTAGTCTTTTGCAAGAACCCTTTCCGACGGCAGATAGATCTGCGACAGGGAAGCAGTGTGAGCTTGATGTTGGCCCGCCGGATCGTAGTGGTAGCCTCCGCGCTGCGATGAGTTAGTGGGGACGAGCACTGGCGGTGGCTGGGAAATGGCGCGCCGGGAAAATGGCTGGTGCGGATGCGCAGCGGGATCCGTTGTGGCCTTGGAATTCGAAAGCTCGTTGTCTAGATGCATGCGGGCGAGAGAAATCGGGTTGAAATCGACATTCTGCAGGTACTTCTGCGTCTTCAAATCTTGCACAGCCAGGGTAGCGCTGCTCGACTGATTCTTGTTGCAGGTCTCAAGTCGCCCGGCGCCGTGCTCTTGCTCGACGGCGATCCCTGGTGCTCCTGCAGCTCCTACATCATTCAATTTCATCTGTGCAATCTTCGTCCGCGAGGCCAAGTAGGTGGTCATCGCTGTAGACCCTCCCGTCCCGACGTTGCTCCTCGGAAACAACAACTGATTCTCATTCACATTTATTCCGTTCCCCCCAGCACCGCCGGCTGACAGGAGCAATTCGCGGTCTAGCTCTGCCCGGCGACTGAAGGAATCTGAGGTAATGTTTTGAATGGCGTCGTTAAAGGACACTTCGTCCAGGGGTGGGGTGGTATCGACCACTTGCAGCTTGTTCCGCACACGAGTTCCGGCTGACGGTGATCCGCGCGGAGCTTTGGGCGGGCTCCGACTCCCCTCGTTGCTCCGCAGCTGGGTTGTGGAGGAGGCCCCGGTCTCCGCCCTCGGTCGTTGCCGGGATGGTTCAGCAGATGAACTCGCGCGGGGATCTTGTCGTCCAACAGAAATAACTTGTGCCGGCCCTACGACGGCTGCCTGCTGCGCATGATCGCCTGCTTTCGACGCTCCGCCTGTAATTAGCTGGTCTTGTTGAAGAGGACCATGATGCTCGTCGAGCGCATTGTTCTCCACCTTTGCAGGAGAAGCACTTCGGCTTGCTCCTGCTGGTGCACCTTTGCCACTTTTCGAGTAAGATGAACCGGAAACATTTCGACTAGGAGTCGCGCGTCGGGAATTGTCGACGTCTCGACTAGCGCCACGGCGGCTCACGGCTGCGGTCGAACCGACTCCCACAAAGTTTGTGCTGCTGCCACCAGACTTGTTCCTCGTCATCTCGGCGTGCTGAGCAACACTATTTCGCGCTTTGCTGGGTGCGCTCGTTCCAGGAAGGGCGCTAGTGGCCTGCTGAAGATGCGGCTGCGGGCCCGCCTTCTTAGAAGATTTGTTCCCCAATCCCATTTGCCGCGCTTCGGCCTCAAAGTATTCGTCTGGCTTAGTGTCCGAAACAAGAGCGTGCTGTTGATTCTGGGCACCCGACCTGACGTTCTTGGAGACCAAGTGTAGTGCGCTTCCTTGGCCTTCTTCTGATGCTGACACGACGAGCATGCGCGAGGACGGCGGCGGCTGTTGTTCCGTTGAGAGCAGAACATCATTGGCACGCTCGACCAGGGAAGGCGAATCCGGCGACGAGGGTCGGACTTGTCCGGGTCGAGTAGCGGTGCCACTTGTGCCAGCATGCTCCACCCCGCTGCGACCGGGGCTCGTGACGGAGCTCTTGCGTACGGCTGTCGCCGGCTTGGCGGCCGAAGATCCGGATGCCTGCCAAAACAGTGCGCGGTTAGAAGTTTTTTTCAATGTCATGATGTTCCTGAAGATTATCCTTCCTGTACTTCAAGTTCGTCCTCAATGAACAATTCCATTGTGAACTACATCATCAAGATGCCAATAATAGCCGCCTCAGCGGGGGTAGTGAGGTCATGGCGGTTTTTTTGTCTTCACTCCAAAAAACGACGCGACTTCCCTTCCCACCGTTCCGCCGTGAGTAATGTTATGCACGACGGCACGGCGGTCGCTGAAAATCTCGATCCAGAGGTGGCCTCCATTTGGTTTCGACATGAAAAACCTTCCCCGCATGCTATGGCCCCCAAGGGCCTCCGCCCGGGCCGGCCCCTTGGGCGCCCCAAATCGGGCCCATAGCATGCGGGTTAGCTCTCGGACTTTGGCGGCCATTGTTTTTTTTAGTTTTTTTGTATGAAAAGTCGCAACTTTTGCCCTGCTCCCCGCCTTACAAATGCCCGATTTTGGTGGCCGGCTTTGCGACCTCCAAAAGTGGACCAAAATGGGGCCCATACCATGCGGATTCGCGCTTTTTTTCGTCTTGGCATTTTTGCGGCGCCCCTTTTTGGGCGCCCCAAATCGCCAGAAACCAAGGCGGTGGGCGCCTCAGAAGGGCGCCCCTTTTACCGGCTCCCCTGCGTCGTTTTATCAAGTGCGAGTCGATAGTTTTCAACCGGGCTTGTTTGCTATCAAAGCCCCGGCCGCTTGATAATTGGAATTTTTTTATGTCAAAAAAGCCTTCCGGCCGCTTGAAAACTGCCCGTCGTTTTGCAGGTGAGGTGTCAAAAAAACAGCTAGGATAGAACGTTCGTGACCTCACTACATACTATGAATGAAGTAGATTGCGCATCTTTGCGGGAGGAGAGTATACCTGCTGCTGCTTCGGATTTTGCTTTCCTTTCCGCCCCTGGTGGACACCGCTGCTACGGGCGTCGCGCTGCTGAGATATGTTCACAGAACTGTCAGCGACGCTGTCACCCTTTTCCGAGTCAACTGATGGCTTTACCGCTTTGTACCGTGGCTGCACTTGCGTGTACTGGTCCGCAAGTTTCGCACTTGCGGGCTTCTCGGGCGAGGCGGAAGTTCCATTAGGTCTCGCTTTCGGCTGCTGAAAATACATCGCAAAAGTACAACGTACGCGCATGTACGGACAGCTGTAAAATATCAATTTTTTTTTGCTTCTTTGAACACGGTAGGTGTGTTGGTGCTCTTGCATCCGTTGCAAATGATCCCTGTACAACGTACAAGCAGCGTGGATAAGTTGTATTCCTCCAGTGGATATTGGACGGCCTTGTTTTTTGACGCCGCATTTGCGAATGCCCGAGCGTAACTCCTCGCCGCGCTGGCACTGGGGTTGGTTGTGGAAGGACGCGCTTGCCTTTCCTGTCGCGACATCATTGTGGTTGCTGGGTTTATTTTTTCCGGTTCTACTTTCGCAGAAGACGACGAAGACGAGGAGGCCCCCGACGCTGACGCAACCACTACGAGCGACGCCGGCGGACCGCTAGTTCCAGTCCGACCCCCTTTTGTAAGGGCGGCTGCTGGTCCTCGTGGTGCTATCAGAATGAAAAATACCCCCCCACCCTCAAAACAAATGACAGTCAAAGCAAATGCAAAGCAAAAAACTTCAAATGTTTCTTTTGAAAACATTTGAAAAAGACAAAACAAAAAAATGTGTGCCGTGCAAGTGTGTTTTGCGGAAAATGCATTTGCCCGGGCGGCAGATACAGAGTGGGAAGGCGAAAAGTTGTATTTTTATGGGATGCGCCATAGCATGCGGAATGGCTCACGGGCGTGGCCCGCGAGGACCGCCGTAGAAGGCGGATTCAGTTTTGTGACAAAAGCAAGCAGCTTTCTGATGCGGCGCCGTGCCGTCGTGATTGGCGTCCAGCGGTTCTGCCCGGGCGGCAGATACAGACCGGGGACCTTGAAAGAAGCAAAAAGCTGCTTCTTTTTGGGGTTGCGTTATAGCATGCGGAAGAGAGCGGCGGCCGCGTCGACCCCAGTGGCCAACGCCTCGGCTTGCACTGCACAAAGGGCCCGCGGCAGGCCAACAGCCTCGCGGGATTGCTAATATTCAAGACGTTGGCACTTTCCTGGCAAAAGGTGCCCAAATCTTGCACAGAACCTGGCCGGCGCCCAGCAGACGAGAGAGCGGCGGCCACGTCGACCCCAATGGCCAGCGTCTCGGCTTGCACAAAGGGCCCGCGGCAGGCCAACAGCCTCGCGGGGGTGCTAAGCTTCAAGATTTGGGCACTTTCCTGGCACAAGGTGCCCAAATCTATCGCGCGCACGCAGAACCTGGCCAGCGCTCAAAAGACAAGAGAGCGGGCAAAGTTCCCCCGGAACGCCTGGGACCTGCGGGGCAATTTGGGGGCCGCCTCCGTGCAGGGCGGTTTGGCGTATTTCTTGCGAAAAATGAAACACAACCCCCCAAGCTCCTGCGAATGTGGGGCAAATGTTGGGCAAATGCACCAAATGGCATTTGCACCAAATGTTGGGGCAAATGTTGGGCAAAGGCATTGTAAGGGCGGCTGCTGGTCCTCGTGGTGCCACCTTACAGCACGCCCTGTAAGGGCGTGCTACGCGTTGGGCAGGGTAATAGAAAAACGCGCCCGGAGCCCAACGGGAGCACATCGAAGGAAGCCGGGGAGGGCTTGCGCAACGTGCGGGCACATGCCCACGTCCCCGAACAGGAACGAGAAACACGGAAACCCCCAAAAGGCCTCGCGCCCAAGAGCCGCTAGAAGGGGACCCGCTGCAGCGGGGGTTCCCCGACGTGCGGGCCGCGGACGAAACCGAGGGCGGCCCTGCCCTTCTGCGGACCCGCATTCGAAATCTCATGCCCTGGTGCCGAGGGCATGAGATTTTGTCTGCCCCCGAATCTCATGCCCTTGTGGCCACGGGCATAAGATTCCGGGCCTCGAAATCTCATGCCCTGGTGCCGAGGGCATGAGATTTTGACTGCTCCAAAATCTCATGCCCTTGGGGCCAAGGGCCTGAGAGTCGCCTGCTCCAAAATCTCATGCCCTTGTGGCCAAGGGCATGAGATTCCGGGCTCCGAAATCTCAGCGCTCGATATTAATAACCTTCCCCAGACGGGTTCACGCCTGTGACGCTTGCCGCCGCCACCCCATCTCGACCTTCCTCTGCCAGAACCGTCTTGCTGCCCCATACTCGAGCACCGTGCCACAAAAGCCACACCAATCCCCTGCGTGTGCTGCTTCTGCTCTACCCCGATTCCCCTGCAGGGGCTGGCCGGACGTGCTGTGTGCCAGCATCGTGATGCCATGGGCAGGCAAGTACGACGCCCATCCCTCTAGCCTGCTGGCCACACAGTCGGCGCGGCCGTTGGACTTGGGAGGGCAGTCATGCCATAGCTTCGCAATTCGGTAGCTTTGTTTTATACGATAGGAAGCAACCCGCGGCGCGCTGAAAAACAAACAACAAGTTGCCCTGGGTATCTTTCGGGCCGGCAACCTCCCGGCGTGGATATCTGCGGCCTCACGCTCTCCGTCTTGTCCAGGACAAGAACCCACTTCCGGAAGGCCCTCGGCTTTGCATTTTGTCACTTTTGGCGCAGCGGCTGGCCCGGCGGCTTCCACGATGCGCATGCTCCTCGATTTTCCTGCTAATCTTTTGCGGTTTTTTAAAAGTGCCCACACAACACATGATCACTCACCCTGTGTTTTTTTTTGTTATGGTAGGCGATGGCACAAAAATTAATTCCATCACTACGCACGCATCGTAAACATTTCACAGAACTAACATCAGACAATGTCAGGCAAACTGCGGTTTTCGTTTCTCTGGGTAAGGGCGGCTGCTGGTCCTCGTGGTGCCAGCGTAGCTTTATTCAAGTCCTCTTGGACGGATGGCATTTTTCCGGACGCAAAGGAGCTACTTCCGGCAGTCTCCGCCGCGGCCGCATATTGATTCGACGTGCTTGTAGACATCGAGTGCACCAGCTGCTCCAGTGGGTTGTCCCCGTCGCGCTCCCGCACTTCTTCGGGCAAGTTCGGTATGGGACTGGACGCGCGCAGGTCCTGGGAGGCGGCAGAGAGAGTGGAGTGATACCGTGAGCGGTCGCGGTTGTCCACGAGGACTCTTGCCTGCTCCAGTTCTCCTCCTTCTGACGAGGCTGTGCGTTGTCGCGGCCGATCTGGCTGCGATGTCGATGAGGCACTTGCGGCCTGCGCTCCTGGCGCCACGGTCTGACCGCCCGCCGACGCGAAAAAGCTGCTGCCGTCGATCGCACCCCCGGACCGGGCAGAGTTCGCGCCAGCGTGATCCGAGAAGCTCCGGGGACGCTGCTCCTCGGTCGAGATCTTCATTCCCTCGAAGGGAAAAACTTCGCCCTCTTTGATCACTGGCGGTAGTTCCTGCTGTGTGTAAGTGTAACTCATCTCGTCCGAAATGGTCCTCGTTCGCTTTCGGGCGGCCTCGTGCCCGCCCAGACTTAGCCGAATCGGGAGGGCCGACCGGTCGGTGCAATCGTCCGTAAAGACGGGCATGATTCCGGGCGTCGATGCAATGGGGCTTGCTTTGCGCGAGTCGAGATCTTGGTCCAGGTCTTGCAGCTGCTTCTTGATCTCTTTTTCGCGAAATTCTTGCAACTCTAATCTCATCGCAGTTTGCTCCTCTGCCATCAGCCGAAACCTTTCTTGCAGAAGGCCCCCGATGCGACTGAACGGGAAGAGGCTGGCTGCAGTCTGATGCTCGTGCTGGCCCGCCTCCGCGACCGCGTCGGCCCCAGATGCAGAACTCGAGGCACTGAGACTGAATAGCTGGTCATGTTGCTGCAACGCGTCCGAGTCTTCACCTCTGCCACCTTTTTCGAGCTGCTGGTACGCTGTAGTTGACTGCTCGGGTTCCTTTGGTGATGCTGCTGTCTCGTCGGCTGCTTGCAGTTCCGCATGGGCACCTTCTTGTCGCGTTCTTGTTTTCACAAGATCTTCACTAGGCGGTGCTGCACCTTCGTCGTGGAGATTCTGAAGATTCAGGCTCTGTGCCTCCTGCCCGCTGCGGATCAGCATGACTTTTTGGAGCACCGCTGGGAAACACTTTTCTAGGAAATGTTCCAAATCTTCCAAGTTCGCAGTGGCCTTGGCGCGCGCAATCTTCTCTTCCTGTTCGGATTCTAGTGTCCGATGCCAGTCTTGGCGCAGGCTGTCCAGCTGCGAATCCTTCAGGCGGATAACGCCTCGAAGCCGCTGGGTTTCCCGTACTAGCCTGGTGCCGTCACGGGCAGATGCCATCACCTAAGATTGAGAATGAACCACAGCACATAAGTAGTTCGAAATTCATTTATCACATGAAAATGAGAAGCGCAAACTTTCTGATGATCAAGTGAGAAATACATGTCTTCACACAGCTCTTCCCGGTTGGTATGCTATTGGGCATCAAAAACAAAATACGAAACAAGTCAACGGGCAAATCAAAGAACCATTTCTGTTGGACTGGCGCCGCTTCGGGCACCATAAACATCGCGCTCTGCATTTGCAGGCCCGAGCTTCATCGCGTTCTTCGAATTCATTTTTGCGTAGGGGTAGAAGGCCAGATTTGAATCCGTTGGCGATGAGCTACTGGCCCCGGCGTGCGTGACCCCCGCAAAGTGCTGCGGTTGCAACGAGCCGCGGTTTTGCAGACTCTGCGCTCGGGACTTTAACGAGGCGGAATTCGGCGCCGGAACTGCGACAGACCCGTTGTTATTCAGACTGGACGTGCTGTTTGAATTCCCGAGCTGAAGTTGCTGTTGCTGGAACGGTTTAACATCCAGTGGTTGCGCCACGGGGTGGGCCCCAGTTGAAGGAGAAGCACCGTTGTAAAGGTGAAAATCGATGGTGGACACCAGCTTCTCACCGAGATCCGCAAGTTCATCGCGCAGCTTGGCGTTGTCGGTGCGCGCCGCATCGTAGTTTGCCTCGTGGCGCTCCGAAACCCTTTTCGCGTCCTGCAGTTTCTGGTGAAGCTGCCAGATCTCCGCGGCCTTCACCGACAAACTTTCCTTCCTCCGGATTTCCTCCTCCAAGAGCTCCTCCTTGTCCTTCTGCAAAACGTGGATAGCTTCCTCCCGCTGTCCAGATTCCGCTGCCGAGGTTGCGAGGTCTTTTTCCAGTTGCGCTATCCTCTCGAGCTTCTGCTGCAAAGCCGCGTCGGCTTCGTGCTTTTGCTTTTCCAAAGTTTCGCACTCCTCCTTTCCTGCACTCAATTGTGCGTCCTTCTCCGCGGCTCTCTCCTGTTCGCCGTCCAGTGCCTTGGAGATTTCTGCTTTCTCTTGCTCCAGCGCTTGAATCTGCTTGTCCTGCTCCTGGTAGCTGTCGTGGTACTGCTTCAGGCGGGCATCGTACTCGGTCTTCCACGTATTCTGGAAAACTCTTCCTTGACCCAAGTACCATTTCAACTCAGTAGTCCGGATCTCTTACAGATTCCACGCATTTTTCTTTATCTTTTGGAAGTCATGGCCATTGAAAAAAAAGAATGATTTTTTCTAGCCGGTGCGTTTGAAACTGCACATGCACATGCACGGCGCACCGTCTTTTTGTTCTCTTCACTTTGAAAAGGTAACGGGTAAAGGAAAGCTGTCCAGCATACAACCGCTTCATCTCGTCTTCGAGGTGTGCGATTTGGAACCTCAGCAAAGCATTTTCAGGAAAACCATTCATACATACTGGTGTCGATTGTTGCTATTTCGTCTTTACCATAGCATGACATCAGCCCATCAACCCAGAGGCAGAGTCGTGTGTTTCCTATAATTTTGGGAAGTATATCATTTGTCGTATCAATTTGAAGCGGGCGGTTTCTTGATCTTCGATGTAAGCGTGTCAATACGCGGCGGACGTGAGCAAACACGAAAGTAGACCGCGGCACAATTATACTTGAAATGCTGCATTTCCGTCTCTTTCTCCGAGTGTACGCGATTCGTCCAAGCCGTTTGCGCTTGTTCCATTTCGTCGTCCGTCAGAAGTTTGCGGTGTCCAGTCAGCAGCCCCTCGTGGATGTCCTTTCGCGACAGGCCGATGCGCTCCAGGAACATCGTGTTTTCTTGCTGGATTTCCTTCTTGAGGCGTTCCATGTCGTTTAACAGGCGCGTGTTTTCCATCTGCAGCCGGGCGTTGTCCCCCTGCAGTGTCTCGTTCTGGGTCTCCAGGGCGTGGCTCTTTTCTGCCATCTGCTGGATGGCCTGGTATGGAGAGAAAAAAGTTTGTCACAGTCACTAAGTTGCAGGTTTTGCATTACAAATTTTTTGAGCATCACAACTTCTCCTTGTCTTGCAGAAACACTAAGGAAATCCCTTAAAAAGTGTGGCTGTGATGCATTTTTACGCATGACAGACAATTTTGTATTGCAAAAATGCCCATGAGTGATCGTGACGAACTTTTTTCTTTTGATACCTGGTCCGCCTCCTGCAAAACCTCCATGCTCGCCTCTTTGTCCGCAGCGAGTGCGGACTCATTATCAAATGCAAAAATGTCTGGGTCTGGAACATTCTGACACTTGTCATGCACGTTTTGCATGAGCCCTGATGTCTGTGATGCATGCCCTAGCATCACAGATTTTTTCGGAGCTTCTTGATGCCTATTCCGCATGACAAATGCCCTCTCCGCGTTGCAAAAATTTCATTCCTTTTGGTACTCATGCAATACAGATTTTTCTGGAATCCAAATGCAGCATGACAAGTTGCATTCTTCCAGACCCAGACATTTTTACATTTGATACTCATGCGACGCCTGCAACTCCCTCACCGAGCTGGCAAACCTTGTTCATGATTTGATCGCAAGAATAACGCCTCCATTTTTGCGCCTGATGCAAAAATGTTCGCAAGAGGAAGATGAATCTATCACACATGAAAAGAACGATACAGAAGCAACAAGCTGCCAACAATTATCGATATTGTTCAGATTACAAGCAATACTTTCCCTCCATTGTCTCTTTTTCTTTTGCGAATCGGACGCACAGCTTCCGCATCAGAGCCGCCACCTGGCGCTTGCTAAAGACGCAGACTTGGTACACCTCGGGCGTCTCGAGGAGCAACAGTAACCGCCGAAGCTCCGCCTGGCACAGGTCCACGTCGTCTCTCAAGCTGGAAGTCTCAGTCTCTTCTTCGATCAGAGCCAGGAGCTCCTTCTTCGACAGAAAAAACAGGCGCTTTTTGGTTCGAGAAGGGGGCACTAGACCAGCCTCCTGGTCCGCGTGTTCTTCGTTTTCAGCAAGATCTTTGTCTTCTTCGTTTACGATTCCCGTATCAGTATCCGGCTTGCGGTTTGTTGATGGGGTTCGTTCGTCCTCCTCTTCTTCGTCTGGAACGTCATCAAAGAGCAACAAGGCTTCCCTCTGGCTCTGAGACAGATTTGCGGTGTACAGTTGTTGGTCTAGTAGACCGTCGGTGCGGGGCGTGGGCATGATGCTGAGCCGCTTAGCATCCAGCGTTTTCATGCAGGACACGGTGGTGATGGGGGAAAACTTCGGAATCTCGTCCAATTTTGTCCCGTTCTGCAGATCTGCCAACCACTGTCGCCCGACCTCGCGCATGACCTCCCTCAGATTCGGCTTTTCAACCAACGAGATGGTGTGATGGAGCTGCTCCCTGGTCTCTCCGAGCGGCGAAGAAGACGCAGCCATTGTTCCGGCACCTCCCCCCACACCAGCGTTGCAACTACTTCCCGCGGCAGGAGGGGCAGCTACGGCTACGGCCGCCCCTTCTCGCGGTGGCGAGGCTCCAGAAATGTAGTTGCCTTTGCTCGTCTGGGTGCTCTGTGCAATATCATGCTTCTGCAGCTTCGGATCAACAAGGAGTCCCTTATCGCCTATTTCGTCGGCTGCCGGGGTATAATTTCTTCCCGTCTTGTTCTTTACGTGCGCTGGAACTTGTGGCTGCATCACACTAGACCCGGTGCTGGATCTGCCGGGTAGGTTCACTGAAGGAGGGGAGGCGGCAGATGAAGCGGCTCCTGCAACGTGGGTGGCAAACGACGGCAATTGCGGCTGCGTGATAGTGTAATTGTGCTTCGAAGCGATCACATGTACGGGCTCTCCTCCACCTCGCACTCCTGCCTTAGGAGCAGGGGCACTACCAGTGAAGGAGCCCCCAACGGGTGCATGCAACTCGCCACGCTGCTGCTCGCCGCCTTGCAGCGCCACCTGACCAACAACGTTCCAGCGCAGTTGCTGTTCGTGCGAGTCATGCTTCTCACGTTCCTGCGCTGTGGAATGGGCTGTCCCAGCAGTAAGAGCAGATGGGCCAACAGTTCTTGTAAACGCCGCTCCCGCGCCTCCTGTATACTCTACAGTGTCGTGTTCCTGCTCGTCAGAAAAAATCGCAGGTGGTAGTGTCTTTGTACTGTCGTTGTTGGTCAGACTCACACGATCAACCTGCTCCGCGCCTGTCGACGCAGGGGGGCTCCTCTTCATTTGCTGCGGGGACAGCGCAGCTGCGTGTTGATGCTGATCATCAACTACAGGCACCAAAGAGAACTCCAGCGACGATGTGTGTTCTATGGGTGATCTCCGACCACCAGGAGCAATCCCCGCAGCAACGTTGCAGGAGCCCCAATGCTCGCTACCAGCACTGCCCTCGAGAGGAGGCATGGCACCCGGCGGTGCCGGCCACCTGGTTGGCGAAACTTTGAACGGTTTGCTGCTGCTCCCCGCTGCCCCTCCTGCCGCCGTTGAGTCGGAGGTGTCGTTTGTGTTGGTCCGACTCGAATTTTTACAACTCTGCGTAGTAGTCGCTGCGGAGAAAGACACCGCGGGCTGTACAACCTGCACCATCATCCCACTTGTTGCCGTGGCCGATAGGTTCGGCGATACTACGTTCGACGCCACGGGGGAGATGTTACTGTGGGGATTGAAAAACTGAGACATGTCTGCATTCGCGAGCTTGGACTTGAGACCCAGCCGGGGGCTCGGCGCTACGTTAGCGTACCACGCTTTTCCGACCTTGTACACGCGGGGACTTTGTTGCTCAATGGACATGGACCGGTTCCGTGTGGTCGGCGTCTGGTTGTTGGCATCCGCAGGGAGGTGGTCCAGTTGCTGCGATGCGAGAAGACCTCCATTCGTACTGCTCCCGAGCGCCAGATCCACCACCTGTCCGTCCACGTCGCCGTTCGCTTCGCCTCTCGCTGTGGACAGTGGCGTTGTAGTAGCGTTCGCAATGTTGATCCCCCCGTTTTGAAGATTGCGTTGCAGCTGCTGTGGCTGAGAAGGATCTCTACAACTCGTGGTAGAGGTCATCGGAGTGGGCGCACCCGCCGTACTACTTGCTGTGGCTCCGACGGTGAGAAAGAGCTGGCGGGACAGGGTGGAGCCGGTTTGCTGCAGTTTTTCTCTTGCAGCGGCTGCGTTCGTGGGCTGCAGCCGCGGTGGTAGCGGCTGCGGTGTTTGCTGCCCCGTGCTAGAAAGAGAGGCGGTGCTCGAGATCAGGCCGCCGACTCCCGGAATACGCGGCGTCAACTGCTGACTCGCGCTGTGGAGGAGCCCGCGGGACTTCATCTGCGGCGAAAAAAACTGCACGGAGGCCTTCGCGGAGCCCATTGCGCTGGGCGGCGCGAGCGACGCGCGCCGTTGCACTGGGTTCGCAGCCGCAACATTGGCTGGGAACACAGATACCGAAGGCGGCGGTCCTGTCGTGTGTGGACGCCTCAATATGGGTCCCCCACGCTGAGACCCAGCAAGACTATCTTCTTTGTCGTAGTCCTCCCCGGAAGGACATGCCTGGCCGCTCGCCACACCGGGGGACCGTTGGCTTCCTGGTTGCGACACCGCACTCATCACTAACGAGGCACTCGTGATTAATTGCACGCGCAACCGCAGACAACCGAAACAAAAATAACAAACTTCTACTTCGTTTCACACTGAATTGCCGAGGTCCGTCTTTCCTTTTTACTTTTTCGCAATGTATATTCGTGTAGTGCACTACGTCTCAAGGAAGTCCCTTCGTGTTCCTTCTGCGCTCCTTCCGTTTGTTTGATGATCTTCCACACATTGCGGGATACCCTCGCGCTTTAGCATAACCGAGCAAGGAGGGTTGTGAAAATAGAACCATTGGCAACCCCTGCAGATGCTCGCGTAAGCGTTTTGCCGAAGGACAATACACCCGCGTTGATAATCATACATTCCCCTGCATGAGTCATCTTCTGTCCAGTGCAACTAAAAGTGATGTTACTTTCTCGCAACCTGGTTTCGTTTTTCTTTTATTTCACTCCTCGCCTTTACTTACGGTGTGTAAGTGTAGCCTATGATTTATTAGTAATCATAGGACATACGATGGTAGAAAACACAGAGCTACTGTATAGTTTGGGTATATAATCCACTGCGAACACGACAGTCGACTAGTTTCCGGGTTGTTCCGAAATCAAAATGAAATGAAATCAGATACCCCAGCATTTCTTCTCGTCTCATATTTTAGGCTTCAAGAAAAACCTCCAAAGCTTAAGCTGCAAGAGATCTAGACATGTTTGTTAGCGTCGCTGTCGTTACTTTCATCGACAATCAGAAGAACTCTTCTACTCACGCATTCAGATAACTCCGTTTCTTGACAAAGAAGTCTAAAGTCCTTTCTTAGCATCCAGCATTTCAGGCATCTTCATCTTCTGAACTGGAAACGAACGACAAAGCGGCGCTGAGAACGAAAGTCAGGCACCACGACGCGTCCAATTATGATTTCGGTGACGGTCAACCGCACTCTTGCAAGTTCTTTGCAACCGCTATCAGGTCCTCCAGTTGCTTCGCATGCACGGCCTTGGGCGAGGCCTTCTCGGCTTCCTGAATGAATACCTCGAGGTTGTGATGCAGCGCTGCCTCCAGGCACTCCTGGACGGCAAACTGGATCTTGGGGTTCGGGTCGTCGAAATGAATGAAGAGCGAAGTCAGAATAGAGCATCCTGGCTTAAAGTTTTCTCAACTCAAAGCTGAAATTCGAACGTACTTTATGCAACTCCACTAGCCACGGCGATTCTTGCTCTGCTGTAGGTCGTTGGTGCACTACGGATTTTTCAAGTGTGGTGACAAAAAGCCTCTAGCTTGTCGGTCCTGCATACATCAAAGGAAAGAACCTGCAGCACTTCAGCACAACTCTAGTAGTACGACCGCGAGTCCAATAAATGTAGTTGATGATTTTCTTGCCAGGATAGGTACTGATACAAGTTCGCCGACCACTTCTCGGGCAGGGCGCGGAAGAAGGAAACGAACGCCTTGCACGTGACCACTCGCACCTCGTCCTGGCTGTCGTCCAGCCGTTTCAAGAGTTCCGGGTACAGGTCGCGAAGGTGCTCGTCCTGGATCTTCTGTTGCTCCGGCAACGTGTTCAGAACCAGCGTGACAACTAGCGTCGCGACCATGCGATTGTCGGGCGACCAGGAATCGTCCATGCAAGTCTTCAAAATCGGAAGCATCTGGTGAAAAATCAGAAACTTTTCACATTTGAAGATCAACTACGTGAAGATCACCCACACCCAGACACCGTGCTGTATTCTGTTAGTTTCTACTGCCCGACGTGAAATGCACACAGGAAAAAAGTTCAAAAAAGTGAAACAACACAAACTAAAATCATATTTTCGTTGTGTTCTGCTGCACCACAAGATGAAAAAGGAAAACATCAACGCCCTTACGTCTGGAAAAACCGTGCTGAGGTCCTCGATGGAGATGAGCTTGAGTTCCAAAAACTGGTGAATGCAGACCATCGTGGCTTTCCGTATCTTATTGTGGCTCTGTCCCGGCCGCCAGGACGCATTCGGCATCAACATTTCCTCGAACAAGAAAAGCGCGTGCTTTTGGAGTCCTTGCTTGACGACGTCGTGCTGTTTCGACTGGATCACCAGAAAGTGCAGTATGCCCAGGATGTCGACCCGGGCCCGAGCGGACACCCCCTGCGCCTCCTTTTCGTCGTCTTGGTGTCGCGGTGCCCCCAGCGCAGTCGAGGCTTGCTTCGCCAACACCGGCACAATGCGGTCGAGGTGCTCCGGCGAAATGGCGTGCACGCTGTTCTTGACCAGCAAGTCGAAGATCGCCCGCTTCGGGCTCTGCTCCGGCCACTGCTGCTGGTCCGCGTTCTCGAGCAGCACCGCGAGCTGGGAGGACAAATGCATCCGGTACACGTCCGGCACGTCGCACCCGCAGATCTCCGACGCGAGGTATTGAATAGCTGCGTCCGACTTTTCCAGAATGTGGGCCACCTCGGGGTTGCTGTTCCGTTCCATCGGGTCGACGCTTGACTTGCACCTTAACAAAATGTCGAACAGCCGAGGCCACTCCTCCTGCAACGCCTTTTTCTTTTCCGCACTCGTCTCCACGAGCTGCACGGAAAGCTTGGCACTTGACGACGATGAAGACGATGAGGAGGACGAAGTAGAGGCCGTAGTTCTCTTTTTGGAACTTGCAGATTTTGAATTTGCTATGAGCATCCCGTCCAGCAACTCGACTATCGTGGCTAGCAGCTCGTCCAGCGTCGTGGCTTCCTCCAGAAAACGGATCACTTGGGAAAGAATCTCGCCCGACAACGATTCGTAAGTGACAACCTAAACATTTTGAACCGACGTCATGTTGATCACATCACAGATATTACCCAACTACGACAGGAATATTCCGATGCAGATACAAAATCCATCTCAACAATTTTCTATAATGAAAAAGACAATACGGTTAGTATCTGCGCTAGTATTTTCAGGACTTGCCGCTTGTTCTCCACTGAAATTGCCACAAAGGGCTTTTCCTTGTTTTTTTCGGAAGATGAGGAGACGCGCACTTTGGCGCGGTTCACCGTCGTTTCACCCCAATATTCATCGTTCTGGCCGTCCCAATGTTGTGCGGCTTGCTTGTCTGGAAGGTATGCGGACGAAGACAGATTCACGTTCAAGTGCTTTGACATCTGAGGTGTTTTTAGTAGATGTTGCGCGTCCCTCGTTTAATATTAGCGCATGATGCGCAATTTGGTACTTCTAGGGAGCGACGGCAAGAAAGCACGTAGTATTGCAGCTAGCGCGGCGGGTAGCAGTAAAAGCAGCAAGTGTAGCAAGTGGAAGTTGTGGTTTTATCAAACTTAAATTAAGACGCAGGCGCAGCTTACCGCCGCCACGATGAGCCCCGGGTCCTGGAGAAATACGCTCAAATTTTGCGCACAGGTTTCGACGCTTTTTCGCACGGCCGCATCCTCGTCCTCAATGGCCTTATACAAGTGCACGAGAATGGTGTCGACCTTGTCCTTTGCGTTGCGGTGCAGGAACACAAGGAAAATCTTGAGCAATCGGGCGGCGCCGATGCGGAGGTCGGAAGTCCACTGGATCAAATTACCCAGGCACTGGGGCAGCAGGCGCTCGGCGTGCCGGGCCACGTAGAAGCACATGCGCGCGTTGGGAACCGTCGTTGCGCTCGTGCTCGCATCGTGGAACACGGAAGGCAGGTGGGATTTCAAATCCATGACGTTGCTGCTGTTCAACGCGTGTGCGTCTATTCCAATAAAAAATCAACTGGATCGCCCTCAACAATTTGCAATGCTAAACTACGTATAAGTCATTTTGCATAGCACGTATGACAAATAAATTTGAGGGTGAAGGTGGTGATTTCATCTAGAATAGCGTCGATGATGGAATCAAAGTCCGGAAACTGCCATTCTTCCTCCGTATTTCCATGGTCGTCAGCTATGGCGGGACAAGAAAACAGTTGCTTCATCTCGCTGAAGATTGATTGTCTCTGCGTTGCTGCTGCTAGCAGACGTGCAAGATGGCTCCGCGTGGTTGCCTTATGTGCTCTATTTTGTAGAAGGCAACACGCAGTTGTACCGGAGACACAGATAGTCATGCCTGGGCGAGGAGAAATAACCGCTTTCTGTTCATACCGACGACTTCTGTTGTAAAAAGACCCCAGAAATTGCCGCTGCAACGAGAGATTCTGCAAGACAATCGCCTGGACCGTAGTGCTAAGAGCAACTACAACTCCTAGTAGTGAATAATCCGAAATAAAACTGTGCCTTTGTCTTGAGTGTGATGAAAAATACATGTTATCGTTTCTCACCTGCATCGATATCCTCCTCCTCCGTACTGCTGCTGGAGCTCGCGACCGTGCTTCCGCCCTCGACCTGCTCGGCTTGCAGCTGCGCTTCGACTTTAGCCTGCGCTCGCTCCATCTTCTATCAACAGGACCAAAATTGTCTACTGAAACCAAGAAAAATTCCCCGTTGTTAGCCCCGCGAAACAATAATTGAAGGTCTATTTGTGACTGCTCCAATGTGCTGCCGTGGTAGCCTTTTCCTCGTTTTTCTTCGTTAGTTCTATAGGCAAAAAGTAGAATAAAAACGCGAGACGTAGTAGTACTCATACAAGATAAGCACTGGAAATTTGATTTACATGCAGTCTTCCAGTCGGGCTGCTGGAACAAGTACGAGAATTTCACTTTGATGGTTCAGCTAAATTTATTCAATGTTGCTTTTGATAAGTTCTTGGCCCGGCGAAGGCGCCTGACCTCAGATTTTTTCCAGTATTCGCTCGCGAGATCTGCCAGCCCGGTGAACCCCTCGAGGGCCGGCTTCCCTACATGCACTTCGTCCTGGTCTACGATGCTGTTCAGGAGCAGGTAGAGCAGTCGGTGCTCGTACCGATCAAATTGCATCAGCTGCTCCTCTTCCGCCTCAAAGTCGATCCGCTCCTGTGCCCAGTGACTGGTTAGCCCCGTTGACACCAGTTTTATCAGCAACTGCGCAAGCGCATGCCGCACGGTCGGGTGCCGATCATTCAGAAGCTGGTGCAAGATAGGAAAGATTTCTTCCAACATGGTGTAGTTTTCCGTACTCGCCGATATCAGGTACATCAGGCACTCGACGGAGCTCTTCCGCACCTTCCAGTGCTGGTGCTGCACGTTTGCGAGTAGGTTCGGGAGCAACAGCTTGCCTGAGCGCGCTACCTTTTGAACAGGAATTTTTCTTTCATTTAATAGTACCCTCCTAAGGCGTCAACAGCTGCTTCTGCGTATATTATCTGCCATGTCGCAACGCCGAAAGGCATCTTGCTTCTGTGGCCAATAAAAATTCAGGGCCATTCATCTTTTTTGGAAGTAGACGTACCTTGTTGGGCGGGATTATCTTGCAGAGGTCTGCAATCAGAGCGCAAGCTTGCTTCTTTGCATCTGGGAAGGAATCCGTGAGGGCCTTCGACAAACCTTTGAGTCGATGAAGGAACAAACTATTATTTTTAGCAGTTTCATCCCATCAATCTCAGGCCTTGAAATATTGCGTGTGTGCCTGTCGGGCAAAAATGAATGAAGGAAGAGGACTGACGAGCGCGGCGTTTGATTGTTCCGGTTCTGCACCAAACCTTAAAACTTAATTTTTACCGTCAAAAAGGTCGTGGCTGTAGGGCGATACGTCCAGTCCGGGCAGCTTCGTAAGCTCGACGAGACACTCCAGAAATCGAAACCGGAGCTCCTCGCTGCTTTCAGGAAATGGGAGCACACGGAACCTGCCTAGCAGAGCAGCAAGGAGAAGGGGCAGGACGTCGTTTAACACCTGGCGACGTCGCGAGATGATGATTTTGTCTTGCCGTGAAAAAAAAAACGTCAAGTAATCTGTGTCGTAATACCATAAGAAGTGCAGCTGGCTGTGGCCCCCCATTGGCATCCATTGTAGGCTGGAGTGACCACGACCAGTGCTGCGGAGAGTAAAAGCGAAACCTCTTACCGGCACAGAAAAAGCGAAACAACTGAACTCACCTCCCCAGTGACAATCTTCGTTTCGACAATTAGATGCATAGTCAGTCCCAAAGCCACTTCGCGCACTTTTTCCATGCCGTCGCCGAAGCAGGAGAGAAGGGGCTTGTGTAGCTCCTCCGCAAAAAGACGACTCACTAGAGTGTGGTCGCTTTCCTTGCGCAGGGTCTTGTCGAGCCGGACCAATCCGTTCTTCTTGGTCATGCGATCTCGGTCCGACAGGCAATTAATGTCGCGCCGCACGGCAGCGACAAACTCCGTGTACTTGTCCATGATGTCTTTCCTTGTCTATCCAAGCTTCCTTTGGTTGCGCATGTAGCAGCACGGTATCACTTATTCAAACATTTACGCGTTTTTTATTCCTCGCTACGCCGAAGACCACGACTGTAGTTACATTGTTGTTCGACAAATAGTGTTCCTCGCTGCGCGGGGCGAGCGCGGGCCGGTCCGCCCTTGCATCACCACACAGATGGCAGCAATAAGAGTACCGCAACCGGATGGTCAATTATGTGCTTAATATAGTAGTTACCTCTTACCGCAGCGGGCAACAAACACAAATACACACACACGGCCGCAACCGCTCGCATGGCAGCAGCTGCTCCGCTCGTCACAATGTCGCACCGTCGCTCATGACGTCGGGCCTGATGCAGACCTTGACCTACGCAAGTAAAGCCCTGATCATTTTTGCTTCTGTTCGGCGTCAGTCCTCTAAAAGCTGCGATTCTAACCAGGTACATGCCTCTAACTCCAGTCCTTTTCAGTTCTTTAGGCGAACACGATACAGCAACAGTTTTCGGAGCCAAACTTCCAGCATTCTGCTCTACAGCAGATACATCCTGAATATGCTGCTGAGCGGTAGTGTCTCTTTTTTTGCATGAAATCTTTCTTGCATCTTTGCGTCGCTGCGAGAAAAAAGAACTACCGCGAGCAGTTCTGATAAGCTGTCTAACTATGTAACTGTTTTTGCTCCTTCCTCCTGGGGGCCGAGGCCCACTCTAGGCAATAGCTCTACTGCTCCAGCTTCGTCTGTGCTGAAAAGTCGAGCAGAAAGCTCAGCGGCGGCGCTTTGGTTTTCGTAGAAAACATTCCTACTTCTAATACCTCTGCCAGCCTTTCGAAGCAACAGAAACAGCACGGCTGCTACCGCACCTGCCACGGATCCCGATGCGAAAAGCAAACTGGTGGAAGATAATCTCGTACTGGTACCTTTCTTGTTCCTATCTTTTCTCTTGCCTCTTCTGGAAGAACCGGTGGCGTTGGTGTCAGAATCTCCTTGCCTACTACCCATAAGCCGGCGACCGGAGGCTCCCTTGCGCAGCAGCCCAAGGTAGCCATCTTTCCAGTGTCCGAGATGGCGTTCGCGATTCTCTATCGAATTTAAACTTTCAGCTGCTCCGAGCCCATCTATCATGATCATGCTTGCTGTGTGTAGGTTGTGCGCATAGACACTCATACTAGGAGCATTACGTGCTAAAAACTGCCATGGGCGATCACGCAGTACTACACACTTGCTCTCGCCTTGGAAAGTAGGATCGCATGCAGGTGGATTGTGCACCGGCATGATGTAGTTGCAAACGCCTCAATATTTGAGGCACTGGGTTTGGAGCAGCTCTCCGCGCGACATTCTAGTCGATAAACCGCTCGCCGTGTCCGCATGTAACGCTGCACTCGGACCATGCCAACCTGTGTCATTTCATGGTGTAACAATCAAATATATGAACCTCTACACTACAGCAGACCAAACCAATTTGTAGTGTCTTCATTGGTAAAGAAAAATGTAGTGAACTGCAAATTGCCTTCGAAGCCTCACGTTTGTTATTCTTAGCGTAAACGAAGTACCCGCGCAACCCAGAGGAAATTACATTGATTCACGCACTACGTTGTTCATTTTTGCAATTGTGCGTGCAGCACTCACAAAAGTCAAATGAGGTTTCTGTGCGTGCAGGCTACAAAGATGCAAAAAAGTACGCAACTCTTAGACAAATGAATCAATTATACCAATCACCCAAGCCGCATCGCATTGCGGTATAACATTCGTCGAGATTGCATGGCTCCACTTCCTGTGTGGCAACGCCCTCATCGCAGGCCTTGCCTTGAAGTGATGGCATCGTCTTGACATCGCGCGTCCGCATGCGCTCCCCCCCGTCGCACTCCTTCGAGCACCGGCCCCATTCCGTCCACGGACTTAATTCGCAATCCGTCGCGTCTTTTGCCGTGCAAGGCTCAGCATTGCACGACTCAACCACCGCTAGTGCAGGGTCGCATCCCTTGCCGTCCCCGCTTGGAAGCATTACAATCTTCCGCGTCTTTCGGCGCGTCCCTCCACTGCATTTCGCCGTGCACTCACTGTAGTCCGACCAGTCGGACAACACGCAGTCTTTGCTATCCGATGCAGGGCAATCTAGGAAAAACAAAAAATCAGGTTGAGAAATAAGACCACAATATCCAGCGGCCAACTTGAATTTTGAAAAAATCAGCAGCGCGCGCGCTCTGTCTTTGGTGCTCGAGGTTACACGTATACAACGAGGAAATATTCTACTTCTGCATATACAAGAGGAAGAACATCTCTACTTCCACATCTATCCAATCATACCGGTGTTGCACTGTTGCGCTTGATCAAGGACCCCCTCGCAGGGTCGGCCGCCATTTTTCGCCGTTACCGCCACGGTCCTGATCCTCCGCTGATAGCCGTTGCAGTCACTGCTGCACTCACTGAAGGCCGTCCACTCGGAGAGCTCGCAGTCCACCGGCGCGTCCTTGCCCAGTTCGCCGTGGCACTCGCGTTCTTCGCAGTGCTTGAACTCTTCGCTGCGCCCCACCACCGGCTCCCCGCAGTAGTTCGCGGCCACCTGGATGGTCCGGTCTCGCTTCTGCCACCCGGTGCCGCAAGACACCGAACAAGCACCAAAGGTGGTCCATTCGCCCCAGCGCCCGTCCACGCAGTCCTCCGCATTCGAGCCCGCGGCGCAGGGCGAGTCCAGATCCATTTTTGCGTCGTACAAGTTGCAACCACGCACCTCGCTGGTATCGTCGCTCGCGGGGCAGAGGGAGTGACCGCCCCCCGGCTTCAAAACGCGGGTCCGGGACTGGTGCCCATTGCAACTGGCGGAGCAGTCGGACCAGGCACCCCACTGCTCCCAGTGACATTCCAAGGCGTCGCACATGACCCCGGAGTCACACTGCCCCATCTCCACCAAATCGATCTCCTTCTCCCCGTGGCAGGGCTTCCCGTTCGACGCCGGCTTCAGCACGTACCTATGATATTTGGTGTGGCCTTGTTTTGCAAGCAAGCAACAGAATGTGACAAGTTTTTTTCTGCGGCAGACCATCAAGTCTTTTCAGTGGCGCAGTGCCTCTAGAAGAGCAGAGTTGTAAGCCGCCGGACCACGTAGTTTTTGTTTTTAGTTTTTTGTTTCCCTTCGACACAGCCCTCCCGGTCCACGAATCATAGTTATACATGTACCTTTGCCTCGACTTTTGGCCCGTTCCGCAGGTGGCACTGCACTCGGACCAGGCCTGCCAGTCACTGATCTGGCAGTCGTCACCACACTGCACCAGCATGTTGCAGCCCGCGGTTTCCTGCAGGTCTCCCTCGCAAATTTTTCCGCCGTTCGTCGCGTGGGCCAGAATGGACCGCGTGCGCAGCTTTTCGCCCCCGCCGCACTCGGCCGAGCACTCACTCCAGGCTGACCAGTCGGAGAACTGGCAGTCCACCACCGCGGTGTCGGAGTGCGGGATACAGTGTTGGATCTCGACCCGCGTGCCGGTGCACCCGGTCCCGCAGTAGTGGTCCACCCGGGGGTCGCGTCTGCGCGTCTGCGTGAGGCTGATGTGGTCACATACCGACCACGGAGCCCACTCGCCGAACTCGCAGGGGCCGCACTCGCAGTCCGGCACCTCACAGCTCGCCACCTCCAGGGCGGAGTGCGGCGCGCACGGCCGGCCGAGCACCCCGGGGTTTTGTTTCACCCGGCGCTCCCGCTTCTTCGTGGCTTGTTCGGAGTCCTGGTCGGCGTACGAAACGCAGGTCTTGTCGCAGGCAGACCAGGCCGACCACTCGCCCCACTGACAGTCGTTGGACGCGGTGGTGGAATCCACCCCGGCCGCGGCGATGCCCTCCGCCTCCAGCGCGGTGTAACACGAGGGCAGCGTCCCGGCGGGACAGTTGCGGATCTCCAGCAGCGTCGCGTTGCACACCCGCTGCGCCCCCGCCTCCGCGTACACCTGGACGTGACGATCGCGCTTCTGGATCCCCGTGGCGCCGCAGGTTTCGCTGCACTCGGACCAGTAGCTCCACTCCGACAGCTCGCAGTCAAGGGGAGCCGCGTCCTCCGTGAACGTCGTGATCGGCTCGCCGTTCTTGTCACAGTCCATGTGGTTGCAGCTACGCATCTCTTTCAGTGACGTGTCGAAACAGGTGCCGCCGTGCCTGCAAATAAAGTGAATGGATGGGCTTAGATAGAAGTTGATCATCAGAATTGTTCGTGATTGATGGAGAATTCGTCTGCATCACACAAGAACTTTTCTCCACGAAACTTAGCACAGCGGGAGCAGGTACTTAATGTCAAGTACTCTTCTTTATGAAGAGTGGGATTCCTAACTATTTATCATGTAGGTCGGACTGAGAATGGCATCTCCGTATCATGATCTGTTGAAGCAAGATGAAGCGACAAGTACTTACTCGGCAGGTTTCACGATAGCGCGATCTCGCATCTGTGCCTATGTACAGGAAAAATGAGGGCAAATCAAACTTCTTCTCAGCGATCAATCATGCAAGCCAATCGGAGGACGAAGCAAGCCCTGGTCTCGGCTGCATGTTGTCAGGAGACACTCGTGAGAGGACTGACAGCAGAGGACTTTTTCAAAACTCATTACGATGTTAGTGGGTCAACAACATGCTTTTTGTTTTTAGTACCACTACCACTCCCGTGCATTTACAATCAGCGAGATGAAATCCCGTAGGCTTGAATGATTTGCATCGAAATGCTCCCAAATGGATACAACACCATTGCAGTTGGCAGAGCAGGCGGACCAGTCCGACCAGCGGCTTATGACGCAATCCCGCGGCTCTTCGCACGGAAACGTGTTGCAGGAGGCCATTTCGTTCATGGTCAGCGCCGTGCAGAGCTGACCACCGTGCTTCGGGGCCTTCGCGATGAGGCGCTCCCGGGTTCGCTCCCCGCCGTCGCAGCTCGCCGAACAATCGGACCACGCCTCCCACTCTTTCCACTCACAATCCTGCTCGTCGCTGCACGTCGGCATGAAACTCCCGTCCTGCTGCAGACACGCGCGCACCTCCTCGAGCGCCAAGTCGCAGGTCCGTCCGTTGTTGCGCGGCAGCTGGAGCAGGGACCGGGTCCGCTGTTGGAAACCGTCCGCGCCGCACGTTTTCGTGCAGGCCGACCAGGTGGACCACTGGCTCGCCTCGCAGTCCTCCGAGATGTGGCAGGGCTGGGTGTTGCAGGGCAGCGTTTGTCGCACGAAGCCGTGGCACGGCTGCCCCCCGAACTCGTTCTTGCGCATCCGGGCCTTTTCGCGGAAGGTCTGCCCGCCACCGCATGCGCGATCACAGATGGTCCAGTCGCCCCACTCCGAGAGTTCACAGTCGATTGGCTCCGCGTTTGCGTCCTTGGCGCTCTTGCAGTTCTCCGCGATGCACGTCTGGGTCTCCACCTTCGGCCCCACGCAGGGCTTGCCGCACATGCTTTGATGCTCAGCGTCACGACGCCTCTCCTGCAGCCCGTCGCAGGTGCACGTCGTCCACTCACTCCACTCGGTCCACGTGCACGGCGGGCAAACCATCTCTTGGACGGGGCACTCGCCCATGTGGCAAACCTCCCACTCGGTTGTGTGTCCAACGCATTCAGGCGGCTTCGGTTTCGGTGGTTTGATGTTCGCAGACTTTTTCTTCTTCGGCTCCTGGTTGCGGCCAGAGGAGGTGGTACGACTAGCATGCTTGGGCTTGCGCTCGTCGTCGGACTGCAACTGCTCCTGCGATTCGTGCGCGCGCAACGCCCTTGTTCTTGAAGATGTTGAAACGCCAGGATTATCATTGGCGCTGGCAAGCTCATCGGCACTGTTTGCTGCGGCAAGAATGAAAACACTGGACACAACCCGGTGGAGACGCGGCGATCCTGCTAGCGCTTTACTGCTAGATGCTGCAGTGATAGTCCTGGTCTCGTTAGAACCCATCTTGGCGGTCAGCAGTTGGGCGCAACCACCGGCCGTCGCGGCCTGAAGACCTTCCTTGATGGTGTGGGTGTCGGCGGGTTGGTGCGAACGTTTCTTGAAGCATTCAATCATGAAACGAAAGCAGCGAAAACGAGAAGGGACGAGCGAACCAGCAGATCATGAATTAATATCGCCGTATGGGAAAAACAGCAATCTTCCTCACCAGTTACAGTGTTGTAAACGGCAGACCCATTGTTAGTTTTTGGGTTTTTTTCCGCTGTGTTCGTGCCGCGTGCTACTTGTTTCTGTTTCTACTTCATCATCTCTCAAACTTCAACAACGTCGCAACAGGAGGAACTATTTGCTAACGCTGGCAATCCATCATAAAGCCACTACACTCAAGGTCACCGTCGCGCGAGAGTATCTTCACACCGGTACGTCTGCGCTCACGCTCCTAGAGCCCTCTTCTATTATTTCTAAAATTGGTAAACAGAAAAAAAATTCCGCGGCCCGTGCACCAGAAAACATGATGGAAACTTAAGTATCTATTCACGCGTCGAGAAGATTTTCACTTTATTGTAGCACGTCGTTAATATGGCAGTGGCTCCAGGAACGTGCAGCAAGATGAGATTCGCATTCGCTCGACCACAAGCAGTATGAATGATAGCGCAGTCGTAGATGAACAAGCTCCACTGCCCCTACTTGCGGTGCCGAGGCCGATGCGCCGGTCTGCAGCAGCAGCCCTTCGCAAGATAACCAAAACCGACGCTAGCGTATTGCCACCAGCGACGCATACTGATGCCGACAGCCGAGAGATTTTCGATGGCGATATGAGTGCCTCCTTGTTCTTCCGCAAATCAAAACTGTACTGCCGGTCTGTGTAGCTTTGCGCTAGAAGTGTCATCTCTACAACTTCCGGAGAGCTCTTCTGTGCCGTGGCCGGCGCCCCCGGCCCCGCCAATTCGACAGTCATAATGGCCACACCAGGCACTTCGAACCAAAGACAGGGCGTTGGGCCCGCTCGGACGTCGTAAATGGTGACAAACTCTTGACCGCCAGTGGCGAGAAGCGAAATATTCCTTGGGAAAAAGACTGGCTTCGCGAAGAAGCGCCGCGCCGCCGGCAGCGCTTGCGAGCCTACAGCTCCGGCAAAATGCGCCTCGGAACTCAGACCGTCGATCGCTGCGGATACCTCAGCGCCAGTCGTGGAAAATCCGGCGCGCATGCGGTGCAGGTCCCAGAGTTGCAGCGATTTGGCCGCAAGGGAGGCCGCGCGCGTCTGGTTGCTTTTGTCCAGGGTCACAGCACGTAAAGGTAATCGGCGTGCATAATCAACACAGGTCGACGAAAGAGATACGGAAGTGCTGGGTGGCGATATCGTCGTGGATATTGCAGCTGCACTTCTTTTTCTCGCTCCGGGCTCCGGATGCAGTTGTCCTTCTGAACTACCCTGGTCACTGTCACAAGAGGAAGAGGTAGTCGCAACGTATCGAAACAGGCGCATGACCCCATCCGTTCCCCCAGATAGCACGAGAGCTGACAGGTCTGTATTCTGGTTATTTGTCATCGCTGTCGCAGCGGATTCCCGCTGTGACGAAGACAACAGAAGTAGGTCGACAGCCGACACGGGACCCGTATGGGCGTTCGCGGTGGTGAAGAGTGATTTCACGCTGGTCGTGGGATGAATTGAAGAGTTGTAGTTGCCCACCGAAGTGAATTTGGTTCCAACACCGCCCCGGGACGAGAAAATCAGCCCCCGCTGCTCGGAGTCACTGCCGCCGGTCGTTGTTGATCCGTGCTCGTTTAAGTCTATGTCGCTCAGGCCGCTCGCATCTTCGTCGTCCTCTCCTGAGGGCGCGAGGCAAAACGCCTTCAGACTGCCGTCGCCACCTCCGGTGACAATCATAAAGCGCTCCCCATTTTGGGCGGTGGTGGATCCTCGTTTTCCATCTTCGCGGCAATCGTTTTCCAGATAATTGTAGCGGGCAACGACAGGAGAATCAGGGCACGACGACTCCGTTGTTGCCGCGACTATGGCGGAGATGCCGTCACCCTGCGAATTGGGTCTGTGTGCGAAAAACGTGGCGGATTGCTCCAGACAATACTGCTCTGCACCAACCTCGAATACCTTCTCAAACAAATTGTCGTACAGGTCGCAGTAGCCGTCCGCTCGCGCGACGACCAGCGAATCCGGTCCGATAAAGGACAGCGCGGCTACTTCCACACTAGTACTCATCGGTCCGTGGTCTGCTGCTGGAATCTGTTGTGGTCCACCAGCAGGAGTATCTTGCCATATCGCGGTGGCCGCGAGGAGGGCGTTTTTCTGGCGCGCCGAGGTGGACCGCAGGGTCACCTGGGCCTCCTGGGGATCCCGTCGCAGAAAAAGCTCCACCCTCCCGTCCGTATGTCCGGTCGCGGAGGAGAACACTTTCTGTCGGTGGTTGGTGGCCCGAGCAGGGGCGCCACCATCGACTTCCATCTGCTGGTAGAAGTACGAGTTGTATGATCCCCCGCCACTCCTGCTGCCGTAGAAGTCCGCATGATCCTGTTGTTTTTGACTACGCACCATTTGGAGGCCCTGCTCGGCTTTGCTCCGTCGGAAGCTGGCGGCGTGCATCGCGGCAGCCGTGACGGTGGTGGTCTGCTGCACCACAAACTCGGAGGAGCCACAGTCTGTGCAAGAACCGGTGGCACCATAGCAAGAAGCCGTCTGCGCGCGAATCGTCGACCCGACGGCTCCCATATTTCCTAGAAGGATACTTCGACCACGACTTATAATCACAATCTTGTTTCTCTCTACTGTAACTTTAACGTCTACTTCGCGAACGAACAGGACAAATAGGACCTAGACCGAAAGCCGGACGAACGAAGTAAAGGACAAGAAGTGCAACAAGGCTCTTACTTGAGATGACAGAAGTAGAGACGATGTTTCCGTTTCTCGGACATGAAATTTCCCAACACTTTTTTGCTGCGAAGCGCCCCACCTCCTCAACTGCAGCTCAATGGATTACGGTTCGTTGCCACTTGGCTTTGCTCTCGTCTTATAACTGAGAACCGTTTTTTTAGCTCTGGTCCGTTGATGGTGAACACTTCAAGAAATGCCGCAGGACAGGTTTGCCAGAACAGGTCCGTCCGTCACATTCATTTAGTTTCTTTTTGTGCTCTGAAAAATTGTGTGGCGAAAGTCTATGCGGATGTTCGGTCCCTCGCTGGAACCACCTCCAGATCACGGTAATTTCGTTCACTCATCATCAATATCTATTGTTCACCACCAGTCAGAGCTGATGGTGATACTGGCTATTTTTCTTACTCGAGAGATCAGTTTGCATCATCGATCTCGGAATGGAGATGATTGAGCCAGCGGAATGGAAATACATAAACCGACGACAAAAATAAACACAACCATGACCATGGTGGTAAAATCAATAAAGCTGAAAAAACAACCGTGTGGTCTTAAGGCGAGCGTCTGACTGTTGCCGCATCCGCGAGTGACTGCCATATGTAAAAAGTGGTAAATCATCAATACAGAACATCAACATCAACATTGTGACATAATAAAACGGATTATAACTACGCTTTAGCCGTGCCTCCGCTTTGGATGGTCTTGGTCAAATTAAACTGCATTACCGCGTTGCTCATCGTAACACAAGCCCTTGCCCCGGTCCGAGATTGGTGTCTACCATGACAAAAGCCATTCCGGCTACGGCGATGATGACCCACGTCCATTGCAAACTCCGCATGCCGCAGCCGTGCGCGAACCCGTAACAACACGGCTTCCAGCAGCGTGATTTCTCTTGCTCGTCGCTGTCCGGGTCAGACCTAGATGATTCTTCGTCCGACGATGAAGAAGACAAAGAGGACTGCGTACCGAACGGGTAAGCGGCGCTGATCGTTGGGTTCTGAACAACACCTTGAATGATGTCGTTGTCGTTCTTCTTCTCCTGCGCCGAATAATTCTCGTCGAAGTGTGCTGCGTGACCACTTCTCATTGATGCCGTAGCTCTAGAAGAAGTACTCGCAGCGTCCACCGCAATGGGCGGCCCAACGGTTTCCGTTTGGTGCTGCAGCAGTGGCTCGGCTTGTTGGTCAACAACATCGCTTGTCGCAGGTAGTGCTGCGTTTTTCCCTCCTATCGTCCGCATCTCGCCCCGCGCAAAAATAAACGGATTTCTACGCCGCTCCTGGCAACACTCCGAGAAATAACTGTTTGTGCAGTCGCCGCAGGTTTTCTCCGGCGCCTCCGCACAGTAGGCATGCAGCATGACCGAATACCACCCGTAGCTCCACAGCAGCAGCGCGGGCCCCATTATTCCGAACACAAACTGAAACGCCTGCGCCGGAGAGAGCAACAAATCGCCAGTTGAGGTGGGAAACACAGCAGTCCAGCCTGGACCCAGCGCCTTTGCCTGTGGTCCGGCTATCCAAAAGCCCCACGCGAATGTGGCTGTTGTTGGTGTTTTTGGCACTGTGGAGGTCTTTGTCATCCTCATCTCTACTAAGGGTATCAATACAACGTAGTAGCTATTGACTTTTCACTCGATTAGTTTTACTTCCTAAAGTTACCAAGGTGGATGACGCAAAAATCGAGACAAGGATATCGTCCTTGGTAAGGTCGCAATGTTACCTCTTTTCAAAACGAAATGTAAGACTGTGCGTTATACCGTAGGTGTAGGCGCCCATGAGCAGAAAGAGAAGCTGGACTTTGTAGTAGAGCGGCGGGAGACAGAGTAGCACGTGGTTCTTGACCCGTTTGAACATGAATCCCGTGCAGAAGAGGAAGAGCAGGAACAGAAGCCACTCGCCGTACAGCATGGCCACGACACCGTTGCTGAACCCTTGCACGTAGTCAAAGGGGTCGAAGTCGAAATTGACGCTCTTGAAACCAAAGGGCGCGAACATTCCCAGCGATACCAGAACGCGGATTTGCGAGCCGCCAATGATGCCGAAGACGAGGAAGAAGGACTCGTACACGTTGAAGTTCAGGCTGTCTCGGGCCCGCGAGAGCATCACCGTTCTCTCTCGCGGGCTCAGGTGCTGATAGTTCTTCTGCGCATCAACACCCGGCACAAACATCTCGGTTCTGACTGCGCCGTCCGGCAGCTTGTACGCGCGTGCAAAACTCGCATGCACTGACCTGTTGTTGAAAGTCTTGTTGCGTAAAAAGCGTCCACTGTTGTCGTCGCTTCCAATTCGGTCGCCGAGAACATTGGGAATAGTTTCATTGCCGAGAAGATCCTCATCCGATACGCCGCTTTGTACGTGGAAAATTGTATCCCTCCGGACCAAAATGCACGACCTCACCGACCGAGTTAAATATATCTATATGACCGCCGCAGGACAATCTATGTATATCGAGCTCGAGCAGCTGTGGATAAATAACACTGGAAGAGTTTACCAGATCAATGTGTCGCATACACATACTACAGCGTACAGCTGCAGAAAAGAACTCCGAAGAGAACTACATCGAGATTGAACCGGAGCATGCAAGTGATAAGACAGGCCGCGGAGCAAGACCATGCCTCAGGTGTCCGACGTTCACGTTCTTGAGTTCTTCCTTTCTTGTCCCGATCGTGACCTTGTGCACATGAAAATTTGCAATTCAATCATCATGCCGATGGAAGTTTCGATCGCGCGATGCGTGCAATCAATTTTCCGGACGATAGAATTCCCCGACCGAACGGTGGCTGTAGTGGCTACCGGAGAGTAGATACCGGTTGGTGTGCAACGTCTCTTGTGTATCCGCTCTGCCCCGCCCGGGAACAAAGTGAGCATGCTGTTTGCTCATCCTCGCAGGGGAGGCCAGCCCTGGAGCGGCGTCTGGAGATGAGCTGGCAGCAGGCGTTGAAGTTGTCGTGTTTCCAACGCGGCTCTTGCTCTCCCCTTCCGCCTGTCGGGCCACTCGCAGCGGCGACCCCGGCGGGGACTCTGTGAGAGAGAAATTCGGTGAATCCGGCGGACTTGAGAGTATGTGATCGTACGCAAGATTATACAGTCCTCCATTCGCAGATTCTCGATCAAGCTTGTTGCTGAAAGAACTATCTTTAAATCGTGCGCCAAACAACTCCGGGTGCCGCAACACGGAAGTATCCTTAACCTGCACAGCAGCAGGATAATTGCGCGGTTGATTCTGTTGCTTCTCAACTGGTGCGTAATGGCCAACATCTTGTTGATAAAGCTCGCCCCTTTGCTCGCCCACTTTTTTTCTGCTTGTTTGGCTTGCGATCATTGCTCTGTTATCCCGGATCGCTCTTTTTTCTGTTGAAGTAGACAGGGCGGTTGTGTTTCGTCCGGAAGCAGCAGTGCCTGAGCCTAACTGCCGCACCTTATAGGCGGCCATAATCTTCGCGGTGAGAAAAACGCAAAGCATGTAGATCTCGTACAGCCAGGCCAGACGGATCACGTGGGCATGTCCCTCGGGGTTCCAGTTCCACCACGTCGTAATGGCGATTACGCGCTCCTCGTTCACCAGGTTCTTCTGCATGAAATACACCAGAAAATACATGGTCTGGATCCAGTTCGTGGTGCCAATGGCGTAGTTGACAACCCAGGCAATCACCCCGTTGAGGATCACCGCAGGGCCCAAAATCCGCAGGAAAAACAACAAGTACGGAACCGAATGAACCTGCGTTTGCAGGTGCGCGCGGCAGCAACCGCAGCAGTACCGCTTTTTTCGGCAGCACTTGGAACACGTGAAGCAACCCGTAGCACCCCGGAGGCCAGCACGTGGAGGTCTTCTCCTCCGAAACAGAGATCTCCTTGCTCTGTTGCCAATAAACATTTCCCGACCAGTTCTCAGTGGACGAGCCGGTGCTGGTACGGCGAGAAACGCGGTCGAACTCGTCCTGGACGTCAATTTATCCTCCGATGGGGGCACCCCGAGGCTTACGTCCGACGGCACCACGTAACCCTTCCGGCTCTCCGGGATCGTGATGCCACTGCTTGGGTAGCTGCTCGTCTCGTGGAGGTTGTTCGCATCAGCGTCGTGCTCTAGTACTTCATACATCCGATTTTTCGTGGCTGACGTCGCCTCCAGATAAAAATTGTCGTAGTCGTCCGTCTGCTCGATGAAATGCTCTTCTTTCTCTGCATACCCATACCCTGGCTCATCGTCGTCGTCGCGCTCCTCCTGTGCGTCGGCAGCAGGGTATCATGTACAAAAGTGCTGCTAGCATAGAAATACAACCAGGCATGTATGTTATTTGTGATGCCCGCCATGGACGGGGTCGTAACCGTATCGCCATGTCAGCGGGACAGCAAGGAATGTTTAGCCTTGTATCCGAAAACAACAAGGCGCGTGCTGTTTATATCTTCCTTGCTGCATGTCGTGGCTCTTCTGTTTCTCGTCAAAATTTGAATTCTTGTTCTTTCTTTTCTTGTAGGAGCATGCATAGAAAAACATAATACGGTCATATGCTAGCACAATGGAAATCGTCCTATTTCATACAGCGGACGTACGCAAAGGAGGCTCCACGTCTTCGTCCTGTTCGATAAAGTAGAAATCTCCTATCTCTTCCGGAAGTTGCCTCGCGTAAGCGGGTCCGGCGCTTTTGATTCGTGGGACGTCCAAGAACTTGACGGCCTGCTCTCCTGGTTTTTTCTTAGGTACTGCTCCCTCTTGTGGGGGACGAGCAGCAGTTCCCGTATAATTTTCACCTCGTTCCCGCGGTTCTCCGCCAGCCGTTTGCCCATTGCTTCCGGGTAGAATGGTGGAGCTAGAATCAAGCACCATTCTGGTACTTTTTTTGTGCTCTTTGCTCAGCAACGCCGACTTCTTTTGTAAGAGCTCCGCACGCACCGCGATCTCCCAGTCCTCTCGATCGCCCGGGTGGCTAAGTTCGATCCAGGAGACACGTACCACGATCGCGTTCAAAAGTCCCATCGCGGCGGGCGTGCCGAAATAGATCAACCACAGCCAGAACCTGCGCTCGTTCTGCATCGAGAGCAACACCCCATCGCCGCGAATGAGTGGCGACCCGATTTCGTAATACCTCGACATGTACCAGGTCAGTACGACGTAAAGAGGGCGCACAAAAATGATGTTGGACCCCACCAGATAGTACCGCAGGCGCCCGACTTTCGTCACAAAGTAGAGCAGCGCCACGTTCCCCAACACTCCGATCCAGACAATCATGTAGTCCCAGTCGTACCGGTTCTTGGGTTCGCTCCACGAAGCCACCAGCTCACCATTCGGTTTGTGTGTCAGATCTTGCTGCATCTGAAACAAAATTGTGTGGATCACGCATCACCGGTTGCAAAATCTCCGATCATGACCTTATCCTATCTCCTTCGTCACTACTATCAACGGACTTTCCAGCCGCGTAAAAATCGTCAAAACTAGTCGTGTACTAGTTGCAATTTGATACAATTTGATCCCCTGAAATGAATCAAAAGGCACACGTGCTCTAGTCCTCCCAAGCAGGGCAGCATCAACACATGAGCCAGGTTTTCCTTCAAGATGCAATTCAGTGCAGCAACGCAAGATCCGTACATGCTGACTATGTCCAGGTAGATGAGATACAAACAGTATTGGCCCTCAACAAGTGAAAGCGAAAGGTAAAAAATAGTTGTTCGCAGTTCCATCTATAATCAAGAAGGAGACGTGATCTAGGTCATCGATTTCTCTTCGACAGGATAAGCCAGCCACCGTCCACAACCGGGCAAGCCACACCGACTGTATGCGAAATGAGGTGAGGACCAGCGCGAGAGTGCGTAGAGGATGAAAGGAGCAAGAGCAGCCGCGCTTCCTTGTCTTCTTGCGACAGCAACACCTGTAAAACTTAAAGCAACAGGTTCCGCCGGCGCCGACCGTCTCCGCTCCCGTGCTTTCATGTTTTTGCTGCACTACCTCGAAGCGTTCTCCAACTCGGTGCTCAGCACCCTGCACTACTTCATCTCTTTTCGCCTCTCGTAGAATTTCCGCGTCCCAGCGCTGAAACATTTTTCCGATCCAGGTCCTGTCGCTGTTGAGGTCGCGCCGGAAGAAGAAATCCGTGCAAAACCAAGCAAAGAAAAGACTGGCGCCGCATTTCCCGCAAAAGTCGACCGCGTGCAGCGCGAAACCCATGCGCTCTAGAGGCGTCGCTCCGATCCCGTGAGGAATTGCCGGGGTCATCAGTTCGGGCGGCAAACCGCTGTGGCGGTTGGTCCAGTTCCGCGAAAAGTACGTCAGGGCGTACTGCAGCATCAGCGTGAAGAAAAACAGCACCAGCCGAAAGATCCACAGCTGCAGCGTGTCGCACGGCCAGACCTCCTGCTCATCTTCGTCGGCGGGGTTGTAATCCTCCAAATTGTAACCGTACTCCTTTTTCTCAATTCTTTTTCTGGAGCCCTGTAGCAACGGGAAAGAGTCCGTCAGAAGGGGTCGTCTCGCTGGTTCATCTTGCGAGTCTTGATCAGGAAACTCATCTACGCCACTCGTCGCCGGAATTGAAAGCTCGTCAATGATGTCATCAGTCTCAGCGTCCAGTCCCTCTAGTGGTGCTACGCCCGCCGCCCCGGGAGAAAGTCGAAACTCTCGATCGTCTGATGTACTCTCCGCGAGACCACCAGCTGCAGCAGCCTTGTTCACTCCGTCACGCGCCTGCAGGAGCGCACGACCGTCGTATTTCTGATGCAGGAAGGGCAGCGAGTCGGCGGTTTGCAGCGGGTGGCGGGGAGCACCCTCGAAGGTAGAATATATACCCGTTCCTCGCTGAGACGTCGCGAGGGATCCAAACGCGGACGAGACAGCTTGACCTGACCCGGCCGTGTTGCTAGACACGACCAAGTCCTCCTCGTAAAAGTTAGACGCGCTTTTTGCAGGAATCACATGCACCGACGCGAGTCGCTCATTGTCGAACGCCACGACGCCGCGCTTATCTTTCTCGAAGATGTGGCGCTCCTTACTAGTGTCCCCTGTATTTTTTCCGTGCAAGGACCCCTCCTGGTTTACAGACTCGGACGCCTGTCTTTGTTGCAGCGACGACGTACTAAACGCCGCTTCTAGCCCGGATATGAGGGGTCTCCTCACGTTTTTTTTACGTGGCGTTGCCGCAGACGACGTATTTGTTTTGTGCATCTCGGGTCTAGCACGACGAGACCCTGTAGTACCCGACGCGGTCGCAGGACGCTGGCCTTCGTACCCTTCAAGCATGGTCGCGCGTCGTTACGTTAACCGTAACGAACAAATCTGAGAAATATTCAGAAACTCAAACTCCTCCATAGTTCTAAGGAGCCGGTCCCGGTCTGCTTCCACAGACCAACACAACCACGAAGATGCGCAGTTCAGAATTTATTAGGAGCACCTGATGTTCATGATCATGGTCAGGATCTTTCTGCAAAATTGAGAAGAAATGTAGTTTTTCGTTTTCCGTGAAAAGGTTTGAAAGAAGCTAACTTTAAAAAAGCCGGGCTCGGAAGGAGCGTCATAGATATAAGTAATTACAGGTGTCCGTGTCGACTTCATTCGAGGTGGAATAATTGGAAATAACTAAAGAAAAACAAAGGGAGAATTTGGTTTGCCTGAAGATAGATTGGTGCAGCCGGATCTTCTTTCATGCCATTGCTTCATGTTTCAACAGACGATGGAAACTTACTCTGGCACAAGTGGGGAACCGACATGTAGTAATTTCTCCCATAACAACACATCAATACCTACACCATACCGCTACCGAGAACAACAACATGATCGTTCATAAGTAACAAACAACTTCGCACCGACGGTGAGACCGAGCTTGTTTCGTGTACTAAGCAGGGAAACAGAGCGACCGTTGTGGTCCATCAGACTACAGATACCACGAAAAATTGACCTCAACCGAAGCGTGTGAGTATCGGCCGCGCTCACATCCGCCCAGACCGCTACAAAAATGGCATTCACTTTCTCTGCAGGATAAAAGGCATTGATGGATCATCTTGCACCGAAAAAACGTTTGGTGGGATTCTATTGAGTACTCTTCACCGAAATTTTGTTTGGCTTTATTTGTGCAACGACTTGTACTTGCGATACAGATGATGAATTGGAGCGTCTGCTCGCGGCAAAGAACCCTGCGACGTTCAACAATCGTGAAGACAAGTGTGATTGCGAAGCTCAGAAGAGAGATTCACAATCTCACTCACATGTTGTGGTGGGGGTATTGGTATATTTTGGTTATTACAATAAAAGAGAAGCCCAAGTGTTGCGCTCGGCGTTAATGATGCCAAGTCAAATAATCCCGAGTTGATTTTCTGACTTGTTTAGAGGTTCGGTTCTTGTATCAACGGGTACTATACTTGTCGTAGGTTCTAGTTCAAAAATTTGGTGTTTTGCGCACCAGTCCTTTCGTGGTTTTCCGAAAGCGGTACGAGTTCCAAATGAATTTCAGCTCAGGTGAGTGATAAACAAAAGTAATAAAAACTCATCACAAAGACAACGTAAGCACGGGGCGAAGTCGCTTTGCAAGCTTTGCTTGATTATCGTTAATATCCGTAGATTTTCATTCATTTCGACATAACTCGACGTTTGCTTCTGGAAAATGTCCCTGTCAACATTTCATTGATTTACTTTGTCTTTGGCACTGCTCTTCTACAAAAGTCCGAACATGGTGGTAGATCAAGAACACGATCACCACCACCTGCTGGTGCTGTCACTTTATTGATACAAAAACTTTCATCTTGCGCTTGCGGTTAGTACATATCCAATGGACCCCAGGATTGCTTTTCCTTACCCTCGTGCAGCTTGTTCTTCTTGTGCGTCACGATGGTCGGCCCACGGGTGCTCATCGAAACCGCATTGCGTGTCGCCGTCCTGGAATGAGGATACAATACAAATTCAACATGAATATTTATATACCAATCTCGTTCCTGTTCTGGATAAATAAATTGATGGAATTGCATTAGATCAGGATGCACAAGGCTAACAGCTCAAGTACTTTTCCAAAGCGATCTTGTCCACACGGCTCTTGAGATAGTCGTTGCGACGCATGTCGGACAGTTGCGTATTCACACGCTTGTTGTAAGAGTCCGCCTCCATACCTGCGCAATCATTTTATTGAATCAACGAACGTCACCCTCGAACTCAATGTATCACCCCTACTAAAAACCAAATAAATGCCCTATAATGTATGGGTACTTGTGAAGATGTAGTTTGTAGTCGGAGCTGGGTACTGGTAGGCGCAACCAAGTAGATGTCCTCACCACGACTCACCAGACACCAGGACCAGCGTCTTCATCTGCATAATCAATAAGAATAAATTCAAAATCAAATTGTATATCTAAATTAATAGTAAATTGTTTATACGCTGCATGAAGCTCATCTTGTTGCGGCTGGTCTTCGACTCTACCATGGCTTCCCGGTCGACATCGGCGATCTCGTAGCTCTTGGCCACGGCAACTTGGAACGAGACGGACATGCTGGTGATCAACAATTGAAACCGATACTGGCAGTACGGATCAACCTCAAGCGGTAGTAGTACTAGCGACACTACAACGTACAACTGGTCCTAGTAGTAGGGCTTTACCTTCATCACACAAAGAGAAAACGTGAATAATATCCTTGCTCCATCTGTCCCATTCAAACAATACAGCGCTCCTGCAGCAGCTTCGAGACCGCTCATTCATCGTCGCCCACGCCCGCGAAACGAGAACTACTGGCGACATCAATTATAGACTTCTCGCACCCGCTCTACCATCACTCGTCCTCTGCTCGACACAATACGACCGTTCAAAGTCAAAAACTTGCTCACCTCATCTTCACGCTGATCGACATCACGGTAACATCTACAATGTCGATCGAGTTTGCTGAGCCTCGGTGTCGTGACCGAGCGAATTCACGATTCAATCATCGATGATGACGAAGACGACGATCCTTCGTTTAGTTAAGAACTCAGAAAAGTGAGGAAGTACGTCTGGTAGGTATTCCAACAACACGAAAGAACCAAGAAAAAGAATTATCTCGGGGGCCGAGGCTGACGATCAAACACGCAGTGCGAGTCTCATCCAGCCGTGCAAAAATCGCGAGGAATCGTTTTCTTCGCTCGCGCCGGCAAACAACCAAGGTCGTGTACCTATCGCTGGCTTTTGAGGGAAAAGCCAGTAAATGGAGTACGCGATTTCATTTAATTTCTGAATTTTTCATTGCAATACATGGAGTGCGATCAGGATGCCTGTGCGTCCGAAAAAATTATGGCACTTCTTTAGTACTTCTAAGAACGTGTCTTCATAATATCTGCAAGCAGCAGCACGGGTTAGTCTCCGTCGGTATCCGCATTGTCATAGTTGTCTTGTTCGGTGCATGTAGTCCTAGCCGTTTGCTGCTCTTACTTGTAGCTAGCGTTTCTTGGTCCTCGTTGTTCTTCATGGTTTCGCTTTCGCATCGTTCGCAAATACTCTTTCTGTGTTGCACTCAAATGGGGCTATCCCTATCCCTATGACTATTCTGGCCCATGCTACTAGTACTTCGGTCTCGTCGCGAGATGTGCAGGACGGAGGCAGAGCACAAAAAGGTGACAACAAGCAAATATCGCGCAAGAAATCTTGAAAGATATACGCCGCGTCGGTAAATGCGATGCTTCCAGATTCAACATCATCTATTACCCGCACGGGACACCGACGCGGCCTTTACCTTATATCTCTTGCAGTACTGCTGTTGTACTTCTGTTCTTCTTCTTCTACTGCATGTCTAACATTTTTACCAAATCACAGCCTTGCGACAAAAAATGCTGATTTATTTAGGCGTAATATATCGTGATTGCAAACGAAGTGAAGCTCATGTTTGGCTTCACTGCAGCTCTACTTCTTGATATTTCTTGCTAGTTCTTCTAGATCATCTAGTACTGGTACACCTACATAAAACTTAGGCTAAAAAAAGTTCCATTGAGCTTCGTTATTCTTCTGCACCGCTAATATGAGGGCTAGCACGGAAACCCAAGATGCTGGTCGAAGAGGGGAATCCACGTCCTTGCCCCTGTGTTGCTGCCTCCATGATATTTCTCGTCACTTCCTGGGTCGTCCTGTAAAGTACGGCTACTTTCACTCGGCAGCATCATTCCTTCACGATGCGCAGCAGCGAGAAGCAGTAAGTCTGTATCAGTGCTGCTCCGATGCAATGGTGCGCCGGCGGAGCTGTAGGTAGCGGAGCGACATCCCCGGACCGTCGCTGTGAAATCCGGAGTAGAAGTGCTATCAGTTGTGCGGCGGTCTTGTGCTAGAAAACGCATGTTCTCATCGGCGTCTTGACAGGAACTGGTGCGACAGAAGCTTGTTGGAATTCTTCTCGACGCACAATCTGCATGTCGTAGTAGCCCCCCTGCTAGAATGTTATCTGTTTCTTTGTTTCCCACCACAACATCACCGGCGAACAACTGCACTGTATGGTCTACCGAGGAGAAACTTTCACGAAATTCCGGTTCGTCCGCCGAATTCTGCGAAATTTTCCGCTCCGTCGGAGAGGCGCTATCGGCGAAAAAACTCAGTAAGGGCGTCGCCGATGCGCTACTTGGTGCGTGGGTCGAAGCCACTGAAGCCGAGCCACACCGGGAGAGAAAACCACTATCGCATGAACCTACTTGCTTTACTGAAGATCTCGATGTTGAGTCGGGCAGCAAAATGGTGTTCATCCGATGGGATGATCCCACACCTTCAAACTGTGTTCGTAAAAATTGCAGCTGTGGTGGCGCGAGCTCCTCTCGTTTGCTATTCCAAAACCCGCACTCATCGAAGTCATGTTGCTTCATCTTGATGGCTTCTTCAGGACAGCGCGGACAAGATGACGATAGTTGCCGATATGATCTCTCGAGCTGAAAATTCTCTATTAGACTGGCACTGGTAGTGGTCTTGGAAGTTCTACAGTTAATATTTCCGCGCGCGGAGAGTTCGGCCGCTGATTGTTCCTCCGTGTTGATATTTGGGAAACTCCTGCAACGGTCGTTGCAATCTTCCACCAGACGCGTCCCCTCCATCCCCTCCTCCTCGTCCTCGAAACGGACGGGATTCTGCTCCGAGCGATTGCGACAGGAATCTGACAAACAAGGGTGTTCTCCATTTGAGGATGTTGTAGAAAAAGATGCAGTACTTTTCATTCTCCTGGCAGCAGAAGCGCGACGGCCTTCTCGACCTTCTTGCAAAAAGAGTCCTGCTCCACCAGTGCTGCAAAAATCGTCGATCACGTGCGCCTCTCGCGGCTCCAATGCCGTACCATGATCATCTAACTCAGCTTCGGCTGACAAAAGTGGGGCCGCCGTGCCGCCGTCTAGTCCGTCGGGTGATGCCGTCATGCTTGATCCACGACACTCAGACAGCTCCGAGAAGATGAGCTCCCTCGTGGCCGCGCACTTGTCCGGACAACAAGAGCGGAAGGTGGAAGGCGCTGCTGCGTCGAAGTTCCTCTTGGTCCGTGTTGCGAGTTCAGGTGCAGATCCTTGCGATGCAAAAACACGGGCGCCAGTTCGGTCCGAAGTTACTAGAGACGAAGTGGACGACATCAGTGGTGGACTGTTTGCCAGAACATCAACAGACGAAGAGGAAGGTGCAGCAGCAGGAGCAGCATTATTTTCACGCGGACCTGCGACAACAAGAGGTTCACCTCCGTCTTCGTTCCTAAAGCTTATCCCTGCACCACCACTGCCACAAAGCCGCCCCTGTGACCGGCTATTTTCTTCTTGAGCGATTTCCTTCGTTATCCGACGGTGCAACCGCCGGCGCCAGCGTTGCTCCTCCCTTTCGCTCAGCGAGATCTGCACCTTCATGACCCCCCGCCGCCAGTGCCAGTCGGTGGTGTGGCGGTGTTTGCCCACGGCTTTGCGTTCTTCGCTTGCAGTCTCCTCCTCGTACTCTTCGAAGTATTTCAACACCGCCTCGCTCTGAAAAATTTGCTGGGTCAACACTTTGGACCACAGCCCCATGACGCGCTGCTCGAACAGTATCAAATGCAAAAATGTCTGGGTCTGGAAGCCTGTGATGCTGGGTGGCGTCTCATGATGAGGCTACAAATGCTGGCTCAGCATGACAAGTTTCTGAGCTCCTAGGTGTTGCCTATTCTGCATGACAAACTGCGCTTCTGCATCACAGAAAAGCGGAGCTCTTGGGTAACGTGCATGACAGATTTAAGAGTCATGCCGGACAAGCATGACAAACATGAATTCTTCCAGACCCAGACATTTTTACAGTTGATAAACAGCGTGCGGTGGCCAAAAGTTTCGCTGTCCGCCACCAGCTCGATACCGTTCAGCAGCCCGGCGTGGCGAAAAAAGCGCTGGATCAGCTGTGCCTTATCGTATTCGTGCTGCACTTGCCGCAGGTCTACGTGCTCCCACTCCCGCATGTCAATGTCGAACAACATACGCTCGTACCTGTCGTCCAGCAGCTCGCCCGTCTGATACGAGTACAAATGACGCCCACCAGCGAAAAACTCTACGTGTTTCCGCTCCTCCTCCGGCAGCAGCAGGTCCGCCTGGCGCCCACGGAGGAAGTCCACGGCGATGCAGGGTACCTGGACCATGGCGGTGGTTATCCACGTCCACACCTTGCTCCGCACGTTCGCGGGCGTACACCAACGCAGCTCCGCGTACCTGTAGCCGGGAAGCAAAGAGTAGGCTAGAGATCGCTGCTCCTGTGCGTCGGCGTCGCGCTGTCTCGTTTCCTTCTCATTGTACTCCGTCGTCCGCCCAAACTGATTATTACCCTTGTTGTACGGATCTTCATCTGCGGCATCGGCTCCGAGCTGAAAAATGTTATCCACGTGGTCAAAGTTGTCATCATACCGGACATATCCTGTGCAAAAGTATCGTATTCGTATTGCAATCATGCATTACAAATCTTTTCGTTAAGTCAAATCAGCATTACAAATCTGAATTCTCATGCTGAGGGAATTTGTCATGCATTTATACGAGTACGACACTTTTGCAGTTCATAGGACAGCTTCCGACTTACAAGTTTTTGTCATCTGAGTGATGTGGTTTTGTCGCTGTTTCTGCAGGAAGCTATTCACTGGATCATTTTCTTCGTCGCCCTGTCGATACGCAAGAGAGCGCTCGTGATCCGTGACGAGCTTCGCGTCGTTGCGGACCCGTATGTACCGTCGACCCGTGTACACCGACAGGATGGGCAGCCCCCCGCTTTTCGCAAAAGTGCTCGAAGCTTCCCGGGTAGATCGCGGACCTTGCCGAACCCAGAGATGGAACTTCTTGTTGCGGGGACGGATCCAGCCTCCGTGCACAAAGAACGCGTGTGGAGTGGTTGTTCCCGGCCCGACAAGACTAAAAGCATCGCGCGAAGCAAAAATCCCGAACAGGAGAATCAGGATCACTCGCGAGACGAGATCATGGTAATGCTTGCGCGGAATAGATACAGAAATCAAGTCAGTGCATGGCCACAGCATTTTCCAGCTTCCAGTGGGTGGGTGGCAGGTCACTATCTTTCTAAGGCTCTGGATCGGCGGCAACAGGGCTAGAAGCTACTAGATGAAGCCTAACCTCCTCCCCACTAACCATTTTGATGTATTTGCTATTGGGCCGCGCATACTAAGGCAAGGAGTTTAAATACTCATGTAAAGAACGCGATCAATTCATTTGACGAAGCGTATGCGTCGGCCTCTATTCTATATCTCACGCAATGAATATAGATATTTAAGAGAGCGACTTTCTTAGCTTCGAAGTAACCTTTAAAAAATGGCAAAATTTGCACGAAAACCGGGATGTGAAAAAATGCAAACGTAACCAAAGACTAGAGGACGGCTCTTTAGGAAAGACAAAGATCAGCCTGAAAGACAAAATTCACTGGTGACTTGATTCCGGCACTCGTTGCGTGATCTGTGAACGGACGAGAAGATGTTGACTCATCAACAATCAATACGTAGTGGTAAAAAGTAAGGGCGGCAAAATGGTGGACAGGAAGGATCATATATCGATGCGACACCTGCAACCGGGACAACATCGAGAGATCTTTGATCATTTTTCCCAGCATTCTGGGAAGCAAAACTCCGGACCAAAAAAAGCTCTTCGTGAATACTTGCCATCCCGAAAGGATCGAAGACGCAGGTATAACCATTGCAGCGAGAAATAAACTGGTCTCCTCGTGCCCATAGTCTGCTTAAAGTCACAAGAATTACTGGCTGAGTCAACTACATCTCTTCGATTTGTCAGCGTGCGGCTCAAGGTCCAGTCGTGTCTGTGCGCTTGCGTTTGTGATTTTTGTGATGATACACCTAAGCATTGGCATTGCGCAACTAAATTTTTTCTTACAGGGTTATTCTTATTTTGCGTCGATCATCACATACTTACAGGGTAGGAACCCAACAAATGACATTTGTTAGCGTAGTTTCTCGCAGTCATATTTTTGAGAAAGCTACGAAATTGCACGAAACAAAGATTTACATTCAGGACGCAAAAGCAAGACGTCAACATCAAGGACCATATACATAGAGATAGAGTCCTCAACTAGATATCTGCACCATATCAACAAATTTTCTAGTCTTTCAAGCGAACGGAAACTAACTGCTGTACGTGGTCTTTCAACAAGGTCAAACAACGGTGGCACTATGTATAATGTACTGGATATTTTACTTGGTGATTTCTTTAATCTTTGGTAGGGAACAATTTTCCGTTTGTATTTACGTAGTGCAGGTAATTGATTTAGGTTGTAGGTACGGAACCGGAGGAAACGGATACGCGACTGAATGTCTATCGTTAAATTCTATTTCGTCTACTGGTCTTATTTTCTCAGGGAATGAAAGTCGGCTTGGATGGTGCAGCAAGTTGAACGGAAACGGTCTCCTTGCTTCACGATCATCTTGAACTCACTTCCGATGCCCTGACTTGTCCTCCCGTAGGAAGCCCACTTCTCAGGGTTCGTCAAAGTCGTTTTGGGCCGGGAGCTGCAAATCAAAGAGCTCGCGGCTGGACCGGTCTGCGGCTTCCAAACCCAGGGTGGTGGCACGCTCGAATTTGATGTGTGATGCGGTATTACCCGCTGCAACTACTGGCTCTACTACGGCGGCATTGGCACTGCTGTATCCGAGCAATTCTTGGTACTTCGGCGGAGACGCGCTGTGCAGGTCCAGTTGAAACGTCTCGGCAAACTGTTTGACTGATTCGTTTTGTTCGACCCCCGATGAAGCGGCTGCAGGAGCGGAAATTGTCGTATTTACAGCCTGCGACGGGCGCTTTTCAGGTGAAAGTTCACCCTCGATGAAGTCCCTGATGTCTAACGCCAAGCCGCTGGTGTTCGGTGTCTTCTTGTTCATGTTTGTGAGAAAAACTGTTCCGTTGGGCTGCGGAGTTTTCGATAAGAAATGGTCATCCTCAAAGAGGTTCATCTGCGAAGGTGGCACTCCAGCAGCAGCTCCCGCGTTGTTGTCCCGATCGACAGCCGTCGCCGGCTCCGCAGCAACACCCGTGGGCGCCGGTGTACTGGAAAAGGGGTTGCTCGCCAGCAGGGGTTTCTTGAACGATGACCCCGTGCCTGTTGCGTTGCTCGTCGTGCCTACTGCTTTGCTTTGCTCTTCCGTCGGCGTGGTCACAACAGAGGGAGGATTCGAGATCTTGGATTTTTCGGTCAGATTCTGTCGCATCCTCTCCACGATGGAAAAACTCGCAGCACCAGCTCCTGTTGTGCTAGGGTTTATCCGTTGTGCGTGAGCGCTGGAAGTAGTTGCGCTCGAGCTATTGTTTTCCAAGTAGTCGAAAGCGCCGCGGGGATCGAAGGTCGGCACGGTGGATGAGATCTTGCTGTGCAGATCAGTTTGCCCCTCCGTCACACCCGGGCGCGTCACATACAAGGAAGACGACGAAGAATTTGAATTCGCAGGGACTGCTGCCACTCCAACCGAACGGATCTTCCCCGCAGATCCTGGACGCTGTTGAGTGAACAGGGGAACTTCTGTAGTGGCTTGGAGGCGAAGATTGTCGTCTACTTCGGAAGAGCTTCCGCCCGGAGCTGCAAGAACTTCTCCCGATGCTGGTGCAGAGGTTGTCTTTATTTCGGACGCTGCAACATAACCAGTGCCCGCACTGTTTGGGTGCGGCGCGCCGTGGTGCGCGGGTACATTCAGGTCGAAATGCGAATTTCCCAAGCTCTCGGCGTAGTACAGCGTTGGGTTCTTGTTCATTCCCGCCCCCGTGTTGGGCTCGAACGTAAATTCCTCGTGCGCCGATGCGAAAGGCCGGTCGACGAATGGCTGCTCGGCGCTCGAAATGGTTGTCAGCCGCTGCATGCGCGTGTTGTCCAGCTGGAGAGTGTTGGTGTAATCTCCATTTGCATTGGTATCAACTTCGACATTTGTCGCTCCCAGAAGGGCAGCGCCAGCAGTTGGTGCTCCTCCGTCGGACGAATTACCTAGCACCGCACGTTCTTGTTGCACAGTAGATGTGGCCGTGTTGATGCCGTTCACAACGGAGCCCTGCATACTCATGCGCGTGACGCCTTGGCCTAGCTGCTGTTGTTGCGCTGCCAGGCCGACGTTGACCGGCGTCGCAGTGCCGTTGATGACGGTGGTCGGGGTCTTCGAGACGTTTGCCGATGCAAGGTTCGCAGCGCCGCCAACCGAAGCGTTCATCGTGGTGAAGTATCCGTTCAGGTACAGACTGCGCTGCAAATCACTGCTGTTCGCCGTCGTACTCACGCCTCCGTCAGCGACCACTAAATTCGGTTGTGACAGCAATTTTCGTTTCGTCGGACTTCCCCACGCGTCCACGCGCTCCGAGTAGCTCCCGCGACTCGGGTCCGGCTGGCGAAACAGTTCGGCGGTGCGCCGGTGGGCCCGGTGGGTCGAAACGTTAATTCCCTTCTCCATCGCAGTCACCAATTTCGCCGTCGACATTGCGCCCGCTGTGCCCACGTTGGTCGCTGGCGTCCCGGCCGAGTTATTTTGGTGAAAGGAGTTTTTCGAGGAGGCTTTGGAAGTAGAACTTTGTTTCGACTTCGTGTCGTAGAAGAACTCGTTGTCGCGCTTTGAGGTGCTAAACCGGAGCAGCATGCGCTCGGTGAAATGCAACGACTCCGAGAAGCTACTGATATTCGCACTGAAGTTTTGCAGCGTTTGGTTCATCCCCATGAACTCCCCCTGCCAGAAGGGTCGCTTCCCCATGTTCCGCACCGAGATCCGCTTCGCGTGCGCCTTCTCCACGAGCTGCTCCTCCTTCACCAGGGCGCGCCCGAGGTCGTTGATGTGCGCCATGACGTTCTGGCAGGTCTTCAGCAGCTGTTTCCCCTCTTTCCGCAGCTTCCCCAGCTCCTCCTCGTACAGCCGGTTGGTCCGGAGAATGTTCACGTCCGAAAGAGCGGCAAACGACGTCTCCGCGCGGGTCAGGCAGTGCTCCACTCGCTCCAGCGGCGTCTTAGCGGTCGTCGCAGAGGACGGAGGCATGCTGATCCCTGCTCCCCCGGTCGTCGCCTGGACATCACTGACGAGGTCCGGCTCGTCCATGGCCAGCAGCTGTTTTTTCACGTGGGACCCGCCCACGGAGAGCACGTTCGCCACGCTCGCGGTGGTCCCCTTGAACACGTGATACAAAGCCTTCTTCCGGGCGTTCTCCGCCCGGTCACCCAGCGTCGCCAGCACGGAGATACGGTCCTCCAGGTGCTGCCGAAATTCCCGGTCCACGCTGGCCTCCTGCTGAACATCCCGGAACAACCGCAAATCCTCCTTGACCAGCGCGTCCTGCGAATCCAAACGCTCTTGCACCTGGAAAGTTCAGATGCTGGGAAGTACAGTTTGTTTGGATTTTCAACCACAAAACCGGAAAAAAATTGAAATCAGGAATGCAAGCAGTGTGATGTGATTTTGCAAGTACTCGAAAAGCAAAAAGCACACGAAGTACTTCATATCTCTGCCGACGTTCTTCTGCTAGGAGTCGCTGCAGTTCGGCAATGATTCGCGCCTGGTTCTGCTCCTGATTGTAGACGCTCGTCATTTTCTGGGCAGAGTTAGCAGTAGTCTAGAGCTGCCTCCTTGTCTTGGACTACTTCGAACAGTACTCTTTACAGGAAAATAGAGCACGAGCGGGAACTCATCTTAATTTCTACTGTAAAGAGGCAGAGACATTCATAGTCACTTCTTTGACAGCTGCCATGACTATCATCGCTGCCGATACGTAATCATCATTACCATTAGAGGCTTACTTTTAAAACCGAGCATGGTCGATGACCTCCTCCCAAATATTCTCCTACTTCTTCAAGTGTTTACGTGCTGCACAATTTCTTCTACAACATCTACACCGCCATCGGAAAAAGAAATACTTACCGACTACTGACGATACCACGAGTTGACGCTACGAAAAGTGCTGTGAAAGTACCTGCTACAAATGGCGGCCCAACCAGGAACGATTCACGAATCCCACCCCTTTCTTTACGAAAGAACTAATACCAAGACCTTTCATCCCAGTATTAAATCGTACTTTCTCGAGAAGTCGACAGGGTGACAACGATGCAGGTTCATTTACCGAAATCAATGAAAGATCACTGTTCGAGAAAGCCGATGAAAACTCATCTACTTCAAACAAAAATCATTTTTACATAGATCAGAGTCGCCTCGAGAAGAGCACGAGGTGGCAGACCTCCTGATTACCAGTTTCGATAATAGCTCCCCGCCTTCGGCACGGTCCTAACTCTAAGTGATTCGCGCCACTTTCAGCCAAAATTGTGAGAAAGAAATTTTCACGTAGGTTCTGTTTTTTCTTATTCTTTGTCTTTGTGTACCTTCCTGCGAGTACCTGACAAAACTAAAGCGGGTTATTCATTGACATTTATCAAACGGCTTCATTTGTAACCTTAACCGTAATATACGTTTGAATTGGAGAAGGAGCTGCGCTCCCCAGCACAAAATTTCTGACGTAGACTGTCGAAAAATATTTTTTGCGGTCCAAAACTTTATTCTCAGCGAGAAGCGTTTTTTTCTGTATTTTCGGGAAATGGCATCAGCACGACCCAACAAAAGCTCGAACCCCAGGGTATTCAAAACTACTTGAACGTACACATATTCATAACAGTGCAGCTTTATTTGCAGTTCACAACCAAGATGGATAAATTGTACAAGAAAGTAGACGTTTTTTTTTCGCAGAAAAGGATACCTGTACTCCCAAAATCAACAACGACCTGCATGGGCATGCAGATGCACTACTTTATTTATTGTTTCTGATACCGTTACGTTAACATTAGCGAATATTTCAATTCTGTATAGTTTCCACTTTCTACTCAAGCTTTCTTCATGATTCGCATTCCCTCTTGGAAAAAGATAACATCGCTCCTCGCCCGTTGCCTTGCGTCTGCAGCTGAAATTGAAACACGACCACGATCACGACGACGCGAAAGCCCAAGCACGACTGTTCCAACTATTGCAGCGAATGGACGAAGGTGCCTTACTGTTGCGAATGCGACTAATTCTTTGCTGTTACCACCTTGTCCTGTTGACAACATTCATTTCCATCCACGATTCTTTCACCATGATGATATGACAGATTGTTGCCCCCCCGATACTACTCAGTAGAAGTCGAAGATGTTGTTCACAATGGCTCTGTACTTCGGCGCAGGAGGCAGGACCCCATCAGGAAACCAAAGCAGCACCAACTCTCGCAGCTGCGGTCGCGGGGTGGATTGTAAACACCACGCGATACTGCGGCGGCGGGCGAGTAATAAATGTAGGGGCAGGATCTGTTTTGCAAATTAATGCAGGAGATGATGACAGACCAAGAAAATGTAAATGAACAAAAGCGTACTACAATAAATCTAAATCATGAGGTGATGTCGCCCGCGCATTCAAAAATAACTAAGATTGAAATTCTCCTTGTTTGAGGCATTTTGAACGAAACCATTTGCTTCTGCACTTTTTCATTTTGCAGCCCGAAAAATACATTCATTGTAAACTCCTGTTGCTGTTGCAACAGGAGCATTGTTTGCAGCTTGCCGTCTTTCTACTTTACTCCTTTATTTCTAACGGTAACAGGTGGGACGCTGCGAGCAGAAAGCGAAACGATATTACTGTAGATGAACCATGAACAGGTACAGTACCCGTTACATTTACTGATTACCGGTGAAAGCGGTCTACCTTCAAGCAACCTAATGTACAAATGACGCACGTTTCTAGGAATATTTCGCAAGCAACTACTCTAGAAAGGCCGATAGAACAAACAACCACAAAACTTTTATCTGAATCACGCGGCAAGAAGATGAGAAGAACTGCAACTTACGTCATACTTACATAGAACCTGATCTGAAGCACCTTCGCTTCCAATACGAATGGCAAAGTTGCAGATCAATTTCCCCACAAGGCGTCAGAGAGCAGAGCGATAGCGTGCTGACGCAACGCGGCTGCACTCGAGAAACCGCGACACCTTCGCGGTGCGGGCTGTGCGCCTGAAACGGGACTGGAAAATAAATGCTGTTGCACAAAATTTGAACTATATTGAGCCAGCAGCACCTCAGCTCGCCGTGCCAGTGTGAGTGTTGCCTATCTCCAATAATCGAAGAGCAGGAGGAGCGCTTTGATTTCAACGTGTCGGATCCTCGCTACCCTCTGTTATACTTAAAGCGCATAGGAGGACACCCGCCGCGGGGAAGCCGTCAGTGGCGCTCCGGCCATTTGCGCAGGCGTGGAAGTGCTAGAAGCAGAGGCACTAAAATTGCCGGCACCTCCGGGCGCTGAAAGAATGTGGCTGGCGCCATTTCCGCCATCGCCAGCGTATGTGGTGCTAGTTGTGGGGCCACTACTAAATCTACCACCAGAAGACTCCGGGTGACCTTCTCGCGAAAAGCCTAGACGCGAGGAAGCACGCCTCGCGGCCTCTGTGCTCGCACTAGCTCTACCAGTACTACTTCTACTTCTCCGCGGAGAACGAAAGAATGCCGCAGGCGTGCGCAGGCCGCGGGGAACCGCGGGGAGATTACGTAAGATGCGTTTCAAAGGCGAAAATATGGAATGCAAATATGTCTGGGTCTGGAAGGTTAGCCTGCAACTTGCGATGCGCATTTCAGAACACAGAAAAATCTCTCATGCATATGCAGCAAAAGTTGCCCACTTTCTGTCACCAAAATCAGGGGTTTGTCATGCGGGTTCGGCATGGCGAACGCTTCTCGAAACCTGTGATGCTAGAGCTTCCATGCCAGACCTTCTGCGTCATGCAAAAACAGCATGACTCTTCCAGACCCAGACATTTTTGCATTTGATAGAAAACCAGCAGCACCGATTCGCATCCTCCGTGTCGCTGCTTGTATGGCGTTCTCAACTGTTACATTCTCAAATGTTACATGGATTTGTGATGCTAAACCGACCGAAAGAAACCACAAACGCAACCCATAGGGCACCTTTCCGCAGATGGTCAGGCCACCGGGTCGCGGAGTCAGGCGGACCGAAGCCAACATGGATTTGTGATGCAAGAATGGCAAAAGTCAAAGCAGGGAGGTTCCACCTGTAGCATCACAAATTCCGCACGGATTTAGGTGCTGTTTAGCCTTTCCAAAATTTGTCATGCGAAGTGGCTTCACCTTGTGAATGTTGATGATGATGCTCGTTTTGTATTACAAATCATGTAACAATTGAGAATGTAACGTTTGAGAACGCCATAGCTTGCGTCGGACTTTTCGAAGACCTCCTTCGGTGCAGTCTTGGTCTTCACGTAGAACTCAAGAGCCAGCCCGGTCGGGTCGTTGGTCCGAGTTCGCGCGAGCGTGGTTCTGTGTTGGATAGAGGTGCGAGAGTCGTGTTGTCCGAAGTTGTTTTGTTCGAAAATGATGCTGCACCGGGACAAAATCGAAAACGAATTACTTTACACTTCTACTACGCGTATTCTAGCATACGTTTTCTATTTCATGTACCGCTGCTGCTTCGAGAGCGAGGCAAGGTAGTTATTTCGCGCTTGGGTCTGCTCCAGCACCTCCTCCACGTGACGATGGTTGCATTCGGCCTGCAAGTCTAAAGACCCCAGCAACAGCGACAAACACTCAATTTCTTGGTCGGTGCAGCTCGTGCGCTCGTCCAACACTCTGCTCGTGTCTATTTGGCTGCTACCGTCCTCGTCGTCCTCTTCCTCGCCGTCGTCGTCCGAAAGAGAGGTAATGTCACCGTCCAAAACCAGCGGAGAGATCACCGGCGAGTCTGAAATTTTGTTTTCTTTGAGTCCAACACGACCAGCAAAAGCAACAAGAGATGAGATTTATTCTGTACTGACATCAAAAATGTCTGCCTTCGGCAAAACCAAAAGTTGCAAAGAATCGCTTCGCTAAATCCTAAACCGCAAAGAATCGCTTCGCTCTCACAGCAGCCATTTTTTCTTTTATATTGGCGCGTAATATGGGTAAGTACCTGGCGAGCTCCGCTTACTTGTGCTTCGCAGCAGGGGGCTGCTTGTCAGCGTGGCAATCGTGGAGCTGCTCGCGGAGGCTGGCAGGTGATAGTTGCTGTAACTACTTGCTGTGCTTGACCGAGTGGTCAGTCCGCCGGACGATTCCGTCCTTCCGGTCGCCTCTTCGATACCCCCGTCGGGCGCATCCGCGTTCTGATCATCGTAAGGAATCTCAAAGGAGGAGCCGTCGTACACGGCAAAGGTGGTGGCCCCAGACGCGTTCGCTGTCCCCCCCGACCCGCGGTGCAACTCGTGCAGGAGCCGCCCCGGGCTCGCAGCTCTATCAGAGGATCGAGACCTGCCGAGCGCCATGGGTGTTGCGTCCTCCTCGGGCACTGAATGGGACTGCACCGAATGGATCTCGTCCTCGTCGTGTATCCGCTGCACGTTCTCCGGGTGGTCGGAAGACCCTGTAATGCTCGTAGTTCTGGCGCTGCGGGGGCGAGAAGCAGCCAAACGCGGGCTCGCTGGCGACGCGCTGGTACTTCTGGGGTCGTCCAGCAGAGTGCCTGGCGCAGTCCGACCACTGATTGGCTGTATAGTATTCTCGGTCGCAGCGGCTTTTGCTCGCGCAGGTAGTTCAGCGTCGAGGGCAGCTTCTAATTGTGCCTCATCTTCATGATCATCTACTGCCACTCCGCCTCGCGATTCCCGCTCCTGACGATCTCGCTGCCGTCGGCTTGCGCGCCGCCTTTGGGATTTGGACATGCTTGGGCCGCCACCGCAGCGCGAGGCGAGCATTTCGAGACTCGATCCCGTTGATGTGCCGCACCCGCTGCCACAAGTCGTAGCTGAGCCCAAGTATTTTCGCCGCTCGTAGGTTTCGTAGCAGTGCTCGCGAGAAACCTGCTTGCACAGGTTGTCGAAGTCCTTCAGTTGTTTTCTGAACGCCGCACACGCCGGCTGCATGTGGGGGCCGGGGCCGTAGAGCTCCTGCCTGGTCAGGGGATGCGTCAACCGCACCGGCTGCCCCTCTTCGCGGGCAGGCTTGCTTCTCTCTTTCGCGAACCACTTCTCGAGGCAGTCCTGTTCGAAATGAAACTTGGTGCCGTCAGCCGGAATCTGTACCGGCTTGGTCAGCAGTTGCAACGAGATCGGACAACTAAGCTCGGATGGCACGTGGTTCATCAGCAAGCAGTTGTAAAGCTCCTTTCCCGTGTGCGGCTGCGGACTGCAGAGCTTCGGTAACTGATTATGTTGAAGACATCACTTTGTTCCGAGAAAGACCCCCAATGAGAAGTGCTAAATGAAAGAACCGAAACTAGTTGTAGGGATCAAAAGAAACGCCGAAGCAATTCAAACACAAGAAAGACTGACTGGGGCTGAATAAAGGTCTCAAGCGAAACTACAAGCGACCAGACGAATTTCAGCAGGAGGGCGAACCTGATCCGCCAGGTGTGGACAGTCTTCTAGGCGCTTCGCCAGTCTTTCGTGGTCCGCCACTGATCGGATGGGAAGGAATCCGCAGTTGCGATCCTGTGCCTCCTGTCGCCGCTCCCGCTGCGTTTTGAGAGATCGCACCAGAAACTCGTCCACCGCAGGGAGACTGCAAGCGGCATGTTCTTCCGTTCTAGCGTCCGGGCCGTCTTTGGCTGCCACTCCAGCTCTTGTGCCATTCGCCCCTGCACTGGCGTTTGCCCCAGAGGTTGCATCAGTACCACTACGCACTTGCGCCCGTCTCGCGGCATTATTTCTTCTACCTGATCTCGCGGCCCCCAGCTGCGAAGACCTCGCTCCGCGGTTCTCCTCCGCTGGCTCAGCAGATCCAGATACGGTTCCACCGCGACGCCTAGTAGCGGCTCCTGTGCCGTCGAACCCGTTTTCCGGCGAAGAAAGCGCGTCATCAAGCCCAATCCCATCCGACGGCCGCGCAAAATTGACGCTCCGAATCACGCGCCCGGCATTGTCTACGTCTTCGGTAATCGCGTAGTTGTCAGTCTCTGCGGCCGGTCCAGATCGTCTTCTTGTCCGGGACCGCGCGAGTACTGGCTCATCATCCTCTACTTGCTCAGCGACGGATTCGGTCACAGTGGTTCCGCTTGTCGTCGCGGAGGCAGACGAAGTGCTGTCTGAACCGCGTGAACGAAGAGGCGCAGGTGGTATACGGGACGGTCTCCCTGTGATCGTAGGTTGCAACTTGAATAACTGCACCCGCGACTCGGAGAGGGACGGGAGCTCCAGAAAAATCAGCCGGAAGAGAACTGCCGCTAGTCCAGATATCATTCTCATTTGCGACGCTGCAGCGTCCGCAGTTACAAACGCGGCGGGGACGGACCGACGTCTTGATACGACCTGATTGGCGTACGACTCTCGTCCGCCCATTGTGTGACGCCGCGAGACCACGATCACGGCAACTAGCAAAATGGCCCCCCACAAGTTATTTCTGTCGCAATGAGTAGACCAATTTCGTTTTTTATTTTAGCAGCAACCTAGAATACTGAGGAGTTATGAACTCAACAGACAAGTTGAAGAGACTGAGCACCCAGGGCGGCCAGGCGTTCTGCAACTTATTAGACGAGAACAATCTATGTGGATGAAGCACAGAACGACACAAAAACGGTAAACCAAAACAGCGCAAAATTGATGCGGAAAGTGCAGCTTCGGAACAAGAACAGAAACCAAAGTCACATGTAAAGAAATGGAGCAAATGAAAAAAAACAACAACACGATGATCGGGCCGATGATTGAAACAAATATCGAGAAGTTCTCGGTCTCGTTGGCTCCACCACCTCGGGAGAACACTATGATATTATAGGAGAACACTATGACATAGTATACGTATGTTTATGCACCATTACTTCTTATTGAGTTCTGAGTTAGCAGAACGGCTTTCGAAAAGCGGAAGGTCTAGGTCAAGGGACTGTCTAGATAGAGGCCATGATAAAGACGCTGAGGTCATTCTCGTTGAGCACCATAGCACGTTCGCGGTAGCCGGTAGGTCTCATTATTTGATATCTTTGGTTCTAGATGTCTACGTTTAGACCCAGTTTGCGAAATGACGAAAATCGAATTAGAATTACAAGAAAAAACATAGAGCAGTTGTAGCGGGAGCCCGGGAAATACATCATAAACTTAAACTCATCACGTCGACGTATTTCTGGTACATACGTACTCGAGATAGTAGAGCGCTCTCTTTTATTGACATTTTTGTGTGCAGAGTAAGGCTGGCTAATAACCAATCTCGACTTTGTTCTCAAGTATAAAGCAAAAAGTCAAGAAATAAATGTGATAACATGTGGCACATCATACAACAAGGCGCGCGGGAAATCCACATGTAAATTTCCCGATTATTTTTCATTTCGTCGGTCGCAAACAAAGACGCATAGCGTTTCTTTGCTAGCGTATACGTAAGTAAAACATGACTAAAATTCGTTCGCCATGAGCATATATTTATCAAAGCACAAAATAAAGTAAGTAGACCTTTTTTATCTTTTGTTCTGTGGAACTGCTGCGCACGCCTTTGTAGAACATTTCCAATTTTGCGTCAGCATAGGGAGACCCGTCAAGGTATGGCATGAACTGGTTTTTCAGAAAGAAAAACTTTCAGATCACGAGGACAGCGGGTGTTTGCGCTTCGTCTATACGTAGACGCAGCCTACTGACCGCCAGTAGGAACCGGTACGTCAGCCTGGGCTTCCATCACCCTAAGGGAGTAGATATCTCCGTCGGCACGAGTCACCTCGATCTGAAACTCGAAGTTTTGAGGCCCCGCTTGCGCTCCGTCATCTGAGTCGCTCTCGTCACGGTCATGCGACACCAACCCGCGAAGACGTATCTGCACTTTTGCTCCGTTGTTGGTGTTTTCAAATCCATCGACAGCAAAACTGTACATATCTTCCGGCTCATCATGCTCACGACCATCCAAATAATTCCATTGAACACTTTTGCGTGCCAAGATTAGCCCGGTGAGAACGTCGTCGTCGTCGTGCCCCTTGCGGCGGCCAACACGCGGCGATCGGCGCACCCCGTCTGACAAAGGTCCCGCTACGGCACCAGGATTCGCTGCGTCAACCCCTCCAGCTGCTCGTTTAAATGTGTACTCGATATCGAACTCGCGTCTCGGGACTTCCTCCCGAGCCCGGCGAGCTGCACCGTCGTCAGCCTTCTGGTTACCAGTTGCGGCGATCATCTGGCCGCTCGGGGGCCTCGCGCTTGAGGCGGCACAAATGGCAGCTGCCTCCACCTCTTCATCTTGTGCTTCTGCTCCCTCGGCGTTTCTTGCATAGGATGAACATGTTGTATCCTGAATGAAAACACCTCGCCAATCGTGGAGCACGGCATGCATTTCGAGTATACCGCCATGAGATCGAACCTGCAAGAGCTTGTCTGCATCACTCGTGCGGGGGTCGAACTGCATCCAATCCGGCCCCCAACTTCCGGCCCTTGAGACGTCACTCAACACTCCCGAAGGACCGGCAATTTTATGTTCCAAGTCCTCGAGGGTCAGCGTGTTGTCGTTGTCGAGAGGCAGAACTAAGTCTCCGGTCTCGTCCGTGGTCACGAGCAACTCGAGGAGCTTGTTCGCTAACAACTGCTTGTTCGCTTCCTCATCCTCCTCCATCGTGGTACGGAGACGCGCCAGCAGAAACTGCGACTTCTCGGCAAACAACAATTCGTGGAGGTTGTCCAACGCAGTGCGGTAGCGAGCAGTGACCACTGCCTGAATCGATTGCAGAGTCTCGGGCACGCGCTGGCCGACTTCCAATTCTAAATCAGCTACTTCTCTGTTGGCTTGCTCCGCTCTTTGTCGCCTACCGCGGGCGGACCCTGCGCTAGGAGAGCGGTGCCGCGAAGTCATCTTGTTTCTTCCGTTCTTCTTGCGGGGCGGACTAGAAGAATTTGCGCGATGCCGTGACGGTGCATGCGGGTCCGCTGTTCCTCGCGCGACCGCGGAGGCAAGTGGACGGCCAGGAGTTGTTGCTGTTGCAGTACTACCCAAGCCAATCAACTTCACCCTGTTCCTCGTCCGGTCAATTCCGAGAATTTTCTCGATTCGAGCGAAATCCGTATGCGTGAGCACCCCATCGGTCCGCAGGCGGTCGATTTCTCGTCCGCCAACCGTACGTACAGCCACAAACTTCTGTTCCGGATTCGGGAGAAAATCTTGTGCACTTCGTCCGCTACTTCTGCTTTCCTGCTTCGCTGAGCGAAATATATCAGCACCAGATGCCGCACACGGAGCCGACGAGCTGCTGCTGCTGCCAGTGTGACCGGGGCGCGGTACGAACCCTGCAGGTACCCCGTAAACCGGATCTAGAGGATTTGGACAATCTTTATGATCAATGACATCTGGTACCACTATTCCGATTCCGCTACTATCGAAAACAGGAGAATCTGCCCGAAACTCGCTTCCCTCGAGCGCAACCGGAAAGACAGATAGGACGAAAAAAGTTCGGAACATTTTGATGGTTAAACGCGTTGGAAAAAGAGAAAAAGTGAGGCTTCAGACGCAGAAAAGGCGATGACAATCAATGCAGTGACTAACGGATAACAGTTGTAACTGAAAAGCTTTTTGTCTTTCGTGCTAGCTACACAACTGCGTCTGTGGTCTCTCGTAATATCAATTCCAAATTCAATGCTGCTCTGACTCAGACAGTACGGAAAAAATGATATCGTAAATGCTCGTAACGTTAATGACTACAGATGTTTTTTTTTTGCTTTGGGTGTCGTTTCTAATAAGTTATGTTTTGCTTATTTACAGGTATAAGTAAAAAGTGTGTGACTTTGTATTTGCTAATATGTGCCTTCACGGTGTCGAATTTGAATTTCTCTATTGGTGTATTGGAAAAGGTTTTTGCTAGGTGGGCAGGAGGACGCTAACTTGAAGGCCTGTGCAGGGTTTTTCAAAGGGCGAGATCGGAGTCGAAGATATGATTACGTCAAATTACAGGCAACACTACTAGCACTAGGCGCGAGGGATCATAGGGAACCAAAATCAGCCCACGAATGATTATTGTGATCTTTTTAATGATGATCTTTGCGATGAATTTTACATTTTCGGATGATCTGCTGTTCCTCGAATTTGCCTCTTCGTCTTCCAGAAAAATGCAAATGCAAGAAAAAGAATCTACCTGCACGTGGCTCTAGCAACCGATCTGCTTAGAGGTCTGACTCACTTTGCAGCACAAATCCGAAGTATTTACCGACTCGAGCTTATTTCCACGCTCTTGTCATTTTCCATCCCATTCCACTTCACTTTCACCTGTTTCGGTACCGATTCAATTTGACTTTTAGCATTAGCTGAGTGATCTCATATCTTTGAACTTCGAGAGCAGTTGCAAGTTGGCAAGTTTTTAGTCTCTCGATCCGGCGAGAAAGTGCTGGTGGATATTTTTCCATTTTCTGGCCACGCGTGTCATCGTAACCGAGGAAGAACATCAAGAATCCTCTACAAGGACGTGGTACTCGACCGCAATCCTCTATCGGAGGAAGAGTCGTTGTTATTGAATTTCCTCATGCAAACGCGGCTCTCCGTATCCAGATCCACACTGTAAGTGCAGTCAAGCAACATGTTTATGTGTTCTCTAGTTCTTATGCAAAGCAATACTACTTTTTCGGTTTTGAGCCCGCCCTTTTTGTGGGCAACACTTCGTCCAATATCTCTTGTCTTTTTACCAGACAGAAAACTTGCTGGAATTCCTTCAGGGTCAGATAGTTCTGGTCACCGCGTCGTATCGGACTGAAAAGAGCTTGTTGCGTAGTCAGAGAAAATGAAGACGTGGTCCTCAGACGAGGATCATGATGCAATGTGAGGTAACTCGTCATGTCATCTTCCTCATCGCAACAGGACAATAATTCTCAGTTCTTTCTGGAGAAACAGAAGTTCGTTGCGGGCGGAATGCAAATCTCATGCACGGATACAGAAAACCAAAAGGAAAAAATGGAATCGATTTACCCAGCTCTTTGAATTTGGAATTTTTACGCAAGCAAGCTTCATGCTCACACTGCTCGAAAGATTGCAAGCTTGATACTGCACGTGTCAAACACAGTTTTGGCAAAGCCATCTTCGTCCGCAGAACCGGGTGACCCAGGTGGTCGCCTGCAGTTCGTTCCATTGATTGAAAAGTCAGACAGGTTCATTCAGACTGACCATGTGGATGCGAAAACAAGATACTGCGGATTCAGGAGGTTGCATTCAGAACATCGCTCTACATAAAAGGGCTACGCCGGGGGTCTATTAAAGGTCCTCAAGAAGTCCAGGATTGCACTTTACTTAAGTTAGTACCCACTATCAGCTCCTGCAGCGTTTGACTCGGCACAAAGCTCTGCGAAGGCTTCTCGGAATGCGCCTCGATCCAGGAGATCGAGTTGGAGATGGTCGTACCTCTTAAACAGGGCCTGGCACTGCTTCTCGTGATCCGCGCTCAACTTGAAGGTCTCCTTTCTACGATCCAGTTGCTCGGCAAGTGAGATCTTACTCTTGCCCGCCGCCGACCCACCACTGGGGGAGGAAGACATGGTAATGGAGATCAGAATTACGAGGAAATTTGCCGCATGAAAGATGATAAAGTACGTTGAATCCACACTCAAATCTCAATCACGTGTCGTAGTCGCAATAGCTGGCCGGGAAAGTGGGTGACATCATGTCCCATTCATTATCATCTCGTTGCCGCGATAATTATATTCTTCGCGATTCGAAGTCGTCTATGTCTTCTAACTTTCTACCATTCGAAATGAAAGGCGCAAGAGGTCCATACTTGTAAGCGAAAACGACAACGCCATCGAGAGCACGGGCCGGCCAGTTTGGATGATTTGTCCTTGTTGCTTTTTAGCGGAAACGAAACGAACAGCAGATCCTTCAAGTAGAACTAGAACTGCTGTCAGCACGACAATGACAAAATCATTGTCTAAAGCGGGTAATGACAACATGTTGTAAGCGCTCTCTGACAGGTCCTACCTAGGGACGCTCGCTCGCTCCTCTCTTGCGTTCATCTACTCCTCGTCGAAACGATCGCCATGATTCGGCAATGCGAACACATCGACATCCATTTCCAATCATGTGTCAAGAAACGGAAGCGCTAGCGCATGATGAGATTGCATTGGATTTAAAAGGCTTAAGCCTACAATCATGTGAGATACACTCCGATGAAGATACAAACCTCCATAAATTGGCGGCCGGCGCATGAAGGCAGAGGCTCTTCAACTTTACCGCGCCTTCATCAAAAACGACTTTGGAGACAATAGCTGCCACGACCACAACATGCGCACACTCTACTACTTTACCGCGCATGTGCTTTTGTGTAAGTAGCAGCCCACTCCCATGCTCTGCAGCACAAACCAACGCGCACGATTTCGCCAGTCCCCGCGACCAGTTCGACAAGCCGCGGCGGAGCTACGTCGAGGACTCGACCCCCGATCCATGAACTTCTGGACGGGCAGGCGAAACTTTTGCGCTGCTTCCACCTGAGGGCTAATGCCATGCAAAACTGGCGTCCTCTCAGCATATACAACACAACATCATCAAACACGAATGCAGATCCTCATGGTCCTGATCACCGCTTGAGTGGCGGTTGTGGATTTGCGTTTTTACAACAAAAACAAAGGCATTTCTTTGCGCTATCCATGAATAACTGTTAGTCGATGACGCTGTGCTGAATGCACGAAGAAGATTTTCTTCCCGCCGCATAAGGGGCAGTCCGCGGCCGTCATCAAGTTCTAATGCCGTTGCGTCGCGACTCAGCTTCTTGGCTCTATCCCGCACTTCCGTCCGCACTAGCCAGGGGTAATCCACGCCGTCTTCTTCCTTGGCACGCCTTGCAGCTGGTGACGATGATGACCCTGCTCGGCCGGAATTCCCTGCGACCAGTTCGACAAGCCGTGGCGGAGCTACGTCGAGGACTCGTTCGACGATCCAGCTCGGCCCTAGCCCTCTCCGACTCGTTCGGGGCGGCGGAGCTACGTCGTTCACTGGCCGTAGCTGCGTCAGCGCGCATTCGAGGACCTCGGGCCGAGCGGCAACGAACAGCCGCGCCACACAAGCGCGGGCCGGCCGCCGAAGTCGGCAGACTGGCCCGCGGCCTTCGTGGGCGACTGCCTCCATTCCTAGGCCACCGCAGGCACGGCCGCCCGAGATCACCGGGCCCCCTGCGCCTGGCCTGCCTGCGAGGGCCGGGCGAAGGGCCTCGGGCCGCCTCAGTCTCCTGCGGGCCTCGGCGCGCCCTTGTTCTGGGCGCCGTGCTCCTCCCGCGCTTTTCCCACGGCCGCCCCAGCTCTTCCCCGCAGCGCGCCCCCGCACCATCGATCTCCCCCACGCCCACAGTAGCCAGGCGCCCCAATCTTGCGGCGGTCGGATCGCGGACCCCACCAGCTTCCAGTACGGATGCGGAGACTACTGCTGCAGCGACGGCCAATTTCTTGTAGTCCCAGGAGAGCCGGGGCCGCACCGATGCCGAATGAGGCAGCAAGCTCGACAACTGATGGTGATGCCTAAGATGCCAGCAGAGGAAATCCTCAATATCCTTTCATGCATGGCACGCATGACCATGTGCCACCAAGATCATGTAGCGGACCAAAATCTATGGGCAAATAAGGCTTGTATAGAAGATCGTCGAAAACTCCATCTGTAGAACCGAACGCCAAGTAAGAAACTTCACCTGAAACTAATTTATGGCGTTAGCGTTGAGCCCGCACGTATGCCGACGTAGACCATTCTCCATCAGGATCTCACACACACTGACATTGGCGCTCCAGGATTGTTTTTAGCAAACCAGAGCAAACTCTACTTGCGTCGGCTTCGCACTCAATCTTGAAAGCTCAACGAGATGATCGCGCGCAATCCTCTGTAGGAGCATCGGTTCATGTAGTGCTACAGGGTAACCGCTACTGTGATGCTTTGTCGACGCAGTTCCGTCGACAATTTTTTTTCTCTCATGGTTCTCTCGTTGTTTGTCAAAAATCCATCCGAGCCAACGTGGTGCTCACCTTTCAACCTCGTCTCATTTGGTTACCAGACTGACTAATGTCTAACGCCCACACCTGACGAAAACAGGATGAACTATGGAAATGCACGGGACCTGACTGCGCTAAAAAGTACTACCATTTCACCGGCAGCGGATTGATCTCGTTTTAATTTTCTCCAATTGTACATACTTCATCCAGTCCAATGATACAACACTCGAGGGTGCACTTCTGGGCTGCTCCAACTGAGCAGAGACAGCATTCATGATTGATTGTACACTCCTTGCCTTCTCCCTTTCTTGATGAAGAAGCGACATAAGGACTTTAGCACGCGTCGAGGCTGTAGACCCGACCGGAGCACAAATAAGTCGACACTATAACGAAAAAATAATGTCCATAGATAAACTTTTGGTTATTGTGGCATTGGCCAACAGCATCGATTTGAAATTGAGTCGAAAAATTGAGTAAGTATAATTCGTGAGTGGCGTTGCGACCTCCAGCTCCACAGCCGTCAATTGATACAAAATATATAGCTTTCAGTTGTCCTTTTGCACTTAGCAAAGGTGTGAAAAATCATTTTACAAGCACCTACGTGAGTAGCACGCATACCTCTGATGTTCCGCCGCGATTCCACTGTCCTACTCTCGCTCCACCTGAGTGGGGGAACTGCAACACAGCACGAGTGAGCAAATCGCGCTCACCACCAGGACAACGCTGAGCTCTTGCTCCTTGCCCGGTTACTCTCCGCCTCCTCCCGCCGGAGCCGCTCCGAGTTCTTCAGCTCTTTCCGCAATGCCGCCACCATTGCCTTCAGTTCCGCCACGAGACCAATGAGTCGAATGTTGTCCGCTTGCAACACCTGGTTCCGGCGAATCCAGTCCGCCTCGGCGTAGTGCTCGGGGTCAAACAGCTTACTGCTTGACGTCGTCGCTGTTGAGTTTTCCACGTACGCATCGACGAGGTGGTCCTGTTCGTGAGGAGACGACCGCTCACGATCCGCACTTACTTGCATATCACGATTCCACCTCGACGAAGAAGCGGACACTACAGCAGACCTCATTACTGGGGGCGCCAGTTGTATTCTAGTAGTCGTGGTCGACTCACACTCTGAGCCAAAATCTCCGGCTCCACCGGGCGGCTCTGCGTAGTAAAGCGGACTGCCTTTTCCCGAAGAACCTTTGCCCCGTGGCACGCCCCGAATCTGGTGGTGCACTGGATTGACGTTGAAGGTAGCTGTCGCTGCCCGTTCATGTGCGCTCCGGTCGCCGCCGCCGCCGCCGGGTGTGGGCAGCAAGGAGGGCGTTGCGGACGCGTTCGCGGATACTAGCACTGTTCCCGCGCCGTCGGTTGTCACCAGACCTCCGTCCTTCTGCAACACGGCTTCCTCGAGCAAGGAAATCGTTCTTATTTCGAGCTCGGCCTTCACCTCGCCGTGCGCGGCCCACTCATCGGCCAGGATGTTATCGTACAGTTTGGCGAGACTGTTCTTCGCCGCCACCGCGTTGTTGACATCCCGCTCCTTTTCGCTGAACAACTCGGCAGTTTTCTGCCGCAGCTCCGCCTCCTTGTCGTCCAAGTCGCGCTGCATCTTCGCGTTCTCGGAAAACAGCCGGCTCACCTCCGTTCGCAGCTGCTCCACGTCCTTGGAAGTCTGCGCGAGTTCCTGGTTGGTCGCCTGAAGAGAGGTGTCCTTTGTCAAAAGTTCCAACTGTGCCGTCTCCAGGTGCATCGACTTTTGCAGAAGTTCAGAATTTGTGGCGACATACTGTTCAGACGCGTCGGCTGCTTCTCTCGTCTTCTCCTCCAGTTCTGCCTTTGTTTGCGCGAGCTCCTGTGATAAGTGGGTGACTTCCGCCGTTTTTGCGTCGACCGCGCGCTGCGACTCCAGTTCCAGATCATACTTCGTTCTGCGGGACTGTTCCCGTAACTCGCTGATGTGGCTTTCCGAGTGCTCCGCCAACTCGCGCACCCGCTGCTCCAGAGCGTCTCGAACCTCCTCCAGTGCGGAAAGCTGTCGCATTTTTTGAATACACGATGCGTTGATCACGCAGGTATAACGCTGGGCCATGCGCCCAAAAAAACCGAAAAAGAACAAAAAACCATTTGCAAAAATGTTGCAGCATGATCAAGACCAAAATTTTTGACACAAACAACATATACATGATTTTCGGAATGGGAAATCAAGTACCTCGTCCTGCTTCTGTTGCAACGTCCTTCGCAGCTGTGCCGCTTCCGTCGACGCGTTGGTTTTCTCCTTTTGCATCCCTGCCAAGTCTTCGGCGACGCGAGCGAGTTTTTCTTCGTAGGATTCGCGTTGCTTTTTCTCGCGTTCGTCCGCCGAGGCCGGGTTGGACACAATAACACCTAGGCGCTGTGCCATCGTGTCGCCGAGGAACTCTTCGTTCCGCCGAAGCTGGTCGTGGTGCTCGTCCCGCAGCGACTGCACGTATTGGCTGTGTTCCGTTTTCAAACTTTGCACTTCCCCCGCGTGGTCCGTGCGCAGCTGCGTGAGGCGGTCAAAATGCACGGACCGCTCCTGCTCCACGGCTTCGCGCACCGCCGCGGAGGAAGTGGTGAGCTCGTGGATGCGTGCCTGCAGTTCCTTCTCGCGGACTGCAAATTCGTCCAGGCACTGGCCGCGGACTTCCGCCGGCAAGTCTTCAATTTTGCGGTCCCGCACTACCACCTCCTTTTGTAGCACCGCGTTTGCGGTTTCGAGGGCGAGAACCTTTTCTTCAGTTTCCTGCACTTTCGCTTCGACGCTAGCTCTTTCCGAGGTTTTGGCCGCGATGACATCTTCCAGTTTCGGAATTTTTGACCACGCGTCCTCCATTCGGTCCTTGAGCCGTTTGTTCTCGCTCTGCAGATCGTTTTGAATCTTGCCATGTTGGTCCAGCAGCTCCTGGACTTTGGATTGGTTCGCGGAGTCCGACTTGTCGTGCAGGCTGCGCTGCTCCAGAACCTATTTAATTTCATCTCTTAATCTTAATTTTTTCATACATTCTGTGGATTTCACACGACACTCGGAAACACCCTTACGGAGCAATCGATATGTAGATTTTGACATCCTGAAAAATGCAAACACTGCCTTCGCAAAACAAACACCCTCGCCCGCTCTGTTTCCAACAGCAATCGGATTTCCTCGGCTGCTCGCTTCTCGGCTTTCAGCTGGCTCTCCAAATCGTTTTTGAGACTCCACATTTCCGCCTCCAGCTCGTTTCTCAATTGGTCCAAAGCGATTTTTTCGCGCTGCGTTGCGATCTTCTTCTCTTTTTCGAGGAATTCCGCGCTCGCCGTTCTTTCGCGCTCCACCGCCTCCTCGTGGCGCGCCGCCGCCTCCGCCAGTTTCTCTTTGAACGTAGCCTCTCTGAGGGCTGTCCCGGCGGCGACCTTTTCACTCTCGGCTTTCGCTGCGAGCACCGCCTTCTCCTGCTCCTGCTTCAGGACGGTGTGGTGCTTTTCGTTCAACTCTCGTATTCTGTCCGTGAAATCGTTTTCAACCTCTTTCCTAGCGTTTGCGACTGAGTTGACCATCTCCTGCTCCTGTTTCTGCAGTTTCGCGTCGCAGTCCTCTTTTAAGCGCGACACGTGCTCGTCGAACTGCTGCTGTTTACCAAAGTGTTGCTCCGCCTGCTTCGCGAGCTGCAGCGAATTTTCGTTTTCCATCTTTTCGTACTTGTCCAACAAATCCTGCTCTTTCTTGCCCCATTCCGCCCGTTTCGCGTCCAGCAAGCTAGCGACCTTTTGGTCTGTCTCCTGCTTCAGCGACTCAATTTCGGCACCGTGCTGCGCCCGCAACCTCTGGACCTGTGCGTCCAGGGCTGATATTTTTTCTTCGCACTTTTCCAAGATTTCCGCCTTTTCGACGGCCCACGCATCCGCTTCTGCCTGCAGTCGGGCGTTGTGGTTTGTTGAGAGTTTTTCCAACTCCAATTCGTGGTCTTTCAGCTTCTCTTCCACATTATCCTCGAACATTTTTTTCACGTCCTGCACTTCCGCGCCGTGCTTCTTCCGTTCGACTTCCAACTCTTTCCGATACTCCTCGGTGAAGGCCGCGCGCTCCTCCTCGAACTGCTATTACAGTGAAAAGTGCCTCCCACCCCTAAATTGCAAAAATTTGTGATGCGAAGTTTACAAATGAAAACTTTTTGTCATGCATGAAAGGAGTATGAATCTTTCTGATGCAGAATGTAGGCGTGTATCGCATAGCTTGCATGGCAAGCGCCGCTCTTGCTGGGGCCTTTTGCAATACAAATTTTTGCTATTCACGATTGAAAACCTGTGATGCTGATAGATGCAAGAGGGCGAATGTTTCATTTGGAAAGGTTTGCGAATACAAATGCTCCCAAGTTCGGGGGTGGGGGCATTTTTCATTGTAATAACTGCGCACGAAGATTTTCGTCCAGTTGCTCGAGCGCGAGTCTATATCCTGTGCAAAAGTATCCTATCGTACTCGTATAATAAATGCATTACAAATTTTCTCAGCATGAGAAATAAAACCTTAAGAGCAAGATTTGTAATGCATGTTTGCGATTACTACGAGTACGATACTTTTGCACAGGATAGTCTACCGACGTCCTCCAACTCCTGCCGCACCTCCTTCTCCACTTTGCTTACTTCCTTCTCGTGTTCCTCCAGCACGTCGTTCAGCTGCGACTCGTACTGCGCCCGCTGGTCCGCGAGGTCCGCGACGCGCTGCTGCTCCAGGACGTTCTTGGCTTCCTGCACTTGTCGCACCTTCTCGGTGAGCTCCTGTTCGATTTTGTTTATTCTCTTCTCGGTTTCCTCGACGACCGCGCCGTTGGCGATGCTTAGTTCCTCCAGCACCGCCTTGTGTTCCTCCCGCAGGGTGTCAATCTCGGCGCGGTGGGCCTGGTCCAGCATCTGGGTGGTGCGCAGGTGCCCGGCCTTCAGTTGCGAGATGTCCGACGCCGTTCGCTCCTCCAGCGCGGTGAGCTCCTCTTCGTGCTGGTTCTGCAGCTTCTTCGTTTTCTCCGCATGCTGGTTTGACAATTCGGTGGTTTTGTCGAAAAGTTCCGTCTCGTGCTCCTTTCGCAGCTCCTTGACCCGCGCGTCCTGCTCCTCGTGCACCCGGTCCAGCGTGTTTGCGTACTCGTCGTGGAGGCGCCTGGTTGCGGTGTTGTGACTCGCCTCTAGTTCCTCGATCGCGGCCGCGTGGTCTCGCTTGACCGCCTCGAGATGCTTGGTGTGGAGCTGCTCTACTTCCTGCAGCCCGGCCTTGTGGGTTTGGACCAGGCTGGCCGCTTCGGCGTCAGCCTTCAGCTGCAGTTCCTGCAGTGCTAGAGCGTGGTCGCGCTCGAGCGACGTCAGCTTTTCCTCGTGCTCCGAGGCCATCGTGCTCGTGGTGGCGCGAAAACGCTCGTCCGCTGCGTCTTTCGCTGTTTCCGTCTCCTCCACGAGACGCGAAAATTTGGTTTCGTGGTGTTCTGTCAGAAATTCCTTCTCGTCCGCGTGGCGGTTGCGCATCGTGTCGAGGGTTACTTCGTGAGCGTCCTTTAGCTCCGCTAGTTCCACATCCTTCGCTGCGAGAGATTGCAGGAAATCCGCCTCCTTCGACTGCAGAAGTGCGCTATGGTCACTGTGCGTCGTTGTCACCCTCTCCGCGTGCTCGCCCTGCATCTTTTCCATCGTCATTGCATACTGCTTTTTCAGGTCATTGACTTCCGCGGCGTGCTGCAGCGCCAAATCCGCCTTCAAAGCCTGGATTTCGGCGGTGCAGTCCGCGCGCAACTTCCCGAGTTCGCCCACGTGGTTGGCTTTCAGCTGCTCCGCAAGGGCGAACCGTTCCGTCATCTCGGTGTCGAACTGTGCCCGCTGCTTTTCCATCTTCTCCACGTAATTTTGCTGCACCGCCTCGAGCGCGGCGGTGTGCTGGGTCGCTAGTTCTTTTACCTTTGTTTCCAACGCTGTCTGGCATTCCTGGTTTTTGTCCTGGACCGCTGCGACCTTTTTCCGCTCCGCGCTCTCCAGCTCCGCGTCTAGGATCAGCCGCAGCTCCTGCTCCTGCTGCAGCAGCCGCTTGGCTTGCTCCTTGCTGTTCAGCATTCGCAGCTTCTCCAGCTCCCGGGTTTTCTCTGCTGCGGCCTCTCGCTTAACGCGCTCGAGCTCCTCGGCGTTTTTGGCCTTCAGAAACTCGATCTCTTCGGAGCTAGCTTTTTGAAAAGCCTCTAGCTCCTCCTTGGAAGTTTGCTGTACTTTTTCCAGGTCAGCCGCAAAAGTTTGATTCAGCTTTTCCAACGCGTCGGTACCTGAGAATTTCGATCCGATGTAGTATGAATCTTCCGCGAGTAGACGAACAAAATTGCACAACGAACGAGCGTCTGTTGTGCAGTGACCAGCAAGAGCCCCAAGAAGAAGAACCCTTAAGTAAGTTAGTACCTCCACTGCAAAGGGTAAAACTAAACAGGAACAGCCGGAGACGGAAAGGACGCGCAAATACGTTTTTCTTCGTTCTTGTTGGTTTGGGTAATTTATTAGGAACAGCCGACCTTTCAAAATAAAAGTGCTACATACCAGACGCGCTGATCTGGTCCATACGCTGCAGTAATTCCTCTTTTTGTGTTTCGTACTTCTCCCGCTCGGACTCCCACTGCAGTTTTGATTTTTCCGCCTCGTCAACCACTGCTCGGTATTTCTCTTCGGCAATGCCTAGGTTGCGTCTGGTTTGCCTGTGCACATGCTGCTCCTCTTTGAAGCGCGCTTCGAAATCGTACAGCCCGCCCAGAGTCTCTCCTTGGGGGGACTTGACTTTTGTCCCGTCAGCATTCATTCCCTGCTGCTGCTCCTCGCGCATCCGTTCCAGTTCCCCTTTCAGGGACTGATTGAGTTCCTGCAGTTCCTTAAAGTCGCGCTGCCACTCCAGCGCGGTTGCCTTCCAATCGTGCTCGCTCTTCGTGACGGTCTCGAGCTGCCTCGTTAGTCCCCTAATCTCCGCCAGATTCACGCTGTCCGTGGTCGCAAACCGGGGGGACGACGCGGAAACATGTGCTGCGGCCGCTGCGGTGGTGGTCGAACTTTCTGCCGGCTGCAGGAGATCTTCTCGATCTTGCTCTGATAGCAAGCCGATCGGCGACCGCGTCGGATTGGAAGACTTCGTCAGTTGCATGCAGTCGTGGTCTACTCCGGGTTGTACTAGCGTGCTGCTTTTGGACGCCGTGGCGGAAAGGAGGTTCTGTTGATGTTGCCCACCGTGCCCTCCCGTCTGCCCGGCGTGCTGCTGCGCGACCACGAGGCGGCGGCGCAAGCCCTCGATTTTGCGCTCGTTGGACTCGTTTGCCAGTTTCACCTTGTCGTAGTCCACCTGCAGCTTCTCCCGCTCCTCCACCTCCTTTTTCCACCTGCGCTCGTGCTTCTTCTCCTGCGCTTTGAACTGCTCCATCACAACCTTCGCGTCGTGCTTCTCCCGCTTCAGTGTGTCGATTTCCTCGAGCAAATCTTCTATCTCGCCCTGGTACTTCTCCACCTTCGCCTCTTGTCGTTTCACGATCCGCGCCAGGTCCTGGGTAGACGCCCGGTTGTAGTTGACCACCGGCTTTGGTTGCACGTTCGACGCGTGCCCACTCGCAGTCGCGTGCCGAAGGTGGTGGGTTGGCGTTGTGGACAAGGCGTGCTGGTGCTGGGAAACGGAAGGGGTCGTGCCAGAACTAGTACTAGCGCCACGGCCCCCTCGCCTCGTGGTCCTGCTGGATCGCGTGTCGAGTGCAATAGCCGGGGCATTGATCGGCGTCTGCCCGTCCTCCAGCTCCTCCAAGGCCTCCGTCGCGGCGCGGAGCTGCGCCTCGATCTCCTTCACGTAGTCCCCAGATTCTAGCAGCGACTTCTTCCGCGCGAAGACCCGCCGCATGGCTTTTTCGTGACGCCAGGCCGTTGTTCCGGCGGTAGCGGTGTCGTTACTTGTTTCCAAGGCCAAGGGCACCGCCGCCAGACTTGTGACTTGCGTACTTGTACTACTTCTCACTCCGGCGGTATTCATCCTTGTTATGTTGTTCGTCTCTTTATTCCCGCCGAGCTGGGGAGACTGGGATGCACGACTTTCGCCGTCGCGGTCCTGCGTGGACGGAGACGCCATGATTATTTCCCCCGACGTGTTATGTGGTTCATCTCGATTGCCTTCATCCCCTTCCTCTACCTGCGCCGAGTCGTCCCGCGCGGAGGAAAACCTCTGGGACGACAGATCATGCTCGGTCGACGCCCGACCCCTGGTGCTAGTGGACGTCGTCGGTGCCGTGGTACTTGTTGTCTGCCGGGGCCGCAGGGAGCGATTTTTTCTCTGGTGGTGTTCCTCCTGAAATTGTCCCGAAGGCGACCTGCTGCTGCTCGCGGCACCTGCAGTTCTTGGCGGCCCCACGGCAGAAGAGGAGCCCGTTACGGAGCCCGCCAAATCTGAAGTAGAAGCCCGCCGTGGCGCGGAAAACATTTTCGCGGACAGTGGATTGCAGCTAGTGGTCCTTCTTATTTGTCATTTCAGAGCCGGAATGGGTATACAAAACCAGGTGTTCCGGAGCTTTTGCTCTGTTTATTCTCTACGGGCCGGGGCAAAGAGCCCGAGGTCTCGACGTCCCCGCCTATCCCTATTGTATTTAGAATGCAGCAAATAAACAAAATTATATTGGAGCAGCATGGGTGCAAAAAGACAACCCGCATAACGCAGGCACACACGGATCACCAGGGTTGTGGCTTTCCAAAACGAGCTACGATCCTGTTGCTCTTGTAGCTTCCTTCCACACTAAGTAACAACATCCCATTGGAATTGGATCGAAAACTAACACCATGAACAAAATATCATGGAGGAAGACCGTGTGAAACAAAAACTGATCCCCTTTGCTGACGGAGCCACCACAATGAAGAACTTTCACCCCCTCAGGTCACGATCAAAACACGAAAATCACATAAAAAAATTTTATTTTTTCTTCCCCTCTCTCCGGTAGCACTGGCACTATTTGAGCCGTCTTCTCGCTCTCTCCGAGAGATCATGGCATCCCGTGAAAGTGTAAATGCGACAACAAGCGAAACGAATTTCTGATACTAGGTACATAAAGATAAAGAGGAGTCAAAAGAAACGACAATGAAACACGAATGGAGAATACTAGTGAGTACACTCGCGAACTTCCCGCACTGTCGTCAGAACAAAAATACCACTCAACAGGTCACAGTCCCTTTTGTAGTCTGCAGCTGTAGTTCACTTGGTAAAAGTTTTAACAAAATGACGATCAAATTTGCTTCCGTGGGCGGGGGGAGCAAAGATAGTACAGCAAAGGAAAAGGCTCTACAACCTTAAGAGCCATCATTTCGTCATTTTTGAATTTGAAAAATATCCACGTTGGTCGTCGTAGTCGTTGTTTGTGAAACTTATCTACCTTTCTGTGCCGAATTTTTTTTGGTCTTTAGCAGCCTGATTCGACGGCTTCGACGCCAACATCGCAGCATCGAGTTGCTCCCACTAAAAATGTGCAAATCAAAGCTAAGGTACTACGGACAACACCTGCTTCGAAAGATCCTCTATCTCATCTTCCGCTGTCGTTTGGATCTTCGTAATTTCGCCTTACATTCTAAATGAACTTGTCTCCCAGTGGAGGTACACCCACTCTAGCCCCCAGCGAAGAATTTCTTGTTCTGACGACGACAGGGACAGGCGTTCGCGTTCAGTTCGTCTTGAACTTCTTGAAATACTGCTACATCCTATAATATCGACGTTTTTGTGTATACTGTTTTACTCTTGTCGTTACACACCAGAAGTGTAAAGTGTAGCGCATAGAAGCTCTCGTAGACATTTTCATTTGATCATGTGGTGTCTGGTACTTATTTTGTGTGGTCAGCACGATTCATAGCTCCACCCGCAGCTCGTCTAGTAGCCACCTTTTCCCCTGCCCTTCGCAAGGTTCCTGATCTCCTCCTTCGTCATCCGGTACACCTGCAGTCGCTGGTCGTGCCCCGCAATGCGCTTGTTGTTCAACTTTGCCACCAAAGCGTCCGCGTCGCGCTCATCAACGAACTCCAGCTGCCCGACCCGAATATCAGCCCAGTCACCCTGAAGATCATTTTGATTTTACAAGTTTCTTCTCCGTCTATACTGTTTCAGCCGATCCTTGACGTAACTATATCACGCATCAGTACAATGAATAATGTGGCCTGTAGAGGACACAAGTACCAAAAAAGCGAGCAAAAAAAGTACCTTCCCCTCCTTGGCCGAATCGAAGATCTTGGAGAACGTGCAGCCACTCTCTTTGTACGTGCAGTACTGATTGCCAAGAATCCGCAGTTCAGACCACTCCATATCAGTGGGCAGATTTTCCAGAATCACATTGTAGTCGCCCTGCTTCGTGTCCCGCGAGCCACGGTGCGCGGCCCCACCCCGGGAACGGGAACGGGAGGTGGACTTCGGCCGGCGGTCCCGGGAACGGGAACGGGATCGACTGCGGTCGCGTCTGAAAGTTTTTATCATGGTAATCCGAACAGAATTGTTTTGATTTGGTAATGGTATAGCTATAGGTATGCATCGGTAGACAAAAACAAACATATTAACCCAGGCAATTCCAATTGCATGCAGTACTCTTAGTAGGTAAGCTGCGCCGTAACATATCAAGCGTGGTCTTTATGTACTTAAGTATACAACATGCTGTACGAAAAAAGTATGTTATCATACCGGCCACGCGAACGCCCTCGGGAACGGTCGCGGGAACGGGATCTCGAACGATTGGCCCGTCCGCCACGCCGGTCGTTGCTCCTGCTGTTTTGAAGAACATTGTTTACATTTCAACAAATACGTGTGGGTGTGCTTTCTCTTTCAACTTATAATATATTTATATTTTCCAGCATAACTACATGACATGTATCAGGAGCCAAGTCGGTAAGTGCTACGCATTTCCTTCCGTGCAAACAATTTCGCAAAAAAAACAATCAACACGTGCTTCAAGTAGGCCCTTTCAAAACCAGACCCAACACCTCTACTACGAATGACAATTGCTTTATTGGAAAAAAAAACGTGCGTAGCAAGTGTAAGTACTCATCTCGGCGTCCCCGTCCAGCACGGGGACGAGAATCGTTTTTTCGACCGCGATCGCGCGACCGCGAGCTGTCGCGGGGCGGTGGCTTCTTCGCCGGCTCACGGTCGCGCGAGTCGGCGCGGTCACGGTCCGCGGGCGGGGGCGCAGTCCGCCGCTGGGAGGGCACTTCCCCGGCTTCCGTGGTCACAGCACCGCCGTGCTGGTTGTGGACCGTATCCAGGGCGCCGTAGTGACGCCCGCACCGCGGATCGATCGGGTTGTTGGGGTCCACGTGGACGGTGGCGCCCTTCCGGTCCACCTTGCTCTCATCGCCGGTACAGCCGCACACCTTGATCGGGTTGCCGAAGCAGCGGTTCTGGTCCATCCTCCGGATCGCGGTCTTCGCTTCGTCCTGGGAGGAAAACTGGATGAACCCAAACGGCGGCCCCTTGCCCTTCCCCCCGCGCTTGATCATCGTGGACAGAACCTTGCCACAGCGGTTGAATTCGTGCGCAAGCATCATGTCCGTGATCCCCATGGGCAGCCCACCCACCCAGATGCGGCTCAACGGATCGTACACGGCAATCGCGGCCTCCGCGTTCTTCCCCTGCTCGAGAAACTTACCGCCCAACTTGCCCTTCCCGAACCCCGGGGGTGCGCGAAAGGTCGTCATGATGATGTTCTTGCGGAGGTGAGGAGATAAACTTGTCGCAGAATCGATTAGTGGTCCGAGAAAAGAACCGAATAGGAAAAGTTCAAGTGCGCCGGCGCCAGTCTAGGTGTAAAAATACGCACCACGACGACACCTTCGATAAAAGAACTTCTATCCAGTGCACTCACGCCACTGCAAGTTTGGATTTGGAAAAGAAAAAATTATCCCGTATTTTGGAGCAGAAGTAAGAAGTTTTCTCAGCCTGGCGACGGAAAACGATGCTCAAGGGAATATGCAGCGGCATCCCATGGCTGTTCGATCTTCCTGGTTCTGCAAAAAGATCACTTCTTTCGCTGCCGCTGCGAAAAAAGATTTGCTGAAAATCGAAAATCCGCAAACGGATGCTATGATCTTGTTCGGTTCTTAGATTTAAAACGTTTGTCCAACAAGAAAACTACCTGAACTTGGAAATATTAGTATTACTTCTACTTCCACTCATATAAATTATCCACAGATCGGTTTGTCTCAGACCTCCAAAGAAACTGGAAACGCACGTGATCTTTGAATTTCCGTCAACACTTCGAGTAGAAGTTCGAAGCACGTTCACCAAATTCCTCATAATTTCTATTTCACCTTCGTTCCTACGAAAGATCTACCTTTTATTTTTTTGGAAAAAAAATATAAACTACGAACGATCTCAAGCTCAACTGCTCTTTGTGAAAGACAACAATACAATTTTTTCTCTGCAATTGGGTCAAAATTGAACAGATGCCACACCTGAGTAGCAAAAAACTCCGCCCAGTTGGACGCGAAACATCGGATCGCGAAACATCGGATGGCAATTCTGGTTTGCAGCTGAAAAAACGATGCAGTAATTTTTGAGATTTGCGTTGTGTAAGAAAATGATTCATCTCGTCATGATTTTTCTGTGATACAAAAAGTTAGTTGCGTGTTTATCAATTCACTCAAGGAGTAGAATCGAAAGGTCTGAATGAAGTTATTTATGAGAAAGTATTCGTGAGCGATAGCGTGACGTTGTTAAGTAATCGACTCAGCGCACGACTGCGACTCTTCTTCTGGAAAACTTAAAATGGTGGGCTTACCACGCGACTTGTTGGAAAGTGAAAGCAAATAGACAGGTGGCGAGGATTTTTTGTGAGTTGTTGTGTGTGTTTTTTGCCTAGCCACGACGGTCTGCTCTAAATTCTTTCACAGTCATTAATCTACTCTCTGGTCTTACCTGCTCTTGTTTCTTTACCAGCTTAAGCTTGTTTCATCTTGCCGACGTATTTAAAGTTGTATGGTTCTAAACAATCTTTTGCGCACGAGTGTTGCTGTTTTTTTCGACTGATAATATTCGATTCTCGTAGAGTCTGATCTGGTCCTGATTTCTGTCAAGATTCCTCGTATTTGATTGAAAATTTGAAGCACTCTAGCTTGGGACGTACCTCAGTATACTGAAGCGTTGCTGAGCCTGGGATGGTTTAAGTACAAGTAGCTTGCTCGTCTGGAAAACTAAGTGAAGTGTCTTTTTCTACTGCAAAGACGACCTGCACGAGGTGTCATCTACTGGGGTAGTACTACGTCTGAACTTTGAACATCTACGACAACGGTACTGTTGTAACTGTATTCTCTAGAGTTGGCGATTCATGCTACTTACATAGTCTGCAATAGAGTTCTACTGCGTAGTATAGCAAGTATGTCCGTCGCTAAAGGGCGACTGTATTCCCGAGAAACCGAGATCTGTCCGAATCCAATCTCCGAGCTTTCTAACATGCTGCATCTACTTTTTCCTAATCACCAGAAGAGTTTTGGGAGTGTGGGTCATGGTTTCGGGCCGAGGTATTCTTGCAGCGGTGGATACGGACAGGAACAATTACAAAAAGCATACACTGAATAGATACAGTTTTGCGGAAAAAAATCAAAATCTAGAACGATTCCCTGGTGGAAAATATCAATGGGATCAAAATTGCTGTATCCTCAAACTACCAGGAGCTCCCGATCGCCGGATGTGGAGTTGAGAGCATTCTCGTCCTCGATGTCGCATTTTGTCGTCATATGAAAGAGTTGTAGAAATCTATCGCTATATTTGTGTATCGGGACGAGCACACCGAGGACGATGCGGTAGCTAGCAGAAGCTGAAGTGCGGAGGCACGAAACAAAAGTCATGGTGGGCGTCACAAAGATGCAATCAGGGGTTCGCGTTCGCCTAGTCGAGCGTCCGGTGGATCATTCTTCTATCAATCGGCGGCGTTCTGTGATGAAAGAATGGTAGTTGATGTAGTCAAAGTGGAATAAAAGCACATGCGATTCTAACAGCAACAGTTGCAACAGTGCTATAATTCCCTTCTTGTGTACAAGGTCATTTCGGTTACCTTCAATGCTCGATACACCGGTTGACCCGTAAAAGATGCAGTCTCGCGCTTCTCCGGCCAGCCAAAGCTAAACCTGTGAGTTAATTTGCCTTTGGATACAGCTGTTCAAGCTAGATGCTTTCGTGAGTGCTCAGCAGCCCGTCACCGTCCAGACCGACGTTGACTGAAGAAAATGATGAAAAACGCGCAAATATTGTCGCGGAGTTACACTCATCTTCAGTAGTTTTATTCATTCAGACTTGCCAATACATATACAACTCTCTGTCTTGCTCATGAATAACGAACATCCAACAAGTTCACATAAGGAAGCACTTACCTTGCGTAAGCCAACTCTGCGGAACAAGATCCGCAAAGAAGCAGAACCTGGACCGTAAAGAGCTTCTGGTGGTATCTGAACAAGTACAGTGACAAAGACAAACCGTTCAGGTTTCCGTTCTATTCAGCGAGTGCCCCGTTGCCAAGCCCATCGCCCTCGGCCGCACCCGGGTCCCCCATAGTTATACTAGCACCCTCGTTTAGTGGTCTCGGTTCTGCTTGAAGTGCCGGCTGCAGAGGAGCTTGAACCGCTGAAACTTCCTGAAGAACCTGCTCTACATGCAAGGATGCTCCTTGAGCGACATCACCGCCATTGCTACCAGAATGCTCCTTCACGTCCGCCTCCGCACCTGGTCGCTCATCTACAAACCCCGGCGCGGACCCCTCATATTGCGCCCTCTCTTCTGGAAGTAATTCTCGCACAGGGCGAGCTGAACTCGCGCTAGAAACAGGCACGCTCCCGGCGCTCGTTTGCTGCTCGTGCACGACCGGACTGGCCCCGCTACTCGAGGAGGTTGACGACGAGGAGGAGGACCCGGCGGCTCGCGGTCGGGCGCCCCCTCCGAAAGGCATCGTCCCGCCGGGCATCGGAGTTGCGGGTGGCTTGGGTCGCGACTGGCCGGAATTATCCGGCAACCTCGGCGGCCGGGGCCGCAAGGACTTTTGTTGGTACGACGATGTCCTCGTCCGCGCCGCGTCGCTGGCCCAGAAGTCGTCTCGGTTCAGCTCTCCCGGCGTTGGCAAATGTCCTACCGACCCGAAAGCCTGCTCTTCCTCTACCTCCTGCTGGTCGGATCCCGTGGAGGTCTGTCGTTCCATGGTCGATAGCAAGCTGTCGCCACACTGCCCCATCTCGTCCGTGACCTCCGGAAGATCTGGTCGCGCCAACCGCGACGAGTTGCCGCCCGGAACCGGCATGTCGGCCGAGGCGGCGGCTGCGAACAGCATGCTCGGATCCAGCGGTTTGGCGTCGATCTCATGTGGCGAAAGTGTCCGACGAAAGCAGTCCAGCGCCTCGTTGCTGACCGCATTTTGAAGTGTCGTCTGTCCTGCGCTGGAAGTACTCGACGCATTCGCTCTGCCCTCTTCTGGGACTGACATGTGGCTCCTGACTTGCCGGGCTACTAGTGGATCTTGCCCAGTGGGTGTCTGCGGGAACTGTAGCTGTTCTTGCTCTTGCGCTTGTACAAAAACGTCCGCCTGCGCTCCCACTGAGAGCGTATCCTCTTGACCGTGTGCCGGATGGCTACCACCGTCGCTGCTCGAATCGGCCGATGGTGTTCTCTCCCGCTCAACATCCGTCGCGCTAGGATCCTGCTGGTACTCCCGACCATCGCTGCTCACATGATCACCAACAAGCCCCGTCAGCCCTGTCCCCTGCGGTTCGCGATGACCACTTTCATCCAGCACTGCGGTTCCACTGCTCAACGTCTCGGCGGTGGAGCTGCTAGACGGCGAAGTAGAGCTCGAGGTGATGTCACGCTGTGGTGGATCCTCTGCGACAACTTCGTCTCTACCAACCTCAGCCGCAACTCCAGGTTGGGCGCCGCCACGTGCAAGTATCGCCGGGGGAGGGTGATTGGTGCCATGATCGTAGGGGAGCGGTGGGCGCGCCCCACGCGGGGTGTCGAGGGCTCGAATGAATTGCGGGTCTGTCTGCTGTCCGCGCTGCGCCGGAGGTGAAGAAGGAGGAGAAAAGCTTTGTGCAGCCGTCGGACCAGCCTCGTCCACGTCGGCCATCATTCCGTCGTCTTCTACGTCCATACTACCTCCTCCAGAAGTGCCGGTGTATAACACATCGTCCTCGTCCGCTTCTTCCGGGACGGAGGGCATCGGAGGGCTAATTTGCCTCGAAATCGCTGTCGGCCCCCCGTGCTGCTGATGTGCTGCGGTCGCTCCCCCCGAAGTTCGTGCCAAGCCTGAATTTGCTGCACTTACTCCAGTGCTCGGGCCACCACCAGAAGACGATGCGCTGGTCGAGCGCGGTTGCGATTGGTCTGCTGGAAATGCGGCCTGCTGCAGCGGCTGCCCTGCAGGAGCGCTTCCACCGCCAACAGCAACGACGCCACTGCGGCCAGAGGCAGACGCTGATCCACCTCCTCCCGCGGCAACTGCGACGCCCCGTGGCAGCTGTGTGGTTGTGGCCGGAGAGGTTCCAGAAATGGTGTAGGCGGCCATCGCGGCAGCGGCAGTTGGACGCGGTTCCGAGGAGGGTCCTGCGTCCGTAGCAGTTGTTGTACTAGACGCAGCGCCAGGTTTGTTCGTCGCTGCCGTTGTTCCGGTCCTTCGGTTGGCGATGTTCGCAAGGGCCGGCGAACTGTTCGGCCTTGTTGTTGCGAGTTGGGCACCGACACCAGCACTGCCCTGCGACGCCACACTAGAAGCACTGGAGCTACCAGAAGTTGTACCTGCCTGAAGTGTCCTACGCACCTTGTGTTCCGCCACGGGAATGAACTCGTCGGCCGGGCTAGGCTCCGTTTTGTCGTCTTCCTCTGCCTGCTCCGGGGTTGGCGGCGGGGCCTTCAGGTTGACCCCCATTGGATTGCCGTGCGCCTGCGCAACTGACTGGCCGCTGGCGCCTGGGGCCGCAACGACCCCCGCATCGGGTAGCTGGTGTGAAGTGACCAGTCCATGATCCACTGCGACGCCGGACCGCCCCCGATGGTGCACGTGGCGCTCTCGGGCGGAGGGACTGTTCGGCGGCGCGCGGTGGTTCACGACTCCGCCTCCGGTTTGTTCCGAACTGCTCCCGGCGCTTCCACGTCGCGACCCGCGCGGCGCGGCTCGATTGCCCGTACTTGCGCTTCCGCCCGTAGAACCGGTTTGCGCGTTCGCACTAACCGGCACCAGCAGAGGGGTTGCGGGGTGTTGCTGCGTTTTGTACGGGACTTGCCGGGGAACGATGCGCTGTTCTGCAAGGGGGATCGAATCCAGCTCACCTTGCTCACTGGATGTGGGAGACGAACCTGCACCGCCCGCGGCCGCTCGACTACTGCGCGCGCCGGCGCGCGGGGTCGCACTTGCCTTCTTGGTGGTCGTCTTACTGCGCGACGTCGCAGATGTGGGGCTCGTTGTCGATGCGCTTCCTCCCGAACGTATCGCTGCGGATGAAGCTGCGCCCGAGGACGCTCCATCTTGCACAGAAGGACCGCTGCTACCTTCGAGCAGGTCTACAACTCTGCTCGCCACGTCCGAGAGCACTGGTTCTGGTGCGTCCAGCGCCGCCTCACCGCTCGTTGAAGGCATAGAACTACCGCCGGAAGGTCTATAATTTCCTTTGCTGCTGCGGGAAGAGGCGGAAGATCGCGGACTGCGGCTGGGACTCAAGAGCGACCGGCTTGCTGCGGCCGCTGCGCCGGGTGATTTCGCTCCGACCGCGACGCTTATCGGAGATGGGGGCAGCAGCGGGAGCTGCTCGCTACCGCCTGGGGGCCGCGTGGTCTTCCGTTCCGGCTCCAATTCGGGAGAACTGGAGGACAGACTGCCCAACGACGACAACATACGCTCTTTGCTGCTCTGATCCGAACCGGTACCACTGCCAACATCCTCGTCGCCGGACGACGGACGGCGGGGAGCCTGTGACGTAGGCTCCTCCTCCGCTGACGAACTACTTGGCTGATCGTGCGGTGGAGCTTGCTGCAATTGTTCTTGCCAGAACGAACCCGTTGCCGCAGAAGGCGGCGTCGAGGTTGTTGCACTACTAGCTGCAACCAGTGTTGTTCCCCCCGGTTGTTCTTGCCGGTCTTGTTCAACTTCCGCGTCCTCGTCCAAATGTAGTAGATCCACCTCCCGCTGCTGCGGCTCGGCGGATGGAGACTCGAAGAGCGTAGGCAAAACGTGGTGTTGTTGATGGTGTGCTGGTGGAAAATATTGATGCTGTTGTTGGTGCAGCGGCTGCTGGTAGTGCCAGTGCTGTGGCGGATGTGGATTTCGGAGTTCGTGCGGCTGCTCTCCGCGACCCGCTGGGTCGCTATAGTTGCCGAAGACCGGCGGTCCGGCGCCTCCGCGGCGCACAATCACCTGCTCAGCGACGGGCACATCGTCCTCCTCCTCCAGGAAGGCGAAGTCGTGGCGCTGCTGCACCGGCGAGGCGGCTCCGGCCCTTCTTGCCGGCACCACCTCCACCGTCGCTACCGGAATGGCGTCAACCTGCTGCTGCATGCCGGCGAAGAGCGACTCATCCAGACCACTCGCTCCACGTGTTTCTGGTGCTCCACCCGAGGAGGGGGTCGTGCTCGACGACGCGAAACCGTGATGGCGCGAGACCACCAGCACGTCCGCATCGGGAACACGTTGCACTTGCGGCGGCGTCCGCGTTCCCTGCTCAGGAGAAGGGGCCGACGCGGCTCGCTGCAGTGGCTGAAGCGCAGGGGGTACACCAGCTGACGGGAGCAACAACGAGGACACGTCAGGTAGCGCCTGGGCCGTGTCGAGTTGATGTAGGGAGCTGGTGCTCGACGACTGCGTGGAGAGGTGCGGGCTCCCAGGTCGAGACGGCGGCGGCAGGGACGCGGAGTGCGGCAACAGAGGGCTACTGGCACCACTGCGACTGCCCCCCGCGGCCGCGCTGGTCCCAAAGTAGAACTGCGGCGGCTGCTGCTCCAGTGTTGACACGCTTGCCGCGGCTGGTGCGCCCGGTGTGCTCATTCCTCGGGCAGAGGAAGACGACGTGGACGAACTAGGTTGCGTTTGGTGGTGATGTGCTGGCGGCTGTACTGGGTCTACTCGAGACGCTGCTGGAACCGCGGTGCTCGGAAGAGGTTGCAATTGCATCTGCGGGTCCACCAACGACCCTGACATGACGGGTCCTCCGACACCGGAAACGCCTCCGGAAACCAATAAAGGAGCGAGCTGCTGAGGCTGGTGGTGATGCTGTTGCTGCATTGCACCGGGCTGCGGACCACCGGACGTCGGCTGTTGTTGAAAAACAGGAGCTAGTGCTTCGGCAATTGACTCGGCGATTGACGAGGAGCCGCCAGACAGTTGGCGCATAGGAGGTGATGCAACGGAGGAAAGCGGATCGAAAGGATCGGATCCCTGTTGGAAAACTGAATCGGCAGGTAGAGAGCCGCTGCTGTAGGAGCGCTCCCCCATGCCAGTAGGCACGAGAGGCGTTTGCTGACCTGGTGTAGCAGCACCAGTGGTCCCAAATTGCGAGAGCTGTTCACGCTGGGCTGTGGTCAACAGGGAAACGCCGCCTGGCCCACCAGCAGCGCTCGCAGCTCCAGCGGAGAGCCCCAGAGGACTACCCGCCGAAGCTGCGGGAGCCGGTCTCGTCGCAGCAAAGTCGGCAGGCACTGATGGCTGGTGCAAGTGAGACGCGTTGTTGAGACTCCCGTGGTGCAGAGAGTGCTGGTCGAAAAGGTTGTCCACTTGGCTTTGGCCCTGGGAAGCCAGGGATGACGACGAGGACGAACTCGGCAGGTTGTTGTAGTTCCGTTGCTCGGGTTGAAACGGTAGATCAGCTGTTTTATTATGCGAACGTATGTACATGAATAATTCATCATCTTGACTTCTTGTTAACTTTCTGTTTCGCCAAGATAGAGTCAAGCGATCTGAAGTAGTACTAGCGAAGCGTAGAATATTCACACCAAAAAATCGCAAAAATTCTCGGCCGTTCCAAAAACCTCAGGAAGTTCTCTCTTGTGAAAAAGTATTCTACTTAGAGGCACCTTCGGAATTATTTGCGTGGTGTCCCGCCAAGACCGGGATGTGACTCATCTGTCCAGCTTGTACAAGGCCTTGCTCTGCTCGATTTCCCGCCTCCTCTGCGCCACGATCTTGATCCGACGAAGACCTGCCGCCGCTACTCGAAGCTGCGCTGGACGCGGCGCGCACGGAATGCTCTGCTCCTCGCCCCACAGCGCCCACGCGCCCCGTCCAACCCCCCGATCTGCGTCGCTCCGCCTCATCAAGGTCGAAAACAAGTATCGCCCGGCGCGTTTCCGACAGAGAGTCCAGCTGCGCCGAGTCATGCAGCAAATGAGGTGGCGCTGCCGGGTTCAGCCGCCACACCTGCCACAAGTCCTGTTCAGTCCCTGTAATGCGCGCAATCTCCCGACGGAGGTCCAATACCTGAAGTGGATGCTTTGCCAATAATGTAATTCGTACAGGCACAAGAAAGACCGTCCCTTTTCTAGTACAGCATAGCACGATGTGAGTATGCGTTTGTCGTTGTTCAACACGAGCGCGACGGAATAGACCGATAACGATTTAATCCAGATTCGCATGAAGATCTGTGTAGTGTTCTTTCACGAACAATGTTTTCGTCGGTCTCGGTGTCTTTTATTTCTACAGGCAGAGTTCGAATCCGATCGCATGTCATTGTACCGTGTTTCCCTGCCCGATGTTCAGACGGCGCTCAGTAATCCCCGCCGCAGCTCCCATTTCCTGCTGGCGTAGCCGAACTCGTACGTCTTTGATGCTGCTGCCGGGCGAGACACCTGTATATGGAAGTACTTATCAACATCTTTACGCTTTTGAAGCAGGTAGGCAATTGCGCTAATGCGTTGCACAACTCAAATCATTCTTGTGCGTCTGTTTTTGCATGGATGTGTGGAAGCTGCATCACTACATTTTGAGTACTTACATACAAAATCATCAGAGATAGCAATGTCTTGTTCGTCTTACCCCAATGCGTCAGCACTTGCATGACCTCGCGAAACTGCTGCGTAATTCTTGAACAGCCGCCCGAACGGTAACCGCGGACAAGCCCTAAAAAACCGGGCGCGATCGCTGTTACCCATACCCAAATCGTTCCGAACAGCAACATTGGAGTAGGTGTCAAAGGACCTGAAAGTGTAAATTCAAACATCAACGGACGAATCCAAACTAAGGACCCTTTAAACAGCGGCGATACTGTTCTCGTCCAAAACAGCAAGTTCAGAGGACACAAAAACCACAGTGGTCTACATAAACCGTCCATATTCAACCACTCCACGAGTTGCACGTGCGCTCAGTCACAGTCTGAGACTGAGTGGAGCCGTGCATGACAAACATACACTTTTTCTTCCAGGCTCTGCAGCACATAAAGAAAAGCAGGTCGTGAAAAGAAGTTTTTTGTACCGCACTGATCATACTCCACTAGCAGCAGTCGTGGATCGTTCGGAAAGTTGCAGTTCACTGCGGGTTTTTTGTCTTCGGTCGCAGCCCGGGGCGAGTGATCATGACTCCCCAAGCGGGCCACTTTTGCGTCAAGGTTCTCCCCTTCATCAGTCAGCCCCAAGCGCTCCACACCCTTCCGCAGCTCCTCCAACTCCTGCTCGCGGTCTGTGTACAGTTTGTCGAACAGGTCGGTGGCACTCCCGGCCGGTACGCCCCACGCATCGCTGCTCGTTCCTCCGTCGAAGAGCGGGGGGCGGTCGCGAGGATGGGTATCTTCGGGTGGTGCCTCCTGTTGCGCGCCGTCGTTACGGTAACGTGGTGGCGGGCGTCCGGGCTGCTGCGGTGCCGCGGGGGGGACCAGTGTCTCGATCCCGTGCACATCGGGCATGCGGAGCTCCTGCGTGCCGCCGATTCCGAACCCCCCGGCCAGCGGGCTTCGGGTTAGCTGCACCGACGCCAACTTCACCAAAGCTGCGGTCCATGCCATTCCATGGGTGCGGACCGCACTCGACCGGGCCGGCTCACGGCCGTATTCGTCCTCCTGCAATTGTTCCGAACCATCATCCGGAACGGCCGCCGCTAAACCCGCCAGGCCACCTTCTTCTGCTACCTCAAGGTCGCCCCGCATCCCCGGTTGCGCGCCGTCGGGGCTGTCACCGCGGCCACTCGCCATGAGCTGCGACAGACCAGCTGCCTGAAAGCTCGCAACGAGGCGGTTCCATGCCTGGTTGAATTGCAGTCCCGTGGTGCGATCCGCGTTCTGCAGCGTGTTGATCAGGGTATTGTCTTCTAGTAGTGGTTCGTCAATGCTAGTACTACTTCCGCCAGGTGCCGCGCTGTTTTCCGCGCCGTCGAGAGGCATGGAGGGTCCCTTCTGGTGCGGCTGCTCCGCGACGACATCCTTTTTTGAACCCACCATTATCTCGTCCATGCTTTTCCCGCCAAGATCCTTGTCCAAACGGTTCATCTGGTTCTCCCAACCTTGGATTCCGCTTTGCTCCAGCAGGCCCTGCAAAGTCTCTCGCCAGGTGTTCCTCGTAGCAGTAGGTCGAAGTTGCTGATCGCGGCGGCCGCCTTCTCCCTGCCGACGCAGGCGCAGTTGCTGGCCCTGCTCTTCTGCACTGCTCGCCGCCGCAGCCGACGCTTCGCTAGCATGCGACGTCATTCCCGGGACGGAGCTGCTAGCGGAAAAGGGAGCGCGGCAGAAGACTGCGCCGCCATATGAAGATGCCTCCGGTCCGTCCGGAGGGCAGTAGACAGCTTGCCGCTGGTTGCCTTCTTGGTCGTCCCCCGCCGTGCGCGCCATCGACGGCAGCGCGCCTACTTCTGGTTCCGTCCGACCACCGGAGCTGCCAAAAGCGTGGTACGCGGCTGCTTGCACACAGATCGCGATGATTAGTGCCTGAACGCAGCGCACGGTGAAGGCTCGTCGCCAACCGAGGTCGAACTCCGGGGCTAGCACGACCTCCCCGACGGGCAGAATGGAACGTTGCGGGTCATGCGGGTCGATCAAAGTCTGGTTCAGCAAACTAGCCGGCTCTCGCTCCCGAAAAAATTGGTCCAAACGGCCCCACCCGGACTCGCGGCCAGCTTCTGCGCTCGCTCCTGCTCGGGACGCAACTGCCCCACGACTTGGGGTTTCGGAGCCGGCCGCGCCAGCTGCAGCGGAGGCCGACGCGCCCACCGTCCTCGAGCCAGAACCTTCAATTTCGATGCCTGCAGACGACGATGCGGATGCCGCTGCGGCTGCACTCGCTTGATGATGATTGCGAATGCGCGCCGCGAGCCCGTTTGTGTGTACCCCCCGAGGGGAAGGTGTCGTTGTGTCTGAAAAGACGGTGGAGGATGCAGTGGCCCCCTTCCCATGGTGCGGAGCTCCGTGCCCGTTCGTCTTCATGCGTTGCCGGAGAAACGCGTTGACGGCACGCTGTGCTGTAAAGGACAAACCCGCCCTTCCCTGCGGCGTGCGTGGTGACTCATCGTCATCTATCTGATCGTACAGACTTCGCAGCTCGCCGCTTTCTCCGCGCCCTTCGTGCTGGTGCTGCGCGCCCCGTCTTTGATGGTTACTTTCTCCTTTTCCTGGTCCTTGCCCGGACCCCGACGACGATGACCCACCTTGCTTCATGCTGCCACCTGAAAAGGAGAACGGAGGGACAACAAATGCCGATGCCGTAGTGTTAGGCTATGAAATAAAATCCCAGATCAAAACCGAACGACCTCTTCCTGTGTCTGTTGGTTATCGGGCTACATCTGAGAGCAACTTGTTTTTGTCACCTTCCTGTACAAATCTTCCGTTATGCGCTGGCTTCCATATACCAGGCTCAGTTGCGAATATTGTGGGTGATAGGGTACGATATTAGGGCATCAAGATATGATGATTTAAATCTGTTCGACTCTAAGCCTTAGATTGTCCCTTATCGACTCCTATTCTTCTACGTCCCTGGAGTCTCATTATAGCTTGAATAGGTAGTTGTTGGTTTTGGAAAGACGCGGCGGAAGAAGTGCAAGATATATTTGTATTCAGTACCAGAGATATATTTGTATTCAGTACCAGGCCCAGCTCTCACGACATCGGCCTTCGGAGACCCCGTTACCACTGCGCGCGCTCCGGCAGTTGCACACAGGAGCAGCGTCGAGCCCCAAGTGAACACGTTGCGGCGATAGCGAGCCTTCTGCTTTCGCTTATTCATGCTGCTTTTCATCAATCCACGTGCCAGGGCCAGCGCTCCCGTACCCGTCGCCGTCGGGGGAGGTCGGCTGCATGAACTGCTACTTGCTCTCACAGCCGGAGGTGCCAGAAAGCGTGGCCCGGCGGACCGCAGTATCGAAGGCATCACTTCCCGCTCGTTCCCCCCTCCCGTCATGATGCTTCTCCTCCGTCTTTTCCTTTCTGCTTCTGCAACATATCCTCTCGCACCAGAGCCCCCATTGTGTTCCCCCACCCGGCTGCTTTCGGCACCACTTCCCGTTGTACTTGTAGTTCTGCCAAGTATAGTTTTTCGCAGCGACATGTTCTTCTCATGCTCGCGTTGCTCCTGATGATGTTGTTCCTTGTCAGCACACCTATTAGCTCCTCCAGGAGCTGTATTTTGAGGATTACTATCTTCTTCTTGTAGTACTCTACAAGGACTACTAGTTCGGCCGCGTGCTTCGTTATAGCAATCGCCGTGCTTGAGCTTGACGTTGACCTTGACACATAGTCTTAGTGACTCTCCGCCGCATGACTTCCCGTGCGCCTCTGATATGATCGTCGTGTTCTCCAGTTCGGGCCTCGTCTGACTTGTGGCCGTCGTGGCTTCCGCCCCTGCAGCTTGTTGTCGGTCTAGCCGAATTCTTGCTACTTCGTCCGCCGCCTCCGCGAATTCACTTCCCGACGGTCGTCGTAACAGAGTTTCGACGTTCTTGTTTTCGACACTCCCCTCTTCCGAGTGGTCGGTACTGCAGGTGCCACGACATTGAGGATCTGTACTAGATCCCGCTCCTAATACTGCCTCGAGTTGCTGCTGATTCACCGGAGGACGAGAATTTTGGCCGCGCTGCTTGTTTTCATTGTTACAGCCGTCGTGATCACCTGCCAGAGATCCGTTTTCACTTTCAGTGTGGCGTTCCTCTCGAGCATTTGCGTCGTCACTGACAGTGTAATAACTCCTGCTTTCGTCCTCGTGCAACCCCGTCCTCGTCCGAGGACAGAGTGGCGCCGCGTCACTTCGATGCACCACTTGCCCAGGATCTGCCTGGCGCCGCAGTGCTGCCGACGCTCCGCCAGTTGGTTCCGACGAAGCTGCCGACACGGGCCACGGCCGTTCCGCGGCCCATGCTTGCGACGCAGTGTGACGAGGGTGAATCATCTCAATATCGAATTCCTGCAGTTTCTCAACTACATTAATGCTCGGCACTACAGGAATTTGGCCCTCTGCGGGGAAAAGATTCCCACGCGAGAGAACAACACCGTCGTTGTATGCGCTTCGGGGAGAAATGTTGAATCCAGCTTCTTCTGTAAGAGATCTTTTGGTTTCGCCGACGAAAAAACAACCTGATCCAATCAGGCTGCTTCTCGAAGATCCACTGGGCTGGCAACTGTCGTATCCTTGGGCGGTGGGGTCGATGCGTCGTTCCGGTGCGGTGCTAGTAGTAACAGCTGCTGTCTGCCCCCCTTCTTTCGTATTCATCTTTTCGCATATTGCAGTACCTGTGTCCGCACACAACAGACACGCACACTGCATGCACGAAGGACATGTTGGTCGATTAGTTCCTGCGGCGAGCGGTAGTAGCGGTGTTACTGCTGCAGACGACAGTGGCATTTCTTGTTTCCCCTTGCAGATCACTGAAGATAGTGTGCTGACGCCTGCGCTCGCCATCTTCGTGTCCAACAGCGACACGGACCCTCCTGTTCCATTTGAGACCGCTCTCCTGCGCTTCTCCGGCTTGGTGCGCGCATCGAGTTCGAGGTGAAGATAGGGACGAGACTTATCGGTGCTAGAGCGACGCGATGATCTGGCTACGCTTTCTCCGTCCGGTTGCGCTGTTGCTGAATGTCCTCCGGGCGTCGGGATCTGCAAAAAATGACTTTCTGCAGCACGACGATCCACAACGACCGAATTCGCATCCCCGCGCTGGCTATCGGTGCTGGTATCTGACGCGATGAAACAAGCTGTGCGCGGCGCCGCCGCTCTGCTCTCGGGGTGTGCCACCGGATACTGCAACCGAGCGACACTTGTTCGGTTTCTTGTTCGCGACGCTTTCTTGCCCTGCTGCGCAAGACTACACACGGGAGCTTTGTCATCGTCTGTCGAAGACAACACATCGCGCGTGACTGTAGTACTTGTCATCTCCGTCAGCCCGCTTTCGGTGGAAAGTGCGCCCACGCCAACAAGAAAATTATCTGTTTTATCGGCAGGAGAACGTAAACGTTTAGGATAATTTCGCGTGTGGTGCGAGCGAGCGTTCGAGAAAGCTCTGGAAGAGTGTCCGTCTCTGTCCGCGACAAGCACATCGACATTCGTCTCTTCTTTGCAGTCCAAGAACACCACTTCTTCTTCCAAAACGCCGCGGTCGACCGAACGTGCCCTTTTCCGTTTATTTGCCGTCTGTTTTACCACCGAAGCGGCCACTGGCGCAGAAGTGGTCCCACCGCTTCCGGTCCCGATACCGGACCCGAAGGCAATTGATGTACCGCAGTGTACACAAGTAGCTGGTGACGCATTGTGAAAATTCTCACAGAGCCCGCCACGCTGTGATTGATGCTGCGGCTCAAGCTCTGCTTCCGTACAGCCACTATAATTTCCAGGCGTGAAATAAAGACTAGCGGACCCAGAATTATATCCAGGCATCTTCGGCTGTCCGACGCAATCGTTTTGACACGGAAACGGAGTTGGTACCGCAGTTTTTTGTGCATGAGGCTGCGTTTCCGACAGCAACGTCTTCGACAAGTCAGTAGCTTCTTCGTGAGTGGCGGCGAGTGCTCGCACCTCTCTGGTTGGCAGTGCAGAGCAGCTGCTCGTCTTCCACGACGCAGTTGCAAAATCAGAGGTCGCTCCACCGAAATGAAGCTCAAGCTCCATTTTTTCCTGTCCGATTTGTGCGCTGAGTTTCTTTCCTGAAAATGGACCTTCGGTTGGTGGCACCATGCATGCGGCATAATGAACCATCGCCGACCCAGGCTTGCCGACCACAGAAGTGGACGTCGAGGCAGAGCAGTCGCGTTTCTTCGGCTTCTCCAAAAGAAGTGGAGCTTCTGCTGGTCCTTGGTGTCCCCCTAGCTCAGCGTCCTGTCTGGCGTCGTCATTCCCTCCTCTCGTCCTGGTGCAACCAAGATCCCTCCGTTCCAAAACGACTTGTTCATTCGTGTTCGATGTTGCAGGAGAAGTAAATGAAGGGAGACACTTCGATGCCTCGCTGGCGGTTGTCGCGTTACTGATGATGCAGCTACCTGGGAAGGAATAAGATGACGAGGCTCTGGACCACGAGGAGCACACTTCTTCCGGAGGAGAGCGCAGCACGATCGTCTTCGGTGGCGACACCCTTTCGGCCACGACAGTGCCAATCACAGCCATCTTCTCCGTGACGCTACACACAGAAGTGTTGTGGTTTTTGCTCCCTCTGACGGCAGCACCAGACCTACTGGTGGAATCATGCGAGTCGGTGTCGTAGCTGTAGTTGGGCAGTCCCACGGTGCAACAAGGACTTATCTCCTGTGGCTGCGAACACGAGTTGGTACTAACAGAGTGCTGACAAAACCAGGTGGGCGCAGAGCCAGGAACAACTCCATCCGGCGCGAGGTCCTGAGGACTGTAGGAGCGGTCGTCGTAGTCGTTACCCTCACCGGTATTTTCGCGCTCCACACAATCCACGGGCAGCGAGTGCGACGACGTCGACGTGGCCCTGCCACTGGCTCGGAAAAATCCGCTGCCCCGCGACGAAGAGTAGCTGTGCGACCGGCGCATTTTTCCCGTGGAGGTCCCAACACCGTTCTTCCCCGCCGTCAATCGTCCTGCCACTTTCCTCGTACTCGTGGCCGCAGTCAACACAACTGGAGCTGCAGTTACTGCCTTTTCGTTGTTCTTCACAAGAAGCTGCATTTTTAGTTCGGCCTTTCCACGAGACAAATCTGACCTCAACCCCGCAGCAGGCCGCTTTCGCGAAGGGCCCACAGCGAGATGCTGCGACGACGACGTGGCGGCGCTATCCCCGACGCGCATCCTCGGTGTCGTGTACAACTGCGGCGCTGTGACCCACACTTCCTGTGGCACCGCACCAAGCTTCTTCTAGCCGCCCGCCGACAGTGAGTAGAAGTAAGATTTTGTCCTCCTTCAGGTTTGAAGATCTTACACTAGTATGCAGTCACCACCGCGAAGCGGCAGTTTTGGTGAAATAAAGTAGCACCGCGATGAAACAACAGCTGCGACTGCAGCTCTTGAAGGAGGTCTCTCTGTGTCGTTCTACCACTTTTTGTCGCCGTGTCGTAGGTCTCAAAAGTGTTTTGCGCGATGTCGCCCTGCAGAAACCGGTCACTTCTCATCGGTTCTGGGCCCTCTTGCGACAGAGCTTATACCAGGCACAGCGTGCTCGTTTTCGGAGGTGGAGGCAAGCGAGGGAGAGGTTTGCGTTTGTCTCCTGCTCACTACATATCTGCAGCTACAAGTTGTGCAACCTAGTTCGAATTTCTGCAACTGCATCGGAGCATCTGCACGTACCTAGTGCCGAAGCCGACTGGCAGACATCAGAAGCTATTTGCTCAAACCCGAAACTGATTCTTCCCCGGCGGCTGCACTCTACTCGTCGTCAAGCTCCCAGATGAAGGTGGGGTCGTAGCTGTCGTGGTTTCATCTTGTTCTAGCCAAGTTGCATCCGCAGCAATACCATTTTCGCATCATCTCTTCAACCGTTAATATATGATCAGTTTCCGTTCGAAAAAGGCAACATCGTGACAGAAGCTTGTTTTCCGTTTTGCAGAGCCTAATCGTTCAATCATTTATTCATAAGTATACTTTTTGAAGATATACAAGTTGCAAGCGAAGACACGATCCTTCCATGTATGTTCGCCGAGCGTTACGACGAACGAGGAAAGAAATATGTACTGCACGGACAAATATTACGGCGCATATAATGCTAGTACTCTTGAAAACTTTTTTAAAAAAACACACGTGCGACAGGCCAATGAAACTCGTTGACGTAGGTATCAAAAACAGGAACACCTCTTTCTAAGCAAAAACAGGATCGTGACTGTTGTAAACTACTTAGTTATTTATTGATGAGGAACCTCTTCTATCTGGGTACAACCAGAAACTGAAACATTTATCGTGGCCTGGCTCCGCCTTCCTTTCCATACAAACACAAAAAAAACGCAATCGCAACGCTAGACAGAAATAGAAATGTTTTTCCAAACAGGATCGTTGTTTTTTCGTGTCTTCATCTTGTGGCCCTATCGGCCTTGTTCGCGGCAACATGGACATCAAATTCGAATTGCTATTTACGTAATGAGAAGTGAAAAGACGCTGCAGATCTTGTTCCGAGCAGAGCAACCGCAAGGGGTTAAAAAGGCACAACAAAACGGGGGGCCATGATCCTCGTGCGTGGCTCCAGCTTGTTCTTTCCAAAGTGGTGTCAAGAAATGATGAACAAGTTGTCTGTAGTCATCCGGTCAGTCGCGCTCGCGTTTCTTCTTCTTTACGTGGATGGAGAAATGATGATCTCGGATTCAATCAATCCGATGACTTTTTCCGCCTCCAAGAAAAACTTCAGTCCTTTGGAATCAATACAATCAGGGATCGCAGTGCTTTCGATTCCGAATCTGGAACGCTTTCGATCCCGTTCCTCGAACGGGCAAGGCTCAATAGTCGCCTAAACCGCGGAAAATTGCATTCGCATTCCGAAACCGACGCTCCTTCGATGCATTTTCATTTCAGCTCGGGTGATTTTTTCTTTTTTTTTGAGGTCTCCATGAGAGCGCCGGCGCCTCTGGATCCTCGTCCTTTTGGACGTGATGAAGACGGCCCCAGCATGGAGTGAGTCATGGTTTCCGCTTCGCGTGGTCAAATGAGATGTTGCATATTTTCACGACCTCGCTGCTGTGCAACCTGCCGGCGAAAGCTTGCAGACCAGATTGTGAAGCAACCCGTCCGCACTTCTGGTAGCGATACCAAACGCGGCCTTCCATTTATGACAGCCTCCGCTGCCCACTCCACCACGGACGTTGCTTTCTTTTGCCTGATTGCCTCGCGCGAAGACCCGAAGTGATCCAGAACAGAAGCCGGAACTTTCGAACACCAGGAGCCTACCCGCCTTGTAGATTGCCATCACGAGCGTTAGCGGTCGTCATCTAAACTTTTCAACTACATATAAAAAGTAGACCAATCTTCTTGCGGCTGCTCCCACTGATGCTGAGTCCCCATGAAGCTCATGGTGTTACGTGTGCGCTTCTAGCTCCGCGTTCCCGTCTTTCCTCATCCGCAGCGCCGGTCTAGGTAGACCTAGATTCGTAAGTTCCAGCGTCCGTTTCTTTTCTTTTCCGCTTCTTGTCTTTCTCACTGACTTGCGCAGATGGGCAAATCAGCCACCTCCCATCGATGAGATTGAGAATGACCACGAGCACGCCCGGATCTTGCGCAGCACCACAGTAGTTCCTCGCGGATGCAAGATCCCAGCACTACGACGGATGAAACAGAAATCCTCCAATCGCGCGTACTTGCTTCTACTTTGAGAACCGTTTCACAAGGACGTACCATCAGGGCTTTGTGCCGTCATCCATGCCATACTTTACTTCCATGCGTAGGTCGGGCACCTTGGACGCCCGGATTTCCTCTGGCTGCACAAACATGTAGGGCCAGTTGAGAACCTGATTGCTTTGCACCTCGGCCATTTTGAAGCCGTAGGGATCCGCTGTCGCTCTCGCCTTGACAACCCCGACGGAGCTCGTGAAGGGTCCACCCGCGGTTTTCGCGATCTGACAAAGTGAAAGTTTGAATTATAAATGTCGCTGGCGTTACGTCCTCCCGTAGTTGTATGTACTTACAACACAAAAAAAAACAAACTAGGAGGTGCTGTCGAAGATGCAGCAGCAACACGTTCTATCACATCAAAAATTGCGGCTTTGAGTACCAGCGGTGGAAAGCCGGGACGCGCCCCAGGGCCGCCCGGTGCGGGGAATTGTTGTATTAACTCTCCGCCAGTAGCTGAAAAGTGATTATTTCCGTCTGGCCCAGTGGGCGGTCCCCGTCGCGGAGATCTCTCTCGCTGCACACCGCCAGCCGCGGAGGACAGGACCGAGCCCGCTTTCTTCGGCGCGGCGGAAAGACCCAGGGAAAGCGACGCTACCGGATCCGCAGCCGGCATGGGGGACGGCTGATGCTGGTTCATGCCCACCGTGGTCCCGCTGGACAGTGCCAGTGCGGGAGCCGCGGTCCCCGGTTGATGTATCGAACCAGGATTCGGAGGAGGCGGCCGGTAAGCAAACTGACCCATGCTCCCGGTCAGCAGGCTGCTTTGCTGTGGCAGTTGCGTCATGCTGGGATGAAATTGCGAAACCGACAAGGGTGGTGGTGGGTCACCGGTTTGTTCCGGGAAGTTCACGTTGTTGAGCGTCTGTGACTGCACTTGCGACGGAAAATTGCCGCCTTGCTGGTGCTGACCGTGCTGACCTCCGGGGTGGTTCATCAGTATTCTGTTCCCCTGAAGATCTTCGACATTGCCGCTGGACAACAGCGGGACAGTAGTTGAGCTATCGTTTGCTCTGCTTCCACCCGTATCGGCCGGGGCAGGGTAGTTCACTGCTCCCTCGCTGCTTCCACCGCCAGCGGAAAAATTATTTACAAATTTGTTCGCTCCTAGAGGAACCGCGTTGGCCGATGTGCCCTTCATCATTCCGCCAGTGTTCTTGTCATAGCGACCCTTTGATGTGGTCCCCTTATGGTTTCTGCTCTGTGGCGTCTTAGACTGCTCGTGCGATGCTTGGTCGTCCCTATCGCGTGCGGCGGCCGCGTAGTGGTCCTGTTATTAGGGTTATTTTTGTCCCCTTTCCTCAATCCCAAGCGCAATAGCAAACAGAAATACTTGAAGAAAAACACCAAGTAAAACTAAAAGTAGAAGACTAAGCTGTCTTGCAAAGGTAGAGTCGACCTTCTTCGATGCGAGAAGTTTTGAGTACCTGCATTTGCCCTGCAGGACCAGGAGGAGCTCCGGCAGCGCTCTGCATTGTCGACGGCAGAGCGCTACTTGACGATGCCGCGCCGCCACCTTTCGTTAGGCCAGGCATACCGTGCCCAGGCGGAACCATCATTGGATTCATCAACATGGGAGCTCCCATTCCCGGTATCATTTGTGGCAGCATCGTCCCTGGCGGCATCATCGGTGGCATTCCTGTGACATTTTTTCAATTTTTTCCATAAGAGCGACAATGAGTTAGTGTCAATTATTCCACAGTGAGGCGCTGGTGGCTCGTCCAGCTGAAAACAGTTTCGCTCTGAAAAATCTTCATGCCGACGAAAGTCGAAAATTACCAAGAATCATTCTTGGTAATTTTCGACTTTCGTCGGCATGAAGATTTTTCAGAGCGAAACTGTTTTCAGCTGAATGACATAACGTACTGTGCAGCAGGCAACATCACGATAATCTTTTTGCGCAATGATCATAAAAGGGCAGCACTACAATATCTATGTGTATAAAAATACCAGGCATCCCGGCACCGCCCGGAGCGCCGGGGGGCATCATCATCCCGGGTAGCGGCAGTGCCTGCAAGCGCCCCGGAGCTCCGGGGGGCATTAGTGGCGGCACTAGCACGCCAGGCATCATCATGCCGGGCTGTATGGGTGGGACCGCCATGCCTCCGGCTGCAGCTCCCGCGGCTGCTGCAGCTGCGGTCCCACCCGTTTTGTTCATTTCTTGTTGCACTATCCTTAAGGCATGTTCCTCAAAGTCCGTGCTGCTATACAGCGAAAACAACGTGCCGCTTTCCCCCCAACAGCAAAATGCAATTTTTCCGCTTTTTGCAACGAGGCAGTGACACTAAGTAAGGGTACAACAAAAATTTATCTGATTTTTCTTTTTGCTTTCTTCTTGCCGTTGAAAATCATAATTCCGAACCTGTACGGGTACAATCTCCGTGCCCGGCTGAATACTACATAGAACAGTACCGAAGCTGAATTTGGGCTTCTGATTCAAAACATAAACATCTTTCAATTTGCATGACGAGTTCGCAGGACAATCGGGGTGGCGACACGAGCTTGAAACCAATTCGTAGCCTTGGGCTTTTTGCCACAGCAGGTGGGGAGGTACTCCCTTCAAGCCGATGATTAACATCCTCGGATCGTTTCTGCCCGGTAGTGCATTCGGAACTTCTTTCAAAACCCGTCCGTGTACTTGCTCCATGTGAACCTGAAAACCACCAGAGCATGTTGTATTTGTACACAAATACGTAGAAAAACCAGTAGAGATTTATCTGATCTAATGAAATTAGCGCTCCTACCGTGGTGCTACCGGAAAAAAGATGCAGCTATGACACATTCGAATGGATTTGGATGCATGCAACGACGACGGCCACAAAGAAAAATAAAGCACTGTACCGCAAGCGCGCCGGCGGAGTGGGCCTTTACTTCGCATTCGGGGCATCGGAAGTGCCGTTGGCGCTGGTATTGGATCAGTTGCTCTTCCGTCTCAAATTCCCTGTCATCGTAGTAGTTGAAGTACTTGAATCGCCTCTTTCCATCGGGCCCCACGGGCTCCTTTTCCTTTTGCCCAAGGTTCTTCTTACGTCCCATCCTGCAGCACCGAGAGCGCACACGGACGACAGATAGAATCTCAATCTACTCCAACTCCCGCCTGCAACAGTAGGTTCCGCTGAGAGTCAGCAGAAGCAGTAGCTCGAACGCTTTTGCAGCTTCGTTGTGTAGTTAGTCTTAGAAGTACCTTTCCGCGCTACTAATTCGCATCATTTCATATCCCATTCCCATCTTGACAGTGATGTACATTATTCAAATTCAGCACACAGGTCGCTTTTTTATTGCACACATGTTTGATGGTTGGACTCGGTAGCAAGAGCTGACAAGGCATGAACAATGAATGGGGATAAACAACAACTCATACTCAGTATTACTATGCGCTTCATAAAAATGATCACCAAACAAGGAACCCATGTGCAGGTCGTCGTGCCTCTTGATAGCTAGTTTCCTGAATCAAAATTTTGCATAGGGAAGCGCCTTTCGATGAAACCTGAGTTTGTCATACAGCGAAAAGCAAAAGTCCCAGCGATCCCGACAATTGTGGAGTGTATAATCAAATTGCAACACGCCAGCATATCTGAAACTCACTAAAAAATGCGACTAGCATTGGAGATCGAGATCGTCCCTCCGTTCTACCAAGGAGCATAAACTATGTTAATCTGCGGAAAACAACAGTGCGACTTTCATTTGGACCTTGGTCAGCCTTCTCTTTTTCAAAAAATGCTTGCATCTTTATACGTCCGCATCTTTCATTTCAATATATCACACGTTCATCTGCAATTTTTAGTCCGCCGAGACGGGACCCTAGCGGGCGAATTCACTTTCTTATATTGAAAAGTAAAATCCCAAAACATATACCCAAGTAGTGGCAGACTGTGATCTTTGAAGCTCCTCGCTCAGATGCACTAGCGCCCAACCGTAGCGGGCAAGCGCCAGCAGCGCCTGCGTCTTGATGATTTAATGAGTCAGCTCGGTAAAAAGATGCGCGACGGCCTTGCAAAGTCTTCCCGCGACATCAAAACTACTCGAGATCCGGACGACCAGAACCACGACACAAAACAAACACCTACACCAGTGATGCCGAATTTCACAACCATGACTGAAAGTCCGAAAACCGGATCACGGTCGAACACCCTACTCCGGCAAAGCGCAGCGGAGGCTTCCTGGCTCTCTTTTTGATTTTTGGTCCGCACCGCACGTGGGGGTCTCTCTGCTGGGGACCACACCAGTCTCATAAGTATGCATGTCTGCAGACTGACATCATAGCGAAAAGAAAATCACAAGGTCGCGGGGTGAAATTTGTTTGGCTTTGGGATTTCATAATTAAGCAACATAACACGAATCAAACAGAATTACTAGCGAGGTGCTTCTATCTTTTAAATACCAACAAAGGGTGAAAAGGACGAAGGAGCACGCAGCGGGCACAGCTGTCATCGACGCGAGTAGCTAGCGCTAGAACTGTGTTCGCCTTCACAAAATCTGAGTGCGTGTAACCAGGTTTTTGCGTCGCCGTTTCTAGAACAGTTTTTGACCCGAATAGCTTTAGCTCCGGCTGTCGCTGTTTGTTCTACAGTAAAGAAACAAAAGTTGCTTTTCTCGACGACCTCGACCCTTCTAGAATGTTGATATTCGTATTCCTCCTCTCAACGTAATAAAGAAGCTTCTGCATCTGCGCGAGTATTTTCTATTTGCTTTCTCCTGGGTGGGTAGACAACGAACTGCTGACTGGGTCGGCAAAATGGGTAAAACATGTTGAACTCTTCGGTGAGGGAGAGGGAGGCGACGGCATCGGCAAGATATGAAAAATACAATGCGGGCTTTGCTTAGTAGTTGCCGAAAAGAAGATGAAGAACGGGTGTTTTTATTCAAAGAGAAATTTTGTGAAATAGAAGTCGGCGGCGATATGGTGTTCTTTTCCACCACATGCCACTTTTTGAGACAGACCTACTACTGTAGCAATTTCTTGTTGTAGTCCAGACTGATTTGTACATGTTGATGATATCAGAAGGTAGTTGTTCCAGCAACATCGCGTCCACCAGATAAAAAATTTCAACCGCGTGTAGAATAAAACAACCTTCACCTAGTCGGATGAAGAAGAGGTAGCTCCTACAGAGCCAGGCCGAAGACCTGGATGATGACGTACATCGTCTTGTTTTCCCAGCGAAAGGTAAGGTTTCCGTCCGTGGCCTGTTCCCAGAAGCAGGTACTGGAGACGTGGATGCCCGCCCCGTTTTTCTGGACCACGTTGGTGGACACGATGAACTTGAAGGACTGGCACATCTGCTGCAGCTTGTCCAGAATCTCGGTGTTGATCTTCTCAATCCAGGTCTGGACCAGCTTGGGGTCGTACTCGACCTCGACCCCCGTTGACTGCGGTCCCACCACCGCTGATACCGCATCCGCGACGATCTTGTTCGCGTCGTCCTTCAGCATCGAAAACGTCTGCACGTCCGCCGACATTTTCGATTTTCGATGTTGCTACTCTGCTAAAGAAGAAGGTACTCTACCTATTCAACAACTTTCTACCCGGAAAGACGAGGACAACTTCTAAAAGACGTCGTCTACTTGAAAAAAATGACCAAAACCTTAAATAAAATTCCTATAAGAAAACAAATCAATAAGCGGAAGATCTGATCATCTAGTGCACTCTTAAGGTCGCAGGAGTCTTCTATCGTCGACGACTTGTGATATGCTGCATATGTTGAGGGCTTTAATGAATACTGTCACGAGCGTGGTCCTGGAAGTCAAATAATTTTTTATGCTGTCCTTGTGTGCAAGTTGACTGAATGTTCAAACTTAAGGCACTCGATCTGACCATCAGACCTGTTGATCGCTCCATCTTCTGACGTTGCGGTATACTACAGTCCGGCAGGACCAGGAGCTCTAATTAAAAAAGTGTTTCACATACGTAATACGCGCGTCTACTCTTATAAAATCATGATGTTTCATCAAACTCCTTGACGTGTTGGCCCTACTAGTCGACTCAGTCGGGGGATGTACGGTGACGAGAGCATTCTCTTGTTTCAAATTTTGTACGGCTACGGAAACGAACGTTTGGAATCGTGATATGCACGGAGCAGTGACATTATCATACGTGTGCAGTTCCTGGTACCGCTAGATGAAGTAACCCGCACGTTTACACCATAATGGAATGTGTACGTGTTTGAGACGGACAGAAAATACAGCAGTGCGTGGCCGTGGAGGTAGCGGCGAATCTACAATGACGGTGCGTGGTAGCAGCGCAAAATATCTTTAGCTTTCTATTTCCCAGAAAAGAGGAGATAAAGCAGCTAGCAGCAGAAATGGCGACCGATACATGGAACGGGAACAATATTTATCATTCGAGTTGTACCATAGTACGACAAAGACACGCATCACGATTGGCGCAGCATCAAGACAAAAATTGTATTTCTTTTTTCTTTTTTGTGCATTTTTTTCTTTTCCGATGTCCAGCGAGATGAGCCGCTCGCAAGAAAAGTACTTCCGAAGATGAGATGAGACAACACAGGACATTGAAATCATACATTCTGCTGACACAACGGGAACGGGGGCAAATATTGAGTGCCTTTGCCTCGCCGCTCACGTTATTTGTCCCCATTCCCGATGTGCCCTCGAACAAGTGTAAGTAGACAAGCAAGAGGTTTTGCAGGTGCTTGTACGTTTGCTTTTCACTTTCACGGATCAAGTAGCTACTTGTTGTACTTCCGCGAAAACAAGAGGCAAGACATCGGTGGCGCTACGAACGCGCTGTCTTTGTCCGCGAATGAAATGACACGTGCCGGTGCTCACACGTACCCAAGCGGTTTGCCAAAATCCCGCTCCTCTCTCGACCCGAACTCCCTGGGCACTTCCGTATCGGGGCTTTTCTCGACAGCCTCAGAGGTTCGATCTTCGCCTAATTTCGTTGTGGGTCGCCAAAATTTCTGCGGGTCGTCAGTATCGTTCTTGTTCCCTGGTGAAAATTCACCTTCACCGCCAGCCTGTACGTCAATCACCACGTCGCTGGACTGCGCTGGAGCGATAGTACCGGAGGGCCCTGGCTGGTTTGTACTAGTACTTGTTTTCGCACTTGAGCTCGTGGAATATTTTCGTGCTGGATGATCGCCCGCAGAAGAAGTTCGCGAGGCTCGCGCCTCGCCTGGCTGCATCTTTACTCCTTCTTCGTCCTCTGCCCGCGGGAGGTCTTTCCCCAAGCGCGCCTCGGACTTTTTCCGGTTTTCCGAGGTAAGTTCGCGGCTGATTTCCAGCAGCTTCTTGTCGGGTACAGAAATGGCCACCGTGTGTTCCCTAATGCGGTCGCGCACCACATTGTAAAGTTCCTGAAAAACAGTGGTGGATGTGCATCATGCTATATCATTTTCACTTGGGCTCACAAAAAACAATTGTTGCCAGGTTCATATTTTCGCAATCCAGACAAAAACTTCGCGTCTTGGTCCTATGATGTCAACATACGACAAAAGCACGACCTGGCTCTTATCAAAGATTCACAGCAGGTAGTACTGGCAGGCTGAGTTTCTCCGCGTGGTTCGTAAAAACTTACAACTTACATCAAACGATTCATAGTACCTGCCGGATTTTTTGCTGTTCGGGATAGGGCCCGTCGTCCCAATTTTTTGTCATGGTCATCAACTTCCCTATCATCGTGCGCACCACCATGCGCAGCGTGGACCGAATCAACCCGTTTGGGATCATCCAACGCGGCAACTGGAAATCGGCCTCGAGACCCGCCTTCACCAAAAATCCTTCGACCTCCCCATCGGAGCCCTGCAGCTTCACTGGATAGGCCAGGTACGCAAGCATACGAGCCATCACCTCATGTAGTTGTGGAAAGGAATCTGCAGACTTTCTTAGTTTATCCAGCACTCATTTGCTCCTTCTGTGCCGGGCGAAGAAAATGTAACTCTGCAGTGCCCAGGCGCACTACGTACTCCTCTTCTCCACGGTTTTACTTTATGACGCAAACATGCGTTGTACGTTTTCTGCCTCTACGTGTATCTTGCGACTTTTAAAGCAAAACAAGGACTGATGCTTCACTCCTTCATCTCAACCTGCAAGGGTGGGAGGCTTCAAGAAAGACCAAAACTGTTTAATCATAGTTCTCGCTGTGCCACATAGAATTTTCTTTCGGTTTTTAAGTAGTAAGTACCCTAGTTGGTCCCTTTTTCGGCGGTTCGGGAATTTCGTACCCACGCCAGCTTAGCTGGTCCGGGGAAAACTCGGCGATCAACAAACCCTTCATGCCGTCGGGCAAGCGCGCGCCTGACGTTGTAGCTCTCTTTGTCGCGGACGCAGCTGGGCCGGCAGCAGGTGACTTCTCTGGGTCCTCGTCTAGCCCTTCCTTGGTCAGCATATCGTAACAGAACCGCTGGTGGAAGCATTCGAAGCCTGGGTGAAAGGGTATCGGCATTTTGCACTTGCTCTTCCAGAGCAGGTCTGCGTAACCTTGAAATTCCTTCAAAATCTCGGAATGCTTCAAAAGCGGGGCCCACGAAGACAACAACTCGATTTCCGCCATAAATGTCGCGACCTTCCACAAATCGAGAGGCACCACACCACAATCAACGAAGATCTGGGATAAATTCAAATATGCGATCTATCTATCAGTGTTTCTGTTCACCACTGACTGGCAATCGAGTCCAGAGTCGAATACTGTCATTGAAAGTAATTCGGTTTTTGAGACCACTCTCTGCGCCGAATTCACACACGATTTCTGTGAAAATAAGTGCTCGTATCAGGTATTGTACCTTCATGAACCCGTCTGGGAAGATTTTCAGGCGCAAGTCGAAAACGATTCCTTCGTATTCGTACACAAAGGCGAGGTGGTCTGCGGCGGTGTCTTCGTCGAAAATCAGCGAAATACACTGCTGCAGCTTTTGAATGCCAAACGGCAAGGATTTGAGCCGCGCACCCCCGATTCGTTTCTGCAGCAACCGTTTTCGCGCTTGGCGACGAGGACCTCTTGCTCCTTTCTCCGAGACAGGTTTTGAAGCCAGGCTTTCCCCATCGGGTTGGTCCTGCACCTGCTCGGAAGATTTTTTTCCTGCAACGTTGGCCTCTCCTGGCTGCTCTTTTTCAGTGCTACTTGTAGCGTGGTTTTCCGCTGGCTTCATCCCTACCACGACTTCCGGCGTCTCTGCGACTCCACACTCCTCATTCGGTGCTCTGGGATTTTCTGGCGGCTCTTTATTGTCGTTTGCTGGGTCTTCGACGGCAAGGAATTTCGCTATGCGCGCATGAGCCTCGGGCAAGCGGAGATAGGACAAGAGATGATCTATCCGAGCCACCTCCGCCTCGTCCTCCTTGGCAGCGATTTTCGCAGCATCGTGCAGCGCCGGCGCCGGGCTGGTACTCTTATAATTTCCCTCCAATTTTCTCCTCTTCTTCGGACTGCCGGTGGCGGAAGTTGCTGCATCTTGCAGCTCTGTCAATCGCGGCTCCGTTGGACGCTGTTCGGAATCCGTTGCGCTGTTTGGATCCTCCTCCGCCCAACTGTCATACCCGCCGTCCTCTGTCGTGGGCGAAGCAGGTGCGGGTTGCTGGGCCTTCTGCGCCGATGCCGCCTTCTTCGCTTTCCGTGAGCAGGCACAGCACGTCACCATGGTCGTGGTGCTGCCACTGGACGCTAGAAGTGTGCGTCGAAGTCCCTCTTCCGCCCCGTGAACAGATTTAGTAATATACAGTATTCAGCAGTAAAAAGACAACGCATCACCCGAAGGCAACTGTCTGAAGATGAAGCCAATGTTTTTATTTCTGAAGAACCAAACGAAGAGAAAAACTACATTTTTTTAGATGTGGTCATAAGGCCGCAAAAAGGACTCACACTCATCTGCTACGCGCCTCTCCGCTCAGCAGAAGCAGTAAATTGCTGAGAAAACACACTCAATAGGAAGACTCCTCTCTCACCAAGGCCGTCTTTCGGGGTTTCCTGTTCCCACCACGATAGTAGTGAAACTGGAAGAAACTACGGCTCTTGCGCTCGCCTCAGCGGGATCGTGCACTGTTTCCCCCGAAAAAAAATGCAGCCCGTTGGCTTTCCTTTTTCTGGTCGTGATGCTTTTCTTTGTAGTACTTTCTGGTAGTGTTCATTTTTTGACTTCTATTTATGCTGGCAGTTTGTGTTTGTATCAAGATTCGAAGGGAATAAACAGCAGTGGAGGGTATAATCGTTTTTCTCATCATGACAAAAAAAAAATCTGAGCTCGAGAGGTCCAAATCGGGCGTCCATGTGAATCAACGCGAGTTTGAAACTCCTTGTACCGAAGGAAGAACCAATCGCAAAGCTCTTGTACGTAAACTGATACAATCGTTGAAAACGTCGGTAGGAACGGGTTTATCATGGTCGGTCAGTGTATTTTCGGGACTTCCTCCTCGAGCATCAAGCTGTTTACCACACGGGGCATGGTTCCGTTCCATTTCTTTAAGAACGGAATGCAGCGGGTGATCCACACCTCCGGTCCGAATCCCAGCTCGGCCAGTTGTTGCAGTTCCCGGCCCCATTTCTTCGCGTACGCTGCGTCTTCCTCTGGGGTGTGCTGGCCGGGGGCTTGCCGCAGCATGTGGAAAATCGTAACGGAATCCAGTGGTTCGGGTTTGTTTGTTTCGCCACTTTCGCCGTTTGCAGCAGCATCTAGCCCACTCCGGCCCTGGCCCCCCTCCCCATTGGCCGGTGTCGTGCTGTCAACCACCATCGGAGTCTGCTCGTCGATGCGCGCGAATGCGTCGGTGCCCGCGTCCCGCCAGTCGGAGGGCAGCCGCGGTAGGTCGGGCGCGGAGACACCCATGCTGTTGCTCTCTTTTGACTGAGTGCGGAGCCGGTGGTCCGAAGACGGGGACAATTTAGAAGCAGGGTCATGCGGCTCGGCTCTTGGTTGTGTGTCAGGTGCAGTACCTTCCTCCGCGGCGTCATTCACAGCTTTGAAAAACAGCTGCTCGCGCCGCCCGCGCAGCCCGAGCTCGAACAACGTCTTGTCCCGGTGGTCGTCATAAGTCAGAACCAGTCGATGCCCCGGCCAGGATTGCACCAGCTGGTGCTTCTGCGCGCACCGGTACGTGTACTCCATTGTGGCGGGTGTGTGGGACAACCAGTGAAACACATCAACGAGCTTGCTTTCCTTGGTCACAGTAGAACAATTCCCGCTCGCCGCAGCCGCGCCACCAGCTGCTCCCGCGGCGGCGGAGGAAGCTCCTGTACTGTTCGATGCCGCGCTTGATGAAGATGCGTTCGCCGCGACGAAGAACGTCCTAGATATGGCTTTCCCGTTCGGCAAGCGCACCTGCACTTCCACTGGTCGCAGATTGCTCGCCGAGATTGAAGCAGAACCTGCGCTCTTCATTAGTTCTTCCATTTCCGCAAGATCTTTTTCTTCAAACTTCCTACGGCGCTCCACCTCTTCGTCGTACATAGCCTTCAGCCGCTCCTCTTTTTGCCGCTTTCGCTCCAGCAGCTTCTGCTCAAATTCGACCTGTTCGGACGGCAGGACGTCGATCTCCATCTCGGTGTTCAGGATCAGCAGTGCGTCGTCCGGTTCGAGCAGCTTCGCTTGCAGGTAGTAGGTATTGTTTTCGTGCCGCACCGGCACCACGTCGTTTTCCGTCAGGCACGTGTGGAACTGCAGCTGTGCCTCCAGCACCGATCGCAAATCGATGTTGACCACCTGAGGACCTACCAACTCTCCACTGTTTGCGCTAGTACTTTCCGCTTGCTGGAAGAACCCGGCCCCTTTCGGCTGAAAGGTGCAGCGGCACCGGTTGTAGCGCGAGAGCTGCTTGTACCTAATATTCACCCGCTCCGGCTTTATGTTTCCGCACTGCGCCATCAGGGAAAACAACACCTTCGGCCCGAAACGCACCGTGTTTTCGTCGGCGGTAAATTCCGCGACGCCACAGTGCGTGGTCGCTATAACTGTAGTTGATGTTGATGTCGCGCCGCTCGTTCCCGCCACATCACCTGCTGCACCAGTGGTGACCTGCTCTATAATCACCGGCTCTGCTGCTGAGGCCGACGACACGGTGACTTCGAACGTGAGCACCGAGCCGCGCATGTTTTGGCCCTCGAACTGCTCGAAGACCCGGTGGTTGTTCAGTTCTTGAAACACGGAGGGCGGAAGCACCAGTTTGTCGTCCGTTCGGCTGTCGGGGATGACGTGCAAGCCCTGCCGGAGAATCTTCACGCCGCCCGTTTCGAAGATCTCCGCGTCCCGTCGCTCCTCTAGGCGTCGCAGCTCCCGCGCCTTCTCTAGTTCGCGGTCGTCCCGCTCGCGCTGCAGCTCCGCGCTCTTCGCCGCCTGTTGCTGCTGCTCCAAAAGCCGTCGCTTCGCCTCCTTGCGCCGGGCCTCCGCCTGGCGCTTCTGCTTGTCCGCCGCCATGTCAAACATGATAAACGGAAATACGCAGGAGCAGCTTTCACCGTTGGTTTTTATAAATTTATTTTGGCCTTCAACAAAAAATGTTGACACTATGCCTACTCTTTCTACTTGACTGCTGTTGTAGACACATTTCTACGCTGAAGCAGCGGACTCTCAGGCAGAAATCGGGGGAGGAGGTCGAGACGTCGACTTGATTATCATTATGCTTCACAAGAAAAAGGAAACGTCATAAATTAATGGGGTCCTGGGCAAAAAAGGTACTTAGCAATCCACCGTAGAAATTTGCTCAGTTTGCTATCACGTCTGCCATCTCAACATGGTAAACGCTGATCCTGTTCTTCTTTATGATCGATCCCCAACAATAGTATGGCGTTCTTTTGCGTGCCAAACAGAAGCAGAAGAACAAGAGTATCCCTTTGTTGAATCAAAATCTTCCTGATTTCTTGCTGTACTAATGCGACTGTGTTGCACCAGACACTCGCGCTTCTCAATTGCAATGAACACTCGTACATGCAACGGATTTTCCTCTGACTTTCTCGGTGGTAGATGAAATGCTGTGCCCTTGTAAAACTTCGGAAATTTCAAATCAGTCGAAGAGACAGGAGATCTTGCTATCCCGGAACGCTTTTGAGGTCTCTATTTCTAGTGGTCTTCAAAATATTTTCGCACAAGTAGTCTACCAAAAATTCTTTATCTGCTTCCAATGGCTTGATGCGAGTTACGAAAACGACATTTTCGAAGGAGCTGCTGTTTTCGGCGTGCTCGTGGTCGTTGCTTGCTTTTACTACATGCTCGCTTTCATTTACAACCTGTTGCAGCTTCGTCTCAAACTTCCGCGCGTCCTCGTTCATGCCCCAGAGAAGATTTTCTTCCGTAATCTTCCGCGGCTTGAGCGTGCGCTCGGTTAACCGAGCCGCTTGCTGTTCTGGATTGTCGAAAAAGCTGACAATGTAGTGGAACTCAAGAGGAACGCTCGACCCACTCTCCGCGTGACATGCACTTCGGCAGCTGTTGTAGCTTCCACCGCGCTTGCGCTTGTCCTTGTGTTTCTCTTTGGGCTCGTCAACAAATAAACTTTCTCTCAGGGGAGCCGGCGACCACCAGGAGTTCGTGCTCATTAGCCCAAACATCCCTTCGTAGAAAATGAAATCACAGTCGTACGTCTCAGATAGAAGTAGGCTTCTTACCACAAAAAGTTGATCTTTTTTGCGGGCTATCTTGTCGAAGCTAGTCCAAGTATCTTTTTTTGTGAAAAAGTTCTGCTGCTTCTGTCCGACGATAGCGACCCTTAGCTTGCTGCTCACCGGACGCGTGGAACCTCCACCCTCCTTCACAGGGCCGGGTCCAAACCCCAAAACACTTCCGCCGTCTTGAGTCAGTTCGAGCGTGTAGATCGAGGCGGGAGCATGCACAAGCGGAGACTTCTTTTTCCTCAATTTCTCTGGAGCGGGCGAGGTCAACGAACCCGCGGCACCAGAAGACGCATGCTTCGTAGCCATCTTCTGCTTGGATTTCATCTCGCTCTTGGCAGTACGTTTCCCTTTTTTCATCATAGAAGACACTTTCGATGCAGTTCTTTTAGTCGAGGGCCCAGTCGAAGTCGTACTACGTCCGAGTATGACTGTGTCTTTGCCTCTTATTTTCTTCGATGTCGGGCGGGACTTCCTGTCCGCACCACAGACGATATGATCCACCGTCGGAGACCCTCGGGAAGACAATCCAGCCACCGACCCCTTCGGTGTACACTCGCCCCCACTGGTCAGCGACGAAGTACTTTTCACAGTCTTCATCTTGAACGAGCCTGCCTTTCGTACGTTTTTTCTTGTACTTTTCGGCCCTTCCACCTTCACCGCCTTGGTAGTCTGATGTCCTGGTGATATTTTTGATGCACCCACACGCATTTGCTTTTGCTTCATCTTGCTCTTAGATCCAGCGACTTTCATCGTCTTTGGTGAACAATTTGAAGCCATTTTCTTCTCGTTGGGATTTTTTTTTTCTCGCTGCACCCCCGCATTCTTGATGACGGGAATCGGATCAACATCCTGTGGAAGCTCGATGTGAACTTTCTTGGCGCTGCTGACCGTAAAGCGCCCTCCCGTCGCGTGCTCTACCAGCTCCGGACGCTCCAGGAAATCCACGAGAAAACGCATCCGCGTCGACTTCCCAGCCGCAGATCCACCGCACACGTGCACGAAGCCCTTGCGGCGCTCGTATTCATGCTTTTTACGTTTCCCGGTCGTTGCTACCGATGGCAAAAGCAAATGCCTAGGTGTCACTACATCTGTGCTTCTTGTTGTACTACCGTGACTCTTCTCCAGGCAAACCGCAGCCACCGGACGAGATGACGGTGGCGGAGAACTGGCCACGGTCGCGTCAGCTTCGTCCCCTTCAGATGCATTTTCCAGCGCGGATCGGGGAAAGGCAGCGCTCTTGTCGTTGTTTATGTTTGTAGCACCAAATTTGAGTTTTTGCGAAATCGTACTGCGTTTGCTCTTGAGTTCAGACGACCATGGAAGAAGTACTTCATCTGAGGTTAGTATTTGCGTTGTCAACGTACTGGTATTTACATCAAGCATTTTGGCAGTATCAAATACATCAGCCGGGGCTATGTTATTGAAGGAACGCGGGGATAACTGCACATGAGTAGTACATGTACACCAAAACGAAAAGGTAGTCAGAATGTACTGCTTCCATAACAGGCTCAGGCCTAGCAGTGATAGATAGATAAATTTGTCCGTCTTGTTCGGTTGCCCGTGTACAGATGCTGCTCTTACCGACACTGTGATTAACCGAGGGGAGACACCGAGGAGGACAAGGAATCAATGCACCGACTCACATTAATTTGAATTTCGTCGTGCTTCTGGCATTTTCAACGAAAACATTTTGCGGAGGGCAGCAAAGTGCCAAGTCGGACATTGAAGGACGGCGGAAAGCAACGTGTGGTCCGCGTCTTCGTGGTCATCGACTCAGTATTTCTTCGTAATTCTGTGTACTTAGTGTCATTTGGCAGGCAAATATCAGTTGAGAATTCTGTCGCCCGTGATGATGATGAACGGTCGGGAGGAATCATCAGTATTCAAACTACAAATACAGTGTTCGTGTTGTATTCTCAGAATGATGTAGACCTGCACTTCCAATTCCAAAAAGAAGCAGTTCGGTCAAATGTGAGAAGTTCCAATTTCGTTCTGAAATACGCATCACTCTCCCCAGAATTGCTATGCGGTCTGCTCCTTTGTAGCTATATTCTCGTTTTTTTCCTGTTCTGGGACAGTAGCCAGATTGAGCTTTGCCTGTGTTGCTGAAGCCGCATGTCGTGACGCATCCTGTTGATCCCCACTAACGCAAACGTTGGCTCCTCCGTCAGGAGCAGCGTCACTCTCATCATGCACGACCGCAGAAATCGGACCTCCTTCGCGTGCGCCCTCCCCCTCGGCCTGCTCCTGCGCTGCATGATGTTCGGGCTTCCCGTACGACCCCATCCCTCCGTGCTGGTCGTATTGACCCCGGCCCGCGCCCCCGTTACCCCCCGGTGGGACACCAGCTCCATATCCCTTGTAGGACCGATGTTGCTGCTGGTAGCCATAGCCGTGGTAAGGCGCTCCATACCCCATCTTCCCACCGTGGGGAAAGTGCTGCGGATGGTGATACCCAGCTTGCATCCCACCGTAGAACCAACCCGGGCCTCCGTGGTAGTGATCATAGTGATGCGGGTAGTGCGGACCGCTCCCTGCATGGTGATAGTAGCCGCCACCCCCACCTCCGTACGAGCCCATTTTTCCGCCGCTTTGGCCGTTATATCCATACCAGGACCCGCCGGGACCGTAACCGTAACTGTTTCCCTTGCCGCCGTTGCGCTGCCCGTACTGGCTTTGGCTTGCGGCAGTAGTAGAGGTTTCTTGCTGCTGCGCTGCCTGCTCCGTCGGTGCACTGTTTCCCAACTCCCCCACAGGAGCCTCAATCGACGACTGCCGCTGTTGCTCTGCTGCTGGTGCACTGTTCTCTGCGGCGCTTCCCGCTGAAGATTCTGCTGAAATCTGCTCCGCATCGTCGCCCGCATTGCTGGCGCGCGCTTCGTCCGAGCACGGCGAGGGGGGCTTCAGGATGCCTTTTTTTATAGGTGGAACGCCACACGCATTCAGGGTGGTGGACTCTCCTGTGTTCCCTAGAGGACCTCCGGAAAAATCTGCGTCGGCGCAAGACCTGCTCGTCCCCAAGTCGATTTGCGTCCTGGACGAAGCACCACGACTCGAGTCTGAGAGAGACAGAAATGTGTCAGAGGACACACACAGTCCTTCCGACCCGATTTGCGACAAAGACGAAATTGCGGATCCAGAGTTCTCTTTTGCTGCAGGCGGCTCCGTGACTTCAGCTGGGTTGCGGTCCTGGCCCTGGGCGGGCGCCGAGCTTCTGGTAGTAGAACCCGGCCCCTGATCATGGTCCCCATCATGCCGAACGTGATGCGTCTCCCCAAACGCCGTGCCGCACAAATGGGAGGCGGCCTGTTCTACTGGATGCCCGTTGTCACAACTTTCTCTCTCGACCTGCTTTTGTGAAGAAGGTACGCCGACACCCACATGCAGCTCCTCATCTTCGATCGCGAAGTGCACTTTTTTGATGCCGAGCTTGTTCTGGTCCGTACTGCTGGACTCCAGGGCCGAACTGATGTCTAAAGACGAGTTGTCTCCGCCGTGCCGTGGGTCGAACCTGTCCGGGCTCGATGTCAGGTGCGATATGTGGCTCAGGCCTGGACTCGAGTTCAAACTCATGCTCATTTTGTTGCTGCTCAACGGATCGTTACGTGAGGTGGCTCCACCGGTGGCTGATACCAGCTCGCAATCATGAGCATCTGCTTCGCAGCCCTCTTCATCTGGAGTTATGCCCGCACGACCCGGCTGCGCGTGTTCATGCGCCAGGCTTTCAAAGTCGGACGCTCCCGTTTTGCGCAAAGGAGGTTTGTTCGCGCCCTGATTTGCAACTCCCGCACTCGTGCCCCCGCCCTCTGCATTGACTTCGAGGGCGATCTTGTATTCTTCGTTTTCAGCAAGTAGATGGGGTCTGCCAACATCTTCTCGCTGCTCGGCGGAAGAGAGCTGCGCTTGTCCCTCTGCTCCATTCTGCTCGGCGTAGTCTGCCTGCGAGCGCTGCTGGTCCGGCTGCAAAGTTGCCGAGGACGGCGCTGCGGCACCTTGCTGCGAAACATTATCCGCCCCTATCGGCCTGTTACTGTGAGAACCACCCTGCTCGGCAGCAGGATTGCCGCCCGGAGTGTTACGAGGACGAGCGTTGTTCCAGTAGTGCGCCCCGTGCAGATGATCCCAACAAGACGGGTCCCCGCCCCACCCGGCTCCCGGCGCAGCACCCCACGGGCCCGCTGGGCCTCCCCAATACGAACCATACCCTCCGATGCCACGTGGGCACGCCCAGTAAGAACCGCTATTGACATCTCCTGCACGCGAGACGGCGGACGAATTTCCCCACTGCGCGGATGTTGAAGAAGCCGCACTCATCGACCCGTGCGAGCGATTGCCTTGACGCGCGTCTGCAGGTCCTGAATCGACCACGGCCGCTCCTTGCGTCTGGTGTACTGGTTTGCTGCTCGACGTGCCGCTATCGGTCCCAGCAGTGCGAAGCTGCGGGACGACACCTAGAAAGAATGTTTGTAAGTACTTACAACGTTCCAGCGCGAAACCGAAAGTTGTAAAGAGCATGAGCATCCAACCTCTTCGAACGATAAAACTTTCATGTTGAATCTAGAACTACAGTGAGAGAAGCGAACAAAACGTCGAAATATAAAATGCCACAGAATCATACCAGCAGCGGCAGAATTGACATTCGTCTCCATGGCAGCAGGAGCTGTACTATGTTTGCCAATTTCCACCGACTCCGCTTGTCGATTGGTGCGACTCTTCACCAGTGCGGCCTTTCGCTGGTCAATCAGGTCACAAAACGCGCGGCGCAAGTCGTCGATCCCCTTCCAATACCAAAACGACGCCTCCGATTCCTCCTCCTCCTCGGGCATGAGTGTCCGCAGACGCAAAACCGTTTGTTTCACGGTATCCGAAACCTTTTCCACCGCCTGTTGGTCGTTACAAGAATTTGGAACGATTTTATCTTGCACCGGAACTACCTCATCGCCTTTGCACTCCAAGTCGCGGCATCCGTTAGCGTTTCTCAGCATCGAGCCGTCCTCGTTGAAGCCTCCAGATTCCGTGCCGTTGTCGTCTGCAGACGAAGATTCTTTTGGATGGCCTCCAGTGCTGTCGAGAGGCTCGACGTCGGTGCTTGCCGGCGCACCAGCATCCTCCGCTACGACAATCGGTGGGGTTCTTTCCCGTCGCTCTGCATCTGCATCGCTTGGACGAGGCGGAGCCGCTGGCCTTTCGCTCCTAACTGTCAAATTGAAGATTCCCGGGCTCTGCATTGTTTTTGTTCCTCTCTCGTCGTCGTCCCCCTCATCTAGTATTACCAGTTCGTCTAACGGATCGACGTCATACGAGCCCCACTCCAGCCCGTCCTTCGCGCTCAGGTCTTTCATGGCGACAGTCATCAGGTCAAACAAGCTCTTGTCGTTCTCCAAGAGCCGTGACACCACGTCCAGCACCGGTGGGGGCGGCGGGGCGGGGGCTGCGACCACGACCGGTTGTGCTGGATACAATTCTGCGGTCTGTGTCCCCTGTGTAGTCACGTGCTGCTGTTCTCCGGCAGTAGTGGAACTAGCAAAGGTTGTACTAGTCGCCGCAAACGCGGCAGCTGCTCCAACCGGCCGGTCGTCGTCCTCTGGGCAGGCTAGAGCACCGTCACTGCCGTAGCTTCTCGTCGAGAAAAACTTCTGCGCAAGAGAGGTACTAGAGCTCATCGCCGACGCAGCACCTGCCTTATTCATGAGCGTAGTTCCGCTACTGCTGCGCGCTGAGGATGATGAACTCCCTGCAGTCAGTAGGGAACAGGAAGCCGTCTTGTGCAGACCACCAACTACCCTGGCTGAAGCTTTAGAAGAAACCGTGCCACCGGCGAGCATGTGAATGTTGCTGGCGTCCACAACAACTTCCTCTTCTTCCTCGTCGTCCATGGCCGTTTGCTGGTGGAATTCCGACAGCCACGCCGGCGAGCGCCTCGTCGTCGACACCGTCGCGGCGCTGCTGGACCTTATCCAGGAAAAAACACCCACCCACATCCAGTCTGTCATGCAAAACATGGATGAGGATGTATCAAATTGATTCTGTGTTTGTCATACCAAAAAGTGGATGGGAGTGGTTAATTTTCAGGGGATAGACCGGCTCGTTGTCGTACAGGAGCCACTTTGGTTGTTTTTCCTGGTGCTGTTGCCGCCCTCCTCCAGGGATACGTCTTCGGGCAAGCCGGCCCCGGTGTCGCTGGCCGTCGTGCGCGACGCGTGCTCCTCGTCCACGCTCGTGTCGACCTGGTTGTTCGCTGTCATCGCGCCATCGGAGCGCGGCGGCACGGCGCCCTGTTTTACGAGCGTCTCGTGGTTCTTCCGGTTGTTCTCAACTAACTCCTCGGTGTTAATATCATCCTGTTCGTACCAAGTGGATGGTCCTAGTGTCGTGTATTTCTCGTCCTTGCTTCCCTGTTCTTGTGCGACGTCGACAGACAAGTTGACATCACAAGGCTCCACGACCTGCTGCTGCATGGGTGAAGGCCTGGCTGCCTCTCCGACGACACCCTCGTCACCGCGCCCACTATTCGCAACTTCGAGGTCCACGCCCAGGTCCGGCAATAATTTTTCCTGCTCGAGGACGAAGTCGCTACCAAACAAATCCATCGCTCCAGTTCTCGACGAGCTGGCTCCGGCCTCCTTGTTTGATGTCATCTGCCAGCAACAATTTCCACCCCCAACGACCACACCGTCTTCTTTCTCCCCCGGCGCTTGGCTCTCGGCGAGCACCGTGGCTTCTGGCGCGCCCCAACCGTCAGCGAACACGGAGAGTTGCGGCGACGCGAGCTCCTGCTCGTTGACTCCCGTCTCCTCGTCTGTGAAGTGGTATAGCCTGCTTGAAGACGTCGCGACCCCCGACGCTTGGTTGTTTAAACCACCTGCGTAATTCATCACCCCCGCGCCCGCGCCGAAATCATCCGTGTATCCCCTCGTCGAGATCCTCGTTCGGTCCTCCCTGGTCAGACTGCAGGTCTGCTCCGTCTCCGAGCGGAACAAGCGGTCGGAGTCGTTCGGCTTCGGGGCGTGGCAAAGATCATCCATGATTTTTTCATGCTCCGCGCTTTTGTAGTTCTTTTGACCGGTCGCGGTCGTGAAGATATCGGCCCTGGTGCTTTTCCGTGGCGTCTGCGGCGCCGAAGAGAATGACCACGCGCTGGGTCTCGTTTGCTGTTCGTGCGTCGATTGGGGCAGTGATTCTTGCGCAGGGAGGTCCCTTTTTGTTGGAGGACGAAGCCTATCATCTTCTGTTGACAAAGAAGACACTGGGAAACCATAGATGTGGTGATCGACAAGCACTTCAGCGGAGATGCCCGTCCCAGCCCGGCTCCGAATCTTGGTCATAACGTACGAGTCTGCATCTTCATGATAGTTGTTCTTCGCTTCGTTCATTTCGTCTTCCGCTCCTGCTAATGGTATTGCATTTCCGGTGGTGGGCTTTCTCAATGAAGCAGGCCCAAGTTGTTCCTCTTCCCTGGTCGCAGTCCCGGCTGGAGGATCATAGTCTTCAAATCCGCATGAATTTTTCTTCCCTGTCGTGTCCTGCTGCTGCGAAAGTGAAGCCCCAGTAGTTCTCCCTTTCAAGCTCAACGACGACCGCCGCAGCTGCTGCAGGGACTTTCGCGCCTCGGTGCGTAGCATCGAGTTTTCTTTGCGCCAGCGCTCCCCGACACTGGGTGTAGCTGCAGGAGAAATTTCGAACTCCCCACTGCTGTTTTGCGCGAGTGAGCCAAAATGGAAACAATCGGGTGGAGTCGAACGAACTGGGACTTCTGTTGGAGCGGGATGATTATGACCATCGTGTTCGTGAGTAGCAGAGCAGTCATTTTCATCTTCACATCTGTCGTTCAGAGCAGCGGCTTCCTGTCTAGCGGCTCCGAGGACTTCTTCGTTTGCTTCATCACCGCACGACGGATTGGGTTCTTGAACAATAGGCACGACTCTACCAGCTGCAGCTAAGCCTTGCCGCTCCGCTACGTCTGGTTCCTCAACGTCCTTGCGCATTTGTCGCATTTTCAATGCGAGGAGCATCGGCGGTCCTGGGGTTACCGAGTTCTGGTGCTCGCTGTCAACATTGTCATTCTTGGTTTTATTTTCCTCGTCGTTAGCTGAGGCCCTGCTGCCCGACTGGTCATCTTCTTTGCTGCAGGTTCTCTCCTCGCCGTGTGGTCCTTTCGCCGTATCTATTTCCCCAACCAGGGTTCTAGCCTTCGGCGTGAGGGCATAATTGGAGATGCTGCAGGACGGGAGCACCTCCTCGACAATCAAAGAAAAGGAAGCGTTGTGCCCACTGCTCGGCCCGCTACCGAGGCTGATCTTGCGGAGATCTTCACTGGACGCATCCTCCTCGTCCTTCCGCTTTATTTCTTTTTTGTCAGTTGCTGTAATGTCCCCACTCCGACGCTGCCACTCGCTCGTCCCGTCACCAGTTTTATTTTCTCTGCTGTTAGATGCCGATCGTGCACGCGCCGATGCCGTTCCCCTACTTGATGCACTCCTGTTGCTTCCAGTGCTCAAGAATCCCGCTGCCAACCGAAGGTCTCGCATCTTTTTCTGTTCGTGGCCCAGTTCGTCACCGGAGCTCGCCTCGTCAAAGCGCTGCAGCAGATCCTCTGCGGTGTTGCGGTGGTACACAATTTTGTCGTTGACGCACAGCGCCACATTCAAGTCTTGCTCCGCCTTCAGCTCGGGCACCACAGCGGCCAGCGTGTGCTTGACGTCTTCCATCGTGGTAGGCGTAGTGGTTGGCGTGGCGTGCGAGGAGGTTCCGCCGGCCGAAGTGTTGCGGAGCAGCGAAGGCCGCCGGTTCGAATGTTGGACAAGAATCGGCTGCAAATTCATCGGCAGTCCCGAACCTGCAGTTCCGAGCCCCGCAAATAAAGCTGTTGGGGTACTGTTGGTGTTGTGTCCGGCTCCGGCTACTGCAGCTCCATAAGACACCAACTCCGGCTGACCGACCGCAAGTGGCGAGCTTCTGCCGCGGCTGCGACAAGACGACCGCACGCTGAGCGCGTTGCGGTCCGTCTGATCCAAATGAAACGAATTGGAGTTGATGCTGCAGGACTTCGCCAGCTCGACTAATGGCGAAATATCCATCGCCACCGCACTCCGCCCGTACTGCTCCTGCAGGAAGGTGAGCGGCTCTTCATTACTGTCGCACAACGCATCGCCGGGGTTAAGGAGGCGATCGCCAGAAACAGGTGGGGCAGTATTGCCGTCCTCGCGATTGTCCTCGGCACTAGAAATCAGGACCTCTTCGAACCTAGTGCAGTTGAAGTAAGACAAGTGAATCGGAAATGAACTGAAAGAATTTCCTTGCGCTTGTTCTTGTGCTAAATCAATTATACTTTCGTTTTATGTTTCGCCCGACAAAAAGCCGTTGGCCCAGAATCAAAAAAAAACTATCCGTACGTCCGCGTGTCGCAACATTCCTCTTCATCGTTCGCCGACTCGCCCGAGCACGACGCTGGTGGGCGATAGTAAAAATCTGCAGTCGTATAATTCTCATTCTGGTTTACCCAATGTTCCCCAACATGTTCCCGTTCGTCGACATCGTCAGGCAGCGACGCAAGCAAGTCCTGCTCTTGTTCTGAGCGACTTTGTTTCTCCAGTCGAAGTTCTTCGCGACCGTTCTCGGCTGTGCAACAAACTGTGGGCTCGTCCTCGTTCACTAAGGCCTCTGCTGTTTCCAGAACATCAGCCAAAATTTCGGACCCGGAACCTTCGGAGACGACAAGATTTTTCTCCCCTACACTTTCGTGTTCGTATTCTTGCGTATTGAGTTCAGTAGTTGTATTTGGCATTCCAACTGCTTCTTCCTCGTCCGGAAAGCCGTCGTGTCGAAGAGCATCTTCTACTGTGCAAATTTCTTCGTGATCGACAGCTGCCGTGGGACACCGCTTGAATGGAGCAATAGGCTCAAGCTCCGCCGGATCTGTCGGCGTTTTCAGTGCCAGTGCGAGTGCAGCACCTGCCGTAGTTGTTATTCCATCTAACAGTTCCTGCTCCGGTTCAGTTGCTTGGCTTTCGTCCTGTGGCGGGGACGAATTACTCAATAGATTTTTCGCCGCGAGCGAATGATCCGAAACAAGATCAGTTCCTTGCTCCGTGGGGGTTTCGAGCAAGATGGGCTCGCTAACTTGTTTTTCCGTGTCAACTTCTTGAGATTCTCCTTCTATTGCCGCAACAATGCCCGCCACGTGCACTTGTTCCCCGGTCTGCCCTTCCAACGGAAATGAGCTTCCCTGGGTCATAAAGGAGTAACTCGGCTGTGACAGATTGGCCAGCATCGCGGAACAAGACAACGAGGAACTATCCAGCGAAGCCGTGCTGTTTTGCTGCTGCAGTACCGCAATGGTACCAGGTGAAGCAGATTGCAATGCCAAAACCTGCATCTGTGCTGCCGAAGGACTCGCCACTTGCTGATTTTTCATCTGCAACGCGATTTCGTCCGGAGCAGCTCCTGCTGCGGCCGCAAGCTGATGCTGATGCTGCTGGATACCGAGCAACTCTACTGCGTTTAGCGTCGGCTGCCCGACGTAAGAGCAACTCATCTGGTCAACACCAAGCGCCCAAGGCTGCTGCGCGCTACACGAACCAGCTTGGTCCATCAACGCAACAGCTGCCGGATTCGCAACGTAATTGTGTTGTTGTCTGTAATTGCTCAAAAGCATCTTTTTCATGCGGTGCTGCTGGTAGTGCCGATGCCACGAAGCCGTACTGGTTCCGTATTGCTGGGAATTGTATTGTGCAGAGCTCGCATTCCCACCAGACGAGCCGCCGTAGTGCGTCTGGCCATAGTAGTTCATCTTTTTTCGCATCACGTCACGACACTTCTTGGGCGCCAAACGCAAATGTCGATCCAGGAACCGCGCTAGGCAGTCGTAGTCGCAGTATTCCAGCTCATGAATGAGAGCGTTATCCCGCACGAACGCAAACAAGTGGTCGCTGGCGTACAGCTCTCGGTAAATGAACCTTGTCACACGGTGGTTGCACGAAGAAATCTGTAACGTCCCAATCTGCACTTGTTGTGGCCCACCCAGAGAACAACCTCCTGCACCTGTCCCAGCCCCGTAGCCGTGCTGGTCTGCCTCGTAATCGTAGTAGGTATCGGCGTCGTAATAGGAACTGAGCTTACTGTTGTGCCCACCCCGCTTGCTGTTTTCGGAATAAATGCCGCCCATTTTTTCGTGCTTTATTTCCGTGTTGAACAGGGGTATGTCCGTCGCATCCTATCATATGTAAAAACGTCCGCCCCAACCCATAGTCAAGTTGGGAACTTAGCAACACAAATCCAGAACTTTTGGGAGCCACGCATGACAAGTTGCAGTCCGTAGTGTGGTGCATGTTAGCAAGGACAACGGCATCACATCAAATTCATCTGCTTATCCTCTTTGCAGCATTACAAATTCCAAAGCACGATTGGCAATGCCTCTCATGGAGATGCGCATTACAAATCTTCCTGCAGTCGCAATTTTGCATGACAACTCTGGGGTGGGGACGTTTTTACACAGGATACATCCTCGAAGAAACTCGCCCCCGACAGGTCCCACCAGTGAAAGCCGTTTTCGAACTCCTCGTGGTCTCCGCCAGACGGAACGTAGCCGGAACTGACGACCTGCTCATACCCGTACCGCTTCATAGCCTTGTACGCCTTGTCTTCCAACTCGGCCTTGCGCAAGCACGTTTCCACCAAGGGGCCACCGATGCTCATCGCCGAAGCAAGTAGGGTCGAACCAACGAAGGAACCAACCAACGGATTTTTGGAAGGAACTGCAGCCTGATGGTGCTCGACGTCGAGGCGATTGTATGTTCCTTCGCCGGGCTGGCCCGGTAATAAATCCGGATTTTTACCAGACGCTGAATCAAGACCCTGCTCGCCAGCGTCTGTTTCTAATGAACGATGCTGATCCCCGTTGCCACCAGTTGGTGCCACCCTACTCTCGGCAGCGGTAACACCATCATCGACCGGAGACGTTCCTTCGAAGTGCGCCTGGTCCTCTGGCGGTACTGCGGGCATGTATTTTCGCTTTTGCTCCTGGTAGAAATCATAGAACGTCGTCACCGGTTGACCCTGGTAAGTGATCGATTCCGTGTCTCCGGTTTGGAGCAGTTGCGTGGAGCAGAAATCCTTGATAAACAGCTCCTTCGCAGCGTGATTGATATACGTGTAGGAGCCGCGAGAAGGTTGCGGATGCGCCGGAGCTCCGAGATGGTGGTGGGCGGCAGGGTGGTGCGCAGCTGCAACATTCGCTGCAACACTGTTATACGCTGCCGAAGGACAGTTATTGTAAAAGCTGCTCGTGCTTCCCACAACCCCGTAGTGGTGCTGGGATCCATTCAGCGCTGCTGTCGCGCCAGGACCGGAGCCTGGGGGGCCTCCCCGGGCTGCACTGCCGGCGCACGAAGCGCCTGCCTGCAACCCGTGGAGAGCGGCCGCACTCATGGCGCCTCTACCTGCAGCAGCGGCAACACCGACACCGTAAGCGTAGTACCCGCTTGCCGCGGCGGCTGCGGACATAGCTCGCGAGGAACTGGCACCAGCCCCCGCCCCGCCGAGCGACGTACTACAACTTCCCTTAATGTTCACATTGTTGCACTTGGTCCCTGCTGCTTGCAGTGCGCTCAAGCTTTTCTCCGGATGTCGGCTCACGTAGGTCACGGAACCGTCCGCGTTTGTGGCGAAAAATGTTTCGGGCTTGCTCTTCGCGACACCTGTCGTCGCCTTCTCTTTCTCGGTTTTACCTCCTTGTTTTCGCTTTTTACTGGTCTCTACTATTGGATCAGCATGCAAGGAAGATATCGTCGACGAAGAAGAGCGACGGTTTCCGGACTCAAGTTGTAGGTTCGGCGCATCTTCATGTTCTTCGTTGCCGTTCGCATCAACACCTGGAAGAACGTCAGCGGGTACCTTGCCTGCAGCGCATGCTTGGTCCAATTCTTGACCAGAAACAACATCATGCTCCGACGGCTGTAGCTGCACGTCAAGGAGATCATGATCCGCTGACTCGGCGTGAAGCGGTGACGCGAGATCCAAATCGTCGGAGTAAACTTCCTCGTCGGTGCCGTCCACTTGAGAAGAACCCTTCGGACCATCCACCCCGAACAGCGCCTCTGCCGCAAAACGAGCGTCGCTTTCATCGTTGTCATCTTCTCCGAAACTACCTTGTACGTGGTCGATATTTCTTGAAGGAGCGCCACTGCTTGCATTCCCCTCCCTGTCGAGGACAGAAGTTGAGCTCAAAAATTCTGGACCTTCTTTCGTCGATGTTTTGTCTCCAGCTTCGCTCCTCTCGTTGTCTGTTTCTTGCCCTGTCCCGCACTGAGGGACAGTTTCGTCACCATTAGAGCCCGGCTCCATCTCCGCAACCGGAGCAAAATCGTCTTCGCATTGCGAGGTAGAAGATGATGCGCAACAAACTTCGTCGATCTTTTCTAGGGTAAGCTCCGCTTCCTTCTCGTCTGTCGGTTCGACCGCCGTTTTGGGGCCGTTTTCAGGCATCAAAATCGGCACGTCATCGCGTTCTTTCTCATCACTCGACGACGCAACAGGTTCGCCCTGCTCGTCTTCCTTTTTGGCTGCGCCAGCGGCATCGGAACTCGAGGTAGTTTTGTTCTTCTTTTTCTCTTCCGGAAATTTGATGCGGTTCATGTCGATGCTAATGCACTGCTTGTTCAAGGCGGCCTCTTTTTTCCGCATCAAAAGATTTCCGTAGTTTGCGACGAGTTGCGACTGGTGATGCTGAAGCGCCTGTTGTTGGGACACGCTCGCTGCTGGAACAGCAGCAGGAGCTCCAGCTCTTTTCTCCGCCATACCCTGCGTCGCCGCCCCGACACTGGACGGCTCCTTGCTCGCGTGGGCCTGTGATTGCGTGCTCGCTACGAGAGAAGCAGAACCTGCTCCAGTGGAGGAAGAACTTCCAGCCGCAAGAAGTCCCGCGCGGCCCCGCAGCTTCTTTCTGCCCGCGCCGCCCCCGCCGGCCTGTAGGGCGGACGCACCGCTTCCAGGAATGAGAGCAGTAGTACAACTGGAACTTTCTTTATTTCCAGCAGTAGACACAGATGTTTTTTTTTCATTGTTTTTCTCCGTCACAACCTCTCCAAGAGAAGATGAAGGAACCGCTGCTGTCGCTGCATCGTCGTTTGCAACTACAGAAGTAGAGCCCTTTTCAAAAGAAGACGATCCTCCCTCTGCACTAGCAGTCCGTTTCTGCTTCCGCGTGGATCCCCTTGTCGTCGGATCCTTTTCCCCCTTTGCGTCCTTGTCCTGCCCGTACTGGTTCACGCCCCGCTCCGACACCGTCGTCGCCAACATCAAACTGCGCTTTTTCATGATGTCCAAGCCCTTCTCGAACTCTGGTGAGGGGTTCGTATCCGGGTTCTCCAGCCACACGCGGCACTTGCCGCCGAAGGTTTTGTTGAAGTTCAGCTCCCGGATGGTGCATTCCGCCATCTTGCGACTGCTGAATCGCACGACCGCGCAGTCCCGCACGATCGCCACGTCGACGACACGGGCGTAGGTGCTCAGCAGCTCCTTCAGCTGGATGCACTGCTGGAGCGAGGAATTTTGAAACATCGACGCGTTCGCGTCGACGCGCCTCAGTTCCTCCGGCACCGGACGGATAAAACCGAATGGCTTCGGCAAATACGAGGCGTTTTTCTCGACAGCTCCGCTCGCATCCTCCAACTCGTCCTCCTGGAGCAGCTCGAAGCGGCGCTGGCTGCTCTGCTCGTGCACCAGCCGCAACTTCTCCACGCGGTGCAGCAGTTCGTTGATTTTCTCGTCCATGTCCGCCGTGCGAAACGCGTCGACCGCCTCGAGCACTTCGTGGTCGGACGCCTCGTCACAGCGGGAGGTGGTCAGTTCGTAGAACTGGTCGACAAGAATGCCGTGCACGTTGGTTTTCTCGTACTTCTCGCGGTTGAACCCCGCGCAGCAGACGTAGAAACTGCTGTCCAGGATGTTGTAGTAGTCGGACTTGATCTCCTTCACGTTGTCGAACAGAATGTTGCACAGCGTGAACAACCGGGTCGCCACCCGCTTGTACCAGATGGTCTGCAAGTCCTCCGGGTTGTCCTTCCAGCCAAACCGGAACACGAGGATGCCGTTTTGCTTCAGCTTAAACAAAGCAAGGGAAAACTGCTTCACCAACAGACTCCAGACCCCGTGCTGCTTGGACCGGCACTTCGTGCCCTTGTATTTCTTGTCCCAGCTCGTGCTGTTCCGGAGGTACTGCGCGTCGCAAATGCACACGTGCACCATGGACTGGCACAGTAGGTCCGTGGTGTTCAGGTCAAACAGGTCCCGGATCTGCATCCAGAAGTTCGGGCGCCGGAGCCGAATCGGGTAGCCGCCGGAGCTGTTGGCCAGCGTGACCCCGCAGCCCCCGACGCAGCGGGGGTCCTCCAACAGAAAGGACGCAAAGCCGCCGGGCGCGCACCCCAGGTCGAGAAATTTGAAGCCGTCCTGGGGCAGCATGTCGGAAAAGTAGTCCCAAATCTCGGCCATCACGTTGTAGCATTTTTGAAAGTGCACTTCCGTCTCGTACTCCGCGTTTTTCTTCTTGATGTCCGAGATTTTCTCGCTGCCCTGCTGACCTGTGTGGCCTGCTGCTAATCCAGTCGGTCCTGCGGTGCCGGATCCCCCCGCTCCGAACAAGGCTGCGTGCTGCAGCAGCTGTTGCGCGGTGCCGCCCAACGTAATTGGCGGTTGCGGTTGTAAGTGATGTTGCAGCTGCTGGTGCGGCACTACGGCGTTCGGGTGGTGCTGACCGGACGACGAGCCAACATTCATCGCATGGCCTTGTTGCTGGAGCTGCTGTTGATGTTGTAACGCAGCAGCAGCTGCCCACTGTTGCTCGTAGTCGTGCTGGTGGTCCACCACGCAACCCCCATTTCCTGGTGCGGGAGCTGAGAACGCGTGTGGCAGTTGCTGAGGGTCTTCTGAAGACAGGTGAGATTGGCTTACGGCGGTCGGGGCAGTGAAAAGCTTGCTGTCTCCCTCGGCGACAAATGGAGATCCATGCTGGTGTGCTGGAGCTCCGCCGGAATCAGCAGACAATGTGTCTTGCGCTTCATCGTACTTTTGTGCCTCTTCAGAAACGCCGGCTGTACTATCGTTGCATGATGCATCTTTCTTGCTCAGTGCCGCAGGCGCTGGCGCACGACTCCTCGCACTCGGACTCGCTTCAGCAGCAGTATAGTTATCGTCGGTTTCTTCGTTCCGTTTCGAAATAGGAGCTCGTTCTGAATCAATATCGATGCCCGGAGGCGGCGCGTCCGCAGGCAATCCATCCGTATCTTCTCTCGGTTGTTCGACTTCAGCTGTCCCAGCTTCGTCCTTATTTTTCGCCATAATTGCATTCGCAAAATGCTCCACGATATTCGAGGCTGGCTTGACCGGCTGCGGCTGCTCTGTGACAGGAGAAACATGGTTGTGGGACTCCGGTGCGACCGTCGGCTCTTTCGACGGGTGCCTGGATTTTTTTGCTGAAACGAAATCAACCAAGCACTTTCATCAACGAAAATTTGAATTTTTTTTTGCTTTTCTCTCAAACATGATTTTCTTTTCGTTTCTTTACACCGATAGTGTGGTAAGTTCAAGTCGGAGCCGATGTTATCTGTACTCGAACTGCGCAGCTGCCACCGCGTTCGGTTCCCAGCTTGGAGCTTCTAAGTTCCAGGCATGTGCCGCGGCCTGCTGGGCAGGCACAAACGGCTGTGCGTGGAAATTCCAACCACTCACACTTTGTACTCCATTATGGACTTCCAACTCGAGTGCCTGCGTCCCGGTCGGCATTTGCATGGTAGCCACGGTGGGAGACGCTGAAGTGTTCAGGATGCTGGTCGGATTTTGCGGCGCAATGGCCGAAACAATCGGCGCGCTGCTCACCGCCGCTGTAGTATTAACAAGTTGCGCCGTGTTTGTCGAACTAGCCTGATTGCTGCCGATTTCCATGCTGGCAGTACCTGTTGGCATTTCCAGCGACTCCGTGCCAGTCGGCATTTCTAGCACGTTTCGGTTTTGCGGCTGCAACGGCACAGGCGAACTCGAATTGGCCGGCGCACCGGACGATGCGTTGATGGACTGCATTTTCGTCAAAAACTGAATATGAATTTTTAATTGTCAGAAGAAAATGAGAAACACTCTGCCGGGGTCACTCGTGTTCTCGGATTTGATGTACAAATGAATCACCCGCCAAGGTGTAGCCACAATACGAGAGTACTGAAACAGAGCTGCTTCACTTCAGAATATTTCAGCACCAAGTAGTGCGCACCTCAATCGGGAGTTCTTGAGGTTGAGTTCGCTTGCACAGTACGAAATAAAAAGGCTCGAATGAAAGGTAAAAAAGCGAAAACCATCCGAAAAACAGATCGCAAAAGAAAACAGCGGAGATCATGGTGGAAGATTGATCCGATGTACATGTAACCCCAAAAATCGCAACGACATCATGCAGATGCACAAGACAAGCAAAGGATTCATTTGATCTGCAAGTTGATCCACCAAGCCAAAAATGATCACTAATCCATGATATAAGCGAACACTACAAGCCTCACCGAAGCGCATCCCAATACTTCTTGGGGAACACGCACACACAACGTTACTTTCGTTAACGTTGCCGCTGTGCATACTTGTGCACTACTTTGTTGACCGCCTGCAGCGTCGGAAAATGTTTACTTGTACTTTGTTTCTATGAAGAAAGACAGGCGTCTCCGCGTCTTCGCCGGAAGATCAGCAGCACAAGATTCCAGTGTTTCTTTCCTTTGCTGCCGGCAAGATCGCGAAGAACGTGCCGATTCACCGCACTCTCGAGATCAGCGAGATTTATCACTGCGGCTCGGCTGTACATCACGCGGAGATGATGAAGCCCTACGGGAAGAAACATCAAGATCAAAAGCATGTTTTTCTTTTACTAAGAAAGTTAACTACTACGTTTTACTACGTATTTTTTGGGTCGTGATTTTCTACATCTAAAAACTCTCTAATTATGTCCGCGCCCCAACACGGCTACGGCGTATCATCTTTCCTTATTCCACGTAAAAAGCATCTTCCGCGTGGTTCGCTGCTATGTGCGACTGCTGCACCATTTCTGTCGCCGCTCTTTCGTAATCGACGTGATCGTCGAAGAGCAGCGCACTGCTTCCTCCGGAACTTCTCCTCTCCTGCACAAACCGGTGCGTGACGGCCAGCATTACTAGTGTTGTGAAAATTCCCAGGAAGAACGTGAAGAGCATGTGCTCGCTCGCAAAGCGCATTCGGTCCGGGAACTCGAACAGGTCGTTCAGAATGTTGGTCGAAATTATACTGGTGGTGTCATTCGCACCTACGTGCTGTATGATCTCGAGGTGCCGCCTGCGCCACTGCTCCCCGGTGCCGCACGTCGTGCTGCAATTACTCCAGCTCCCCCAGTCGCTCCAGGCACAGTACGCGATAGAGCCGCACGCCTGGGTGTTGCAGGTTCGCATCTCGCTTGTCTCCGTCTTCTTGCACGGAACGCCGCCCTGCTTCGGCATTGTAGTGATGGCCCGATACCTTTCATGATAAATTTTAATTTTTGCTTTTCCTGGTGGCCAGCCCCCTACCAAAACATTCTCCCCTCCTGTTTCGGCGAAATGTTGATGAAAACCAAAACAAATGGCAATGCCAAAATTTACCCAAAATTAGTGCCGAAGAAGGCCACACCATCGGAGGAAGCGACTCCAAGTGCGCAGCCCAGAGGCTGGTCCGCCGTGGTCGTTTCTTTGCCATTTCTACGCCAAACGCGATGGCAGTCCGACTTTTGGACGCGAACACGTTGGGACCTAGCTCCCAAACCCCAAAACCACCACAAAACAGCTTTCCCCGACCTGAGTCGGGCTGTCAGAACACGGCAGACTAGCAAAAAGGACCACACCGGACCACGCCTGACCAGACCCCTACCCGAACCTTCTCCCCTCCTGTTTCGGCGAAATGTTAAAGAAAATCGATAAAAAACCGCCACTGCCAAAATTTACGCACAATTAATGCCGAAGATGGCAATACCACCGTGGGAAGCGACTCCAAGCGCGCAGCCCAGAGGGAGGTCCGGCGTGGTCGGACGAGGTCGCTTCTTTGCCATTTTCACCCCAAACACGACGGCAGTCCGAGTTTTGGGCGCGGACACGTGAACACTTAGCTCTCCAACCACAAAACCAGCACAAAACAGCTTTCCCCGAGCTGATTCGGGCTGTCAGAACACGATAGATTAGCAAAAAGGACCTCCTCGGACCTCGGCTGACCTGCCCCCTACCCGAACATTCTCCCGGCCTGTTTCGGCGAAATGTCCAAGAAAACCGAAAAAAAAATGACGCTGCCAAAATTTACCCAAAACTAGTGCCAAAGCTGGCAATAGCACCTGGGGAAGCGATTCCAAGCGCGCAGCCCAGAGGGAGGTCCGGCGTGGTCGGCCGAGGTCGTTTCTTTGCCATTTTCACTTCAAACACGACGGCAGCCCGAGTTTTGGACGCGGACACGTGAAAACTTAGCTCCCAAACCCCAAAACCAGCACAAACCAGCTTTCCCCGAGCCGATTCGGGCTGTCAGAACACGGTAGAGTAGCAAAAAGGACCTCCTCGGACCTCGGCTGACCTGCCCACTACCCGAACATTCTCCCCGCCTGTTTCGGCGAAATGTCCAAGAAAACCGAAAAAAAAATGGCACTGCCAAAATTTACCCAAAACTAGTGCCAAAGCTGGCAATAGCACCGGGGGAAGCGATTCCAAGCGCGCAGCCCAGAGGCAGGTCCGGCGTGGTCGGCCGAGGTCGTTTCTTTGCCATTTTCACCCCAAACACGAAGGCTGTCCGAGTTTTGGGCGCGGACCGGTGCAAACTTAGCTCCCAAACCCCAAAACCAGCACAAAACAGCTTTCCCCGAGCTGATTCGGGCTGTCAGAACACGATACATTAGCCAAAAGGACCTCCTCGGACCTCGGCTGACCTGCCCACTACCCGAACATTCTCCCCGCCTGTTTCGGCGAAATGTTCAAGAAAACCGAAAAAAAAATGAAACTGCCAAAATTTACCCAAGACTAGTGCCAAAGCTGGCAATAGCACCGGGGGAAGCGATTCCAAGCGCGCAGCCCAGAGGCAGGTCCGGCGTGGTCGGCCGAGGTCGTTTCTTTGCCATTTTCACCCCAAACACGAAGGCTGTCCGAGTTTTGGGCGCGGACCGGTGCAAACTTAGCTCCCAAACCCCAAAACCAGCACAAAACAGCTTTCCCCGAGCTGATTCGGGCTGTCAGAACACGATACATTAGCCAAAAGGACCTCCTCGGACCTCGGCTGACCTGCCCACTACCCGAACATTCTCCCCGCCTGTTTCGGCGAAATGTTCAAGAAAACCGAAAAAAAAATGAAACTGCCAAAATTTACCCAAGACTAGTGCCAAAGCTGGCAATAGCACCGGGGGAAGCGATTCCAAGCGCGCAGCCCAGAGGGAGGTCCGGCGTGGTCGGCCGAGGTCGTTTCTTTGCCATTTTCACCCCAAACACGACGGCAGTCCGAGTTTTTTGCGCGGACACGTGAAAACTTAGCTCCCAAACCCCAAAACCACCACAAAACAGCTTTCCCCGACCTGATTCGGGCTGTCAGAACACGGTAGAGTAGCAAAAAGGACCTCCTCGGACCTCGGCTGACCTGCCCCCTACCCGAACATTCTCCCCGCCTGTTTCGGCGAAATGTCCAAGAAAACAGAAAAAAAAATGGCGCTGCCAAAATTTACCCAAAACTAGTGCCAAAGCTGGCAATACCACCGGGGGAAGCGACTCCAAACGCGCAGCCCAGCGGGAGGTCCGGCGAGATCCGCCGAGGTCGTTCCTTTTCCATTTTCACCCCAAACACGACGGCAGTCCGAGTTTTGGGCTCGGACCCGTGAAAACTTAGCTCCCAAACCCCAAAACCAGCACAAAACAGCTTTCCCCGACCTGAGTCGGGCTGTCAGAACACGAGAGAGTAGCAAAAAGGACCTCCCCGGACCTCGGCTAGCCAGACCTGTACCCGAACCTTCCCCCGACCTGTTTAACTCAAATTCCTGAAAAAAGCGCCAAAATATCGACACTGCGAATATTCAACACAGGCATAGTATTGAAGCCAGCCACGCACCCGGTGAGAGCGACCCCAAGAAAGTGTGCATCTCAGAGGCCGATCCGGTGCGATCAGCTGCGGTAATTTTTCTGAAATTTTGAACCCCAACACATGACCATACAAATTCATGAGTGCGCACATACTACCTCATTTTTCGTACCTCATTTGTTCGCCGCCGCCACAGCGAGCGGAGCACGAGCCCCAATCGTCCCAGGAACCCATTTCGCAGTCCACCGCGTCCTGGCACTCCTGTTCGTTGCAGCTGGTTACTTCCTCGAGATCGTCGTTGCACGGCTTGCCCCCGTTCTTCGGGTGCTTGAGAATCGACTTCTTTCGGGTTTTGAACCCGCCGCCGCACTTCGCGGAGCAGCCGGACCACGGGCCCCACGTGGACACTTTGCAATTCACTGGTTGCCATTGGGAACACACTTTCTCGTTGCACGCGGCAATCTTTTTGATATTGGTTTTTTTATTACCCAATGCAAGCTTCGTGAGAATTGAATCCATGATCGACCCGTAACTACACCGGAACGAAGAAGGCCTGGAAGAGACAGGCAAATTAAGGTGGTGCAAAACACATCACGCTGCAACTGTAAGTAGGAGTAGTTACAATCTTACCTGCTTCAAGCTGCCATTACACCCCTTTCCGCCGTTGTCAGGGTAAGTGTCGATGCGCCGCGTTCTTTCCTTAATGCCGTTGCAGGGGCAGCTGCAGTCGCCCCAATCCTCCCAGCTTGAGAACTTGCAGTCTTTCACATGGTGGTCACAGGCCCCGCGGTTACACTCCCGGAACTCCTGGCGCAAGCCGACCAGCGGCTTTCCACACGAGTTTGCCGCCACCGCAATCTCACGGGTGCGATACTGGAACCCGTCGCCACAGCTCGCGGAACAGAGGGAATAGTCCGACCAATCTGACCAAACTCCGTCGACACAGTGCAGTGCGCCGGGGCACTCTTGCGTGTTGCCTGCAGTGTTGCTTATCTTTCCTCATGTGATGAACTCGCTTTTTCTTTTCCGCACCTCCATGATCAGACTGGAAGAAGACGGCATAAAACCCTAATTATCCAATAGCTGATTGCTATGTGTGATAGTGCGACGCAATCTGATATCTTTCAGCAGCTAAAACTAGAAGCACCTCTCGCGAAATTCTAGCTATCAGAAGTACAGGGCGCCACTTCCGATGTGACCTTCGGCGGGCACATTTCGCCGCCGTACCGCGGAGATTGCAGCACCTCGCGCGTTCGCTCCTTCTGGCCCGAACCGCAAGTCCGACTGCAGTCGCCCCACTTGCTCCACTCGCCCCATTGGCAGTCCTTCTTGTCATCGCACGTTTGCGTGTTGCAAGAAGCCGTCTCGGCCAACACCATCTCGTCCGTGCAGGTCTTCCCCCCGTGCCTCCCCTGCGTTAAAACTTCACGGTGGCGAAACTTTTGCCCGCCGTTGCATTCGGCGGAGCACGCGGACCAGTTGGACCACTCGTCAAGCTTGCAGTCCACCGGCTCCGGGTCGGTGGGACACTTGTCTACGTTGCAGTCCGAGATTTCCTTCAGCTCCCCCGCACAACCCTTGCCACCGTAGTTTGACTTTTGCAAGATATGTCGCTGCCGGATGGTCTGGCCGCCGCCGCAGCTCGCGGAGCACTGCCCCCAGGACTCCCAGTCTCCAAGCAGACAGTCTTGGGGGGGATGCTCGCAGTCGGGGTGGCCTGTTTTGGAGGTTGTTGAATTTGCATTGATTATGATTTTTACGACGTGCGGAACAAATGAGCTTTCTATTGAAATCGACGTCAAGGAACAAAGGGAAGTGCGCACAACGAAAAAACTAAACAAACGGCACATGCTCTGGTCTCAATCTTCGCGCCGTCGCACGGGTGGCCTCCTTGCGTGGCGTGTTTTTGAATAACTCGGTGCCGCTCTTCTAAGCCTGTACACGTGCACGCGCCCCAGCCGGACCACTGGCCCCAGACGCCTGTAAGTTGAATTGATTTTCTGTCCTTTTTGTTTTTTCCCAGCACGCGAAATTCCACACAAGTAGGCTGTGGCTGACCCGCGTTGTCGATCGATGCCGTTATTGTTGTTTCCATCAGGATGACAAGCCAAAAATAGCAGTACAATCCACAGCGTCACACGGGTCTTCATTGCAGCTGGCTACCTCCATGTTATCCTTCGCAGCACAAGGTGTGCCAATGCGATTTGGCATGGTCAAAACCTGTCGCTGCCTCGTCTTCTCGCCACCGCCACAACTCCTGGAGCACCCGGACCAAGCTTCCCAATCGGACCATTTGCAGTCTACCGGGTGGAGTACGTGTTCAGGCTTGCATTCTTCTTGGGCACACGGCTCGATCAGCTTCAGTGCGCCTGAATTTCGTCATCCAAAATTATATCGACGTGGTTTATTCTACTCAAATCTATATCTAGTAAAAGAAGACAAAGCGCTTCCTTTTTCCAAAGGCTGCAAGCCTAGCGAAGCGCTCTGGAGATACCCGTCGCCAAAAAGAAGTGTAGAACCACATCTCACCTTCGCAGCCCTCCCCGCCGTGCAAGGGCAGCTGCACGACTTGGCGGTGTTTCTCTTTGTAGCCGCCCCCGCACGTGACGGAGCACTCGGTCCAGTTGCCCCAGGCCCCTATCTTGCACTCGATCGGCTCCTTCGGCACAAAGTCGTCCTTGTGGCAGTCCTCCAGGTTACATGGTTTCACCTCGCGGAGCTCTCCGGCGCACGGTTTTCCGTTGTGATCCGGGTACTGTTTCACCACGCGGTCACGCTCCCGCACCCCGTTGCAGGTGGCACTACAGCTGGCCCACTTGCCCCACTCCCCCATGATGCAGTCCACGGGCTTGTGACAGGGTTGCTGATTGCACGCCTCTATTTGTGTCATATCGTGTGGTGAGCACAGCTTTCCCCCGTACCGCGGGGCTACCTGTTCATTTTTGTATGCTCCAAGAACTACTGAAGATGCTACACCGTAGCAGATGATCCTACTGCAGCTCCAATAGGTGGAGGACCGAAAGCAATTCCAATTCACATTCAGCTGCATTATTTTTACCTTTCACATTCACATTGATTCTTCAGGTCTTTCACATTCAAGGAGTTCAAGAAATCAAACCTTAATCAGTCTTTCGCGCATGTGCTCTCCGCCCCCACAGGTCGCGCTGCAACTGGACCACTTTTCCCACTCATCCCAGACGCAGTCTACTCCCTTGTCGCACGAATCCGTGTTGCAGCCGGTGACCTCTATCAAGTCGCCGTCGCACGGCTTTCCGCCGTACATTGGCGGCACGTCCACATGACGAACGCGCTCCTTTTGACCGCCACCGCAGGTGTTCGTGCACTCCGACCATGAACTCCAATCCGTCAGCTTGCAATCTGTGTTGGTTTTGTGGCTCTACCGGTACTCGTACTGTGAGTGCCACTCTCATGACCGGTTTTGCTTTTGCGTTTAGCCATGCGGTATGTGTTGTTCACCGCGAGATCTTGTAGATATGCCAAAGAGAAAAGCTGTTTATCCGAATACCGATCTTTGGATGACAGGGGAACGCGTTACACGGGCGCTGCTCCTCCAAATGCCCGGCGCACACTTTTCCCCCGTTCTTCGCCGGGGACAAGATTTCCCGCGTCCGCTTCTCCGTGCCCCCGTCGCACAGTGCGTCGCATTCGCTCCACGCGGACCACTTGGTGAAAACGCAGTCCACGGGATCCGGCACACACGTGGGCACCCCGCAGGACCTGGTTTCTGTTTTCACACCCTCGCAAGCCTTTCCGCAGAAATTGTTGTGGGTGGAAATCTCTCGGTGTCGCTCCTGGAGCCCGTTGCAGGGACAGACCTTGGGCTCCCATGGTCCCCACTTACCCCACTCGCAGTCGCGACAGTCGTCCTTGCCGGGGCACGTTTTCTCCTCGCACTTCTTGGCCTCCCGCTGCTCGCCGTGGCACCACGACGACTTGTTTGCGTGCACGAAAAAACTAGGCTCCGAGGTGGCGGAGAAGCCAACTGCAGTTGCAGCGAATGTCCTGCGAATGCCGGGCGCTGGCCGCCTGGTGTTTCTGGTCGCATTATTTCTCCGGGCGGTCTTTCCTGCTGTAGCATGGCCGACTGTTGACGAAGTGGAACAGGAGTACACCAGGTCTACGTCTTGCACTGCAAAACTTCTGCTCAAGCTCATTCCCCGAACGTTGTAGTGCATCTCGGCAAGCTGGGTGCGCGGCCTCGAGCTGCCACTGGACAAGCTTCCCGGCCTGTTTCTCCGCATCACCACTTGTGTATGAAAAACTTTCTGAAAGATCACATTAAGCTATGCGTGCCTCCTCATACTTGCTTCATAATCAGAACATCTATATGGCGTACTACGCGTACTGCGCGCGAAGTAGGTCGTGCCTCTCGCACAATCTGCATCTTCTCAACTCTCTCAACGAGCAGAAACCACGGCCGGTGCAGGTCTCGTGAATCACAGAGAAAAAAACCCCGCCTGCTGTCTCCTCATGAGTAGGCGATCTGTCAACTTCTTCAACCTCTCCTCACCGTCGCCCGAAGTACAACACCCCGTGCCCGCTTGTGGATAGCGTAGTGTCACGGTTTCTTTTTTGCAGGCGGTGTGTCATTACCCCCACTCCTCCTGCACGAGAAACGATTCAGGTGAGGATTTATGATTTGAGGCTTTCTTTTTTTTCATGCTTTCTTCTATCGAGTCCGTGTTTCTGTTTCGGGTGGAAAATTCGCTCGGAGGCAAGCAAGGCAGGTGGTCGTGAAAAGAGTAAAAGTAGTCAGTATCACTACAAGGGAGGGGGTGGTGGATGAAGCCTGCTTACATCATCAACGAGGTATGGAGGAAGATTAGTTTTCCAGCCACCTCAGCAAAAGAAATTTCCGTTCGATCAAGCAGGAAAACCTCGGCAGCTGGAAATACTTGTTCAGACGAAGTATTGTTCTACGGAGGTTGTGCACGGGTGAAATGCAACAGCAAAGAATAGTCGCACCGCTGACGTCTGTAGTTGCCATTCGCCCTGATGTTTCTATTGCTTTCTTCCTGCAACATGCATTCGTCGGCGTGTGCTCCTCACAGCGTTTTGGTCGTCTACGTATACTAGCATTATCCTGATTTGTTCAGATGCGGTCAGCACACGAATGCACTCGTCTCCAGTGAGTGCTCATTCACATGCAGCACGTCTCCAGTGAGTGCTCATTCACATGCAGCAACCGCGTATCCGCCTATCATTCCTCAATTTTGTTTTCCGATACTATTTTACTGGTTTTGCAATGCCGGGTTTCTACTTCCGAAATTATTTCCCGTGTGACTCATTTGGTTTCTTTTTAGTTCTACTTCTACTCGTTGACTCTTGTACCAAATATAGCCGCCGGGGCGGAGGTAGTGAGGTCGTGGGCGTTTTCTTGCCGGCCGTCGCCTTGGCCGCGGCTTTGCTTTTTCTGGGCTCGCCATACCGCCACGAGTAACGTTAGGCCGCACGGTATGGCGGCCGCTTGGTAAACGTCGCAAATTTTGGCAAATCCAAATTCCCGACATTCCTTTCCGAAAGCTAGCTCCCATGCTATGGGGCCGATCCGAGTGCCGCGGGGGGCGCCCAAAAAGCGAAGAAAAATCGGGCCCATAGCATGCGGATCGGCTTGGCGCGTCTGGCGCGCTTTTGCTTTTTTGCGTTTTTATTTTTCTAGCCTGCGCTTTTTGCAAACCTTCCCAGGCTCTGTAACCGGCGAAAATGCGGCCGCTTTCGCGGCCGCCCAAAATGCTCCGGAATCGCGGCCGTGCCATGCTGTTTCGCTGTTCTGATTTTGGGCGCGTTTTTTTCCCGCTCCTTTTTGGGCGCCCCAAACCGCCAGACACTAAGGCGGTGGGCGCCTCAGAAGGACGCCCCTTTTGCTGGTTTCTCTGCGTCGTTTTATCAAGCGGCGATCGATAGAATCCGCTGGCGATTCGGTGCCGACACAGCCAGAGCCGCTTGATAATTGAAATTTATTTATGTCAAAAAACGCTTCCGACCGCTTGAAAACTGCCGGTCGTTTTTCAGGGTATATGTCAAGAAAACTCCCTGGTTAGAACCGTTCGGTGACCTCACTACATACTAGTCAACTACTCATATTGATTCTCGTGGCATTATCGAACGAAAAAAATTTAGTGACTTAAAAAATGCGTAAAGTAGTTTCATGGCGACCACTAAGTAAGATTTTTTGAATGGGGAAAGTAGAACCCGCCACAGTTTCTACTCCACCGGCTCGTCCCTATCCTGCGGCTCCAAGAGTTCGTGGTCAGCCCCGGGCACCGTAGCCCCCAAAGCGCCACCCCGAATGTTCATCCTCCCGATTCCGGCGTACGCGAGCGCCAGAAGCGCAATGCTCATGGCCATACCCGCGAAAAAGACGAGCAGCAGGTGGTCGAGCTTGTTCGTGTTTATGCTCTGGAAAACGGACGCTAGTATGCCAGTCACCATGACATCGGAGTCCTCGTACGGTTGACTTGTAGTCAAACCAAGTTTTCTGTTTTTGTATTGGTTCAGCATATAGAATTTTCCAAACTCTTTTTCACTGAGGTAGAGCTGCTGTAGTTTGTTCTAAACGCTTCTGTGAATTCCGTTCGAGCGGGCAAAGAGCCAGTGTGGTTTTCTATCGCATGAAAAAAAACATGAACGTACCTCGTCCTTGTCATTTGACCGGGCCCGCAAGTGGTCGAGCATTCTGAGAAGCCCGACCACTCCCCCCAACCACAGTACTGCACCTCGCCGCATACCTGCATGTTACAGGGCTCCACCTCCACCGACTTCTTGTGGTCGCACGGTTTTCCCGAGTGCTTCGGCATGGTGATGATGTGCCTGAACCGCGACTTTTCGCCACCGCCGCAGGCTTTACTGCACGCACCCCAGCCCTGCCATTCACCTGGGTAGTTTTGTTGCTGACTATGCGCTTACTTAAGCAAAGTGCTGTCTGTAGGACAATATTACGTGGCTAAATCACACTAGATCAGATGCAAGATCGGAGGGATTATATGTTGCGACTCTATTTGGTCAGCCAACCACAACACGCTCGACCGCGAGAAGGCGAAAAGAAGAGGACTTTTTACCCCATTCGCAGTCCACGGCGTTCGAGCAAACGAAGGCGTTGCAGCCCTGCACCTGCTCAAGAGACCCCTCGCAAGGCTTACCAGAACCTTTGGGTTTCGTGACAATGTCTCGCGTACGAACCTGGGATCCGCCTTCGCACTCGGCGCTGCAGTCACTCCAGTAGCTCCACTCCCCGAGGACACAGTCGACTGGCTCGTTTTTACAGTTCTCCCCGTAGTCCGTCGTTCCGTCACCAGGGATGTTGCATGGCTCGACCTGCATAGGAACGAGGATCGACTTTGCATTTGTTTAATAATTTGAGTGACAATTATGAGTAAGCATACGTGGGCCGGTTGATTTAATATTGTGTTCAGTTGATTCGTTGCATCTGAAAGTAGCAGGTTCATCCGCCATCGCAGCGCCTGTGACACTTACCTCTTTCGTGGCTCCGTCGCAGGGCTTGCCGCCCTTGGAGCTGGTTTGCGTGATCCGGCGGGTGCGGTCTTTGATGCCGTTGCAAGGGTCGGTGCAGTCGCCGAATGCGGTCCAATCGCTGAACACGCAATCCACGGACTCGTCACTGCACTCGCGCTCGTTGCACTTTTGGAACTCCTGCTTCATCCCTTCCAATTCTGCGCCGCAGTGGTTCGGCGGCGTATCGATCTTCCGGCTGCGCACCTGGTAACCCTCCCCGCAGCTGGCACTGCAGGCGCCCCAATAGCTCCATGCGCCCCACACTCCGTCGACGCAGCCCTCACCACACTCGTGCGTGTTGCAGGGCGCAACCTCCTCCTTGGACTTCGCCTCGCAGAGTTTACCTTTTAGTTTTGATTTGCACTGGGTGAATGAGTATGAACGTCGACTCACTGCTTCCTGTTTGTGTAGTCAGCCGTTGTACATGGAATCGCGACACTGTCGCAGTTTTGGTTCATCCGCAACTACAACTTGGCCAAAAGAATCGATCCTAGACGGGGTAAACTTGAAAACTCGCGCCCAGCACAGAAACCACGCTTACCTCCGTTCCTGGGACTGACGGACACATGTCGGTCGCGTGATTTTTGTCCGCCACCGCAGCTGGCGGAGCAGTCCGACCATCCCTCCCAGTTGCCCCACACGCAGTCCACCGGGGTCTTGCACGGCTCGGTACCGCAGGCCTCCACCTCCTCCAGGTCGTAGTCGCAGGACTTGCCCCCCGCCGCGGCGTGCTGCTCGATGACGCGGCGGCGGAACCGCTGGCCGCCGTTGCACGTGGCGGAGCAGCTGCTCCAGGGCTCCCATATCAAAAGGAAAAATCCCCCCTCCCCATATCAAAACGAAGCTTCTGATGCAGGATTTGCGTACACACATAAGATTTGTCTTGCTGGAGAGGAATGCAGCCCCATACTAAGCCTAAGTAGAGAGGCTCTGGCCTAGGCGTCTAGCATGAGAAACGTCCGTGTTGTAGGCCCATCAGCATCACAAACCGCCTGCACAATGCTGCGGAGCTTGTGGAGTTGCCTTCTTGCAAGACCGACGTGATTTGAGGTCTCAAATCAGCAACACAAATTTCCGGAAACATACCATTTCGATATGGGGAGGGGGGATTTTTCCTCTTAATATCCCACGCGCTCACTTCGCAATCGATCGGCTGCGCGCACACCTCCTCGTTGCACGGCTTGGTTTCCTTCATCACGTCGTTCTCGCAGGTTTTGCCGCCGTTCTTCGCCTCCTTCAGAATGCCCCGGGTCCGGTAGGTCTGGCCCCCGCCGCACGCTGCGGTGCACTGCGACCACGAGTCCCACTCCGAGAGGACGCAGTCCTGCGGCTCCTTCACACACTCCGGGTTCTCGCACCTCTGGGTTTCCACCTTCGGGCCCTCGCACAGTTTGCCGGCACCCTGCTGATGCACGCCGATCGATCGGTGGCGCTCCATAAGCCCCGTGCAAGTGCAGGCGCCCCAGTCACTCCAGTCGCCCCACTGACAGTCCACCGCCACGCACGGCTGCACGTTGCAGGCCGAGATCTCCATACTGGACTTCTCGTCCGGCGCACACTGGCTCCCGTACTTGTTCGGCATGGTCATCACCTGGCGCTCGCGCACCTTCTGCCCCCCGCCGCAGGTAACAGAGCACGCGCCCCAGCTGTCCCAGTCGCTCCAAACGCAGTCCTTCACGGTCTTGTGTCCGTCTTCGTTCACGCACACCTCCGTGTTGCACCCTCGAATCTCCTTCAGATCACCTTAAGATTGGTAAACAACGTGATAGAGGAAACAAGACTACTAAAGCTGCTCAGCGGCGAGTGATGTTGTAGATCCTGCATTTAACCGCTGTGCCTACGTATCTGTCCGTGCCGTAACATCATGCTCCAAGCACTCAACGAGCCGAAACGGAAACAGAAACACCTCAACATTTTTCGCATAATAAAATCGCATTCGTTTTCGTACCGCTGCAGATCTTTCCGCCGTATTTCGGTTGCGTGAACACAATTCGGTTGCGCGTTTGCTCCCCGCCACCGCAGGTCACGGAGCAAGACGTCCAGTCGCTCCAAGAGCCTAGAGCGCAGTCCACCGAGGGGGCCGGAGTGGTCGGCTTGATATTGCAGTTGTCGACGTTGCAACTCTTGATCTCTTTCAATGACCCGTCGCACGGCTTGCCGCCCTTCAAAGGGTACGTGGAAACGTAACGGGCACGTGCGTGGATACCTAAAAATTGGATTCGTCGTCACAACAGAATCTCCTCCTCCACTTACACTTTTTGCAATTGCAATTTGAGATGACCATGACTGTTTGCTTGTCTTAGCCTTGCTTTCTTTGCATGGCAGATTGCTAGATCCAAAAACGCTTTACCATTGCATGAGCACGAGCAGTCGTCCCAATCTGACCACTCCGATAATTCGCAGTCGACCGGGGTCTCGCAAGTTTCCAAAGCGCACGGTGCTACTTCGGACATGCTCTTGTCGTCGCAGAGCTTGCCACCCGCGCGTGGTGCGACCGTGATCAGCCTAGACCGTGTTTTCTCACCGCCGTTGCAAGTTTTGCTGCACGCCGAGTAAGAGGACCACTCACCTGAGCGAAAGGATTCAGATTTTTCGTGCTGTGTTTGCAATCGCAACACGGAAAACTGCCGGGCGCCCGATAGATACGAACGAATGAAGACACAGTTAGTATACAGACTATTCTACTTATTTTGGTACATCATTCTGAACTTGGATCAGATTCACAATCAGCACTGCAATCAGAAATTTATATTTCATTGTACCCCACTGACAGTCGACCGGATCCTCGCAAACCTGCTCGTTGCAGCCTTGGATTTCTACTAACGGGTCTGTGCAGGGCTGGCCACCGAATTTCGCCGCCACCTCGATTGTTCGCGTTTTCTGCTGCTGACCTCCACCGCAGGATTTGGAGCACCTGAGCGTTGTAGTAGCTTGTTTGGTTCTTTACATACATCTGGAACCGCCGCCTGTGACCTGCTACATCAGTCACGACCGAGATGATGACAACTAAAATCGCAGCCGCGGACACCACTTTGCAAGTTCCGCGCATTTTTCGGAGAAGAATGAATGTACTGCCAACCCGTGGTTTGTTCGCTGAATAAACAACTAGAGCGGTCGCAAAAGTGAATACTCGCCCCAACTGCTCCACTCGGACAACTGGCAGTCCGCAGCGGAGTGGCAGGGTCTCGTGTTGCACTCCTTCGTCTCTTTCAGGGAACCCTTACACGGTTTTCCGCCGTTCTTTTCCTCGGTGGTGATTTCCCGCGTGCGCGTGCGCTGCCCGCCGTCACACTCTTTGTCGCAGTCTGACCAGTAGGACCACTCACTCAGTTTGCAGTCTACCGGGTCCTTCACGCACTCCGGGTGACAGGTTACGGTCTCTACCTTGCTGCCGCTGCACGGCTTTCCGCATTCGTTGTTCTCTTGATCAATGCCGCGGTGTCGCTCCTGATACAAATGGAAAGGGCGGGAGATAGCAAGAATCTATGAAAATTTTGCGTTCAATCAGTGTTAACCTACGAGGAAAGAACTACGCCTTCGTAATTCATTGCAGCACGATGAACCAACAGCAACAATGTACAACTTACTTGCAACCCTTCACAGGTGCAGGGACCATATTCAGACCACTGGCCCCACACGCAATCTGTTGGGTAGCACCCGTCGCACATAGCGTTCCCGCAGTCGGATACCTCCTTCTGCGTCCCCTCGCATTTCAGCGTCTCCTTAGACGACGACGAATGCTTTGAGGAGTGCTCGTCTTTTGCGTTGGCTTGCCTGACGGGCAGTACCGCCACGAGCAGCAACTGGCTTGCTGCTGCGGCCCGCATCCCTCCTCGAGCGGTGCAATAAGGTCCGCTCTGCAGTTTTGACTCTTTGCTGTGTAAATGAGGGAGAGGGCAACCACCAGGTAGAAAACGCTTTTAGAAAAAGATGTTCGTCTTGCACTGAGGAAATATTTTCCTCTGTCGTGCCATGCCCGTCTACACAGCGACTCGGTGACTGCTCAGAAGTGGACTCAGTCCGACTCGACATAGCATCGCACACACACAGCACTTCTCGCGTCAGTGTCTTCAAAAGAAATTTTTCCACCTGCAAACAAATAGGGCCCTTGCCCTTCTTCCAAGCGAAACATAGGTACTTCTACCGGCATCGCTCGTTTTTTGTGTGGTGTCAAACTCAACCAACATGGGCCACAGCATCCTTTCCACTCCGGGAAAAAAACGAGAACACGTCGCGTCAACCAGGCACGCGGATTTTTTTCCGCATCAGACCGCACACGACAGTTTCTACTGGACTACCAGATCCAGGACCAGACTTGCTGTATACTAGAAATCTGGTACGCTAGCCGTCGGTCACGGTGCAGCTGTGCAGCATGATAAATTTGCATGTCCCGTGTTTCTTTCCGCATGCCCAGCGCCTAGCTCCCGTTGGGATGACAGGGCGGAAGATTTAGCATCGTACAAGTCCAACTCGACTTCTACGTAAACTCAACACTACTCGCATGGTAGTTCGTACAAATAAGTTTTCTGTTTTCTTGTCTCTGGCTTGTCTTTACGTAAAAATATTTCCGCAGAAGTTCCCGGTCGCGCAGCAGGCAAGTCTACTTGCTTTCTGCCGCCGACCTGCATGTCTAGCTCTTTCTAGACGAGCAGAGACATCGCATTGTTCCATTGACTGAAAATGAGATTTATGCAGGATAAAATATCGGTCGTCCCAAGGCAAGCTTTCCTGGCTGCAGTTCCGCTACATTCACTTGAACAGAAAAACACTTCACTCTAACTATGATGTAAAAGGCGCTTGCGTGCAGCAATCTCTTGCTGAGCTTCGACTCGTATTTATTTTCGTGCGCTCGCCTAGAAATCACTTTTACTAAGAGAACGGGACGGCGCCGCGGCTCGTCCACTATACAACAACTGGGAGATGCTATTTCAAAAAACGCGAAAGAAGCTTGAGCGCATCAGGCCGGGCTCGATATGTGGTTCCTCCATGAGCGCCTCCTCCAAGGCGAAGGCCGGAAACAAATTTGCATCTAGGTACTCGTGGAGGTCCGCACTCGCGTTAGTATCTAGGTTTGAGAAATTATCGACAATAAAGCGAGCGAAGTGTTTTTCGTTTCCTCGGGGATGCTATCAGATATCATGTGGAAAGACACCAGCACGATATGAAAGCGGAATAAACGAAGCGGATTCGTTAAAAACTGCGGAACTACTGCTGAAAGCTCGCATCGGGACCGACCCAGTATGAATCTCACATTTCATAGTAAAACAAAAAATCTGGAAAATCGGTTTCTCACGAATAAGTTCCGAGAGATCAAAAAAATTCGTTCGGTCACGACGAACCTGGTGGCTCAGGTGCGGGTGCAGGGTTCCTGGTTAGTATATCTGTTGGCTCCAGCATCGGCGAGGCCGTGGAAGAATCGAACGGAGACAATGAACTGCCCTCGTCATTCTGTCTTCTCCTAAAAACCCCGGTGAGGAATCCCAAGCCTACGATACAGGCAACCATACCGGCGAAGAAGCATCCAAGCAGATGCTTGATCGAGTACTCGGCCCCGGGCGGAGAGAGTGTCTTTTCGAGCTCGGCCAAGATACCTCGGTAGTAGAGATACGTTTGGACAAAATTTACCGCGATTCCTTTTTGCGCACATCTCATGCTTCTTCGTGGCAACACCTTAAACGTCGATAAGAGAAGCAAAACAGGCAAAAAATGCAGTCTGCTGCAAACCTGTGACTAGTATGTCCTTCTGGTCCCACGGCTCGTAGCTGCTGTACTCGAGATTTCGATATCTTGACGTCTCCGCAGTTCCGCATGTTGCACTACAATCGGACCTGTGAGTGCAAATAGAGACGCTTTATCAATTCATTGGAAAATGTTCGATGATGTCAAAAGCGGCACGCAAGAGACGAAAAAAGGCTCATGTAATCCCATTCAGCCTTGAAGCCTGCTGTGCTAGTGAAGTTATACCAGCCGCTCCAGCTTCCCCACACGCAATACTGGATGCTTCCGCAGGGGTATTTGTTGCAGCTCTCGACTTCCAGCGAGTCGTCCAAATCGCACGGCTTTCCGTCTTCACTGGGCATGGTATCGATGTGGCGAAATCTCGTGGTTGTCCCGCCGCCACACTCCTTGGAGCACGCACCCCAGCTGCTCCAGTAGCCCCAGACGCAGTCGATGGTTGTTGCGCATTTCCAGTCGTTGCACCCGCTCACTTCCACGAGCGACCCGTGACAGGGCATCCCGCCATTCTGCGGCTTCTGTAAAATTCTCCTCTCTCTGCGGTGCACGCCACCCCCGCAATCGGCGGAGCAGCTGCCATAATCCGACCACTCCTCAAGGATGCAGTCCACCGGAACTCCCTTGCAATCGGAGGAATCTGTATGCGTGATTTATCAATTCGCGCAGAAGTTGATGTCTACTTTTTTCCGAAACGTAGTGGAAATTTTTGAAAGAGGAACCCTGCAGCAAGCGTTGGTTCAACAGATGAGCTCGAAAATTTGAATTTCATCTTCACGTACAAGCAAAAGGGTAAGACTTTTCAACATACCAAATCCAAAACATCATCCAGCATAAAGATAAACTCCGTACTGATGTTGCATCCTTGTATTTCCTTCATCGAGCCCTCGCACGGTTTTCCGCCGTGCGCCGCGTTCGTTGCGATCCTGCGACTTCGGTCTTGGATTCCGTTGCAGGGCGCGGAACAATCTGACCAGTAGCCCCACTCGGCGTAGGCGCAGTCAACCGCTTCCAATCCGCACTCCTGCTCGTTGCACTTCTCGTACCTTCTGTTGGGTCCTTCGAGTCCCTTGCCGCAGTAGTTTGGGGTGGTCAACACCTCGCGGCTGCTAAAGCGATAACCGCCACCACAGGACTTCGAGCACTGTGAAAATTCGGTCCACTCGGACCACAAGCCGTCCACGCAGGGAGAGTCACATTCCTGCACCTTGCAGGGCTTCACTTCCGCACGATCCTTCGCCTCACAAAGCTTCCCGATCCCGCGGGGCGCAACCTTTTCGTGAATTTTTATTTTTGATGTTTTGCATCGACAATTTTTGCATGTCTTTCATGGCTAAGATGTCGAGTTTTTCACACTAGGGTTAGGCAATGCAACTCAAATGCGAAAAAAACACATGATATTCGTACATCAATGCCACGTTCCCGCTCGTGCACTCCGTTTCCGCAGGTAGCACTGCAGTCGTTCCATTCGGTCCACTCTCCCCACACACAGTCTACGTCTTCTGGGCACTGCTCCATGGTGCAGCCTTTTGTCTGTGATGTCAGGGCATTAAAGATGGTGATGGACAAAGCAGATCCCGAATAAGAGAAACACGTCTTCCGGAAAAAAAATGTCCAACTTCGCTGCGGGAACAAAAAAGGGCGAAGAAAACTGCACGAAAAACTACCTCGACTAAAGACTCTCGCTCGCAGGTCTTTCCGCCCCAGGCCGGGTGGCGCTGGATGGTGCGTTCGCGGCTTTTTTGTCCTTCGCCACAGGTGACGCTGCAGGTGCTCCAGTAACTCCACTCAGTCATTAAGCAGTCTTCCGGCATTTGGTCGTAACAAACGACGTCCTGGTTGCACCCCCGGGTCTCTTTCAGATCGGTCTGGCAGGGTCGGCCCCCGTTTAACACTTCCGCCTCAATCATCTTCTGCCGGAACTGCTGGCCGCCGTTGCACGTCGCCGTGCACTCACTCCAGTCGCCCCACTCAGACGCTACGCAATCAATCTGGTCCTTAATGCAATCCGGCTGGCAGGTATGCAACCCAACAAAAATTTACCGCACCACCACACGCTCTCTTCTGACAGCAAAAATGATTTCGTCAACCCGAGATTAGAATATCGGATTTCTGTATCCTGAGGAAGATGAATTGCCATGTTTCTGTGGTCGGTGTTTGAGGTAAATTTGCTGTGGATAGCAGGCCCGCGTTTCCACGGCGGCGCCTTCGCAGGGCTTGCCGTGTGGCCCGCTGTAATGCTGAACGATGTGTCTACTCCGTTCCCGCAAGCCGGTACACGGACAGGCACCGTAGGCCGTCCACTCAGACCAGATGCAATCCTTGTCACCACAGTGCTGGCCCTCGCAGTGTTCCACTTCAAACATTGCGCCCTCTTCACAAGGCTTACCGACCTTGTTTGGCATGGTTTTGATTTCGCGGTGCCGGTTGCGCTGACCGTGGCCGCAACTAGCGGAACAGGGTCCCCACTCGTCCCTGAGTTTCATTTTTTGTCTTCACCGCTTTACGTTGCGGCACAGCGACATGCTTGTCATCAATCATACAAACGACCAACTTCGAAAAATGGTGCAACGCGATCACAAGAAGCCAATCAAGCGGTTACCACTCCGCCCAGTCGCAATTTATTGGAACGTCGTGCGGCGGAATATCTTCCGCACAGAGATGCTCGTTGCACATCTCCACTTGCTCCAGTTCTCCGTCGCAGCCCTTGCCCCCGAAGTCGGGAAAAGTTGCAATTTTGCGGTGCCGTTTTGTTACGCCCCCGCCGCACTTTGCAGTACAAACGGACCAATCCGACCACTCTTCAAGCAAACAGTCGATGGGTGCTGGACCGGGGGGCGGATCGCAAACGTGGCCCGTATTGCAACTCTGGATCTCTTTTAGCGCGCCCTGACAGACCTTCCCACCGTTCAGTGGGAACTCATCGATGTGCCTCGTGCGCTGCTGAATACCTGTTTGTTGTCTCGCACAATTGAACATCAAAGTTCGGTCACGCAACTGTACAAGAATTGTTGATTCTACTCAACGGGCCGTCACGGGACCAGCAAAACAGAGCAGTAGATGAACTTGAACATGAACTTGCAGCTTTTTACAATACCATTGCAACTGCAAGAGCAGGCATCCCACTCGGTCCACTCGCCGATGACACAATCCTGCACCTCGCTGCAGCTCTGCTCGTTGCACCCCGTCGTTTCGCTCATAGTTTTTGCCTCGCAGTGCAGGCCGCCGTTCCGTGGGGCAACGTCGATATTCCTCGCCCGCGATTTCTGGCCCCCACCGCACGACTGGGAGCATGCGGACCAGTAACTCCAGTCTCCCCAGACGCAATCCTCAACGACGTCGCAGGGATCCGTTCCACACGCTGCCACTTCCTCGAGACTGGTTAAATCGCAAAGCTTTCCGCCGAATCGCGCTTCATTCAAGACCGTCCGCGTTCGCTTCATTTCACCGTTGCCGCATGTTTTGCTACCTATATAACTTAGAATGGTTCCTTACCAATATGACTTAAGGCTTCCACGTACCTTAAGGGGGCGTTTATACCGCACTCACATTCAACTACACTCACATTCATCTACCAAATCATCAAGGACGCCATCTAAATGAATACATTCGCCCCATGAGCTCCACTCGTTTAGTGCGCAGTCCACGGCGTCGTGGCATGGTGTCGTGTTACATGTTGAGACTTCCTTCATGCTCGCTTCGCACGGTGCACCGCCGTTGCTTGCCTTCGTTTCTATTGATCGCGTCCGAAATGTATCCCCTCCACCGCAGGGCTCGGAACATGTTGACCAATACGACCAAGATGACAGTGCGCAGTCTACTTTTGGCTTCTGACAGTCCGGCTCGCAGCTGACCGTCTCTGACATCGGGCCGTCGCATGGCTTCCCACAACCATTGTTGTGCGAGTAGATTTCACGGTGTCGCTCCTGGAGACCATTGCAGGCACATGCGGAGAACGACGACCTGGAATTATGTTTTGTGTAAGTTGTATTACGGGTACCCCGGACACTGCTTCGTATAATGATCTTTTCACACGCGATATTTACGTTGCGTACACGTACCATGATCCCCAGACGCAGTCGAGGCATTCCTCCGATGCACACGCTGACAGGTCGCACGATGCGACTTCCTTCTGCTGGCCCTGACATTTCGACAGGTGGTCATACCCCCAATCTAATGCGCGAGAGAACCCCACTGGCACGAGCAGGACGTACGCAGGATAATTTGAGCTGCGCGCCATCGCTCGATGTTGTCAGTTTCGCAACCGGGTGGATGGCATATGCCGGCGCAGTTCTCTTAGAAGCAGTTTCTGCGTAGGGACATGTTTCTGTGAGACAGCTGTTTCCAAGTGTGTCAAGATTGCATCGATTGAATGAGAAAAGATGTCGGCGTGATGTTACAGCCACACTTAACTCTGGGGTCCCTCGCGACTGTGTGTGCCCTCCGCTTGACACCTCGCTCGCCGAAAGCAACTGCTAGTACAAATGTTACATTCATCCATCTAATGCACTCGACAGAAAGAAAAAAACATTGAACAGGTTGAGAATCGCCATGGGTGGCTTGAGTAGCCCCGAACTATATCGCGGCCTTTTTTTCTTGTGCTTTCGCGCGTGCGCTTTGAATTCGAGATGTATCAAGAGCTAGTCTTTTACAAAGCGAAAATTGAGAAAGCGGTCTTTGGTGGCCATGCTTACGACGCGATGCATCGGAAAGCAACAACCACATCAGAGGAAAAAGTAATCAGTATCATATACCATATTTGTCATCCAATTGACATCAACAATCAAACATAACAATGAACGATAAGTGTTTCTCATCGCATCAGAAGTAGTCAAATCCAAAAAAGTAGTCATAAAAAGCGAAGGCGCCGTTTCGTGGAAACGGCCCTCCGGTAGTGTCTTGAGGGTCTAGACGTTTCTAAGTGTAGTACAACAAATTGCGAGGCAACTGAAAATACAATGGTCATTACATGTTTTGCCGCAATACAAGCACAGCACTGTGTGTTGTCAAAGGTACATTTGTAGTTGACAGCTCTTGTATTCTTAGTGTACTACTTTGTATTACAAAACCTAGATACGCCCCCCCTTTTTTGAGAGAGAGAAAAACACTTTTCAGGATGTAGTAGAAACTCGAGTGCTAAGTAGAAAAGATTGGACATTAGATGTTGTGGTAAAAACCCATGGAAAATTTTGTGTCGTCGTCTATCATGTTGTCGCTCCTCGTCGTTTCATCTAGACTGTACAAAACTCCGCTATCGGATTCTTACAACTCTTCGTCCTTCTTTTCCTCCTCGACCTCCTCTTCCTCCTTCTTGTCCTCGGACTTCGCATCCTCAGCCTCCTCATCGGCCTCTTCCTCCTCCTCGTCTTCCGGAAGCTCGATTTCCCGAATGCCCTCCTCCGGGTCGACACCGAGCTGCGCTGCCATCAGCTTGTAGACGCGCGCAGCCAAGTCGGCCGGGTCGGAAAGCTCGTAACCAGACTCGATAAGCGCCGTCTGGAACAGCATCTCGGCGCTGTTTGCGGTCTTCGGATCGTCCTTGGATTCCTTCACTTTCTGGAGCAAGTTGTGGACAACCTGATTTGTGATGGATTTTTCCATTTTGACTTGTAGAACAACGGAGCGATAAGATTCTTGACACATGCAATGTGACTCACGTACGCGCAGCGCACTGTGGCACAGAAGGATGAAGTTTTTGCGAATGTAAGCAAAAAGAAGCAAAACGAATATTATGTACCGGGTGGTTTCCGTTGATCTCGAGAGTCTTCCTTCCGGCCATCATCTGGATCTGGTCCTTGTTCTGGAAGGCCTGTGCGCGCATGATCTTCTCCTGGTGAGCGGAATACCCGAACTGGGAGGTGACGACAACGCAAGGAGATTCTGTGAGACGCTTGGAGAGGACGACACCTGATTATTTGATTACGGCAAAGGCAATGACGGACTTGCAAAATAAGTACCTTCATTTCACATCACACCTACAGTAAACAAAACCCCAGCCAAAAAAGTTTTCACCACAGCGCCGAAAAATTCCTTACCGTCGATCTTGACGCCGCTGCTCTTCATGCCGCCGGATTCGGTGAGCTTGGTGAGGAGCTCCTTCCACCAGTCGGTAAGCGGCTTGTACATGTCCTTCATCTTGTTGAAGCGCTTGATTTCCTCTTCGGTTTCCTCGAGCTTGACATCCGCCTTCTGGATGGACACGAACTTCTTGCCCTCGTAGTCTGCCAACTTCTGGATGCACGGCTCGTCCAGGTGATCCGTCAACAGCAGGACCTCAATGTTCTTCTTCTTGAAGATCTGCAAGTTCGGCAGCTTCAGGAGCGTCTCCATGGATTCACCTGTTTTGTGATTGAACCGATGTTTCATCCAAGGGCGGGATTGCAATGGAAGTGGAAATCTGAATGGCAATTGTTCCACATCAGACGCATGAATGAGACAGCTGTGTGTACTGAAAATGATGAATTGCAACACAGAATAAACAAAACGCTACAATAGTCTTACCACTGGCGAAGTAGATGGAGTCTTGCTTTTCCGGCATGTTGTCCAGGTATGAGTCGAGGGAGATTTCCTTGTCGTTCGACTTGGTGGTGGTGAAGCGGAGCAGCTTGCTGATCTTGGAGCGGTTGGCATCGTCCTCGTAGCAGCCCATCTTCAAGTTCTTGCCGAACTCCTTGTAGAAGGTGTCGTAGTGGGACTCGGCGTTCTTGTCCTTCTTCTTCTCCTTCTTTTCCTCGCCGTCTTCGCCCTCCTCGTCGTCGTCCTCGTCCTTGTCGGACTCGGCGTCCTTGGACATCTTCTTCAGCAGCTCCAGGACCTTGCGGACCAGCTTCTTGGTGATCACCTTCATGATCTTGTTCTGCTGCAGCTGCTCGCGGGACACGTTGAGCGGCAGGTCGTCACTGTCGACGACACCGCGGATAAAGTTCAGGTAGCGCGGGAGGAGATCCTCGAACTTCTCGGCGACCAGCACGCGGCGGACGTACAGCTTGACCTCGGACTTCTTGGTCCAGTAGTTGTCCAGCATGTCCATCGGGGCCTTCTTGGGCACGAACAGGATGGACTTGAAGTCAATCTCACCCTCGGCGTTGAAGTGGGTGTTGGCAAGGGGTTCCATGTAGTCCTTGGAAATGGCCTTGTAGAAGTCGGTGTACTCCTCGTCCGTCACCTCGTCCTTGGAACGCAACCAGATGGCCTTCTGGGTGTTGACCTGAGAGGGTGTTGATATGGGAACGACAATAGTGTGGTGGAAGAACATTCCGTGGAGAGTGAGTATGCTCATGTGATTAAGCTCCTGATTTTGCACAAAAGCAGTGCTTCATCCTCCGCTGAGTATTCAGAAAAAATGAGTACCGCCACTTCTACACGGACGAAAATGAAACACGATCTGATAAAGCGAGATAAGGGAGCACGAGCGAATAGATACCTGTTCCCACTCGTAGATGGTGGTCTTCTTTTTTTCCTTGGGCTCCTTCTTCTTTTCCTTCTTCTCCTTCTCCTCATCGTCCTCAGCCTCGGCATCTTCGTCTTCCTCTTCGTCGTCGTCCTCCTCCTCTTCTGCCTCGACCTCCTTCTTGACCTTCAGGTAGATCGGGTACTGGATGAACTGCGAGAATTTCACGAGGGTCTCCTTCAGCTTGTGCTCGTTCAAGAAGTCCTGAGCATCCTCCTTCAGGAAGAGAGTGACGCGGGAACCTGATAGGGGATCATGTTAACAGCCGATTTGTGACATCAATGCGAGTAGGAATAGTGAGGCACAAATTCAAGCACACGAGGAGGACAAGAAGATGAAAGTCGTGTCTAGTACTGGTTGACACTTCATGCAAGAGAACCACCACACCTACACATCATGGTCACACAAACACTTACCACGGCCCAAGGTGGAGCCTCGCGGGTCCTCGGACACGGTGAAGGCGGCATCTGCGGTGGATTCCCACACGTGCTGCCCATCATCGTCGTTGTTCTTGGAGGTGACGGCAACCTTGTCGGCAACCAGGAACGCGGAGTAGAAACCGACACCGAACTGACCGATCAAGTTCGTGTGGTCGCCACCCTCGGCCATGGCCTCGAGAAAGTTGGTGGTTCCTGACTTGGCGACTGTACCCAAGTTGTTGATCAAGTCCGCCTTGCTCATACCAACACCGGTATCGGTGATAGACAGAGTCTTCGCTTCCGGGTCGAACTCAATCTTGATCTCCAGGTCCTTGGTGTCACCAAGGAAGGAGGCTTCCTGCACGGAGTAAAACCTGTTGTTTGTGTAGTTTTTACCATGATATGATAGATGATGCTGTTGAAGTGAAAACTGCAGAGCGCACTTATAACGACCGAAGTACTTATGCCAAGCTGGAAATCATTACCTGCAACCAAATCGAATGCAAGTGGCGGCACTACTCACACGATGAGCAGATGCAGAAAAAGCCTACGTCACAAATGTTACCTTGCTTTCTCCAGGGCATCGGCGGCGTTGGAGATCAACTCACGAAGGAAAACCTGCTTGTCCGTGTACAGCGAGTTGATGATGATATCCATCAAACGCGACACTTCTGCCTGGAACTCGTGTTTCTCTCCGCCCTCTGCCATCTGGTTTATTGGTCACATTGGTTTTGTCATAGGATTGAGATGGCAAGCGTATCACGCAGGGAGAGGAAGAACATTTGCTTTGTTGCACAATAGTAAAGGAGACAAAAACCATCCACATTAGGGTCAACAAATAGAATGAATACCTTTGCAATTTCGTCGGAGGAGAAGCCGTCGACCTTCTTGTCATCCTTTATTTCTTCTTTTGCTACCTCCTCCGTCGTTGCCGCGACTTCCTCCTCCGCGAATGCCACACTGCCGAGAAGGGCGGTCGCCCCGAGGGCTCGTCGCAAAAACAGTGCCATCTTTCTTGGGGTACCTTTCGGGTCTGTCTGCTCTAGAAAGACTCCAACAAGGTGCGATCAGAAATACTTCACTAAACTATATTTGTCAAAAATGTTGTGAGAAATATTGTTGTTGTGAAAATCTGTCACGTCCAAGTGTAAAGATTGATCTTCGGGATCTCTACTCCGGGCGAAAAAAAGCGCACCGGAATAGGACAAACGTTGCTTTGCGGACGAGAAACGGTCCTCGAGCCGAGAAAAATGCGGAAGATCCTGTGTGTGCCTGTTGTTGTATTTTCGTCGCAGATGATGGTAAAATGGAAAATCGCCAAAGCGCCGAAACCTATCCGGATTCGTGCGAGCGTGAATGGAGATCGTGTAGAGAATGAAAGTACTGTAGGGACCGAGGAAATTCAGATCGTTTGCGCAGGGAAAAGTAACGTAGATATGGCGTGTTTTCAGAGAGGTATATTGTAGTAAGGATCTGTACACAAATTCAAGGCTAGGGGGAACCGAAAGATCGAGTCGTGCTGGGCATGCGGAGGCTTGGATGCTGTTGCAGTTTGTACAATTTGATGAAAAAAGGAGATGCGTGAAACACTCAAGATCGTTTGTCATCCGCAGCATTGCCATGCAACTGAAAATGGAAAATGCCACTGCCACTCAAGACATGGAATTCGCTCTGTCATCAGGAAGGAACTGGTAACCGATCGGTGTTCTCGCTCACCTTTGATTGCGATTGCAGAGTAAGAGGATCCTGCAGAAAGGTCTTTGCATCGGGGCAGCTTGCTGTGCGAAGTAGTACTTGCTTGGAACGTGACTATAGTGGTCACAGAATATCGCTGAGTCATCGTGTTGATCTGGGAGTACTTAGCTCTTCTTGCAACGACCGTATCGCTGCAACACGTTGCTGATCTGAGACAAGATCTTCGCGCAGGTGTACCTTTGCGCGCCAGATGTGTGACAAGACTGTCTTGATAGCATTTTCGAATGTCTTGGACATTCGCAAATGCTAGTACGGTCTGATCCTGCTTAGGTTTTCCGACTCTACTACGGTTCCGACTTATATCGCCGTTGCACGGCACGCGCTGTACTCCTTCAACTACTATTCTGATCTTTGCAACTTCTGCCGTACGAAGCGAGCACATGTGCAGAAGTGGGCACTGTTTCCATCAGTCGTGCTTGGTCTTTGCCGCGGACACTAGTTCTCGACAGTGCGCACTGAAGCGAACCAGGTACCTTCGAGAGACTAGTGCGCTCATCCCGAGTGCTATGCCAACGACGCTTCCGTGCTTTGCTACTAGCAGAAGAAGATCATTGCTGTTTGCAGCCGGCAACAGACTCACTGGTGCAGCTACCGCTCCAAACGTTAACACTAGTAAGCACGCCGATCCCGCTGCACAGCTCCAGATGGTAAGCACCTCCACAAGTTCCCGCACAGAGATAGGCACTTTTAGCGTACGCGGCAGTTCGTCCTTCTCCAGCAGGAAAACAACGCAGCGCAGTACCCGTGCTCCCATGCACAATGTATTCGCCCCCAGAATCGCTGCTGCACGCCAATGGAAAAATTTGTGGAGAAACAGGCTGCTAACCCCGAGCAAAAAGCTGATTGCGAACTGGTAAGCAACATTCCGGTTCAGCCAAGTCGTCGGCGCACGCGCGTGTGTGTACGCCTCCAGAATACCATTCAGGCTTGCGGTAAAGAGAAATCCGCAGTACAAGCGGAGAGACAGCACGGCTTCGTTTGCTGCAACATCCGCCCACTGCGGTCCGTAAAGAAGGCGCACAGCCAGGTACGCGTTTGGTGGGCCGTACAGAAGCGCCAAATACCCGATACCGCCCTGCAGTGCAAGCAAAGTAGCAAAGATCGTCGCGCCCTCTGTTTCGCTCTCAGTAGTGGTGCTTTCAGGTGGTAGTTTCTCTTCCGCGGCGATATCTCTGTCGGACGCTGCTCCCGCGCGCCGTCTTTCGGCTTTCGCAGTAGTGCTTCCATTGCTGCCGGAGGCCGAAGCTTTCGTCAGCGTTCCGGCCGAAGACCCGTCAGCACCAAGTGGTACTTCACCTGGAGCACCTCCGCTTCCCGCATTTGGATTTGCATCTGCACTGGTACTAAAAAAGGTGAACGCCAAATCCTCGATCGGTGCAAACAGCAGACGCAGAACTAGCGAACCCAGATTTGTCACCAGCGCGAAGGTTCCCCACACGGCAGGGTCAGGAAACAGATACACCAGAAGCATTTTCTCGCCTTCCGCCAGCGCAAGTTTCTGTACAGAGAGGACTAGCATACTTCGTGCCAGCTCCGAGGACTCCGCGCTCAGTTCGAACTCGGTGAAGTCTGAAGGTTGCAGAAACGACGGGAGACCGCGCCTGTACATCAGCTTTCCCAACTGAAGTGGGGTGATAACTCCCTTGCGCAGACGAGGCCGACTTTGCTCGGGCCCGTCACCGCTCCCTGTCACGGAACTTGATGCGCTGCACTCGCTGGATTTCACATCCTCATCTTTACTGACCATAACGTATTCGCGATCCACTGCAGGATTCAGAACGTCAGCAACTGTTAGTGTCTCCGGGATCTGTACCCGCTGTAAGTAGACGGAGAACGTGACTAACACGTACACAAACTCTGCGAGGGCGCATGCGAGAGTGTACTGCGTTCCGCACACCAATACCAACACTGCAAGAGCAACCGTTTTGAAGATGCGCCCGATTCCCTCCGCCAGTGGTCTCGTGTCCAGTCTCCCACGAGTCTGTTCGTACAGTGCGAAGGGCTCGAGGAGAAAAGCTTCCAGTTGCGTCGCAATGCCGACCAGGCACCAGCTAAGCAGCAGCGGTGAGACACGAGATATGCCTGGGAGAAACCGTGCGTAAATGCTGGTCCCTTCTTCCGCAGATTGCTGTGCGATTGCGAGCGACTCGTCTGGCATTAGGAACCAAAAGCAGAGCACATTCACGGCAGCGGTTCCAACGACGCCGTAGACTAGCAGGCGGCACTGTTCCGAGAAATCTTTCAAGCGCATCGCCGCCCGCCGGAAGCCCTCCTTCTGAAGAAACAGCGCCAAGGAGTTGTAGAGTGTGAAATAGAAGCCCCGCCCATATTCTTCTGCCGACACGTACCGAGCTAGTAACAGATTCAACGCGAAGGTCAGGATCTTCACCACGAATCCGGTGGCAAGCAGCGCTGCTAGCCCGCGAAACATGTGGGCCCGTCGTGCAGCCGTTCCTTCTTTGCTGGCAAAGGGAGGAGGACAGTCGTCCGCTGACGCCATAATTTTCGTAGAGTGGTAGACTTATGCAGCGCACATCGAAATAGAGTAAAAGTACTTACAATTCCGGTGATCGATCACATTTCTCCTCAAACGGAAGCGGAACGGTCGAGCGTTATACTGCTCTACCAAGCGGCTGGCAATAAATCAGATCTGCGATGAGATGATAGACAAGCTGATGTTTCTCCTGCCCGGACAACATCAGCCGACTCTATCAACAACAAGTGGTAACGGATCCCCAAAATTACACATCGCATTGTTCGCAACTGGCGTAAGTAGCGTGAATCCGGCGTTGTGTTAGTGTCCGGTAGTGACCCACTCCTGATCGCAACCGAGTTCGTGGAACGCTGCTGCCACCCTGCTTAAAACGCAGCAGTCTCATCCCTTAGCGTGTATGCTATATGGATATGCAGCCAACTCCATCAGTTTGATGTATGAGTAAATTCTCATATCTTCACACGTGATCTGTTTCTCTTCTTCGTCCGCCCCCCCGCGATGAGCTCTGAAGCATTCTTCACGTAGTGCAAATAACCGACGCACACTCCTGTTTCCATTCCGTGCTCCCCGCAGTGAGAAACGGTGAAAGTGAGGCCGCCGCAATCAAAACCGCAATGCGCTTACGCCATCTCCAATATCTGTTTTTTTTTTTCAACCATTACACTTCTATGTATTAAGTAGCTTGTCGCTACAGGTATCCTACACACTACAATCTTCTCGCCTCTTCTTTATTCGCAGTGACGAGACAAATGAGCCGCTCGCTTTTTTGTTTGTTAGATTGATTAAGCTTTGTCTTCCTTTTTTCAGGGGTTAGTGCAAAGTCACTTGTCGCACCCGAGTGTTTTTATTTAGTAGCGCTAGAAGAACGTGAGAAGAAGGCACAACCTTCACCCGGAAAACCACGTTTCCACTCGTACAAACAAACAAACAAGCTTTGTCTCGCAAACAACGTACAAAATTGAAATTTTAATAATCGTAAGTACGTAGTTTTTTTGCATAAGCGTCCGCTGCCATGGCAAGATTACTCCTCGATGGTGGTGCTGGGCAGGACGTTACGGCGTATTCTGCCTTGTTTGTTACTTCCAACTTTCCGCTGTCAAAACGCAGCTCCGCCTTGCCTCGGTTGCATTCCCGCATGGCCAGAAAGGCCGCGGCGCATCCGTCTGAACCTGATTTGTTCAAAAATCAGAGCAGCTGATTTGTTCAAAAATCAGAGCAGTTGCCCTTCGTTCCTTTGCTAATATCGTGGTTGCCTTTGTGCGTCTCTTATCAATATGTGGTACCACGAACTCGAACACAGCTGCATGCATATCATGTAGTACCTGGGCTTGCTGCACACCGTACCAGAGCATCCGCCTCCTGATCACACGAGGACATCTTGAAGTTTTCTTTTTTCCAAACTGAGACCCTAGACTCTTCTTCCCTCGTGTGATCACGTCGTGCTCGTGCTGTTACTTATTTTCTTGCATGCATGCCGCGGGGAACCGATCGAAAGCGAGCAGCGGTCTTTGCTTTTGTCTTTTGGTCGGTGCACGACGTGGATGTCTTTTCCAAACAACAAATTTTTCGCACCAACGACGCCGCAAACACACGGGGCAGATACCAGATCCCATCCCATCTTCACGTCGCCCTTTTACTTTATTTCAATCTGTTCATTCGCAGGTCGAAGTTTTTGCATACAGGCAAGATGAAGTGTTTGAAACACGAGGCACCAAAAGGCGAGCGATGTGTTTCTCTTTTACCGTATCCGTATCGAGCGCACGACTATTACTTTCTTCGCACGAGATTGAAGATGACGTCGAGGGTTGCCAGTGTCTGCATTGCAACTTACATCTTACACGATAGAATTTCGAAAAACAGTCTTCGGAAAGGCAAACCAGAAAACAAGTGGGTTTCGGCGTGAAAACGAAATGCAAAGAAAAATCGCGGTCAAGGTATAGAAATGAGCTGTTGAAACAGAAACTATGAAATGAAAGGGGATTCGCTTACTCATATTACGGAAATCGGTTTTGGAATACTTTTCAATAAGTATGCTAACACTTTACAGTCTATGTATCACTAGGGACATTAAAAAGACTAGCGCCCTCATCTTGTCGGCACGCACGGGCCCGCGTTGTAATTGTAGCAAGAAGTTGCAGCAGAATCATAGTACTGCCTCTGCAGCCGCATGCGTGTTCGTAGCTTCTCATTCAGATGGAAACGCAAATTGCGTTTCCATCATATCTGGCTTATACATGACTTTCTCTTTCGTACACATCGCACGAGCCGTGCCAGTACCGTACTTTATCCCGCGTCTATCAGCGAATGTTGACCCATCGTCCAAAATTAACTGCGCCGCCCCTACTTACGCTCGCATTTCAAAAATATTGACACTGAGCTTCAAGTTTTACTAAAATTATGCCTCGTTCGAATGCGAGTAAAATAATTTTTTCGCCTGAGCTACTTTACAGAAGGATAGATGAGAAAGACCTGATACTGGCTGGCATCCACACAACCCCAACTAGCTGCTGATCACTACCAGCAACAGATAGGGTTTTCCTTCCCCGAAAGCGAAAAACAAAACACAAGAAGAAATAAAAGTCAAATGACTACTACCTCTTGAAGACACAGCGAAAAAGCGTTCATCCCTCCTTGCGCTTTACGTGCGAGGATTTTTTCTGGGCCCGTCCGCCGCGGAGGCGCCGGCTTGCGGTAGGGGAAAGGTTTGGCGCTGCCGGTCCTTGGGTGCGTGGCTGATTTTGGTCAAACTTTTCAAAAATTTCCGCAAAAGTCGTTGCATGCCCTTTTTGCTCGCTGCGGTTTTGTACGTGCCCGTGTAATCTGCCGGGCCGCTCGCAGTTACCGACTGCTGGTCATACGCCTCCACCACGCCAGCGTCCCTTTTGGACCCCGAGAACTGGGCCATTTCGTTGGTGCCTAGATTCTCGAGAATGTATTCGCGCAACTTCTCCTCCACCACCTCGTTGCTCCTGCTACTGCGCAAGCTGTGGTTGCTCAACGCGACGGAGGCCTGGCTCCGGGTCTCCACGTCCTGCCCCTCCGCGGATCCGGTCCGCTGCGACCGACTCAGCGCGTCCTGCGACAAGGCGACAGTCTCGGTGTCGACAGGCGACTGGATCGCGTTTGGCGAGGACGGGGCAGACTGCGTGCCGAGTGGTTTTCTCAGCCTCGGTCGGTTTCCCGACGTGTATTTTGACGTCGCGGGTGCGGGCGCTGCTCTCTTGATCCGCTGGATGCGCGTCTTCACCTTTCTCGCCAAGTCGTCCTCTCCTCCAACATTCGAGTGCCACCGCAGGCTCGTCTGTCGGCGCGGAGATAGGTACGCGGGCAAACTGCGCGTGCGACGACGAGACGAAGAGAAATTGGCGCTGGGCGAGCGTAGCACACCCTTCGAGGCGAACGGGCTGTTGGAATTGTTCTCGGAGGCGCGACGAGACGCCCCCACAGACGAGGTGCGGCGGGTCCCTCGCGAAGATCGGGACGCTTCAGATGTCCGACGCGAACCGAGAAGCCGGTCTTTGCTGTGCAGCAGCTTGTCCAGCTTTGCCTCCAGAGCCCGCGCACGTGGGCCCCCCGAAAGATTAACGGTTTTGTCACCGCTTGTTCCTGACATGAGAACAGGACCTGCGCGAAGATGATGGCTCTCGTCTTCAATGGTTTCTTTCGCATCATCTGGGAGTCCACCCGCGCTTGCTTTCGGTCCTGTAGTAACCGTAGACGCTGTTGGGGATGTGCGTCCACTTGTACTGCTCTCAGGAGCGATCAGACCTGTGGTTCCCCTTTCTGTGTAGCTGCCCTCGACCGCATGCGCCGCACTGCCTACCGCCGGTACGAATCCGATAGGAGCGCCCTCTGGTTCTTCAGGTTCAGGCGAAACCGTTTCAACCAGAATTGTACTTTCCGGCGGAATTTGGTCCAGCTTCACGACGGCGTCCTCACTCTTTTTGTCGGCGCTCGTCTCCACAGCTCCATCCGTGGTCTTCCGTTGTTCAACACAGGCTGCTTTCTCCGAAATCATGACACTTTCCTTACCTGCACTCTCCGACGCCGCACTCGTCAACCGCTCCCGCTCTGCCGTCGTACCAATACCGGCGTCGCTGGACGCCGGCTGTGTTTCAGACGTGTCATTTTGTTCCTCGCTGCGCGCCACCGCGGGATCGTCGCGCGGAGAGTTTGCGCTCTCCTCGGAACTTTGTGCCGGGTGCTGCGTGGGCTGCTGCGGTGGGGCCGTCAGCGTTGACGTCGACGAATCCACGTCGATGTCGCGAATCAGCTCCCGATACTTGCGATTCTTTCGAATCCGCTCAATGGGGCGACGATCCCGGCCGTTGTTGGTGACACCGCTACTCGGAGGTCCCCCCGTGGGCGTGGCATGATCTTTGCTGACGTCTTTGCTGCTCAAACTGACATCTTGTGTTTCGCCAGGCACAACTTCTGCACCAGACTCGTTGTTTCGCGTTGCCATCAACCGCAGATACGAGGCCAGTAGCTTTCCCTTGGATTTTTTTCTCTCCGGCGCAGTTGTTCCTCCAGTAGCTGCGGATATGACACCGCCGGCAACGTTAATACTTCCCTTCATTTCCGCGGACGCGGACCGCTCTTCCTCCGTGAGAGAAGCCTTTTCGTTGACCTCCCCGGCTCGCACGCTGATGTAGCGTCGCAAAGGGTTATTTTCGCCGTGTTGTTGAATGTTGAAAGGCGCGGCCGGCAGCGCAGTGTTTGTTGTGTTTGGTCCCGGCACGTTGTTGTTCTGCTGTGCCGTGAACAACGGCACCGCCGCCCCGACGCCCGAGTGGCGTCGGTGCTTCCGGGCCGCGGATCTCTTCATCTCGTCGGCAACCTGCTTCCCCAGTTTCCCGGCGGCACTCGCGAGCAACTGACTCACGTTGTCATCGCGCAACTGGATGGCCTCGAGATTTTGCTCGCCGTCGGTGCCCGTGGTGGTGGAATGGTAGCTGGGCCGGCTGGAAGTGGTAGCGTTCAAATTGTTCGAGATGCTGTTTCGGCTCATGCGCCGGGTCTCCATCCCGACGATACTCGGCACGCTGAAGCTCCTCTGTTCGTCCGTTTCTATACCCGATACCGGGGGCGCGGTGTAGCTAGTTGGTGGGTGCGAGCCCCGCTGTTGCGCGCGCGGCGCGGTTGGCGCCCCCAACACCTGCATTTTACTGCCACCTGGCGGCGTTTTCTCGTTCACCGGACTCTTGTTATCCGGCGTCTTTTCCTTGGACAAGACGTGAAAGCTGGTGCGCACCTTTGGCTCTTTCAACCCCGCGAACCCGCCGGTCGACGATCGCCGGAAGCTCTTGCTTGAGGAAGAGAATCCGCCGGTTGATGCGGACAGAAGGTGGTCCTGACCGATCCCCAGCACGTGCTCGAGCCGCAGCGCCGAATCCAGCACCTCGGGGGGGAGCGGCGCCACTTCAGGAGCTTGCGGACTGCTGATATCCCCCATTTGTGGCGGCAAGGGCGTCTGGCGCAGGATTTCCGAGTGGCGGCGCGACGCGAGGCGTGGACCCGACACCGTCCGCCGGCTGTTGCTGAGGGCCGAGGAAGTCATTCCTGCAGCAGGAGTCTCGCCGGACTTACTCGCCTCCGGTTGGGGCGGTGCGAGTGACGTCGTAGCGGCGCTGCTAGGTTGAATTTCGTGCGGAGCGTTTCCAACCTTGGTGTTTTCCTCGATGATGATATCATGATGCTTGAATAGCTGCAATAATCCGGTTTCTGTCTTGCGCGGTGTCTTGTTGATTATCTGTTGTGGAACCATTGCGGCCACCTCGGCAGAGGCCTGATCTTTTGAAGACGCCACATCCACAACTTCGGCCATTACCGGCGGCGCGCTGGCAATGGTATCCGTCCGGTCCGCAACTGCCCGAGCCAGAATCGTCGGCTCTTGTGTGTTGACGCGTGCTTCGTCCTCGGTCGTGTTGATTTGAAGTGATATCTCCTGCGGGTCAACAAGTGCTCGCTCGTCTCGAACCAGCCGGCCGCGCGATCGCTGCTCGGAGGAAAGCTGAGCGCTGCTGCTGTCACTCACAGCGCTGGCCGACGATTGCGCAAGCTTTCTACGATGCGTCGCCAGCAGAATGGAATTCTCCTCTTCATCGTCCTGATCAACATCGCTGTGCAGGTAATTGTCGACGGACGCGGGACCGCGATCATCGGGCCCCCTCGCGTTGGAAGACTCGATCTCTTCGTCACTGGCCAGTGCTGAAGCATCGTCATCGTCCGAGGCCGAAAACTCCTCCAGTAATCGTAGCTGCGCCACCTCCCCGGTCTCCGGGTTGCGGAACCCGTGCGGCGTCCGGTAGGGATTGGCCACCTCCTCTTCCGCCATCGCCAGCAGCTTGCCGAAGCCGAGGTCGTCGTCGTCGAGCAGCTGTAGCAGCAGCTCCCGCTGGTCTCCGTCCAGAGAGGACAAATCGTCCCCGTCAGAATTATTCTGGGACGACGTCGAGCGATTGGACCCCGTTTCGACCTGCAGCGTCCGCACGCTGCCGTCTGGAATAGATAAACCCGTCGTGGCCTTCATCTCTTCCTCTGTTTGTTCTCCTGTAGTGGGCAGGGATACTGCCCGGCGCACGGATTGGGTAGGCACTAGTACCTCCGCCGGCGCGCTCTGCGAAAGAGTTGCCCCCAAGGAGGGGTCCGAGGCACTGTCATGATTATTCTCCAGAATGGGGAATGTGCCACACTCGGGGGTGGACGCAGACTTTGGTCGGTGCATTGGTACTGGTAACTCATGGGAACCCATTTCGGTTTCCGATGTGGAATTCGCCCGGTCGCTATCGGAAGAATGCAGAATGTGCGAAATCAAGGCCGCCCGCGGCGTGCTCCTCTCTTCCGCCGAAGCACTGGCGAGTCCGTCGTCCGTGAGCTTCCTACCGCGCTGGTGCGGCGAGGAAGAAGCCCCCAGAGGGGACGCCAGTTTCAGCTTCTTACTGGACAGAGAGCGCGAAGATGAGTCGCTGCCGGAACTTGCGCGCAACGACGAATGCAGGTACGCTTCCATGCGCAAACTGTCCGGAACCAGGCCCGTGACGGGGAGCGACCTGTTGTTGGACGCGTTTCGCGATAGCTTCGGAGAGCTACCGGTGTCCGAGCTGGTGGTTTCCTCGGGCACGTTCGCCAGCGGTTGCCCAAACAAGGAAAATTGGTGCGACGACGGCTGCAGCGAACCTGTACTCGTTTGTTCCTCCAGGACGCTTTGACTGAGGAACGTGCCCATGGTTGTCCCGGGTGGGGTGGTCGTTGGCGGCGAAGGCCGTTCTGCAGTCCCGCCGTGCAACTTTTTGCTGGAGGCGGAACTGCTCCGGCTGCTCGTTCCAGACGCCGCCGAGCTGGTCGCGACCGTTTGGTTGGAAGGCATTCCCCGGGGTGTCACCGACTGCGACATCGAAGTTTGTTCGTCCAGCGAGGCAGACAATGAGTCGCGCAGGAAAAGGGCGGACACCGTGTCGTGCATCGGGAACTGGTCCACCGACTCGCGATGTGAATTTTCTTCGGAGGAGGAAACTCCTGTCGCTTCGATGTGATGAGACTTTTCTTGCAAGGCGAGGAGAGGCCCTCGCGCACGTGAATCTTGGTGAACTTTCTCGCTCGCGCGCGTCGCCGCGCCTCCCTGCTCAGCCGATCCAGCGTCCCCGGAGCTCGTCCTGCTATCCGTTTTCGAAGGCACCTTGACGGCCAGAAGAAAGTCCTCTTTGCTCCCGGACGACGAACTCCTCGGCGCGAGGAGTTGTCCCCCCCCCTCCTCGCTCTCATTGGACTTGGGCGCGGCAACGACAATGCGGTCGGTGGAGCACAGGAGGGCGTCAGGTAGCACGTCGTAGTTTTCGGCGTCGTCCTCTTCGAACTCCACCAGGCCTATACGGCCGTTGGAGACTTGCTTGTTCAGAACGCGGTTGTTCACGTTCGGACCCATGGACGGGTTTACCAGCAGGTTCGCTGCCGGATGGATCGCGCTGCTGCTGCTGTGACCGCTGTGCTCCGCATTCAGCGCGCCGGGAACCGCCAAGTCGCGCGCCTCCGCGCTGCAAAAAACGTCCCAACTCTGGCAGATCTCCGAAGACGTACCTCCCGACTTGTGCGACCCGAACGAGCTGCGCTCCCCGTCGACGTGCGGAACGGCGGAGCTGGCCTGGTCGGTGCCGCTGTCATTCGGTGCGCCACCACTGCTCTCGGGAAAGTAGGAACTGCTGTGCCCGCTGGAGGAAAGTTTCATGGGCGGATACTGCCGATTTCCTCTCTTCTCCCTGTCCTTAGTCGCGTTTGCGATTCGGTCGGACCCAGACATGCGCATGTTGTTGACACTACTCTGCACGTAAGTCGAGTCTCCGTCATCCTCGCGGTCAGGCTGATCCCCGGAACCGTGCCGCGCGGGTCCGGACTGCTGGCGCAACACAAACTCGTCGCTGACTTTTGGCACAGTCGGGACTTCTGCCGCCGCGCCACCGTATACCGCGAGGTGGGGCTTTCCGCCGGGGCCGACCCCGACAACGTCCGTGGACATCGAGCGCGAGCGCACGCGGCCGTCCTGCGCTAGCGGCGGCACGTTGTGCGGCAGCGCAACGTGCAAGGGCGACATGAACGAAGGAGCCAACCCGCTGCGATTTCGAAGCGGTATGGTCGTATTTCCAGTTGTTCCGTAAAGCCTGCTTTCTATCACTTCCTGATCCACCGCGCTCACCTGCTTGGAGAGCTGTCCTGCGGTGCTCTTGGTGTCCTGGTGCGAGAGATGGGGAGATTGGTCGGTCTCCTCAGACACTTCCGTGATCACGGCCATGCCACCCGTCATACTGTGCTCCTTGGGCACAACAAGACCGGACGGTGCGCGCGCGATGATGGTAGGTCCGCGGGGGAAGCCTGCTCCGCGGGGCGTGTCAGAAGAGTTTGAACTAGACGCGGGACCGCTGCCGCCCACGGTTTCTGTGATCACGTTTCGATCCGCGTGGGCAATGGCGTCGTGCGCGAGGTTGCGCAGCCACTCCTGCACGTTGGACTCCCGGGTGCGCTTGCGGTACGCAGACAGAATCTCGAACCTGCGCAACGCCAGACGACTCAAAGGCGTCTTCGACATTTTGGAAATTTCCTCGGCCTCGCTGCTCAGGGGCGCCCGCTTCACTTCCTTACCGTGTTTCAATTTATTGGGTAGGTCGCTGAGCCCGCTCGTCTCCTTGAACAGAGGCGTGGACGCCGTGCTGCGACTGGAAGTGACTTGCCCCGTGGCGCCGGCGGTGCTGGCGCTAATCGCCCGGTTGACTGTTGCAGCTGTGCCACCGTTCTTTTTACCGTGCAACTTTGGATTGATCCGGAACGTCGTGCGACCACTCTGCAAAATCTGCTGGTGGTCACCAAAATTGTCATCCGAATACTTCGTCGCTTGCCTCTCCAGGATTTCTTCGGTCTCGTTCCGCCGTAACTGTACGGTGGAAACCAGATCCCTCGACTCCGTTGTCTCGGTTTGCGGTGCTCCCCCGGTGCTGTTCTTCGTCATCAGAGAGGACGACAGCGTATGGCTGTAGCTGGTGCCGCGGCTGTCCAGCGTGTCGTGCGACGGCGGTGCGTTCTGGATCTTGAAGTGCTGGTACGATCCCGACGCCTGATCCCTGCTGGACCCCCCGCCGAGTATGCTCCCGGGCGGCGAGGACGTGGCGGACAGCCGCCCGCGCTCCTCTTCCTTGTTTCCCCCATACAGCTGCGCCATCACGGACCCGCGGCCCGCCGGCAGCCGTCGAATGCTCGCCAGCTGCCGCTGGAACGGCGTCGGCTCGTCCTGCTGCGAGGAGGACGACCGGCTGGCCTTGGACCCGCCTTGCCGACTGTCGCTCGTCTTGTCACCGGCGCTTCCACCGCCCGCGGCGGAAATGAACCCGTCCTCTTCCGTTGGCAGGGAGTTGCGGCGCGGGATCGGACTGCGCAGAGTGTCGGAGACCGTGTCCGGCGCGGCGAATTCGCCACTTCCGAACCGCCGGTTGTAGTGCCGAATCTTCATGTTTCCGGGGCTGACCGAAGAGTCGTGTTGGCCATGTTGGTTGTACACCGAGGGCCACATGCTGGTCGCCCACCAGCTGGCGGTAGACCCACAGGAACTGCTGGTTCCCCGCCACGGATTCCACTCGGAGTCGGCTTCCGAGTGAGTTTCTCCGGTCGAGTAGCGCGACACTGGGCGTGGAAACGGCGAGGGCGTTCCGAACGTGTCGGGCTGCTGAATTATACTGGGCACGTTACTTACCGTCTTCTCCAGCAGCAGTGTGTGGCCCAACTTGTTGTAGCTGCTGCTATTTTCAACTGTTCGTGTGGGTATCTCGGGCGAGGAGGAGGGCGTGCCAATCGCGGGCGCTTTGTCGGAGGACGCAGACGAGGGACTGCCGTCCGGCGGGTTATGGCTGCTGCCGGCATTATTGCTACTGCCCCGCTCATCTTGCAGTGGAAAGTTCTTGTCCGAACCAAACTTGTCACTACTGTTTGCCAGTCCCCGGCAGACTCCATTCCGCCGCTCACGTTCCCCCCGCACGCTGCCCCCGCGCACGCTCCCGGAAGCCGAGGAGGCGGAGGACTGACACTTTTTCAGGCGGTTGTGCAGTGTGCGCAATTTTTGTGCCGAGGAGGGGGAGTAAAGACTGGTGAACGCGATCTGCATCCGTTCCTGCGGACTCTGGCTGCTCTCCGTTGCGCCGTCCTTCCCGCCGGTAGCGCCCATCAGCTCGCGCGACCGCAGCACGGCCTCAGGTGGGACCAGCTGCGCAACTAACGCTTTGGCTAGGAGGTTCTTGGTGTCGTCGTCGAGTGCCACACTGTCCTCGCTGCCCGTGAACGAACCCCGCTGTGCAATGATCGGATCTTGATCCTTGTCAAACAACGGCATATCGCCGGAGAGCTCGCGTTTCAACACTTGCGAGACACCAAGCTGCTGCGCTGCAGGCGGGGACTTCTTGTGTTTATTAACCTCCACGCTAGATTTTTCGCTGGTCGCTGTATCGTCTGTGATCTCTTTATGTTTCCCGGTGGTCGTCGGCTCTGATCTTGATATTTCTCTCGTTCTCAGCGCTGCGACTTCCGAGTCAGTCTTTGCTATCAGATCCTTTTTATTGACCCCTTCCTGCTTTGGCTCCACGATCAAACTTCCTGTAGCCTTCAAGGATGCATCACCCAATTCTGATTCTTTTGCCGCATCGCTATTTCTCGTCGTTCCATCTCTAACTTGATCTGGACCCATGGTTGGCACTCCCGGCGAAGTAGCAGATGCTCCTGCACTTGCGGCACCAGACGTACCAGAAGCCTTCGCGGCACCGTCCTTGTCTTTCCCCGCACTTGCAGTTCCAACCACCCCGCTCGGGGAAACTGACATGTTCGTTCGCTCCTCGACGTAATCCGCGAGCCAGGGGTGCTGCAGCGCCACCTGGCAGCTCATGCGCTGCGCCGGCAGAAACGCGAGGCACTTCTTCACGAAATCTTCGGCGTTGGGGTTCGCCGTCCAGTCAGCGTGGGACCAGTCGATGTTGCGGATCGCGTACTTCATGCGCTGGCGAATCCGGGCCATGGCCGGGCTTCCCGCCTTGTTGTCGTCCGGTGCGTCGTCGAAAATCTCCTCGCGGAACGGAAACTGGTACGTGACGAGTTTGTAAAGCAAAACGCCCACGGAGAAGACGTCCGTCAGTTCGGAAAACACGCCCAAATACGCCTCGGGCGCGATGTACTGATCGGTGCCCACCACGTGCATCGCGTTGTTCGTCGCCTCAGTGACCGTGTCAAAATCGATTAACTTCAAACTGCACCGCATCGGGCTGGACCGGGCCCACGGGGTCATGTTGTCGTGCAGCACGATGTTCTCCAACTTCAGATCCCGATGCACCAAATTACATCGGTGAAAAACGGAAATCCCCTGCAGCACCTCGAAGGCGACCTGCCGCACGCGCTCGATCGCGGGCGCAATGATGGCTGCGGTGCTGCCGCTGCCCTGCACCGCCGTGACCACCTGGTCCGCGTCGGCGTCCAGTTTGGCGTCGGTTGTGGGGCCGTGTTGACCGCTGTGCCGCAACGCGTACTTCTGCGCGGCCAAAAAGTAGGTGAACAGGTCCACGCCGCGGGCCCGCTCCATCACGATGTAGTACGACTTGGACGACTCGCGCACCTCCAAAATCTTCACGATCACGGCCGACTGCATGGCCGCGGAGTGCATCAGCGTGACGGTGTTTTGCACCCACCGAACCTCTTCGTCCTTGCCCGCAAAGGAGTGCTTCTTCGCGCGAGCCTTGATGATCACGGGAAGGTTGTCCCGTTTTCGAAACCCGGTCACTACCTGAGGGTGGTAGAGGCGCATTGTACTTAAGTGGAGAATGGAAGAAACTATGTGATACCATGATGGACGAAGGCATGCACACCGATGTGGCATACTCGTCGAAAAATCAGCTAGCCAGGACTGCAGTGTTGTCCTGCCGACCGCACCCTATTCACCTTCCCTTCGACCATCAAAGTAGCTGTGTTTTTATTTCCCTCCCAATCCACATAGAGACCTATTCAATGAGCACTTCTTACCTGAATTCCTGGTTGCATACTGGGTAACAAGTTGGACTCGACGATGTAGTCCGTTCTGATCGACGAACACCTGGACACCGTCGGCACGGTCTCAGTGACCCGTTTGTCCACCTCCCAGAGCGCCGACGCAGACACCGCCGACGCAGACGACGACACCGGGATGCTGCTTTGCTGTTCCTTCGTGCGCATCAGCTTCGATAAGGTAGATTGGGACAGCATGGGCTTTAGATAGCCGCTCGTTGAAACGGTCACCGACGAGAAGGGCTTGGACGACGGGCGCTCCGGCATGGAACCTTTAGTTCCAACGGGTGACGATGGCTGCTTGTGCTTGGAGGTAGATGAAGCCTTGATCGCGCCGCCGCGAAAGCCGCTTTTCTTGTCACTGTGCTCTAGAAGCGTCGGCGCGTAGGCTGGGGCAGCACCATATGACCCCGCACCCTTTGTGACATCAACAGTTGCACCAGATGCGGTAGTTGGCTCCCGTTTGCTCTGCGTGGGGGACGTACCAGAGGCGGATGTCGTAGAGCTCTCAGCTTTTTTGACTCGAGGTGGAGCGCGATCAGCACTACTTTCAGGTGATTCTTTTTGCTTTATTTCTGGCCCTGCCGTCGGGTCAATGCGCCGTAAATTGTCAGTCTCCTCGTGGTCCTCTCCAATGTGGTCTGGCTTGTGATGCGAAAGCGGCTCGTCGCTGCGCACGACGGATGGGGGTGAAGCCTCTTCGGAAGTCGCGGGGCTGGCTTGTAAGTGGTGGTCCTGGTGAGATGTCCTGCTTCCGGTTGGCGCACCAGCGTCGCAGTCCTCACCCCGCATCCATTTTGACAACAGATCCGCATCCTCGTCTTCCTCAAGGAGGATGCTCTCGGTCACGGACAGTGGGCTCGCACTCGTCCGCACCATGGATCCTTCGTCCAGCATCAACGATGAAGCCGCTGCAAAACGTCGCATCCCCGTACTTGCAGCAGCCACGGGATCGTCTTTCGCCTTGGGGTCAGACGCCTGAGGCGCTGACGCGATGTCAACATCATTACCCGGCGAAAGAGGCCCCGGCTTCTCGTGCGACCCATGCTGCTGGCGCGAAGGACCGGGCGCCACTTCTCGCAAGTACATGTCGTGATAAACGAGTCGAACTACAACCGTGCAATTCAGCAAAGCAAGGTAAAGGACCACGATCGGGATCGTGGCCTTCTAATTATAGCTCATCTGTCTTGCATGCTGTGACTACTGTAAACCAGATGTCAAAGCGACAGTTCGTTGATGTCTCACAGAAAAAGTAGATGCAAATCACGGCACAAACAGAATAATTGCTGTGTCGCAGACGTAGATTCACAAAAAGAGAACAGCACAGCAGAAACTAGCCGAGTGGAGATTGCGGCGCCCCCGAACTTGGACACAGACTCGTACAACTTCCTAATCACACATCATGAAAGAATGTACGTCACAGGAGCATGTGGCTCGTCTTCATCGTCATTACTTACGCTAGTCATAGCTATAGAAGCGCACCTGCAAGGTCAACAAGAACAAGACACGACGCGGACGCGGCCTATCGAAATACTAAATGAGACGATGCTAGCGTGGTACGCAACAAGCACATGTGAGAGCAAGGAACCTGTGATGCGGAGGATTGACTACGACGGAAATGGATTTTGAAGATATCTCTGCCGCCCGCGTCCCTTGGAGGAACCACGATGACGATGAACCAAGCAGGTCTTCGTGTCGTGGAAGACAGAGTTGTATAGCTGGAAAAAACAATGGATCAACTCGGTGCAGAGCTCAGCGCGGGCTCGCTCAAGAAAAGCACAAGAAAAAAAGGTGACGTGCAACCGAAGCTCTCTCGTGAAAAAACACAATGCGGGAATTAGAAGTTCAGACGCTTTATGATTCTCCCTGTGTGTCCCGGGGAACAAGTTGAACTTGAACAGCACGGCAAGCGGGTCGCATGAACTTTGCTAGAAATTCTTTCTCACTTTGAAATCAGTGCGCTCTCATGTATCAAACTTAGGGGTTGGGTCGCTACTTCATGAGCTATTTCGTTATTTTGTCCATGTCGATTGTCCACAGAAAGTTATACTTAATGTCAGAGCAGTCCTATCATCTGTACTGATGGAAATCCACGTCGTCGCCATGCTCCGTCTTTTTCATACCTGTGCCCCAGCCACCTTTCGGAGCATCACAGTACGCCGAGGGATCCATCAGGTCCACGTTGCTCTTCTTCGCGTCCTCGTGTTTCCGCGCTCTCTTCGCCCACGCGCCAGCAGCGTCAAACGGGTCGTGTTTCGGCGCGCTACCCCCTGGCTGCGCGGCCCACGCTGCCGCGCTGTTGAACGGGTCCGCGTTTGGTCTTTTGTTTGACTGGTCTCCACCCGGAACCGCCGGCGCTCCGTCGGGCCCCCCTGGCGCGGCACCGCCATCCGGCTCCGCCTGTTTGCCCTTCGGCGGCTCGGGCTTTACGAGCTTCAGGCCCGCCTGCTTGATGCACTCCTCCATCTTTTTCTTCAGACTGCCCGTCATGAACAGAGATATTGCATTTTTTCCCTTCTTCGACAGAGCTGCCGATCCGGACTGGATTTTCACCGTGAACGCCGGTTTCCCGTTCAGTGCGACAGCGTCCGGCTTGTCCTGCTTCTTCGGCATGATGATCTGCGCGGCGTCTCGCCCCCCCAAGCACGCCTGCAGCAACCGGACGTTCGCGCCCTGCTTCCCGATCACGCGGCCTAAATCCTGCTCGCAAATGAGAACGGTTTCCTCCTCCGTGAATATCTTCCGGCCGCCGACGTCCGCGCTGTCCTTTTTCGACGACACATTTGCGTGCGCGCTGTCGCTTTCTTCCTTTTTCCGCGCCGCGGGGTGCGTGTACGTCGTTTCGCCAGTCAACGGATTCCAGTAATACACTTTGTCGCCGTGCTTGGCCTTCTCCCAGCCCTTCGGCAGCGGCTCGTTTTCCAGGGAAGTGTCCTCGTCGGGCGCGGCTAGGACCTGCTTCGCGGCGGCTACGGCCGCATTCTTCAGCAATGAGGTCGCCAAATCCAGATTCGCACTGGCAGACGCCGCAGCGGTCGGCGGCTTGGCCTTCGGAACCTTGGACGCCGGCCCGCCCCCGGGGGGGAGCATGGGCTTCTTTTTCCTTTTTGCTTCTTCGTCGCTGCTGTCGTCGCTACTGTCGGAGTCGCTCTGCACCGCCTTTGCCGCGGGAGCTGGTGCCGGAGCGGCCCCGCCCGCTTTTATCACCCCTCGCGCCTCCAGTCGCTTTCGCAGGGCGGGTGGGAGCCGCGACAGTTTGTCCTCCTCCTCCTTCTGCTTTTGCTTCGCGATTAGCTCCTCGCGCTTCTGCGCAATTTTCGCCTTCTCCGAGGTCTGCGTTTTGTTCTTTTCGTCCTTGTTCCCGAACGTCTCGGGGTCAAGGGAGCTGTGGACGGTTTGGCCGGTAACCCGGTGCTTCCACTGCCACCCACCGCCGGCGGTTGGCGCCTGGTACCAGCCCGCGGCAGCCGCGCGTTGGGCGCGGATCCGCTGCAGTTGCAGAACGGGGTCGACGGCATTCTCGTCTTCCATGGCGTGACGTTGTAATTACCTCGCTACAACAGGTAGAAGAAGGAATAAAGGGGGTTTGTCTATTTGAGTATCAAAGCACTGCTCTTGCATGCGTGGCACAGCTCCGCAGCGTAGACAAATTGGATGGAGTTAATGAAAATGGATGGGCATGGGGCTAATGAATATGATGCTTGAAAAATGTCGTCAACACGGCACATCACCGGAGCAGTGACAAAATTAGGCATGGTCAAGAAAAAGTCACATGTGTATGTTCCTGAAGCAAGTGGGTTCAATGGATATGGTTTGTGATGTAGATTGATTTTGGTACCAACCTTCGTTATGGAAAAACGAGAACTGGTTCAGTGAACCTGAAAAAAACGACTGCATTTCCATTTCCTCTTTTATTCTCTTTCCGCTTGGACAACTAGGTCTTGGCGATGATCTCTTATGGATCATTTTCCTCTGAATTCAGCTGACAACCTTTTTTTTGGAATTTGAACGTAAGCGGGAACAAAGAAATTAATACTTTTTTTGCGTCACTTAAGCCAGCCCAGTGAAAAAGGTTCGATTTTCATGCAGAGCCGGTTGCTCAGTGCACCATGAGGCTTTCTGTTTTTATCTGGAGGTTCTTATCACAGTGGAACTTTAGAAATTGGGATCGATGGCGAAGACGACGAGCCGGGGATAGTAGGTCAACATCAATCCTGAAATCATACATCGATATACTTGGGAATGAGGGATTGCGAAATACCATTGGAATGTGTAATGTATGAGGATGAGCCCGCTCGAAGTCTTCCACAAAACGGACATTGCGAAGTATATCTTCGGATCATCTGCGTTGTAGTTGTTGAGACAACCTTACAATATGAACGTGCTACTTCAAAGCCGCCACGATGTCGTTATTCAGACCGTTCAGGTCGATGGCCATCAGCTTGCGTCGCTCTGCTTCTCCAACGTTCTTGGAGTAGTCACTGCGCAGCCGGCGATACTCATCCCGCGCTGTCAACAGCTCTCCAATCCGGGAGTCAAAGTTTGTGGCGCTCAAGCCGCTGCCGTACCGGAGAAAGTTGAACCGTTTGAGCGCGGCCTGCAACCCGGCCTCCGTGAAATTTTGGTCCTCTGTGCGTTTCACCGAGCCGACATGCGGAATGATCTTCGCGATGCGATCCCAGGTTCGAGGGGAAACTACTTGACTCACTTTTTCATACGGCAAAGCCATTACGCAGCACGTGAGCGGATGCAGGTCGTGAATGGCATTCGCCTTCGAGTATTCTGGCCCCTTGAATGGGAGAACCCTGTCCTGCGCTTGCTGGAGGAAAAAGCCGAGAAAGTCAATGAAGCTCTCTGCATCGATCAAACTTTCGGTCTTGGCGAATCCAACATCATTTACGTCAGCTATCTCCGGTCTTCCCGAGTTAATCAAGACCTCGACCTGCCAGAGATATGCGCGCAGGTAGTGGACGCCAAATACTTCAATATCCGCAGCAGGTACGGCGCAACAAATTTCGCCCTGGGTGCGTTTGAGCCGGTCAACCAAATCAGTTTTTCGGTGAATCGCCTCATCTTCATCCTGTTCTTCTTCTTCGCCACCACGTGCGAGCGACGTCAGAAGGTCCGAAACGCTTGTCGCCTGGAGCCAGTCGCAGAGGTTCCAAGAGATCGCCCCCTCGAGCAACTCGAGCAGCACACCGTTGGAAGGAATCGCAACGAGGCGGAAGACCTGATCAGTCTCGGAATCTGGCCTCGGTCGGTCCGTCACAACGCGTCCTTCGCTCTCGAACTCAACCAGAATGTCTTTCTCACCACTTCCGCTTTGTTGCGCACTGCGCAGGATTCTGCGCGTGCGCTCCAAATAATGCTCGAAGAGCTTCGCGATGTCCACTGGAAATCCGGGCAGCACATCGTTTCCGCACAACAGCGACAACGCCAACAGGTCCGTGGCAATAAAAGCGTCAAGCTCCCTCTGGAGGTGTGGCGAATAGTGTGCTCCATCGTAGCCGAGGATTTTTCGCAAGCGTTCGAAAAAATTAGATTGGCTAAACAGGCACGGCCCGGCACCGGTTCCGGAACCGGATGCTGAATACCACATCCACAAATCGTCCTCTGGCAACCGTGATGCAGAGTCTGGTACTTCTGCCAGGTGGTCACTGGGAATGATATCTCCGATGCAAGCGCCGATGGTCAATAAAACCAAGTCAGAGTCGTATCCAATCACGCACGCACGAAAGCGCTCCACGACCGCAGTGCTTTCTGCTCCCTGACGAAGCTGTAGCTTTGCGCGCTGAACTCTGCGGCGGCGCAAATCTTGAAAAATTTTGTCCTCTCCCTCGCCGGCCTCATCCGTTCCACTTACCTGGATCTCCACCTGCTTACCGAGCTTCGGTCGCCAATCACTTTTCAGATACTCTGCCAGTTTCTGCATCAGCTCAGTACCGGGCTTGATCGCGTTTTTCCACTTGTCCTCCTCCTTTCGGGAACGGCTTCGCTGGGCAAGCATCTTGGCTTTACACGGGACCCCATCAAAGGCCAGGTAGACAAGACATTTCCTTGTTGCCGGCAATGCGGCTGGATCATCCGAAGCTGGTGCACCAATGCAGTTTTGTAGCAATTTCTCCAAATACGCGCCGATTTCTGCGCACAGTTTTTCGCACGTGGGATTCGTAGTCTTGTCCAGCACCACATGAGCATACGCGTTGAAATCAACATAGATCGCATCCCAGTCCGTACCGACTTCCTTTGGCTTCTTGCCCTCTGAAAAAGCGTACTTGAAATTTATGTTCTCCCGCAGGAACTGCAACAGCCCTGGAACGCCCATGTTGGCTTTATTTTGCGTCTCTAGTGTGCAGAAGTATCTATCTTTTCACTAAATCAGTATTGCTATTCCTCCCTGAGGCTGTACTTCGGCTTATTCCTCTCGGTGGAAAAGACAGCTGCAGGTATGACCAAGCGCAGGAGCAGGTGGTGAGAAAGGAAAGTTAGTTAGTTTCAGAACAAAATCAGAAACGAGTACTAAGTAGTACTGCAAGAGTGACATAGTGAAAGCGGCAATAGTACGCTAAGCGGCGTAGAGGAACGTTGTCGACCTGCACAATAATTAATGGCGATCCACCCAGGTGCGTGTTTCTTGTGGAGCTAGGTGTCCTCTGACTAGGTCCTATTGCTACTATATCGGGAACATACTCTGACAAGATCACGTGGCCTTTAGTGACTGAGCTGTCAATCAAAGTCCTGAATCAACATTTCTGAGAAGATCCTCAAAGCTTTGGTCTGGGTGCAGCTAGATGAAGTTCTTTCTATCTTTTGATGTTGGAAGGGCGATACTTATTGGTTCCGCCATCCCCGCCCTCCCCAGCACTTCTTCGCGGCCAGGAGAATGATCTATGCGTAAACACTTTTTGAGACAAACGGTTCCAAAATGCAAACACTTTTCGAAAGGCATAGCTGGCGAAGTCGTCCACACAGGACGCCCCGAGGCGGAAACTCCATTCCCGCTCCTCTTGCGCAACGCGCTGCATCAGCACCGCGTTGCCACGACCGCCGGTGAGCGATGCCGATGCAGTTGCCGATGGTTCTGCTCCTGCTCTGATCCGCACGATGCGTGTATCTCGCCGCGGATCGGCAGGCCTCGAATCCAGCGAGGAAAAACGTCCACTGTCGACAGCACTTCCTGTCATTCGCCTAGACGCGAGGTGTGACATCTCTAAGTGGCGCAACTCCGAGCCAAGATCAACCGGATCCGTTGCAGGTGAGCGGGGTAGCAGTGATGTTGAAACTGGACCATCCGCGAGCACTGCCATGCTGTCGTGTTTTGTCCATGCAATTGACTAAAATTTTCAGTATCTGGTTTTAGTAGTACTCATAGTGACACTCAGAAGCAGTCCTGCTGAGTTTTGAATAGCGATACTTTATGTATCTTTTTTTCCGGTGTTGCGATATAATCCTTGACGTCAGTTCCGATGGTACTTCTACTTGTGAAACCCATGCTATTGCAGGAAGGGGCGAATACAGGGAAGATGACCAGAAATCTAGTTATGACAAGAAAACGAAAAGGAAGCGGAACAGACGAAGCTCCGAGCGCGAAGCTTCAGATGCACCCTATGGCAGAGACATGGCAATGCCTCTCCTGGTGTTGGCTTTTATACCCATGAAAGTCTTCGATTCATTCGATTCACTTGACGCAAGAACCTTCCAGCCCGCCTCTACTATAGCCGGTATGCTCTTCTCTCATCGTAAAAATATTCATTCTGTCTTATGAAGATAAATTCATGAGAATCCCCCAGACTTTTCCTTTTCTTGCGGAAACATCGCGATTAGAGTCTAGTTGTACCCTGCCTACCGTCCTCCTTCGGCACATTGACATAAGACTATCAATACACCGCAGCAGCTGCTGCAAAAGAGCTGCCGCTGCTCGTTTATTTCTTCTACACAGAGAATCAAAACCGTGGTCTGCACTTCCTTCGCAGATACTTTTGTACTTACAGATAGTCGTGTGTGGCACTGAGGTAAATTTAGTTGATACGCGTACGCGAGCGCAACGAGTAGAGGAGAATAAGGATAATGAAAACTCGTGGTGTTGCTGGTGGTCGCCTGCCCTTATACTTTCGCAATCAGACCTCCCCGCGAGTGAAGAAATATTCCCTTAGAACCTTCCGAAACTTTTTTCAAGGTAAGGATTCAGTTGTACTGCGCCGAGCGATATTCAAGAAATCGCTCCAATTGAAGAAAATGGTCGGACCGCAGTCGTAAGGACTGTTGGGGGCAAACAGTATAGATGTCGAAAATAAGCGGTACTTACTTTACGTTTCTCTAAGCTTAAACTTTGGGCATTTTGACTCTTTCTTTTACATCAATCCCAGTCGTGTGAATCTATCATCATGCAAAATACTTAGGTCCCTATGAACGACACCATTTTCTATACGGACACAAGTAACGACGACAGCTCTACGTGGGGTCGCCGTAGTATCGGAGCACCGGAGGTGTACGTGTATGCGATTCTCGAGTGCGGAGCCATTCAAAAAGAATTTCAGCTCCCGAATGCTACTGCGAAAGGACACAGGTACGTAAAAGAAACTCGCAGAAGCCATAGCAATGTCGTTACATCATCTCAGAGTACCCCCATGGAAACTGACGGAAACAATAGGAGAAACTGAACGTGCAAACAAAGTGAATCTGTATTGTCAACCAACTAAACTAAATCAACAACTCAAGCAAGTTCAACAAGCTCATTTTCGCAGGCGCGCATCACAGGAGCTGTCTTTTTCGCCTACAAATGAGTTGGGTTGGGAATCAATAAATATCAAAGCAACTTAGCAAAAAAAAAAATTAAAGTGTTTACGTTTCGACAAAACAAATCAAATTGAAGTGACGAGCACGACGCTTGTCGCATTTGCGATCTACAAACAGTCAGAACGTAAAATTTTTGACACACATGACACAACCACTCCACAAAGGATTCTAGAAAAATACCAGCTCTTCAGAATTGCCAACCAAGTGGACAATAGGTATTTTTCGGCATTTATTCTCGACAATTGCTACAAATAAAAGGTCACAACCTTACTTAGTAAATCGGTAAAGAAGAATTTCGGGAGAGTTAGAGCGAGTTAGTAGTTTGATGGAATAAATTTAGACGCGTTATCCAGAGGGTTCGCGTGCTGCGTTATTTGAATCAATCGATTAAAAAGGATTTTCATGCTCATGGTTTGTTACCACCTGAGATCCTCAATGTATTTTTGGTACTCCCAACGAAACTTGATCGTTTTAGACATACATAATTTGTCAGAACTCGTCAGTCGGTTGCGGTCGCGGCGTCGCCCTCGGTTAGTTCGTACCAGGAGGGTTTCTTCTTTCCCTTATTCGCGGTGGGCGAATTTGTTTTCGGGGACGCTTCCAGAGCTGCAGAGCCCGGGGGTGTGATCTGGAGGAAGCTGTCGCGTACCACGCTGGTGCCGTTGTTGTCTACGTCTGCTTCCGATTTTCTCGAGCAGGTGTCGTGATCCGACGCTTCTTCTGCCGGCGATCCCGCAGGGGAGCCCGCGTCGCCTCCCGCTGTTGGGCAACAGGTCGCTGCGGAGGAGGTAGCCGCCTTCGAAGGGAACGGAACATGCAGCGCACCCGGCTTTGAACTTGTGCCAGCTGCCGGTACTGACGAAGATGGTGAGTTCTTTGCACGATCCTCCGTCGCGTCGTCGGTTGCTACAGCCGCGTTGTCTCTTTTCCGTGATGTCCCCGTCGCGCCAGGGCCAGCAGCAACACCACTGCTCGAATTGATTTTCGATTGCACTACACTTCCCCCCTGGTCCTGCGACGCAGCCCCATTGCTCTTTGGCGTTGCGCCTTTACTGCTTAATAATTCCTTCCCAGTTTTGCCGTTCCTTCCTCTTAGTTTCGGCTCTTGCCGCTCTTGCTGCAGCAGAACGGGCCGAGGAGGTGGTGGCGGCGGGGTCGGGACGGACGACTCTGTCTTCGCTGAAGCAACAGTAGAACAGGATGTCGCCGCTCCTGCTCCAGCAGCCGTGGGAGCCGGCACCACATTGGGCTTACTAGATGATGCTGACGTGGTATTTTTAACACAGCTACTACTAGTGCCAACCGTCCCTGTCGTTGTACTGCTCTTATTCGAGGCCAAATTACCTTTTTTCCCCCGCAGGTCGCGAATCAGCAGGTCGTCCTTCCACTTCTGTCCCCACTTTTCCCCGCAAGCGACCTCGATCTGCCTCACGAGTTGCGCATTCAGGTCGCAAAATACCCAGACGGGGGGCTCTTCTTTCGTCTCCCTCGATCGGAGCGCGTGATGCTCGCGGTACGAAAGGAAAGACTCCAGATTTGTCCAGAGGCCCTGTCTTTTGGCGTACGTCACGTAGGGTGGTTCGCTACTTTCCGCGCCAATACGGTGCCAGAAACTGTCCGCCGCCGCTGGAGTCAGAAAGTTCACAAAAGCAGTCATGTTGCCCGTCAACTGTTGTAAAGCGATCGATTGGTAAGTAGATGTAATTTTTTTTAGTCTTCTAAGTTTGCTTTTTGGTTTCGCTTTTCGCATATATTGATTGTCCGGAAGAAAAAATACCCGCACGAAATACAGTGTCCACACGCGTCTACGAAAGAAAGTTTGCATTTTGTTCCTTTTCATGGCGAAATGCTAATGCAACAGCCACAGTGTGCACTTGCTGAAAATAAACACTCGCTATACCATATTCCTCGTCAGGAACAGGAAGTCGTACATGTCCCCATAGCCCAGGTCGGTCAGCTTTTTGGCGAAGCCGTCTCTAGTGAGTTCCGCGTCCAAACCGTTAATGTATAGCGTGGACGGCACCGCCTCAGCGCCTATGTTGAATTGCCACGAGTACGCTGACGCTGCATGTGAAGGTGCGGAGTGGAATTGCACTGGGTGGCGGCCATAGTTTGTACTGCCGTAGGGACAGCTCGTTGGGGTAGTGCCACTGTAAGACGTCGCTGGACCACTTTGCTGAAACGTGTGGTGCCACGTCTCAGCGCGAGCGCGGTCAGGCCGTGCAGTGATGGTTTCCTCGCCCTTCGAATATGCCCGCTTCTTGCTAGTCCACTCGGGAGCGGCCCAGGGGAGGTCTTGACCTGAAGGTAGAAGAGACTACTTCACGAATGTTGTACTGATGAATATTAGTTGCGGATATAGACACAGATTGTTGGACTAGGTCCTCTACCTCTTTGCGCATCGCTGACAAACATACTATCAAAAAAAATTCGTACCATCTTCAGACTCCCTTCGCGACCGCCAATTGTCAGATTCCTCCGCACGGTTCGGGTTGTGACTTCCCGAAACAGGCACGAAAAACCGGCTTCCCTTGCCACTTCCCTTGGGGTGCGACCTGTAACCATACTGGGGACCAGCGGATGCAACTGTTGCACTTGTGCCTTTCGCCTCTCCACATGCTTCCTTACCACCGCTACTCCCCGGCTGCTCGCCGGCAGTCTTCAAAGCTAATGTCGGCTTGGTTCCTGTTTTTCCATCTCCCTGCTCGGCAGCCGCTGTTTTTGCCTCAACGGGCGATACATCGCAGTCCTCGTTGGTCGACGAAGTTCGACCAGCAGCGCTGGTGGCGCGCTCCCGCGTACTAGCTGCTTCTTCTTTAACAGTGTCTTCTTTTCCTCTCGAAGTTTTGGCCGGCTTTGCTCCCGCGGTCGAAACTCGCGAATGGACGGTACCGCCTTTGCTTGCACTGTTGCCCTTGCTTTCTCTGTTGACAACATTCGACGTTGCGACCGCCGCACTGTCCCCGTCGTTTTCTTTATTTTCGTCCTCTTTTGACAGTTCTGCTGGGAGTTTTTCTGATCGTAGCTCCTCGCCTTCAGCAGCGGCTGCTTGCTCCCTCTCCTTGGAATCGCTCCTGAGGCGATGAAAACCGTCTCGCCAATTGCCCGACGTCGCAGAAGCGCTCGGATGATAAAGTCCGTAACTGTACTGGTTATAGGAATAGTAACCGCCGTATTTTCCTTTTCCTTTCCCCTTTCCCTTGCCTCCTTTCGGCCCGCCTTTGTAGAATCCGCCGACAGTGCCGAAGTTCTGCATGCCTTTGACACCGGGATAATGGTTGTAAGACCCGGCGTACGACGACGAGCCTTTGATGCCTGCCCCCTTGATCGCGGCGTTTGAAGAGTTCGCATTTTTGTCACCGTGCACTGCATTTCCGGAGGAATTGCTGCTGTTCTCGCTTTCTTCGCCAGCGGGACGCACCTCCTTGTTCGAATTAGTGCCGTTTTGGAAACCTTTCGCAGTCTTCGCCGATAATCCGTTATTGCTGTAGAACTGGTGGTCTTCAGCAGCACTGCTGTTAGCTCTGCTACTACCACTACCCTTCGCGCCCTTGTATGCAGAAGACGAAGAAGCAGCCCAGGCTGAGCTGCCGCCATGATTGCCACTGTCTTGGTGATCCGCTTGCGGAGCGTTGAACCGTTTCACACGGATCGCCTGCTTGCCACTTGCCCCATTGTCGGCGCCCGGTGGTGGCGCCCAGAGAGAACTGCCCTGTGTCTGCTGCATTTGTTGGTTGTGTCCATTTGAACTAGACGCCGTCGACGCGGCGGCGTTCTTGATCCCGCCCGCCAACGCCGCCTGCTGTTGCTGCTGGGCCTGCACTTTCTTCGAATGCATGATAACCTCGTTTATGTGGTAAAACACGCCGTCCGCCCCGCAGCGGGCCACGATCTTCCGGTTGGGCAGCTGGTAGAGGTCGCTCGATGTGATGGCTTTACCGTAAAAGTCGCAGAGCGGCACGGCCTCCTCGTCTAGAGGCACAAGCGTCATGTCACCAGTGTCCGGCTCCGGTTCCTGCACTTGGTTGGTCGACATGCACCCGCCGGCTTCGTTCATGCTTGTAGTTGTCACACACGAATTATGTGGCGCCTCACCAACTATAAGCTGTTGCTGCGCATCCGATTGCCCTACATTTGCTTCTCCGACCGCCTCCTGCGGACTGCTCATCCCTGCTGACAGGTGAGAGGACGCACTTTGATCAAGAACCGCACCACTCTCGGTGGTATGATTTGCCGATGGGAGTACCAACTGTTGCTGCAACGCTGGATTGCAGGCGAGCATGTTGTTGAAAACGAGCGCTTGCTGCTGCTGTTGTTGCTGCTGCGGAACGAAGCAGGCCGCGGAGGAAGAAAACCGACTCACCACCGGACCCGTGACACTCGGGTCAGACATTTGTTGCTGCTCCCCAGGCCAATCTGTTTCGGACAACTGGCTGCCGAGGACTGCTGCACTGGGGCCGGAAACTACGCTTTGCACCACAGAAGAACCCAGCCCAGGAACAAAAGTTTTTGCACTAGCACTCACGACCCCGGCCTGCTGCTGCCAGGGTGGTGCGTACTGCACCGTGACCGTTCCAAACAACTTCTTTTCTTGTTCCGCTGCTTTCGGGGACGAGCTTGCGTTCTTTTCCGCGACCGGGTTTTCGGACTCTGGAGTTGATGCACCAGCTTCGTCTTTCCTGCATTCCTTGCCCGACGTCTGCGGTTTTCCGGAAGTTGACGTTTTCTTTCGCTGGTGGTCGTCACAGGTCTTTTTTTCTTTCTCCACGAGCTCATCTTTTTCGCTTGTTTGGTCCTCGTCGTGTTGGTTGCTGGTGTCAGAAGGTCCTGTGGTGGCATCTTCCTCGACTTGCTTCATCGATGCGGCACCAGCACCAGCTTTTGATCCCGATGCTTTTTGCGCTTCTGCCGCACGATTTTTCTGTGCTTTCTTCTCTCGTCGCGGTTTGTCACTGCTGGCATTTTCGAGTTTCGCTTTATTTTCGCTTCGGTACTTGTCTTGCAGCAGATCCCATTCGTCGCGGTAGCTGTAACCTGATATTATTTTTCATTTTTGTATCGAAAGGCTTACGAGGAAAACAGGCTGCAAACTGACGTCACAACAAAAGTAATATCTTGCAAAGCAAAACACGTCTCAAGATCAACCCCATGAATCAGAATTACGCTTTGCCGCCTCGGTCCTGAGATCTTCCTCGCAAGTCGCGTAGGGACTCTTTTTCAGGTCGCAGGTAGTTGATGCCTCCTTCGCTGCTGCCTTCCCTTTTTTCTTCGCCTTGCCAGCAGCAGTGCTGGCGGAAGGAGCGAGCGTGGTTTTGTAATTTGCCGGATGAAACGCAACCTCTTCGTCGGTCAGGGCAAACACACCGCTCGCACAATTCGGGTTTCTGGTGCCCCAGTACCTTTGATTTTTGCCGAAAGAGAAACTGTGGAAGAGCAAGAGAAACCGGTCTTCATTTCGAAGAACGAAGAAGTATAACAATTTACGAAAATCAATTAGGCCAAATGCGTGTGACGTTTCGGGAGGACTAAGTCCATGGGAAGAAAAGCAGTAGTACGCCAGTCGTATGGAACGAAAATTGAGATTGACCGTCGCAGCCACAGCACAAATTAGAGTTGCTGCCTTTTGGAGACGAGGCAAAGCTTCTGACTACCCACTACTGATGTCTTCGTCCTCGCCTACGCTATCATAACTGAACTGAGAGATCATTCTTTCTGCGGGCTCCGGCCAATTTCATGTCACGTGCATAAGACGGCCGTTCTCATCCACTGGTGGTCGGCGCAGGCGTACACTGGAATCCACCAGGTAATGCAGCATAACAAATCGATCTTCGGCACTCTCTGCGCGGTCGTCAAAAACCGGAAACAGAGCCTCCGGGGGAAGGGCCATCTTGATCTTTTTGAGCCGTCAAGTTTTTTTTCGGTTTTGGGTAATGCGTATCTGGGCGTTGACAAGACAACAACGCGAAAGCACACTCGCCGCGAGGACCAAAAAGATATGCCTTTTTGCAGCCGCGGTCCCACTAGTGGTACATAATGGAGCCAGGAGTTCGCCTCGATCCTATTGGTGCGAGTCAGAAAATCGATGGTAATAGTAAGTAAAAGTATCACAAATAAATGCTTTTTTCTTCGTAAATCTGAAAAAGTCTTTGTCGTGTCTGTAAGTGAAGGTAAACTACACTGTAACTACGCCGCGCTACGTCGGAGACACGAAAGCGTGCCCCTAGCGAAGGGATGTAACTACACCCACGGAGCAAGAGCAAGACAGAAAATGTAACAGGGAACGACACACAGTGTAGTGTACAGGTTGGTCTGCAATAGAATGACCCTGGCGAGATCGGTGTTGATTAATCAAATCTCACGGCAATTCTTTTCACACTGGATCACATCACAATCCCGCTCTGAATCTCGGTGGCATTGCCAGATCGTCCGCACACGAAGAGGGAATGAAGATGAGGAAAAAAACACCGATAGCATGAAACGAAAGTACTTGGAAACGGCAACAAAAGGCAAAGGAGTCGCCAGCTCTTCGCTGTCTACGCTCGCTCAATGCTGCTCCAATTTTTATGCAGCTTTGCTGGTAACATCTTACGGAAAAAACTTGGGCACTTCAAGAACGCAAAGACGCTCAATCTCGTCACCAGTTCTCGATTGGTTTTTCTGGAAAAAAAAACTAAAGGAACAATCAGAGTGCACCTTCGCGAGGCATCTCGATGTAAAGACGGCTATTTGTCCGGTCTTGTCCTGTCTGCGAGAAAATGTAACACACACAAAATGTCGCTTTGCTTTCGCTTTGTCGTCAGAAGTGCAATATTGTGTGTCGTTCTTCCAGTACAATCGGCACTACATCATCAGGACTAGGCCGCGGGAAAGCGAGTACAGAGCCGCCTTCGGCGCTGTCTGCCCGCGGCCGTCTCAGACACTTTCCCGCATGAAATTTTCTTCAGCAGCCACTGGTCAAAACTGAGCGCGCCCGGCCGGAAGTCGTAGATGAGTAGATCGGAGTTTAAAACCCTAATGGCCACCCACTCCTCAAACTTCGCGTGCTTTGCCGGCAGTAAAAACACTTGTTTCTTCAAGGTTTGCGTACAGTACACTGAGAGGGACTCCTTCCCACTCTTGTGGAAGGTGCAGATGTTGAGAAATCGCCGGTAGGCCGCGAAGTAGCTATCCACATCCGGGACGAAGTGCTCGTGCACCTTCCGCACGTTCTTCGACCGTGTGTGGGGCCACAGAAAGTCCTCCAGGGTCGATTCCTCCGAATCATCGTACGCGTTTCGCGTGGACTTGCCGTGCCGGGCCCTAGTTCGGCCGCAGTAGCCGCCACAGCAGCGGCAAGGGGCCAGCAGTGGATCCTCCGCATCCACGCCGTTGGGGTTCTCTTCGCAAACCAGCGAATCGGTGTCATCGTCCTCTGGATCATCTCCGTCGTTTCGTGCACTGTCGCAGTCTTGCGCTCGTGATGGGACGGTTGGAGTTACAACTGCTCCCGGTGGTGTTCCTGCAGATGAGCTCGAGGATGGAATTGCGGTTGCGGGGTCCACCTCTGTGCCGGTGGCTTCTGCGTTTACCGACACGCCATCATGACTTGCGCATCCCGTTTCGACCTTTTTTTCCTCAGGAGCGCCGGTGGTGCCGCTTTGGTTCCCTTCGACGGGGGAGGAACTCGAAGCGGAGCTGCAACTGGAGCTAGAAGACGCGGCAGCACTAGAAGTTGAGGAGCCGGCTTCTGTTGCACAGGGTGCCATCTCAGTTGTGCTCGTGCCAGTTTCGACGTTGCAAACAGAAGTTGATGGAGCAGATTCTTCAGCCGCCGCCGAAGAAGAAGCAGTCCCGCCGCCGGCGCCATTCTCGATCGCGAAGCCGTACCACGAGGCGCCACAGGTTTCGCAGTTCCGGGGCGCGCGCAGCAGGTGGCGACCGACACAGTTGCTGCAGCACGCGTGGCAGCCGCAGGGCAGGAAGTTCAACACCGTCCCTGTCTGCGCGCCGCACGTTCTGCAAGTGATGCCGCCGGCTTCGCCGTTCGGCCGCCGCGCCGCTTCGTCCACCGCAGTGCTCAAGAAAGAGGCCAGGGCCCGCTCCCAGGTCGCGCCAGGCCCTCGTGGACCGCCATGCGGACCTACGGTTCCATTCAACAAGTTCTTCCACTTCGGTCTGCGGGCTCCTGGGGTGCGCGCCTCGTCGTCGTCGTCGTCGTCGTTATCTGAACCACCACTAGCACTACCAGAGCTCCTCTCCGCGCGGCTTGTTGTTTTCCCATGTGGGTCTGCAGGCCGCTTTCCACCAACTCCGTCCTTTGGCAAGGCAGCAGCTATCTTCGAACGATTTTCCAAAGAACTGCTGGGACCGCAGTTGAAGTCATCCACGCGGGGCGGGTTGATCGCTGGCCCGTCGCACTCCGTGCAAGCTTTCCGCTGGCGCCAGGGTTGGTCCACGCAGGTGGCGCACGCTTGGTTCTCCCAAATCTCATTGGGACGCTCAAACTCCACATTCTGCACATTGTACCGCCTATCGGCGGTCAGCTGACTCGACACACACGGCCGCGGGCGGTATTCGGCCGGGGCGAGCATCTTCGCTTTTTGCAAGCGGGACGCTCCTCTAGAATCAGACGAGGACTCTTGTTGGTCCTCACTAAAGCCATCCTCCCCACCTTCGAAAAGTTCGCGAGCTCGAGCCAACGGGTCGTACGCGCGATGCAGGTAACCGAACCCGCACCTTTCATCGCGGTCGCGTGGCTTCTTCACGCCACGTGCAGCAGCGTTCTTCCGCACCCTGGCGGCGATTTTTGCCCGGATGGCCGCCTTCTTGCGCTCCTTTTCTTCCGTCTCAGCGCCGTTCAGTGTCCGGATGTGTTGCGCCCAGTCGGCCGGCACATCTACAGACACGTAAGAGCTCACCGCAGCCGTTGACGTGCCGGCCAGCGCTCTCTTGCTCCACGGGCCCGGCATTTTCTCGGCTCTCTCCTCCACCATACTGCAGTTCGCGAAAGTAGCGGGTGGCTCGGCCCAGGGGAACAAACCATCGTCCTCCTCCTGTTCCTCGCGGTCGTCCCTGGCCCTTTGCGCGAGCGACCTCGGAAGCAGGCGCATCGTGCTGCGGGGCCGCGGGTCGTCGAACTTTTGGCGGCACGCAAGGCAGAAGTAGTAGCACTCCGCAGCGGTCGGTGGGTTCGTGGCTGCGTCATCCTCTCGCTCCTGGTCTTCGGAGGTTTGAGCTTTCTTTTGCTCCGTGGTTGTGCTGGGTTCGTTCCCGAAAGAACCCTTGTTCCGTTTTTCCTCTGGCTGCTCTTTCCCAGATTCTTCACTAGATCCAAAACCGGATTCCACGGCTGAAAAAACGTCCGATAGCATCTCCTGATGTTCCGCGCCGTTTTGACTTTCTAGCACACAGGGGCGTGACACAACTTCTGGCGCGTCCCTAGCGGTCGTGCTGCTCACCGTCACGTCGCTGAGTTCCATGTCCGCCTCCGTAGCAGACTGCTCCGCGGTCGTGCTTCCGGAGCAGGACGAAGAACTCGACAAAAGAATTTCTTGTTTGTTCTCCGTGCCGCTCGCACGAGGAAGACAGAACGCGTTCTTGGGGCCTGCCTCGTTGACCTCGCTTGGCGGTTTGCAGTCGCCTGTCGACGTCGCTTGCTGTTCGTCTACATTCTTGTGGGCCCCCTCCGGAACGGACGCAAACTCGAGTTCATCGATATAGCGTTCTTGCAAAATGTCCAAGGCTGTACTGCAAAGCTTCGGCTCAACAGTCACTGGAACCTCTTTCGGGTCAGGATCATTACCGCCCTCTGCAGCAGCTTTCTCGTCCCCATTCACGCCGCCCGTGTTCGGCAGTAGCACGTGCGTGGCCGGCAGTTCGCCGCGCTGGCGCTTGCAATCGGCGCAATTCGGATCCCTTGCGGGGTGGAACCAGCATTTGTAAAAGTGCACGGACAGTTCCTCGTCCACGACGGCAACGAAATCTTGCGTCAACACCAAGTCCAGGGGCTGCAGCGCCCCGAAGTCACTGCACCCGTTGAAGCGGCATAGCAGCTGGTAGTAGCTGTCCCACAGGGACACGATCCCGCAGCTGTCCAGGGCCCCGATCAGGAAATAGTCCAACGATTCGGTGTCCAACCACGTGACCCGCGCCACGTCCACCTGGAGCCACTTCGCTGGGATCAGCCGGGACTGCTCCAGCCGCGCGAGCCGTGCTCCGGTGGCGACGGAAAAGATCTCCAGTGGCACCAACGCGCCGCGGACCCAGGTGACCAGCTGGGAGCCGATCCACTGAATTTCGAAAGCGAGCGGCATTTCGTGTGGCAGTGCGGCGTCCGCGCGAACCTCGAGCTCCAGCTCCGCGAGCGGTCGGACCGGAAAAATCTGCGCGATCAGCTGCAGAGAATTCACGTCCCACATGGTACACCGGTGGGACTCCAACAGTGCCAGCCGGTCCCTGTGAAGGAGCAGTTCCAGCGGCCGTCCCATGTTGTCGTTCAGAAAGGAGGTTGACGAGGAGGAACTTGAACCAGGTTTAGTACTCCCACTTGCAGGTGGTGCACCCATTTTGGAAATAGCTGCGCCACCACCTCGCAGCGAGAGTAATTCCCCGTCCGGCAGCGATGGGGAGCGCGACGAGGCACTGCTCTTGCTGGTTGTGCGAGAGGACGACACTGGGCCGGACGTTAGAGCATCTACTGCTTCGCCGATGCTGGTCGTCGGCATGTCGAAGGCTTCCGGTCGTTCCAGTTCGTCTTCGCCAGCAGAATCCTCGGATTTTCGTCGTTCCCCGACAAAATCGAACCCGGTTTCGTGCTTTTCCAACTCGTAATAGACTAGCCGGTCGTTCAGGCACACGAACAAGCGCTTCCCGGAGTTGGCGATTCGATGGAAGTAGGTTTTGAACGTCTGGTTTTCCAAGTTGATGCGCTTCCGCACGGTGCCGGAAACGATGTCGATCAGATGCAGCTCCCCGCCGTTCTCCCAGTACACAAACTTTCCGTCGTCCGACAGCTCTATGCTACCGCGGTACTTGTTTTTCCTGCTCTTCTTCGTTTTGGGCGCTGTAACTTTCTCAGCAGCGCTTGTTGTCCCATTGCGCTCCTCGTCCTCGTCACCACCTGCGCTGCTATCGGGCACGACCTCTAGAGGTCCTCCTCTGGCAGTTGTTCCTCGTGGCCTTAGAACGCCCGGGAATTCGCGCACTACGCAGCCAGGATTTTTCTTCTTCGCGCCACAGCTCACGTTCCGCAAAACCTGCCGGATGTAGATAAACAGCAAGCGCCAAACCTCGTCGCCGACGTGGTCCTGGGCTAGCGCGCGTAGATGGGAGACGGAGTCCACGTAATCCTCATAGTAGACCCCATAGTTCTGCAGAATGGCCCACTTCCAACTTTGGTGGCAGCGCGCGACGTCGGAAAACATGCCCGCGTGGACTAGGCAGCACTTGGACAAGCTCGTAATGTCCAGGTAGGAGAGAATCGACTCCGTGACGCCCACATCGAAGTAGTCCAGAAAAGAAGGGAGCTGCTGTTGAGTAGTCTGTGCATTTGCGCTGCCAGGTCGTTGGTCCTGGTGGTGCTGAGCCTCGTGATGTACATTGCGTTCTGCTTCATGTTCCGCATTGCTCAATCTTGGGAAAGTAGCTGCACTAGAAGAAGAGCTGGAACTGCTACTCGAGGCCGAGGTAAAACTTGAGGCTCTCCTTCTCCCCACGAAGTCCGACGCAGCACCGAAATCTATTAGCTGCACTAGCTTTTCTACACCGACACACCCGATCGGCCTCTCATGTGCTTCGGGGTCCAAAGCTCCTCCTGTGGACGCCGTGGCTGCACGGCTTTTCAACTCCTGCTGTCGCTTGTGATTATTTTCGTAAAACTTTTTTAATCCGGCTTGGGCGCGAGTTTTCCAGGAGCTTGCTGCCGTGTCCACAGAAATGTCCGATATGTCGTCCTCGCTTCGAGTCGCCGCCGATCGCCAGGACAAAGGCGCGCCCGAGTCACTATCGGACGTGTGTTGTGCTGCGGTCATCTTGTTTCCGGGCTTCGCCGCTCCTGGCGGTGCCTTTAACTCTCCGCGCACGCAAATAAAGAGCACATTCTTATGGCTTTGTCTTCATTCTAGTACATCGCACAACGGCGATCAAATCCTAAGTCAGCTAAAATGAAATGAACGTCCTTTGAGCTACAAGTGAACTTGTGAGCGACCTCATCTTGGGAAACTCTCGAACTGAAGTGCCTCTGTGTCGCTTTGCATTCGACTAGACGGTTCTATTCCCTCGCACCGCGACTCGGCTCACTATTTGCCGAAACTGAACATCATCTTCAGCGATTTGAACGATAAGACAGTGTCAGACTGCCAAAAGCCAAGCATGTTGACGGTTGCACTTTTTCGAGGTCGTCTCTTCGAAATTCTGCTTGGCGCTCATGCCGAGTGTGATAACTTACCTGTCTGATTTAAATTCGGGAAACGGTGCGGGTCACCGAACGAAATCACGGGAACGCTTTTCATTTGATGTCGCTTTTTTGTTGGTAAATGTGATCGATTCGATGGAGTGCTAGATGACAGGTCGTAGCTCGTTTTTTTTCCTCAAGTCTTGGCTCGAGCAACTCACAAGATCCGGAACTTGAAGAGCAGGTGCTTGTTGGTGCGGTAAAGATTCTCTTCACTTCCGATCCCAATCAGGTCACCGTCAGCGAGTTTGTGTGAGTATCGCTTTCCGTTGTCCGCTGTTTGTTTAATCCGTACGCCGTTCACCGCAGTGCCAGATGCTGAGTGGTCCTGCAGCCACCAGCGACCGTCCTCACCGTCCGGATCTTTCGCAAAATAGATTAGAAAGTGCTTCCGCGATATACTTTTCGTGATATTCCCCGCAACAGTGGCTGACTCTCCAGGAATGCTCGGATCGGCCATCTGATAGAAGATTTCATTTTGTCATCGTTTTTTTCAACTACGATGCTGCGTTTTTCTTGAGCGCTGTCTCCTTGGACTCGCGAAGACAAAGCAGCTCCACTGCGATCTGATACGAGAAGTAGGCATAAAAGTATCTATTGATGTTCATGCTTTTTCTTCACCAACAAGCAATCTTCACTCCAGCAGAAAAATGAACGCACAAAAAACGACGTACCAGTAGATATGTCGCCAGCTTGTTCGCCACCGGGTCACCGCCCCGGCCAGCGACGAGTGCGGGCTCAACTTCGTTTCGCGCGTCCTTCTTCTCGATGCAGCGGCCGAGGCCTTTGATACTTTTCACATTTCGATTTTCCACCATGCAAACCAGAACCGCGGAGTGATCCCGCGCGAGACTGTTCATCGCACCGCCGTGGAGCGCCAGAGGCTTTTTATCCCCCCGCAAGCGCTTGATCAGATTCGCTTCTGTGTCGTCTTCTGCGACGAGGGACGCCTCCGGGACGTTCAAAAACTCAACCAGGACCGCGTCCCGCTCTTGTGGAGTTTTCAGCAGCATCTTGTTGATTACCTCTACGTCAAGAAGATTGCGCTTCTCCCGACCCCAGTCCAGCAGCATCGCCCCGGAAATTTCCGCTTCCGCCACTTTCGGCGCGAGCTTGCGCAGCACGGAGGCGTTACCCGCTGTTCCGGAAAAGTGCAAAAAGTCCTCGGCCAGCTGGGCGGCGGTCCTCCGGGGAAGCGCGGCGAAGCGCGCACTTCTTGCAGCGGAAGCTTCCCCGACGTCCTCCCGGATGCGGTCGCGAGCCTCCTTCTGGCGCTGTTCGATGGTCTCGCGCTCAAGTACCTCCAGATACTGTGCTTCGAGCTCCTGCTTCTTTATTTTCGCTTCCTTCTCCAGTTTGAGCTTCACCTCGCCCCTGTTTTTTGAAAAATTTGACCTCTGCGCAAGTGGCACTGCAGAACAAATAACTCGGTACTAATGGTAATGTAGAAGCACAAATAAATTTCCATCAAAGATGTAACTATCGGAAAAAAACTAGATCGGAAGAACAAATGCTCTGTACTCCAATTGCGCCTTCAAATTTGTGTCGCTGTCTTCGACGGCGCTTTTGATGTGGCTTCTCCAGTTCCGCAGCACTTCGCGGTCCTTCAGGCGTATGTACCAGTTCGTCTTGTATTCGCCCTTCTTCTTCTCGTCCCGAACCAGGCACACGCGGACCCGACAGTCCTTCGCGGGGCCCTTGGTGACGTCGACGGACTTCACCCACTCGCAGGCCCCCGACTTCAGCGTTTTCTCGTCGGACAACTTAGGGTGCATGTCCGTCACGTGTTTCCACAGACCCAATTGGCTCGTGTACCCGACTTTTGTCGCGTGGCTGTCTTTGCACTTATCCACCGGACACAGGTACTTGCGCGGAGGAGCCTTGTTTGCTTTTTGTCCGGGTAGATCGTTACTTTCCGGGGCCGCATCCATCTCCACCACCATCTCGTCGTCAAACAGCTCCTCTTCGTCCTCCAACGGCGCGGCCATTTCAGGCGACAAGACGTTTTTCTGCTTCTTGCGCGGCCGACCACGCTGCTTCGCGGCAGGCTTTGCCGCCGCGGCTTTGGATGAGAAGGCACCGGCGCCACCGGCTTTTTTCTTGTTTTTACTGTCGTCGAGAACCTCCTCCTCATCATCGAAAAGCTCCTCGTCTTCCCCGAAAACTTCGTCCTCTAAATCCAAGTCGTTCAAAAGCAAATTGTTATTCTGCCGACTGCTTGCCCCGCCGCGCTTTCTCGACGCTTTCGCCTTCGGCTGCTGCTGCACGAGCCGCACTGCGGACGAAGAAGAAGACGAAGAGCCGCCTTTCTGTTGCAGCAAAACGCCAGCGAACGAGCTCGCGCTCGTGACATTTTTGTTTTTCACGTCCAGCAAGACCGTCCCAACGGCAGTACTTGATGATGCTTGCTTTGTCCCTGTGTTCGACGAAGGCTTTTTCTTCCGCTTCTGATTTGCGCGCTCCGCGTCTTCCAGTAACGCTTCCGGAATCAAAGATTGGTTGAGGAAGGAAGACTCGGCCTCCTGCTTGGCTTTCGCGTGGTTATTTTCATTCGCGTCGAGCATTTCGACGTCCGAGCCATCACTGGCCAGATCAATGACCTCGTTTGCCACTTTACCGCCTGATCCGCCCGTCTGGTGATGGGCGGACAAGCTTTTATTGTTCGACTTCTGCATATTCATCTCTACTTCCGCGCCTGCTTTTTCTTCTGCCGCGTCCCTCTCCGTTTCCGGAAGTAAAGCGGTGGTCGTAGGCTTACCGAACACACTGCTCGTCTTCTCGCCAGCTATGTCGCCTACAGACTGCTGCGAGTGTCGCTGGAGTGGAGTGGGGACTTTGTCGAGAACGGAGTCGTTGTTGAAGTCTTCGTCGCCTTCATCGATATCGTCGTCCGCTACATTGTCGTGTGCAAGCAGGCTCCCGGGAGGAGCTGCTGCTCCGGCATTCTCATGCGCAGCCCCTTGGGGCACCAGTTGCGTTTTCAAGATGCCGGGAACATTTTGGGTTTTCTCCACCACCGAGGCGGAGGCGGGAAGCAGAGGGGTAGGGGTAGAGCGCTTTCCCAGAACGTCGTCGTTAGCAGCTGGCTCACTATTCAGTTTCACTTCTGTATCTAGGACGCTTCGCGGGTCCGCAGCTTCGCTGCAGTTCAGAATCGAGGCACCGCGGTGTTCCTCGTCCTCGACTGTTCTCTCTGGCATCTCAGCATCGACATCAGAGCCCTCGCGCGAGCGACGACGATTGTCTTGTTGTGCGCTTTCAGCTCCATCCTCGCATTCATCTCGAGCGATGCTTTGGCCAGCTTCGTTGCTATCCTCGACGAGATCTTTCGATGCGTTAGCGAGCTCCACCACGTCTACCTTTTCCGGTGCGGCCTCATCTTCACGAGAAACTTCGTCAAGAAGGTCATTCTTATTTTCGACGTTGTCACTTCGCTCGTTGTCGTTTTCCTGCTCTACGGCGTCTTTCATAGACACGTCGTTTTCGTCGTGGGCAGTGGCAACCTCGTCCGCACGTTCTGGAGCCAGAACATGGGAGATGTCCACCCCAGACGGGGCGTCCTCGACTAGACTGGCGTCCTGCGGGGCAGGCGGAGAACCCGAAGAGAGCCTCCGCGGAGAAGAGTCTTTGATGCCCCCAGCGTCGTCGTCGTCGTCCTTACTTTCCGGCTCTTCTGGCACCTGCAGGGCCGTGCGAAAGCCGGAAGACCCGAGCGCCATGCCATCACCGGTTGCCAACCCGACGCCGCTTTCGCTAGCCACTGCGCTTCCCTGACCGCCCAGAAAACTGAGATCGCTCGGCGGGACAAGTTGCGAAGCGCCTAGGATCTGCGAACGGGTGTAGTCCGCGCGCTCTGCGTCGGTGATTGGATACAGCAAATTGATGGACACAATTCGCATCCCATTACTAGCCAGCTTGGTCTCGAGGTCCTTACCGTCGTCGATGAGCATCTGCATCGTTGTTTCGGGGATGCCGTTCGTGTCTTCGCGATTGAAAATCCTTTTTGACTGAAATCCCTGCAGAATTCCTTTTTCCCGTAACTCTTCGTCAGTCTGCGGTAACCATTCGGGCCAGGAGGCGCTCCCTTGCTGCTTGCGCGTCCTGATCAGCTTTTCAACGGCCGCGTAGACGCCCGTGTCAGGATCACTTATCTGCAGCTTGTGCTTCTTCTTCAACGGCTCGACTCCGTTTGCACTGGGCGCACCCATCGGAACATTGACTGCGAGGACTACTGCCATTTTGCAGATGTTACAGGTTGGTCTATGAAACAAAATATTGCGTCTGCTGGCAAGGAGATACGGATACTAATCACACCGAACGAAATATGAATGAGACTGTAACTGAAAAAAAGTCCCGTTTCTTTTCTCTGAACAAAAGCTCCTCATTTCTCTGCCATCCTAAAACTTCTACAGCCTGTCGCTTCAGGTTCGGTTGCGAGGGGTACGTCAACATTCCAGAAATATTTTCTTTTCCAGTTCATGCGTGCCACCCACGTCAAATCCCTCAAGTATCCGAAGACAACATTCTTGTTGATCGAAAGAGCTGCTCCGAGGCCATTTGTTACTGATCGAAGATGGGCGAAGTGGCTGCATTTGTGGCACGATCGTCCGGCGTTTGCGCTTCGCTTCAAGGACTGGTCTCATTCTCGTGGTACAGTATTCAAGGTCATTTCACCGGGAACAGCGGAGGCTTGTTTGTGGTTCATCTGCGGGCTTGCGCAACGTGCAAAATGACAAACACAAACGAAAATCATAAACAAAGTTGCAGCCATGCTCGTTGCCAAAAAAAATTGAGTTTTGAACTCACATGAGCAGCGTCAATAGCGTCCGAATTCATGTGCGCAGCAAAATAAATCTATCCGGCTTCACGTGCTCGCAATGAAACACCATGGTTTGTATCTCTTGTTTTCATTCTAGGAACAGGGACTCGGTTCTTACTGTGACTGCTTGATGCACCTTGCACAACATGGGCGGGCAGAGGGTTTCTACTTCTTTGTAGTAGCTCCTAAGCTACTATGCATAGAAACAAGGTACTTACTTCGCACGGCGTAGCAGGCGTCCTGTCGTATTCCCGAACCACCTCAGTTATTGCCTGCATTTTTGACGAATTCGGCTGCTCGCTCCGTCGCCCACTGACGCCACTCCTTGCGCTCCTCGTCAGCAAGCTTCTGGATTTCCGGGGGCAGTACCGGACGTTCCTTCGCCGCCTTTCTCTGTGGCAGAGGTTCGCCAGAGGAGGTCGTTGCCGGAGTTGTCGGGGACACGGGCGCAGACGTGTTAGTACCTAAGTGTCATACAAGTATTCCTACCATATATGCAAATCAGGCTTTCTTATGCGGAGAAGACGAAGCTATGTAATCACCGCATCGAAGCCGCGAGTGTCTAATTCGTGTCGTTTACAGCTTGAGCAACTGTTAATTCCTTGGGCGCGTAAGTTGTTGGCATGGTGCTTGTATTTGGTGTTAGCAACACCGAATTCGTTGTGGCTTCCGGCGATTTCTCAAAATCGAATTCGTTGTGGCTTCCGGCGATTTCCGAAAATGAACGAGGGCAACGATATCGGACTAAAAAAAGGCCCGAGAACGCGGGCTCGAGCCGATTTCCTCAGCCGCGCCCCCACCGGTCCGGGGCCGCGATCTCGGGCCTGGCTGGTTTCCGTTTCGTTGTTTGGGGGCCTTAACCCGCCGCCCTGAAACTGCGACTTTGCGGAAAACACGGCCCGCGTTTTCTGCGAAGTCGCAGACTCAGGTCGGCGGGTTAAGGCCCCCAAACAACGAAACGGAA